TTAGTTTGACTATTCTTTAATTAGGAGCTAAAACGGGTCTCAGATTGAGAACATCACGATGGTGGAGATAAAAATGACCGCATTCGAATGGGTCTACGAAAGTGGATGTTTTTGGTTTAGCCCATGCTCCAAACAAAGCTTCCCTGCCTAATTAAATTTATAAAACTAGTTTTTGACTACTTTTTCTTTTCTCCTATAAATATCGAGGATGTATCTCGGAGATCTGGAATTAATAGTAAGGCTGTAGCTGTGGAGTAGCGCTACTTCTAACAAGGGTCTGGTTGGAAATGAAGCCAAATGCTCACTTCTATTCAAAGTGGGAATGCAAACACGACGATGCGAGCTTTTCCGGCCGAACAAGAAGGTATAGCACAACATGTGCACGTCTTTGGAGACTCCATAAAGAGTCTTTTATCTTGTTGTTTTGGGCTATTTTTGCCTAATGACATCTTCAGTACCCTCCCACTTCTACACTCGACAAACCGCCAGAATTAGGCAAACTCTCATTTCACTTTCCACTCCTGCTGCGCTCCGCCATACAACTGAAAATTAAATCTGTTGTCTTTACTTCTCTCACCACAGCTTACTGTTCTAATTTATCCATTATGAAAATGTTACACCACAGAAGTGAATGAAGTTCTACACAAGCAATTATGGAAAAACGCGTTGTCAGGGTTTTGTTTGTTCTGCTATTTGAGACCTCCGCTTTATTTAGAGGATCAAATGAAAACAAGGATAATGTTTGGCGGGACTGAAAGCGCCGTAGAGTGATGAGAAAGAATAGGAAGCAGAATTTTAGGGCGCATTTTCATAGTTTGCGCATAACTAGATTTGCTTTGAGAAATCAAACCTCTGCCTCTACTTCATTACCAGCAGGATTAGTGCAGGTTGAGACCAAATTCGATTAATAATGTTAAATCGCATTCTTCTGAGATTTTCTTGGTAACGTAATATAATGTAATAAATCAAAATCACGTTTACTATGGGAAGTAAAACAAGCAGGCGGAAAGTAGATATTAATCGGTGTGCTGTGGGGCTCTTACATTCATCACTGTTAGCTACTCATCAGTAGCCTATGCATAAAGAGAAGTGTTTGCTCAGCCACATTTAAAATATGTATTTGTGTGCAAAGAAGACGTTCACGGGGGAAAACGAGGCGATCCTACAGAACATTCCTGAGGATAATCATGGTTATGTTTTGTGATTAAAGTAAGTTAGGTGGCAGGATAGATACTTTGACTACTCTAGGTTTTACAACAGACGATTGCCCATTACTACTGAACATTTTCAGCAATACCCCTGCTCTCCCTCCATTCAAGTGGCCACTCTCCTATGTCCACTTGTGTTTTCGCTTTCCAGCCGTCTCCTCCGGTCTCTTCTAAATACTCATCGCGCATTTTTTATTTTTATGTCTTCCACTCTATACCCGATTTTCTCACACAAACGCATTTGTATTTGAATTGAATGACTGTTGATGAAAGGAATTCAATGTGATGGCCCTAATTAGCCAATAAGCATGTGGTTCGCATGCTTTCCACACCTACTTTTTAGCTACCGATGTCTGGCATCATTCAATTTGGGTGTGACGAAGGCGCCTTCAAAATCGCAGTGCAAAGATTATTGTGCGGGAATGCATTCTACAAGCGCAAGTGTCTAAAATCACATTCAGTTAGCTTATGGTAAGTGGTGTCGGGAGACATTTGCGCAAGTATCAAATGCACCTCTTTATTGTATTCGCCTGAGTGAATTTGTCTCTTACTATTGTTTGCCGAGTCTGTGTGAATCGCGTGAGACATGGTTGCGAAGTGTCGAAGAATTGAATTTAAAGGAATATTTGTGAATTGAGGCTATAAATAGCAGCAAATCTTTGCCAAACTTCATGTTCCACTTGTTAAGGGTGTAAAAATGCGTTGAATGAGGTCACCTTAACAATGCTTTTGAGATCTTCCAGCGGCATATTCATTTGAGTTGACACCACTGCGCTCACCTCATGCATCCCTTAATAATGGGAACAAATCTTCTTAGTTTTTAACTTTACATTAACCTTTTCCACCTTTGAGTTTATGTCAAGGCAGATAACGTATGGAAGCGATTTTTAATGGAGTTTTATGCTCCTACGGGTCTATTTTCTTCCAGTAGGAATAGCTTCTTACACCTGCTCAGTGTTCTTCATTGCCCCAAAGCGTCAGAGGCAGTGCTGCAAAATTTATTGCCAAGGTTAATGTCTCAAATCTACAGCTGGTCGGCGAAGTTGACACTGGATTACTTTCAACTGTTTGTGAAACAGGTAAAATGCGGAATGACACACACCAACCCTTCATATGTCGACCCACATCTATTGCTCCCACCCTTATCCAAAAGTTTTCTAGACACTTTATAGATGCACCTTTCTGCCTTATAACCAATCTCAATACAATTACTGGAGGTACACCATCCTCCATTGCAATTACTACGTACTCCGCTGAGCTGTCCGCTATACGCTTAGGAGCAGGTCCACTTTCCAGAAGTGGGGCTCATCCCTCGCGTCTACACGGTACAGTTGAAAGGACTGGCGTGCTTGTATCCATCGCTAAACAAGGGACAATAGAAGACCAATTCGCAGTCACGAAAATAACTACATCATCATTGCTGTTAGTAATATTACTGATAATATTGACAGTCAACATGCCTCAATGGGCAGTTCACAAGTGGACTTACACTGTTCGCGCATCATGCATCATTCAAGACTTTGAATGAACACATTGTTACATCTTGGTAAACACATTCTGTAGTTTTGCAGAATACAGTGGAAGTAATTTGCCGTGCGTTAATCCATCCAAAAGCAGCGACCTACACACAACACAAGTCACACTTTCCCCCAGCTACATTTCTAGCTGTCGCTGCGATTCGCCTCGACCTTCAAAGGGATAGTTTATAACCCTTGACCCTGATTGCGTTGTCAATACCTTTCACTCTGAGAAGAGCATCTTCTTCACCCAAATTAGTGCAGTTATTTGAATGACCGACCATTCGGACGGCAGGTTAAATGATGTGCCTGTATGTGCAGATTATTTCCCAAGTTGTTAAGGAATGGGGAGAGGTAGAAGACGTAGGTGGAAAGGAGGATGAAATAGTGTAAGATTAAAAAAGCATATATTAGGCATCTTCTACCGTACGTGTAGCAGTGGACGAATTTGAATAAAGGTCATTATAATGTCTTTGGCATGTTACTGCAAAATGCTCGTGGGAAGGAGATAAGTGGTGAGCAAAGTCCAACTGAGTCAATCCCCTCAATTAAGTCACCAAACATGTATATACCGTGAGTTATAATAAAGTATTCGGTGATTTTGTGCCTCCATAAATGTGTAAATATGCTAGCACCTTGAGGAATGAATGATCTGAGATGGTATCAATTGTTCTACGACCATGCTGTAGGGTTAGACGCACAGACAGCCATCGCATGGAAATGAAGAGGAGTAAAATTATCACGTAGGGACATCACCCACAAAGACAAGACATGCCGACGGCAGATTGTTTTTAAAATTTCTTGGTACAATCCTAACCTGTGACAGAACGCTATAGGAGCGGTAATTATTTTATTTACGAAATCAGATCACTGCTTAGGGAAGTTAGTGTCGTGATGTCTAGTGATGGCAAGTTTGATTGACATTTTTTTTCTGATTGGAAAGAGTCACAAAATTTTGTGTGTAAGTGGGGCAAATTGCATATTGTAGAGCATCACAATTAAAGTAAGGAGAAAATAGATCAGCATAAAGCGTGGCAGGTGAACGATGACGGTGAAAGAGATGGTTGTGTAGTGGCACAATACTTCAACTCCTGCAATTCACCACAAGTATGATTTTAATGCAAAGGGAAATAAAGGAACCTAACTAATGCGTTGCATTCTATTTACTTTGCACTCTTGACCTCTCACCTTGCAGCGGGTTCCTAGGCCTTTTAAGAGTCGTTGTAAGTGATGTCAAGTGCGGACTAAACTAACATGCATTTTAATTGAATTCCATGAAGTTGCCCTTAAAAGCCACATTTCTTGACTAAAGCAAGGATACACAGCCCACTTTCAGGGGAAAATCTAATGTGCTTGAGGGAAGAACCAACTGGCTGTCGCTAAGGAATGTGCCTGTAGGTACTCGTATGCACATGGGCAATGCATGCGTGCAACACGGTAGTCGATGCTAAAAGGATTAGGGAAAATAAATCTTACATCCTACTATTGACTTGACTAATTCGTGGTAGAGGCAGCTGCGTCAGTGAGGGAGGTGATAACACTCAGGGAGGACATTCCCAACACATTATTCAGGACCGCTTAGCTATTAGGATATTTCCGTTCATGATTTTCGCTAAATTAGCTCCTGCCCACTGCTGCCTCTCTACCACGCACAACTCAGCATAGAGCAGGCACCACCGCTCTCCTCAGCGCTCCAACAGAGGCCTATTAGAAATAAGGGCTGGCACTGTGCCTGCAGTCGCCAACTGCTAAGCAAGCATTTAAGCATGTAAGGGTGGCACTTTCTGGTTGGATAAAGCATTCCTTGAATGTAGCACGCATCGTGAAAATGCTCTGGTAGACTAACTGTATTTGGTATAAAAGGCTGAGGCAATCATGAGGGTTATCATTATCCAACTGTACGCGTAAGCATTTGCGCATCCCACAAAAGCATGTCAACAGCTCCAGCCATTGGTATTGACTTGGGAACAACCTTCTCTTGCGTCGCAGTCTTTCAATTCGGCAAGGTAGAAATCATTGCCAACGAACAGGGTAACCGCACAACGCCCAGTTATGTCGCTTTTACGGATAAAGAACGTCTTATTGGTGATGCCGCAAAGAACCAGGTGGCCTTGAACCCCACTAACACAGTGTTCGGTGCAAAGCGTCTTATCGGGCGTGGCTCTTACGATAAGGAAGTGCAAGACGACATAAAACACTGGCCATTCAAAGTGATCGATTCGGAAGGGAAACCGACAATCGAGGTGGAATACTGTGGCAAGACAAAGCACTTCGTTGCAGAGGAGATCTCGTCCATGGTGCTGCTGAAGATGAAGGAGACAGCGGAAGCGTATTTGGGCAACAAGGTGACAGACGCCGTGATCACAGTACCCGCCTACTTCAATGATGGCCAGCGTCAGGCAACAATAGATGCAGGAAAGATAGCAGGCTTAAATGTGCTCCGCATCATTAATGAGCCAACTGCAGCTGCTATTGCGTATGGTATGGACAAGAAAATCGACAGACAGCGTAATGTGCTCATCTTCGATTTGGGTGGTGGCACCTTCGATGTATCCATCATGTCCGTTGAGAATGGAAGATTTGAGGTGAAATCGACTGATGGTGACACTCACTTGGGTGGTGAGGACTTCGATTCTCGACTCGTGGATCACGTTGTGGAGGTGTTCAAGCAGAAATATAAGGGAAAGGATTTGACGACCAGCAAGAAAGCCATCACTCGTCTGAGAAGGGCTTGTGAGGCGGCAAAGAGGACGCTGAGTTCGACTGGGTACACAGACATCAATGTAGACTCATTGTTTGAGGGCATCGACTTCAATACGAGAAATACGCGGGCCCGTTTTGAGCAACTGTGCGCTGATCTCTTCAGTAAGACACTGGATCCGGTAAAGAAGGCATTGTGCAATGCGAAGTTGAGCAAGGCTGATGTCCACGAAATAGTGTTAGTGGGTGGATCGACCCGTATTCCGAAGGTCCAGGAGCTATTAAAGGACTTTTTTGATAGGAGAGAGTTGAAGAAGTCCATCAATCCAGACGAGGCAGTGGCGTATGGCGCGGCGTTGCTGGCGGCCAAGCTGACTGGTGGCAGGTCAAATGTGATGCAGGATTTGATTTTGCTTGAGGTGACGTCGCTCTCACTGGGTTTGGAGACCGGGGATGGTGAGATGACGACGTTGATAAAGCGTAACACGCCAATACCGACAAAGCAGACAAAAATCTTCACCACGTACTATGACAATAGACCCACACTGCTGATCCGGGTGTATGAGGGTGAGCGTGTTAAGGCGAGTGACAATCACTTTTTGGGCGAGTTCAAGTTGTCAGGCATTCAAATGGCCCCGCGAGGTGTGCCTCAGATCGTGGTAACATTCCTTATTGACGAAAACGGCATTCTCAATGTGTCAGCGGTGGACACGACAACGAAGAGGCAGGAGAGCATCACCATCACCAACAATAAGGGTCGTCTGTCTGCGGAGGAGATCAAGCGAATGGTGAATGATGCAGAGAAGTTCAAGCAGGAGGATGAGGAGAAGAGGAGTAGGATGACAGCGAAGAATATGTTAGAGGACTACATTTACAGCATAAAATCGAAACTGGAGAAGGAGGAAGTAAAGGGAAAGTTAATAAAGGAGTCTAGGCAAACTCTACTTATGACGTGTGAAATGACGAGGAGGCATATAGACACCGATCCGGAGGCCACAAAGGAGAAATACGAGCAAATGTACAAAAATTTGGAGACATTATGCAGCATAGTTATGGCGAAGAATAATCTCCGTTTGTGAGTGCAAAGATGTGGAAAGTGAAGCGAACGGATTCGCACATTGAACCGCGTCCTCTTTACCCCACTCTGTAAAACACAAAGTAACAAGTCTCAGAAATGTGTTTTAATGGATGCGCTTATTTAACTCTAACCCACTGAATTGTTACACGTTCAGCATTTTGACGGCTACCCATACAATGGCATACATTACCCATCCATATGCACCCATTTATTCATAATATGGCACCCGCCTACTGAGCTCCCGAAGCAGACGACAGAGATTATTCCACTTCATAGTTTTGCTTGACCACAGCTGACATTTCCGTAACTGACCTTGTCATGACATTTTTGTTTGAGGTACTTCATTCTGAACTGTCTTTTTGAAGATATAGTTGTAGCTGCTTCGATTGAAGCTAATCACTGTAAATAACTAACTTGGTGCAACCATCCTGAGATTTCTCATTTAATGAGAGAGTAGGGGATGGGCCAGCAGCTGAGCACCGTCACACACAGCTCGTCATCGTTGCAGTTGGGGGTGCCTTTCGACCTGCACGCAACAATGCGATCCAAGTAGAAATTCACACCAAATGGACTGATCAAGTAGACATTAGCGCCTCAATCAGTGCTTGTACGAAATTCTTGTATCCGAGTGAGCGATTGCATATAAATTCCCCACAATTTTGTCTTATGCCACGGCAATGCCCCTATTGATGATGGTAAGTGTGCCATCAAACTTGTCCGAGGTAATCCTAGTAAGAAATCGTGATCTCAAAAACAGCCTATCTAATTGAGATTCGCTTTAAGTGCTGATGATTCTTTAGAGGATTTTTTCGTAAGCTTTGGAGAAGATGAGGACCAGTTCACTCAATAGTGTTCTTTGTGGAGCTTAAGTCATTGATGCTGTGCTTAGGTTCAGGGTTATAAAATATTCTCTTAGAAATCCAAGGTAAATCACTGTCTCATGATTAGGGTTAGGGTAATTACACTCATTTACCACCCTCAAACACTGTAAGTGAAAGGGCTAATTTCGATGGGACTGTGAGTTTTGTTGGTTGGCATCAGTGCACAAAAAATAAGTCTTGAAGTTCACTCTTTCGCAAAAATTCAATAACCAACGTAAAGGAGGAATTGACGCAAGTCCAATTAGACTACTTGAAAGCGCTCGTCTTGCATTTTAAGTAAGACTAGAAAATTACTCACGCCTCATCAAATGTGGATTTACTCACTAATAATAGTAGGCCTCAGTGGTGAAGTTGACGGCCAACTTCGCACTATCAGTCCTTGAGACTGTCACAAATTGTGAAATTGCGCAGTATATGATTGAAGGAAGAACTATTTGCTTGAAACGAATTATTGGTGCCCTTAAGACTTAAAAAGTGTCTTTGTCTATCTGAGGCTTGTAAAGTGCACCGCTAGAGATGTTTGATTATCTGCTTGCCTTTTGAGTGAAGTGTTTGTACAGTGAAAGCTCCTCTACTCGGAGGGCCAGACTAACCTACCTGACCACTCCTCAGCACTGTTATGTCTCTCTACACCACCTCTCATCATCTTGTTACTTCTGCCTTCACTGACACATCCTTGCCTATCTTTGCATTTCTCATATAAAGGCTCCTCAACCGCTGGTGATGAAATCATTTCCACTTGTATGCTGTAATGCTTGTCATGCGCTTCGGATCCTTGCATTTGTGTCGTGTGTGGTTGGCACAGCTCAGGGCACAATAGTAGGCGTCACCAACTGACAAGCTCATGTGGTGAAAAGATGCGAATTGAGAGATCTGTACAGGTGGAACGCATTCCCTTGCAATGATTACGGCACCCTCTCAATAAAGGCATCTTTGCCACATCCAAATCGAACGAAGCCAGCCAACGGTACCTGAAACGTAGGAGTGGATGTCATACAAATCACAGGTTGATTAGCTACAGGAAGCCATGTTATTCAACAAATTTCGTCAACAGTCATCGCATTCTCTGTGGCTGTTTGAAAATTTTATCCTTTGCCTTGCCTTTCACAACGTCGTAATATGCAAGAGTGTGGTTGGCAAACGTCAGCATGGGTAATCCAATCGCAGTGGTGGCGCGTTCAAGTGCGCGAATCTGTGATGAGCCTTAAGAGGGCGATAGATTACATGGTGTTTCTCTTTGTTATCTTTAAATCACATAAAAATGCAGTTAAGACTACCGTAATTCATAAAAAGTGAGCAGCAAAGTGCATGGATAAGTGAGATACCAATCCGCAGGGAAATGTTTGGCGTTAGGTATTAAAGAGACCAAGGAAATGCTGTTTGTGATTTGCCTTGGCTATTTCCCATGTTGTAGCTTCCGAATTTTCTACTTGCCACTTTCGACGTCGATGGGAATGAAGTTGTCTGCTATTAATTTCCCTTTGCTAGGTTGGGAGGTTGTCGGGCCATTGTTGTGGACAACGGTCCTACAGGTACATTCCTCTAGGGTAAAGGCTAAACACGAGGCAAAGACTACACCCACACCCCTGGATCACACCAGCATGTATTAAGCTCTTAGAAATAAATAAATAAATGGCTAAGTAAATAAATGCTTGAAATTGAGAATTGTATGTAACATTTGTGTAAAATAAGCGATTTCGATTAGTCATGTAAGAAGTGCGCTCAACTTCTTCAAATATGAACCATATTGGACTCAGCTTGGTAATAATCCACATGCTGGAAACGCGCCATCGTGGACCATTTGGCCGAGGTTTAAAACCAAATGGACTGATTAGTGTAGCCTCGTACATTAGAAGAGTAGTTAATTCAACAAAGAAGCAATGAATTGGATTGACAGTCAGTTTTTGACTGTACAGCACCGTAGAAAGTGCTGTTGCATCTGAATTTGATCTGCGTGTGAGGCAATACCTTGAATTTTCACCTCGAAGAGTAATGAAGTACGGTGAGGTTCGTTGCAACTGGTAAATCAGTAACTGCTCCGTGCTCTGAAAAGTACACACCCTATAAATCAAGTCACCAGATTTCACACACAAATGGCTCCTGTGTCTACCAGTGAATTTCCATATTGTGCCTCAGTCATTTGAGCAACACCAAATTAAGTATTTCTCAAATCTCTATAAAAAGTTGCCCTACGATATTGCCACCTTAAATATATTCACTCTGTAATGCGATGAGATATGCTACGGAATAAAGCAAGTCTTTGGATCATAAGGAGAGGCATATCATTGCATCAAAGGCGATATTCTCTATGCTGCTTGAATAATTGAAAGAGTGGGTTGACCACTGTCGAGCAAAACTGAATGCTAACTCGTCTACTTGCCATTGGGAATGCACCGATTCAAGTAGCCACCTTTTAACCAACTTATGTTCTTCAATACTACCGCTCATCTTCTTCATGCTCCTGTCATCATTAACACCTCCCCGTCCAACTGTGCGCTACTTATAGGAAGCCACCTCAACTTCTAGTTATGGGATCGTTTCCATGAGTGTGCCGCACTGCTTGTTCTGCACTTCGACACTTTCTAACCATGTTTTATGTAACTGACACAGCTCAGTGAATAATAACAAGCGACATGACCACTCGTTACACCCAAATCGAATGAAGCCACTAAATGACTGATGAAATGTGAAGGTAGATTTCAGATGAATCACATGCTGATTGGCAGCACAGAACCACCCCATCGAAATGCTCTTGTTGACAGTTGTTGCATTAAAGTGCAAATGCCTTTGTGTAATGTAAGAAATTTGAGTACGTGGAGGGGACTAAATAAAATTTGCATGAATGCGCAACATGTACTCAGGAGAGGCTGGGAGGGAAGAGAGGGATGTAGAAGCACAAAGACAGGCGATTGGGCAAGTGGGTGGAGAGATAGCAGTGGTAGTGTTGCAAATTTTCAGCGGTAATGAACAATCATCTTTTGTGCACTCGGGCATATTTCATGTAGCTAACATTCTAAATAACTTAGCTTGGCTATGAAAAATTTAGGACAGGCCATCCTCAAGGGTACTCTGTCGCATTGCCTCATCCGCTCCCATGTACCTCTTCTTTCCACGCAAAAGTAAGCTTTGTATGCATAGTTGAGCAAGTACTTCTCATTGCATATGGGATACTGTTAGGTAGGTAGTAGTGATGGATTTACAGGACTTGCTGTACGCGATTTGCGACTACGATCGCTACGCTCTTTCTTCTTTTTACAACAAATCATTACTTTACTTCACTATATCATTAAACTACACCAAATAAAATATAGAATAACTTAAGTATAGCACCGTTATTCGAGGCTGGTCCTAGTACGCAATAATCCCACTGATTATTAAGCAGAGACAGAGGCTTGACTTAGGAAAGAAGTTCTAGGGAAGTACGGTCTATGAAATGGTGCCTTGATCTTCTCGTTCCTGCTCCACCTCGCCTCTACATCTCATTGAATCCCTCTAATCAGATACTTTGATTTTACTTGATTGCTTAAATGAAGTGTAGGACTCGAATAGCCCAATAAACAAAACCCTGACAGCATGCTTTCCCATATTGGTGCATACAGAAAATCATTCCCTTCTCTATCCTCCATTTTTACATAACATTAAAGTCCGGATCACAAACTGGGGAGGTGCGAGGAGAAAACATCATGAATTACATTTCCATTTATTAGGTAGAGTGCAAACGACGTGGAGAAGGAAAATGGGAGTGCATTTAATTTTTCTGCTTTGGCGAGTTTGGAAGTTGCACAATACTGCTGGTGCATTAAGGAAATGGTGTGTAATGCAGGGAGAACCAGGGCGATTTAAGGAGTATGTGAGCCTGTACCAATGCAGCTCACTGGGGAGTGTGCCTGTGCCACACATTCATAATCGGCGGCAAACACTCACCACGTCCTGTTTTTTTTGCCACCTTGAGTAGAAGTGGACATTCAACTGCATTTCTAACCATCCCATGTTGAGGGCAGTGCAGACTTAGCAAAGAGCTACGTCAAGTCTGCCGTGATGTTCAGCGCTATAGGCTTGGTGCTAAGCTCAAACCATAGATATAAATTTTAAATAGATGTCAAGAAAGGGATAAAACCATCAACCAATGCCAACACAACTTACGTCAAGCGGTGAAACTTTGTCTAGAGCCTTTCTATAACCAAAAGTCTACTTTCGTAAACTCATTCGGATATCATCAATTCAATCTCCCCCATCACTGCGTCCCATCAACGAAGACCGAGGAAGAGTTATACCGCCATTTCTACCATCACATCGAGTGCACAGCAATGAAAATTATGGTTGAAGTGAATCTCACTTTCATTTGGTGTTTGCAGTGACGCAAACTCACCTGGCAGCATCGGCTTTGAAGGTGGTTGACTATTTGAACCTCAAATCTGGCTGTTGCATTACCAATGCGTGTCACTGGATTATGGGCGGTGGAGATGAGATTACGTGCGCAGGCCAGAGAAAGACCAAGCGTCGCATTTGTTGGATGTCTTGTTTTATGGATTTTGCACAAGGTCTATTTAGTGGCAAAGGAGATGTTACTGACATGGCTTCTTTCTAAGCCGCATCGTTAGAGGAGGTGGTGGATAAACCACTCCTCCTTCCACTACGCAAACGAAGCTATCCGGTCTATTCAGAAGGGCAGGTTGCCAAGCACGCCTGCTCATCCCAGTTTATGCTAGTGAACGTTTGATGATGCGAGTTCAGTCGTGTTACGTGAGGGTTTGACAGCAGTCGGAATGTAGAGTTCTCTTTTACTATTTTGCTGAAGGTGATGAATTATTTCACCCGGGTTACTTACCCTTCCGTAGTGCAATTTTGGGGAGAATCAGAGTAACATTAAAATTAGTACAAGAAGGATGCAGACACCGATGGCACTTTAATCCTCACTTTTATTAACCAGACGAGGGCGGTTTCCAAGACTAGCTAAAACACACATTTTTGTTCTTTTATGTAATGGCATCAATATCAGTCAATTTTGCAGACAAGTAGAGATCCATTCGTCATCAAGACTCGAACTAAAGTGAATGAGAAGACAGCTCTTCCAAAAGGAAGAAAATAATGTCAAGCAGTGGAATTCATGGATGGTTAACGGCCCTTGAACTTGCCATTTGAAGACATTTTAAATTGGACCAAACAAAGTAAAATGGATTACAGTGCCTAAAAGTGGTCATTTTTCACATTCCTTAGGTGGCGTAGTGTTCAATAGATCTCCAAGATTTCGTAGCTCTTTTGTCTCTTGGCAGGATGGTCAGGGATGAGGGAGGACGAGTGAGGCATGATTTATGCTTTTACGCATTACATGAATACTTGCACTTCCTCGTCGAGTGTGCCTCTGGTTGTCGACATCTGGAGCACTTTCTCTAGGCCGGAGATATTGAGAGACGAATGTTAAAAGGCTCACACCTTTTCCCTCCTCAGCTCAGCTTACTGCGAGTGTCGAAGTTTATCACAGTTTACCACACTTCTCCCAGCGGCAGCTAAAGAGCATAGTAGCATTACCAGTCCCAATTTTTTACTGCTGCTTGAGGGAGGCCTGTGAGAGGAAAATGTATTAACCTCAAGTATTTTTTATTGTTACTGATATCACAACATTCATGTGAGAAAGGTGATCTCATAGTGTCCATGATGTTTCAACTACAAAATCGAAATAATGGGGAAATTGTAAAAGTAGAGCCCCATAATCAGACTTGGTTTGACTGTCTACCAGCCAGTTAATGGAGAAGGCAAAATTTGCTGCAGTATTGGAAACATTGGAGAAGAGTATATGAATGCTGGCCACCAAAATATGCGAACGTATGCCAACTCGAATGATAGTAGTCAAGGTAGTTTATGGATTCACTGGTCACGTCTGAATTCTCTGTGTAGCACTGCACAGTGCAAACGGCCTACATGGAGATGGAAAAGGGTGGGAAGGAATTGTGATAGGCGTCGCAGGAATGTGGGCCTCTACTCCGGAAATTTGTCAACGGATTGGCATCGTGTATGCTCAGGAATGCTGCATAGGGCCGAAAATTTATTCAGGTGGGTAATGAGGCACTTACGCACTTACGCCACAGCCTTAAATGTGCGATGGTCTTCGCACAATGTTGCGGTCCCAACATTTGTTTGCCGTACGCTGTGGAAAGGTGACAGCTAGGGGCTGTTGGAAGATTACCCTGTACCCAAGGTCGGCATGTATTGAAAGTGTAGTTTGGCTACTTTGACTTTAGTAAGAGGGAGAAGTCATCTTCCAGTTGATCGGCGAGATCATTGACTAGAAGAATGTGATGCGCAAGGTGGTGTTGCATTGTCACAAAGGACATTGGATGCACGAGGCTGGTGAAGTGAGTAAGCAGGATAGGGGAATCTTAGTGAGTCTTGGAAACCGAAGGAAGGCCAATCGACTTGGTCGATTTGTCTAAAACAGTGATTGCAATAGCACTGTTGGGGAGCTGTCACACGTGAACACGACGCAGAGGCGTGAGAGGAAGTAGACACAAAGGTTGGGATGATGGATAATGAGGATTAAAAGCAGAAACAAAGAGGGGTGCAGCGGACTAATGTAAAGAGAAAAGCCTTTGTTGATGCCCGTGACCAATGACAAGTGATAGGCTGATGTGTGAAAGAGCGTTTTACTCTACGCCTAGAGAATGTAGCCTATGAGTATGAGATGGCATTGATTAGGTGCAAGTGGAATAGCATTAACTTTGTCACCAGCGTTGACAAAGAAATTCTGTAGGGTACCGATATAATGTAGATGGAAGGTGCAGCCGGAGATATGGGGAGTGGCATCCGTTGCCATCACAGATTTTGCTAATGTGATTGCTGAGTTCGTTTACTTTGGCTCGTTAGACCGATTAGCTTATTTCGGCTGGTTGCTGTAGAAGCATAGTAGTTGGCACTTCCTGCCTATGTGATTGAAGCGATGCTGATAGTAGAAGACCTCTCTGAAAAAAAAGAAGAAAGGGCTAAATAGACGGGTAGTGATTTGCTCGGCCGAAGAATCGCAATCTGGAATAAGACATAGAATGCACTAGTGTGTACAATTGAAATGCTTGTGCACTCACCCTCACTTGCAGTACTTCCAGTGTGGTGAGTTTTAAAGGCAGTTTAAGAAGTAACGACACTTGATGCATTAAGGAGGAAAAAAGGACCATTTTCGTATATCGTCGGCAAATACCTTTCAATAGGAATATTAACACTCTGTCACTGACATTTTTCTTGCTGCATGGAAAATATTCTTTGTCATTGTTGAACTTAAGGGTTACGGTGATAGGCAAAGTACCAAAGTGATTACTCTATTTCTCATAAATAAACAAGCCAGTCCTTCTTGTTGAAGGTTGGATGTAGTGAGCCTTGCCTCAATGGTAGCAGAAAGAGAAAAATTGTGTAGGTTTGTCACATTGACCGCAAACTAAGCACTTCGAATCTTTCTCTTATCGGTAGAATAAAAGCAACTCGTCTGCTACAGCTAAAGTAAGCGCGCCGAGATATCCCGGTTCCAGTTGCACGACTAAATTTCATTGTCATTTTATCATCTGAAGGGACGCTGAGACCCATCTGCCTGATTTATAAAAGCCGTGTCTTACAAGGGTGGGCAAAGTTATTTCTTCTTTTACATCCTTCCACTAAATGAAGTTAGAAGTCTTGGCTCCAAACTTCAATGTGCATCACCGATTCCATTGCTGGTGGTCATCTCATATGAGCAACTGGGGCCCTATCCGTATTCATTCGTATGGCCAGGTGGTTAAAAATAGATGCGTGTGGGGAGAAATCCACCAAAGCAGCACACTAGTCACCCACCTCCACAACTCAATTACAGAAGACTGTCATATGAGGTAACGACATTTCACCTAAAATGGCTATGACACCTGACTTCCTCCATTGTTACGACCCAAGTTGAGCAGCAGCAAATGATCCTTAAAAGTTCAAATTTATTTCAAGCATTATTACTAATGCTGAGTTTCCCACATCGAGAAGCCTAATATTTCTCGAAGTGTGTGTGAAGACTTCAAATCATCGGAAGTTATATTTGAAGACTTTAAGTTCTAAGCATCTGTGAAAACTTCTGCTGTAAACATGGTATGAGAAGGGTTTATATGGTTTAAATTTACACCTCTTTAAGTAACCCCGACTCCAATTCATTAACCAGTGGCCACATTTTTTGTCTTACTCCACCATAAACTGACAATGGATTTTCTAATCCTTGACTCTTTCCTGATCCATTCATCCACCCATGTGCCTGTTGTGAAGGATTCACTAATGTAGACTTCGTAGGTGGGAGCTGCAGCGATTGACGAGTGGTTGGATGGAGGGATGGTCTGAAAGTATTGTGATGTAGGCGAAATTTTTCCCGCATATTACAAGTGAGAGTCAATGAAACTGTGAGATTAGCGCGGTCGACAGGTCCAAACAACAATTTCAAGCCTCAGCTAAAAAATCAGCTGCACGATGGTCACTGTTAAAGGTGTATCAGTTTCTTCGGAGCTGAAGTTCTCTTGGTTTCAGCAAGAAAGAGGGTTGAACAGAACTTGGGAATCAGCTACTACAAAGTGATCCTGAACACCGATTCCCACAGCGTGTCTATTTCCGATCCGCTAATAAAATGCGTATCACAACCTCGAGATATCGGATGGATAGTTTGTTCCCTGCTGCAGTAATCCTGAAACATATCAACAAGCAAAGAGACGTTGCCTTACCTGCCTCTATAATTCACAAATTGCATTCTTCTCCCCACATATCTGTGACGATATGCCACTAGTCTTAGACACATCTGGGAAGAATCAGTCTACTTTAACTCCAATTATTTAGTTACTTGGCTCCATTTGAAGAAGAAATACTTCAAACATCCCTGAGTGATGCATGCGGGAATTAAAAGAAAGAACTTTAAAAGATTTTGTATAGAGGTATAAATTCGCCCACACATATGCCATTAGGCCAGCAAAAATAAAAAAGATGAGAGCAGACACCCAAAGTAAGGGGGTGGCTAAGGGATATGAGAAGAAAACAAGAGATTCTGAGCGGAAAGCAGAGGAGAGGATTTGTATTGCAACTTTTCCACAACTTAACCATTAGAATTAAAAAAGGAAGCACAATTGGCGAAACTACAATAATCGTAAATATTTTGTTGAAAAATAAAAAAATAGCTTTAACACGCTTTTTTAACAAAAGATGTCTTGTTTTATTAAACCGTGGAAAGGCCCTTGCCAGATATCGAGGTAGTTTTGGCTCCCAATCAAAGTAGAATGAATGCAGCACGGAGGGAATAATCATTGGTTAAAACATTAATATGTAGATTAGCATTGATAAAATAGGAAGAGGTCGTTTTGACTTAAAGAGACTGTATGATGTCGGCAAAGAAGGTTGCATCAAGAGACAGTTCCAAGACACGAACCATGGACAATGTCCAAATTTGCTGAAGAATCCAGGGCTTCCGTGTCAGACATTGATAGCACCAAAACTACACCTTGCTCGACCATCACCTTGGAATGAAAGTCTCCTGATTTATACAGGGTTGATCGCTATTCGCGTTGCTCTTAATTTTCATCACTGTATAAGGTACATTTTATGAATTATTCATCCGTTATTTGCATATCCTTCCCTTTACCTTTCTCTACCATATTGCCGCCGGCTTGATTGAGCAGTTATTACCAGCAATTGTGATGGGCATCTCTGAGGTTGTCGAAAAAGGAACTTGATCAGTTGTTGGTGGACTGCCTACTGTAACTTTCATCAGGGTGACCGTACGGTTGGCGCGAATACTGTCATTATAGGAAAATGGCTGTTGCCTAAACACTGTTTATTTTTTACGAAATCTATAGAATGAAGTCGTAAGGAATTCAAGCAAGACAAATCTAGGCAGCTGGCTGCACAAGCTACACTGACGCTTGCAGTGGGTCTTCGGAATCTCGCTAGGTCTGGTTAAGGCAGCTCTACCGTGACGTTTCAGTAGACTTTTTTTGCTATTTGAGGTTGGGAACATGCTGGTCCGAGTAGAGCATTGTCGCTTAGCATACCCAGCCCGGAAAGCCTAATGTTTCGTCCTACTTCCTCCTCCAAATGGCGCAGAATAATTTGGACCCAAATGAAGGTCATTTCTCAGTTGAATATTCTTCGATTTGGAAGTGCATGCTATCTTTTGTTTTCCGTGTCACCTGAGCTACGAATATTGTATCTCAACATACCTTGCATCAACGGTACATTTTTTTGCGTCCGCCATATTTCCTTCCATTAGTGTAGGCACTGCAGCCTGTTCTTCATATTTCTCTGGGTATGATTTGGCAGTCATTTCCTACACGTGGGCCAACGAACATTGAGGTAGCCATCGCAATAGCTGTGTGTTGTAGTTATCTGTCCGTGATTTTACGCGTAGCTCTGGTAACTAACTGGCCTTGACCTTCCAGTGGTTATCAGTAGAGTTGCAGTAAATCTCTGCTTGATATGCACCAATCAGGAGGGAGTAAACCGGCAAGAGGATGACCTTTTCGAATGTTTGGAGTTTAGCCACCAAGATAATCGTCAAGAGAATTGAGAAGGCGCTTAAACCTGCGGATGCTAGTGTCTCCAGTAAATTGCGGTGTTTTGATCATTGTGCTAGCTTCTGCCACAGTGATTCCATGTGAAGTTTGCCAACGATACTGAAGACCTTCCGATACATTTTCTGATATATCAAGACCCCCTCTTATTTCCCCATCGTACCATAGTATGTAATACTGTCTACTATTTTTGCTCTATTTTTTATATTCTAAGTGCGTGATTGTAGTTGAAACCTACGGACATAAGGCATTGACCACTGCACCCTTCCGAATTGAACCTATGCGAACAACAGGGAGGAAACTTAAGGCTAAAGGGCATTGATTCTAAATATTTCGCTTAGGCATTAGACTCCACCTCCCCAACTTCTCGGCCTGATTGAAGCAATGGCGTATGCAGACTTACAAGATGAGTGACCTTTCGCGACATTGACCATTCCCTTCGCCACAGGCCAAGTACATGGCTAGTCTACCCGCACCATCACACGAAGTCCCCAACCTTTCTCAATACAACTTGTTGTTCAGCTCATTGAGGGATCTCTATCCTTCCTAAGCCGGACACAAATTCTGCTATCTTTTAAGAGGCTATACTTCTTCCGTTATCGCTCTCTTCGCAACCAGCCTGAAACTTCCGGATTTCACTTATCTGGTGAGGACTGAAGCAGAAATACGAGCAGACTGGTGACTGTGTATTGAAGCTGTTTCCTGTAGGGTGTACAAAAGACCAAGATATGGCTTATTACTTCGGTCTTTGGCGTTTAGTAGTATCTTGAATTTAAATGTGATCTTCCTGCTTTGCGTATGCTGGTTTGCTACAAAGTTGGGGAGTGGGAAAGAGTGCTTCCATTGGTTACTTCAAGTCCACACGCTGTATTGCCACGCAAAGTAGTTTTAAGTGAAAATAATGATGATTGAGGTCTGTACCCTAAACTCAGAACAAGCGTGGTTTCCAAAAGCTCTTACTGCATGACATCATTTTCCCATCTTATGCGATCTATTCCAACCCTGTCGCATTCTGTTGGTAATGGCATATTACGCTGCCTCATTCTCCATGCCATATTTTTAACCATTTATACCAAGGAAATGTACTTCTAATCCACGATGACTCTACTAACCTAAATTCAAACACCTGGCAACGCTATTTAAACTGCATATTCTCGATGCCGACTGGCGTAGGTGGCTCAATGTTTTGTGTAAAAATTCGGGGGAAGTAGGAGGAATTATACGGGTACTGAAGATGTTTCCCTTGAACCTATGCAGCATCTCAACACCTACAACTGGTTGCCAAAATGAATGAATATTGAGGATTGCATTTGCAGGTAAATGTCTAATTCTTTGATCAGTAATAGAAACACATTTGCTGGAACTTATGACAAACCACGTTGATTAAACGCCTACATGAAATAAGTGGGATCCAGATGTGAAGACAATATGGTTCGATGTCAGAAACTGTTGTTAGCCACCAAGTGAGAATAAAAACAGACGTTTTCCATCATTTATTTGAAAGTGCTATTAATGCAAGAGAACTATACAATGAACTGGTCTTTTATTGTGAGCGTGCGTGCGAATCAGTCGATTAAATCAAGTAACCAAAATAAGAACCGTGATTACCTAACACTTGTCCAAATCAATATGCTGTCACTCACGCCAAACTATTACAAATCTTAATATAAATTAATAGCCAATATAATGGTGTGTATCAGAGGTAAAAATGACATGTGCGCAAATCAGATTGATCAGTTAACAGACCATAGGCTCGTGCTCCAAATGTGCCATAGGTCATCCACTCGGCATCCATCCATTCTCCATCCTCAGGTTGGCAGCTACGCTTAGTAATATCACCGTGGCTGCTTTTGGATAATCCAGCTCTCGCTGCCTCCGCTAGGAAAATGCAGAGAAATAGTGTAAAAGTGTGTTAAAGCAAAGAACGACGATGATACGAACCCCTGCTCCCCAACCCAATCAACACTCACCATATGTGTATGGCCCTATTTTTTTAGGCCTGTACAATCCATCCCGACTGTAGACGTCGTGGTCATCAAATTGACATATCGACGAAAGTGGCACGGGGCAGCGGGTCACACAACTTTTCTCGCAACTCTAGAAGGGTGTATCAAAAATGCGCCTTTAGAGACTGCTGTCAATTCACTCTATGAGCTGTTGAAACAAGCAGGTTGCTTCTTAACAGAAGTCTCCAGTCCATCGGATACACTTTGCTTCCTCTTCTTCCTCTCATGCAGCCCACACTGCTAAATGTTTCACTTATCAGGCTATTCTCTCTCCAAGCTCGCCATGTCCAAATGTCTTCGTCTATCACTCTGGAGTCGAATCAGAAATAGGCCCACACAAGTGATATTTCTGGAGAATTTGACTTTAATTTGATTAACTATCATTTGATGAAGAATATTTCTCCACCATTGAATCAGAAGTCAATTCTCTAGTCATACGCAGTTTTATCATTTTGAAGCAAAAGCTTCTAGTCGACTTCGAATTAAATGAATAAATAAGCAAATAGATAAATGAATGGCAAAATAAATCAACGTACGTCTCCTGTATGAGATGAGCTACCGCAGTTGCAGCAGGTTGTCGCTACAGGCTTACGAGGAGAATCTACCACCACTGGTTTACCGGGTTTCGTCTAATGCATATTTTGTAACAATTAAGCAGTCTCCACTAACACATTATAAAGGTGGGTCAAAGTTTACATACCGTGTGTCTGTACTGCCGCCAGATGTCTGGACAAGCCTAAAAGCGAGTAAGAGAGGGACACAGAATAAACTTGAGGTGCACCGCCGCCTCAGTTTCCCATATAAGAAAGAAAATATTTTGGGGTGACCTCGAGCCACTGTTGCCATTTAGGTTTGATCAAATTATGTCCATACAAATGAGCAGATTTGATTTAGGTAAATAATGCGTTAAGCACAACCGACAACATCTGCGTGAAGCGAACAGCCTGGGAATAGCTACAGATGGCCGTGAAATCATAACCGCGTGACCCGAAAATCATGTTGTGAAATGACCCCCTAACCTACCCTCCTTACTGCACAATGGATTAGGAATTAGCTTACATCCTGATTACATGAATGAAACAGTGGCAAGACACGAATGTTATGAATGACTGAGGGAAATTACTGACTGGTCATTTTATTTGCTGAATTGTAGTAAGCATTTATAAGCAGACCAACTCCGTACCTGTCCTCATAAAAGGCAGCATCATCTAAACCTAGACTATCTAACAACCTCCAGCCTAGAACCAACACCAACAAAAGCAACAAACAAGACCTCTGATATCATGTCATGTCATGTCAGTAAACAGTAGTCAGGATTATTCCAAATCCTGACTGATAACCGTGCGCCTAGATGATATATGGTATGTAGTCACCAGGTGAGAATAAATGTTTATTGGAGCATGATGTTCCCTCATCGGTGAATGCGTCTATAGTGGAAAGACAGTCTTGTAAGAACAAAACCATCACAACATAAGGGTGGTGTTATCTTTTGCTGTTAATAATAGACACGCATTTACATCCTACTGCTGCCGATCATGGACATTACCCACGTTTGGGAGGAAAGCCATACGCGATGCGGTGGTGTAAGTGAATCTCAGCTAGTTCAAATGAAAGGATAGCTCAGAAGAAACAAAGATGAAAGGCACATGAACTCACACTGCCTGTATGGCCCCGCCGTTTACATCGGCGACAATTAATTTTCCTCAGGAGTTTCCTATTTGGGCAGCAATAATATTCGTGTCCAGGTGAATGACATATGTCACACAATAAATACGTGCAGCAGTAGGAACTGTGGGTCGTCCAAGCGCAGAAGTGGCAAGGCTGGGGACCCTATTTTAAATAGAGAGAAAGGCAAAAATAAATGGCGACAATGGACTGCACTACAACGCTCTCCAATGCAATGCGAAGTGCTGCAATGGAATATGGCTCGCTTACCTTAGTACAGAACCTTGCTATATGGCCATCGCGAAAGCAACTGTAGCAAGGGCCTCTGTGGAACTCCCTGTCGTGCCTTTTAAGTGATGGATCCATGTCGCAGGGGTCCAGCCTCCATTGTTTTGGATCTGAGGGCATATCCTTGCATCGCTCTTCGAAAAATTTCTTTGTATCATCAAGGTCGACCATCGAGGATGGATTTCGACAGCCTATAATTACATCTAGTCCCTCCACTTTGATAAAAGCATTTTCATCATCAGCCTCCCATCGGCTTTCACTTACGTTACATTTATTACTTTCGTTCACGACGCCATTCACTCTTTCTTCAGCTTGTTTTAGCACATGTTTTGGAGCAATGCCGCTGAAGGTAAGGTAGAGAGCATCCATCAGACACGACTGACTGTCTGAACCACCTTCGCTGCTATACTTTAGTTCGTCGCTATACATTGCCAACCCAAAGGCCACAACACTGTGAAGCACAATGCGAACTGAAATGACCCCATCAATGGCAGTGTATAAGTACCCCGACTCATTGCGACCTCACCTTCACATTCCCAAATGATCGCGAATACGGTCGATTTAAACAAACTGTCCGCATAGTTACACAATAATTACCCACTTCTTAAGCTCACTGGTAGAAAATAACGTTTCGTTTTTGTTATAAAGTGTCACCATAATGTAGTGTCTATTTTTGTTACCACCTTAGCATTTGTCACTTTGTGCAACGTATACGCATTTCTAAGGTGTGCATTACAAGAGTAGTCAAGCAAAGCCGGTGAATCCCTTGAAATTAAATAATGAAGCAATTTTAAAGCACTTAACTTGATCGTTTTTAATCTCAATATTACACATGCTTGTTTGAATGTACACTCTAGAGTGGGCCAATTCGGTGACAAAGGCGGTGTCATCAATTGGCCAGTAGGAAAAGGAGGAGCCGGGCTCTGCTTCTTCCCTATAGGTTTGCTTATGTAACCCCGCGTCTCTTCAATGCATGATGTTTTGCTCTATCCACGACACTCTCGATCCAAGGTTATGAAATCGAGGGTAGGGGTGTGGCGTTCCGCGCCTTCACTGGGAGACTACTAGCACGGCCTAAAGACTAGTGGCCCATGAAATAGCGGGAGTGCATCCCGCAGGCTGAAGTACCTGGGTGGTTAAAATAATTGAACGTTTAAAATTGATGTCAAATTCTTACTAAGTTTATCTCTTGTTTTTATGCTGTCCACGACGCTCGTCTTGGTCAGCCTCCTACGCCAGCCAATTGATCTTTGTGTATGCAGGAAGGTAGTTTTTCCCAACGTCACTGAGGCCTCTCAACGAATTCGCTGTAGCTGGAGTTTTGCTCTATCTATGAGCTGAATTTTGGGAATGGAATTGCAATAGCTTCATAGAACTCAAAGTCGGACAATGCTTGACAGCAAAGGCGTAGTTGAGGTGGTATCTTCTTATGTAATGTACACCAGGAGATGCTCGAGGCCCTACAATCCGTTGCATTTGCGTCAACAATATGGAGGCTGATGGAAAAGCTTCCCTTTCTCCAGAAAAAGAACGGAGTCCTCCCGTTATTTTTTAACAACTTAATCGCTCCGCATAATTAGGAATAACACTTTGTCCATGAGTGTTGGATACCTAATGGCATGGTTACCGTTTTCAATACGGAACTATTCACTTGATGGAGAAAATCAAAACCGTCGGCGTCATTTCAAACATTCACTTAATTTGTACATCCCCTATTTTGTCGAGGTTTATCAAAACTACTATTCGCTCTTCTTTTTCCAGGTAGCAGAACTTCTGACAAAGACGGTGTACAACCCGCCACTTAAAGTTGCATGGATTTAGCACATAAGTAGTATATTCTGCATGTGTGCGTTTGTTCTTTTGCACAGACCGCAAAAGGATTTCTAAGCGCTCATCACGTGGACGGCGTCACCGAGCCTAGAGCTGATAACTGGCAATACTTTTGTCCTAGTCGTAAAGTGGAACTTCTGGTCCACTTTCGCATAGCAGAGTGGAAAGTGTTTTGGAGACGAAATGAGAGGCGGAGTGTTACGACAAGTTTCAATCGTTGACTACGCGACGCATAGTGTCTGCGCCTCTAGGAGTGCAGAAACCTAGTTCAAACCTACATTGAAGGGACTTTTATGGGGACCGGATTGTTGTACACGTCCTCCCAATCCTAATTTGTTGTGGACAAGCACTGCCACCCAATTTAGACCCTTTGCACTGTTTTTCTCACCCAAGGCATCATAAGACGAATGGGTGTGTGCGTCAAGATGGAGCTCCATCGTGAGTGCATAGAGGGGCCGCTAGACTGTCCGCAGAAATAACATGAAGAGAACCAAAATACCAAAAGAAATTTCGAAACCACGAGAAATTAAGAGCCCACATAACTACCTTAATGCTAAGCGTGACCAGCCTTCCGTTCGCGCGTCAACCACCACACTGTAATCTTTGTTGCTAAAACCAACGGTAGTCACGAACGAGCAAGACACCCCGGCGTAAGCGTGGGAACACTATTCAAAGTGGCACCGCCCCTATTCCGTCCACCCTCCTTTTTTTGATACCGTCCAGCCCTTTACATGGGTACTAGTGATGGACCAGAAACGCACGGTGGTAGCTGTTATCCCGCGAAACCCACTTCCCCGCACACATTGCCAGCAGTAAATGACCCAACCGCAATACCACTTCAGTGCCTGACCGATCCACCGTGAAACACATAAGACTTTTCAACCAGATACAGCCCCGACAGAGCTGTCCCGAGCATACACGAAGCTGGCCATCGGAACCACGCGCCCCAAGGGGGTAGCCCGAGCCTGGAACCCAACCATTAGATTCAGAATTTTGTTCCTTTTAGCTAATTCCGTCCAAAGTCATCACTGATTAAGTAGTCCGACGTCCCCAGCGGCGAGTAAACCCAGCAGGAACCTAAGAAATATGCTTTTTGCGGAGGGCGCATTCAAAGCAGAAACAACGCGAAGACCGAAGACCCACTTACCTTGCTTCACCGTCACTCCAAGAGAGGCCGAGTAACACGAAGCAATTAACCGAGGCGAACAGCTCGCGAAGAGAATCGGCACCGGAAACCAGATAAATCTCTCTAATAGAGAGAACGAACTCAAGAATAGAAACTCTAGCCATCTATCCTAGAAACCAGTAGCCCTGGGCACATCTCCGCTGCCGACTACTGAGCCGATACCTACCTCCAGAGTAAGAAAAGTCATGCATAAGACCAACTCAGAACTCATACATCAAAGACGAGGCCGACACAAATGGTAGACACACTGTGCACACCGACTCACATAACTGGTACGAAGACGCTTCGTTCTCGTTTGCATAAAGTGAAAAATTACCGACAATATAATAACTTTAGCAGCATAAACCCGTGATCTTAAGGAAACAAAACCACAATAAAGAATATATTTCCACTCCAATTTTACGCAGTCTGTTTCCCGATATTGCGGAGATACGCCTCATGCTCCACGAAAACGTGCTTCTGGGTCGGGACCACAGACCACAGATCAGGCGTAAGGTATTCGTAGGTTTTCCTAATAGCAACATAGGTGGCCTTGGCTAAAGAAATGTTGAGGGAATTAGTAGAATTTGATCATACCGAAATTGCCAAGAGTTGCGGTTTGTCCACGAGCGCTGGTGTATACATCTTCAATACCCGCCATCGAAAGCAGTTTTTTGGGAACTGGTGCACTGACTATCCCAGTTCCTCTAGGTGCTGGGATCAGTCGCACCAAGACAGAACCACATTTGCCAGTCACCTTGCAAGGCACGGTGTGTGGCTTGCCGATCTTATTACCCCAATAACCCTTGCGAACTGGGATAATTGAAATCTTGGCTTGAAGAATGGCACCACGAATGGCCGTGGCTACCTCCTTAGCACACTTTACTCCAAGACCCACATGACCATTATAATCGCCCATGGCCACGATCGCCTTAAAGCGAGTGCGCTGACCCGCACAGGTCTGCTTCTGCACTGGCATGATCTTCAGAACCTCGTCTTTGAGCACACTTGAACCCAAAAGCGTGTCGACGATCTCAGCCTCCTTGATGGGGAGACTGTACATGTAGATCTCTTCCAAGGAGGTGATCTTTTTGTCTTTCACCAGGCGACCCAGAATGGTGACTGGCTTCCACTCTGAATCCTTGCCCAGTCGGCCACGACCTCCACGCCCTCGACGACCACCACGACCTCTACCTCTCCCACCAAAACCTCCTCTAAAACCGCCCCTTTGTCCAGCAGGGGGAGCACTCATATCAAATTAAATGGTAAAGGACTACAAAAGTCAGGTTATAATTAAAACAACACATACCCCACGCGTAGAGCCTATACAAGTGCCGCCTGAGCACACAATACTTATTCAAACAAAGCTAGGGTCACTAAAAATATCTTTTTTATTTTCCACCCTAATAATTTTCTGTTGTTTCTTAAAGCCGTACAAAAAAAGGTTTTTAAGTCCTTTAAACTTTAAGGCATATTTTATTCCTTTTAGAAAAGGGTAATTCTGTTTACGGGAAGTTTTCTACATTTTCCGATTGTAGCGTACTAAATAAATGTCACTTTTTTTTTGTGCCCTCTCGGCTAAAACTTATTAAAGTTTCTTAGTGACAGTAATATTCCAGTTTTCACTTCCACCGTGATTTATACCTTGCACAAACTTGAAATTTTCCAATACCACCTATTATTACCATTATTCTAAGGAGGAATACTAACGGGTATATTGCTAGGACTAACTCTTTTTATTTATTGGTAGATTGCTTTAGATATTGTCAATTCTCCTTGAATACCTTTATTAATTTTGACTCAATCAAAAAGGATATTTCAACCTTGTTATCCGCCACTCAAGGATCGACCAGAGTATTGTAGCGTAGAAATGCCAGCCTACCCAGCGAGGTACAAGAAGGCGAATTTAAAGTACAAAAGTGGCACCTCACCAATACCGAGGAATAAACCGCCATCGTATTGCAGTATTGCATATTCTTCAGTTATTTTGACGAATATTTACTCCCTCCCTAGCTTTTGAGTAATCACTAGCATCTTTGACAACAACAACAGCTACGAATTTATGCAAAAATTATTAAATGCTGTTTATCAACTGAAGCCTTAAGCTGCATACTAATGTTCCATCATTTCGTGAAGAGATTCGGTGACGGTTCAAAATGTGGGAGCGTTCCACGTCAATATTATTCGTTTGGATTTGAAGTTTTAGGCTAGCCTTCGAGTTTATGGTATCATAATCATGGCAGCTTATTTATTAGAAATGCACATATGAGCGCAACCTAAAATCTAATAGTCAGGAATTAGGATTCCACCATTTGGCGGTCCATATAGCGAGGGATGACTGTGCACATTCATTAAATGGAGCAATAACTATGCTGCGGAGTTAACCGCAGTAGTGGAGCAATCAAATGGAAAGAAACGGCGGTTAGATGGCACCGGGTTTGTCATACTTTTCGCATATTGCTCGGACTTTCAATGAAATGGAAGGGTTGATCTCAATCAATTGCTTCTACCTCTGACCTCTCTTTTCCAGTCAAATAAATCATCTGTTTTTACGAGGTGCTGTTCTGCCAGGATAATATCGCATTTGTCTACATTTGTGGCAACAATCGACCAGAAGAACATGTTTTGCGGGGGCCAGTATCTGCATGGGACACCAGGAACAGTGTCACCAATAAACGTCACTCCTGCGTGGTGAAGAGACATGGGGATCACTTTCGAGTATCCCGCACCAAATTTCACCTGAATTGTGTGGAGCTAGGTAGGAAGACTAGGTGAGTTAACTTTTTTGAGCTCCCTTTGCTTCCACACCAGAAACCTCACATTTAATTAGGAAAAGTAGTATTATCCAACCGTAACCATTAGTTTTGATTGCAGTCTGTCAATGTCAGCAGCTAGACAAATGTACCTTTAAAAGGATGATCTGTTTGGGTATGTCACGATTTGTTTCTCATTTCCTCCGCACCATTTCCTGCTTATGACCAACAATGTGGATAACACCTGCTGGAAGGGACAAGTTGGAAACAAACCAAAAAGGGCGAAATTAAAATTCCAAAAAGGTATTCGCTATATCATCAGGGTAGAATAGATTTGCGTGGGAAATTGCCCGATTGGGCAGAACCGATGCAATTGAACGTATCGATGATAGTGGGAATCGCTTGAGCCTATCCTACAGGGCCACCATCGAGAAGACTACCTTCAGGGCTCGATAACGTAAATTGTGCCATAGAAAAAATGCTTGCCTCCCCTTTCCTCACAAATTCTTCACCTCACAATCAGCTCATTAGGTCACCCTTGCTCAAGTATAAATGTTTATATCTTCGGTTTAGAAAGATTATCATCTTGGAATGCGTGAAATGTACACTTAATGGTGCATCTAACTGCATTCTCACAAGTCCCTAATGAATATTTGTTTAGACACTATTTGGCTTTTGACCCATTAATGTCACTGCTTGATCAACAACTACTTGTCTTCCCTTGGGTGATGACTGAATGGTGATTTCGCAGTTCCTGACGTGGATGCATTGTAATTTTATTAAGTGAAGTGGTCATCGTATTGTCACGTGCAGTCAAAGGCTATATGGCAAACTTGAAACAGAAGTAACAGGCACATGCTCCACACCTATATATGCACGCACACAGCAAATGCTAATGCTATTTGCAGTGAACTTCCATTCTAGTATCCTACTCGTGTTTCACCTCTCCATATGGATCAGGATGACAAGATTGCGGTAATTTTTTGCCATCAGTAATTTGACATTATTTTTGCTGACTAGAAGAAAGGTCGCAACAAGATCAAAATAGCCCCAATTGCTAACAGCAAGGCGAGATCTGTAGGCTCTTTGTTTTGTATGCTTTCATTCTCCTCCTCGGTGTCACAGACCACCTTTTCCAAACGTCGCTTTGGGCTCTTTAAGAAGGCCTATGAATTGAGCGACCTAACCCGCAGCCATGTCAAGATCCTCGTCATCACCGACAAGGGTTGTCTCTACGAGTATGCCAGTCCGTGTTTCGAATCCAAATTAAAAAGTGTAAAAAAGGTCGTTCCAATGATGACAAATGAGAGGATTTTGAAGGTAGGTCCTATTTTATCACCCAAGTGTTTTAATAAAATACTATTCATAGCTTTGATTAATTGTGATTTATCTTAGTAAAATTTATTTAACCGTCACTAAATGAGCCGCTTTTGATCTTTGAGTGGTTGATAAGTTTTTAGCCAAAGTTGAATCTTTGCTTATTTCAAGGAAAGTAGGGAAGAAAAATGCAATTTCTCTGCAAGGCATGGTATGGTTCTAAACAATATCACCTTGACTGGGTTAAATTAGAGTCACTCATTATTTACTCCTCCATTTAATGGGCTGCTTACTTTAACTGATGTTTCAAGAGCTAAAAAGGTGGAAAAGCTTTGGTTACATATTTCTTAAAGCCTGTAATGAAACGATTTGGGTGGATATAAGGCGAACGTCTTTTACCCTTCTCGCCTCCCCCTGTTCCTTCCTCCATCCCTCCCTCCCATACAAACGTGAGCTAGGCCACTTTTCATCCCCAATTTTCATGCATAATTTAAGACCTTTTTAAAGTTTGATATACCTGTATGACATTCCGCATGACTGAGGCTAATAAATTTTTCTCTCAGTGTTTTCGTCTCCCACTCGTCTCCCCTCCTTCTATCAGCGTCGAATCACTTGCACGCCTTCTGTTTTTGCAAGAAAAAAAAAACAATTTGACAAGATTGTCACGTGAAAGCTCTTAAATGTTGTTGGCGTCTGTAGCATAAAATTGGTGAATTCCCCATTACAAAGACGTAGGAGAAGAACCTTGAGAGGCCTTCATAATTGTTGGGGTGAGAGATAAAAGGGCTACTTTTCTGTGCCTTAGTCATGCATTAAGGCATCCATTCCGTGACTTTGAAATGAAGAATTTCATCTCCTCCTACTAAGCCTATCAGAAACGTCACTCAGTTAAATCAAAGTAACGATTGAGGTCTCTCACTTCCAGGTTATTAGCACCGAAACCTTACTGTAGTGGTGCGCCCCTTCTGTGAGTTGGAAACTGACAATTTTGTGAGTAAATTTTGAAAAAAAAAGGAACAAATTCCCTTAAAATCAATATTCTGCTCGAAATTTTCATTATTTTTGCGATTTTCTTAGGTCTCACAAACACTGAATGGCTCCGGCTTATAGGACCCTCCTGCACGTCTTCACGTCTCCGAACTGTTCAAGCATTAGAATCAACAGCAAATTCGTCTTTATAAATGAGTAACTAGGTGTTTATCCGGCTATTCCACTAAAACAGACGTAATAATTCAGAATCTAGGCGGTAGGCCAGCAGCTGTCTTTGATCTCACCCTCTTTTCTAGACGGTGTAAACCTTTGTAATGCATTTGGAGTTGCAGTTTCGAGTGCTTGAATGTATTCTTGGAGACTTACGTCACCACAGCCCTACATTCCACTTTACAACCTGCCGTTTTAGTGAAGCCCATACCAACAACACAAAATTTACCCGCTCCTTGACCCCACCAAAACTTCTCAGGTTTACGCAAATCTAAAGTTTTTTTTGGAATGTAAAAATTCCTGACATGTATTTAATTCTGCAGTAAGAAAAGCCTTACTTTACTAAAGGAAGAAAAAATGAGCTGCCTCATTTTTGCTATTGCGCAATAGTAACTTCGGGGAGAAGGACGTATCAATTCAACGTAGCAGTGGCTTTATATTTCTAGTAGCATACTTAAGAAGTGCGTTGCTTAGCAAAGCGTACTTTAGATGACTGGCAAGAATTTTCCATTTAATAAATATATCATTTAAGTTGAAAGAGTTGTCTACACTTCCTTCGTGTTTTTATTCCGTTGAAGCTTGGGGATCAATACTATTAGTCATTTTAAGTAAATTGCTACTTATTATCCAGCAAACCATCCAAATTATTATAGCTCTCTTCCAAATGAATCGCATATTATTTATAATCACCCTTTATTTTGACAGCGTATAGAGCAAACAAAGCACAAAGGGGAGTACAATGCGAAGAACACCGGTCTCTATCACAATAACCTAGGTGGTGACTCGGATACCTCCTCCGCTGAAGAATCAGCTGATTCTACTGAAGGCCACGTGAGTAGTATATTCAGCTCAATTTCCCTTTGGTCTTTAAGCCAAATTGGCAGGGGTACGAAGAAAAACAAATTTATCTTAAAAACCCAATGGAAGAGTCAACTAGGAGCATCGATTATAATTATTTTCTAAAATACTTTAAATGGTAGGTTTTGCACGAATCCACCCGTCTTTCCAAAGTGTCGCTTTTTGAGTTATTTTTTGTCACCTTTCCCACCTTCTATTTTCTTGCATTAGGCAAGAAAATCGGAGATTAAGAAGCACATCATCACAGCTCCGCTTACGCAAATTACATCATCTTTAGTAGCATCCCCTTCTGCGGTTCTCTCAATGTCACAAGTCACCTACCTAGAAAGTTCACTCCAAAGCACCATCGTGGATAAGATAATGCACTATTGACAGTGACTTATAAAAGTGAGCATAACAAAGGTCAAAGAAAATGGGTTGAAATTCTCTGTAATTTAATCATCACCTTCTTTATTTAGTGCCAAGACAAAGTGGTAAAAGGCAAATATGAGAGAGAAGATGAGTATTTGCTTTTTCTTAAGGAGAAGACGTCTTTCACCTTGTAATCACTAATGCTTAATCAGTTCTCCTTTTAAAGAACAATGAACATGGTATAGCAGCCTTGGGTACTGCAAGTGCGGCCACATCAACTATGCCTCCTAGCTTTGAGGTGAGGTGGTCACCTTCCTTATCTCGGTATCCGCATTATTTTGGTGGCAAATTGCAAGCCCTATCTTACCTTGCCTCTTAATGCGTGTATACTTACGCCCTTCTGTTTAGGAGGCCACTTTTCTGAATTACTGTCCAGGTAAAAACGCCTTTTCTATGGTTACCTCAACACATTAGATAATTCCCTGCCAATGTATCACAACTTTCCCACATAAAAGTTGACTTTTTTAATATAATTAATTATTTCTTCAAAATTTAGACAGTATCTATGGTAGAGGAACAAATTTCTTCAATCCTTCCAGGGTCGTATCCGATCTCCCCCCGCCGCAATCCCCAAAGGTAGAGTCTTCAACTAGTTATCAACCTAGTTATTTAACTGTGCCATTGTTAGGACGGGAAGGAGGGAGGCTTTCTCATCAACTCACTGTAATTGAGTCCAATCAAAATGACAATGCATTTCGAGTCTTTGTTTACTGTGATCGGACAACAATGTGAGATGAATGTAGGGAGGTTAATGAGGCCTTACCCTCCAGTCTTTTTGTATGCCATGGAAAGAAAAAAAGAGTAAATGAAGGAATGAAGGAATTTATCATTTCTTGTAGCGATTTGGTACTGTAGGAGTTATGGAAAACGGGTTTTTTTGAATAGAGGTGGTCGGCTTTAAATTCGCATGAAATTAAGTCTCTCAGAGTGGCTAAGTTTTAACACCTCACAAAGTCTATCTACATTTAAAAAAGAGTCAATTTAAAAGGGTCATGGTCCTCACACCTATTCTGAAGTACGATGGGTCTAATGAAGCAACAAAAAATATTTCCAAATCCTGTGTAAAGCCCACAAACTTCGTTATTGAGAGGTCAGAGGTCAGAACCCTTATACTCAAAATTGTCAGGATTTTCCCATTTTTACCGTGCACGGTAGTCCCTTTGCAAGAAGTGACTTGATTGTGGACTGTGATCTCGTTCCCCAATGCTTCAAGGTTGGTTAGCTGACAAAAAACCACAACTTTTCTTCCCCTTGCAGAATGATCTCTACAACTCTCAGGTTTGTTTCGAATTGGTTTAAAATGTGACCTTACAATCTTTTCACACTTTCATTTAGAATATTTCACAGGGTTCAACTCACGCCATGACGAGCGCTTTACCGTCAGAGGCAAATCTGACAGGGCTGGATAATTTGCCCTAAAAAATACCCACAGTGCTCCACTCTTTAATCCACTTCAGTAATACAGCAAATGCTAGATTCTGATGATAATGCGTGGCCGGTTTAAACTTCCTAACAGTATTTGCCACCGCGATAGCAATGAGAGGTCGACCGTGGTAAGGTCATTAAACCATTCTCGGTGATGGTGGATATGCCTGACAGGTGACACTAAGGCACTTTCATTTCTGGCTAAAATTAATGTTACCATGGCCGTCACCGATTGCTGAGGTGCCAGAGATGTCAACATGTGAGTGCCCAAAAAACTTGCATCAGAAAAAAAAATCATGATTAATTACCCCTTAAAGAGGAATCAGAAGCGCCGTAGGCATCTAGAAATGTGAAGATATCGAAACTTTTGGCTAACTTGTGAATTAGGTAATTGGTAGGTGGAGAGATTACTCCAGTTGGAAGGTTAACCATATACTACTTAATTACAGGTGATAGGTTCGACAGAGGCAGAAGATCAAACAATTAATCAACCCCGCAGTTCACTGCACATACCTCTTCCCTTCAAAAAAAGAGGTAGGTTATTTTTGCGAATTTCGGAGAGTACAGGAATGCGCTGTAGTCGATGGCATTCATTTCTGTGAAGCCAATTGAGTAGAGTGGGGCGGTAAGTAACTCTCCCATCGAGTAGCCTAGAATTCGGTTCTAGACACGGAAAATTATTTAGGAGATTGATTAATTTAGAGTTATGTCAGGTATGCAAAAAAGGCATCAAATTTCCTACTCGGTCATAAACCAAATAGAAAAGTGCCGTGCAGTTTTAACCTGAATTCCCATTCACCTAAATGAGAGAGGCTGCATCACTTGGTTAACCTGAACTTTCAAAATTCACAGTAGGAAGGTCCAAAGGCTAGTTGGTTAAGTTATTACTTAAAAGTAATATTTAAAACCACTTCTCTTACTGTTTTGTTCCTAACTTATAGTTGTATTTCAGCCTTCCTTTGCGTATGGTGAGGTGGCATGCAGTACTACGAGTGGAATCATCGTGAGTAGTACAAGATTTGTGGTCAAACATAATACGATATTGAAAACGAATGCTTGAACATAGAAATTCCAGCGGATAAACTGCTATGGTGATATCAAACTCCCTAAAAATATGCTTTTATTGCCTCTAATTTGCATCATGGAGAATAAGCAGAATAAGCAATTCTGTCGCTGTTAATAAGACCTCCCAAGGCAACACGACGGTAGAGCTCTCCATCTTTGACCCAGAAAAATTTGTAATTTTAGCAATTGGGAGAGAATTCCGCAGCGACTGTACACCAGGGTTTGTTTATTTAAATTATCTTTGCTTTCACTAACGAACGTAATCGACAATATCACTGTTTTCATTGCAGAACTAGCAAGTGAACATACGGAAGTAATCCTATCAAATGTGATAGAAAAATCTCACTACCACTGTTTAATGACAACAATATTACATCTGTATAAACGGAAAAATCATTTGTTTTGCGTTTTCTGGTATGGAAATTGGGGTTTTGGCACCACGTCAGTCAGGACGTTAAAAAAAGGAGCTGAGGGACTTAAGCTTCTATTCTGCCCCGAAAAATAAGTAGCTGCCTGCAGGTTGTAGGCACGATCTGATGATCATGCACTAAGGGGGAAGCGCAAGCCGAAGTCCGAAGCCCTTTCATGTATAGGTGTGCATTGTAAATTATTGTGTTACAAAAGCTGCTCAAATTTGCGTAGATGTAGTCAACATTAGAGTGTAACATTTTCTATGTTTCAGTGATTTTATTTGTAGAAAGGAAATACTTGACGATGACTGTAATTTTACGCTAGTCTAAAATCGAATAAGCCAAACGGTTGTTAAAAATAGGCAAGTTCTTTGTTTTCGTCCTTTTTTTCCACGAGTGAATTAAATGGAGTTGTTTATATGTGATAATGTCGATCATGTTGGTTCTCAATTTGTTATAGCGCGCCGTTTCTTACTTGTGTGATTGGTTACTACGATGAAGAACTACAGCTGTAATCCAACCAATGGGCTGGCGATTTTTGGTCATGCGTTTTCCCGTAAACAGCACATCTCACCTTTTCGTGACGTCGTGTCGTTGTGCGTTGTTATGCTCTAATAAGAGATAAAACGTACGGCTATTTCATAATCAATCAGTTCTGGAATCATTCCTGATGGTTATTGACACCTCAAATAGTAAAGCCGTATCGGAAACGGCCAGGTCACCCAGAGCCGCAAAAGTGGACGAATCAAAGGATCTTGAATCTCCGAGCAGCACTTCATCCTCGACACAACAAACAACTGGAGGTCCTCAAAAGGTCGGTACCTACATAATCGAGAGGACTATTGGGAAAGGCAACTTTTCGTTTGTTAAGCTTGCTCGTCATACAGTAACCAATGTCAAGGTACCTAATTTTTGTTTCTTGTTTACATTCTTTGTTACAACAAGGTTGCCATAAAGATTATTGACAAAACTAAATTAAATGAGGAGAATTTGAAAAAGGCTCAACGCGAAGCGGATATACTCAAAACCCTTCACCACCCAAATATTATCAAATTGTACCAAGTTATGGAATCGGAGAAACTTTTGTGTATAGTCACTGAATACCTCCCTAATGGTGAACTTTATGGTAAGTGGTATACATTCTGCATTGCTCATCCCCAAACTAAATCAGAAGTCATGCTGTCTTTTCTGATAGATGCAATACCATTACACCTTGGACTGTTCAACTTAGCGTCCTTTGTACCATCTACTTCTCCCTTATTTGCTTCTTTGCCTTTGTGACTATTCCTTACTTTTTGTCCGACTCCATACTTTATATTGATACATTTCGATTCGCTTTTAGACCAACTAGGTGCTTTTTCATGTACAAGTTTCTCTGCATTGCCCTACGGCATGCAATTAAGGTTATGCCCGTGTTTAATGAAATTCCAAAGATGTTGTTAATTTTAAATCGCATTTTTATGTCGTGAACATGCAAACATTTTCCAATTCACACACCGTGTACTAGTCAAAAGTTCTATGACGCCTAGTGCCCCGGAAAACACCTTTGGTGTCCATGTTATTCATCTGTCAAAGATTCACCTCAACTCACTTTTGAGAGGCAAAAGTTAAGATTTAACGGACAGGAATTTGCTTTCATGCCCATCCGTGATACAAATTGCAGATCGAAATCTCTGCTGTTTTGCACTTTCAATTCCTTGCTCCGAGATCCATCCCGCTAGTCCCTTTAACAGTCAATTCCCTATTTCATGCTTCTCATTCGTAACGCAAACATTTTCCTTCTTTCTTTTTATATTTTTGCCTAACTAAGGTGTTAGTGTCAGATTACTTTTGCACGCAGCATAATGTTCCTTTATAAGACTTGAGACTGGCCTTTCCAAGCATATTCCAGGGATACAGTCTGCCCGAGTGTGCTATCATCACTATCTCGGACTCTCAGTGCCTTTTCCACCTCCCTCTCAAGTAACAAAGTAGATGGACTTTGTCTCGCCATGCTTACGCCCTCTGCATTGCTCGGTGCGCATGCACCCGTTCTTACTTAACTGCATCTGGGTAAAACAAGCTCAAAAGTCGAGTTTTCCCTACCCTCTTCATATGTAGTTGGAGCTCTATTTTTTGTGAATCGATGAATTTCTACCTATCAACTCGAAATGATGGTGTTACATGATGATCGGAATCAAAATAATGAGTATTGTTTGTCTATGTGTGCGCGCTTTTTGGACACGTGTTTGAATCATTTACTAGCTTGATAGAAAGTTTTGCATTGTGCGTCGATTGATGTAGTGTTTACAGTCGTCAATTAGCTGCCTAGCCACTTTTCGCTCTACCTGTCTCTCTTGGGTAGTGTAATTCAATTAGCCTACCCTAAGGTCAAGTCGTGACCGTGAATTCTAGCCGAAGCTTTTTGAATAGTCCTGCATCCGTGCGTGCGTAAGGGCTTGCGGGCTAACTAGCACTCCTATTCCTATGTGCCTACTTGTCTCTGACGTCACTCCTAGGCAGTACGAAGTATCCCACTGGGTGTTAATTCCTACCAAGGAGCAAGGAATTCTCTTTCCTACCGAATTCCCTTTTAGTCCATCATTTGTCCTCCTGCTAGCCCTGCAAATCTTCCCACTGGTGTTTTAAGGTCTGGTGGGTTGGATTTGTGGTCTTGTGTGACCCCCATGGCGGATGTGTAAATAAAAGCGTTATTCTTCGATTGGTTTTAGAGTACATAGCAAAGAATGGTTACTTGAATGAGCAGGTGGCACGACACAAATTCATGGAGATCCTCTCGGCGGTGGAGCATTGCCACCTCAACAGTGTCGTCCACAGGGACTTGAAGGCAGAAAACATGCTCTTGGATCAGCACATGTCCATTAAATTGGCTGGTACGTGGGGGTGATGTTATTGTTTTTTCGTCACGAACTGGTGATAATTACTAGCGTCCCACCACAGCAGTTAACTCGACCTCTTCCTCTCGACCTTCTCTCCTTTTTCCACTCCTCCATTGCTGTCTTGGCACCTATGTTGGTCACTGGGGCGTTTGTTTACGCGTCGCCTTCCAACTGACGACATTCCTACCTCCACTGGTCCTCCACCCGTTCCCCCGTGGCGCTGTTTTTGGACAATGTGTTTTACCGTTATATTGCTGTTTGCGCATGACGATCGCAGGGAGGCGGGATTTATGCGTTTGTCTGCTTTCCTTTGATGATTTCGGCACAGTGAAGTCCCGCAAATAAATGTTTAGGCACTGATTTTCACTTTTACAAGTTTGTCTATTCAAATGAAAATGGTTGAACTGTAGGGCTGCCTGAATTAGCCGTAGACTGAGCTCGTTTTAGTGCTCCATTCAAGCCAACAGAGCCATTAACTCCCATTAATTATATTTTTTACCCCATTTTGGACCTTTTTAGGCAGAGAAGGCATATCTAAGTAAAGAAGGGGCTTTATTGTTTGCTGCGTAATTCTGTAACCAGGATCGTCATTTGTTCTGTCCTAGCGTCATGCAAGAAGTGAGAATATTTCCTCTTATCTAAACTAAAGGCGGTTTAATTATAGAGCGGGTTCCTCCCTTTCTGCTGTCGTCATCATTCTCAAATATGCTTCAATAATAGTGCATGTTGTGCGTCAAAGATTAGTGATGTCACATACGAATCAGTTTGGAACTATGACGTAAATTCTCCTGTCATCTTTTGGCTAATCGCTTCTTCACAAAGTACGCAAAAAATTGACTGACTAACAAGTCATTGTTTCGTACGTCACCGATTTAAACAATTGCATATTTGAAGAGGTCAAATCTATGTTGTAGATTTGTTCTTGGCTAATCCTTCCTTCTCATAGTATCTATAATACATCAAAGAGTTAGCAATTTGCATCACAGTTGCCAATGATCTCACAGATAGTCTGCATGCCTCCTAAAGGACTGTGATAAACTTCGTCCCTTTCACAGACTTCGGATTCGGGACCTTCCAGCCCAGTGGACCCGATCTTCTGCTGACTACGTGGTGTGGCAGTCCCCCCTACGCCGCACCGGAGATCTTCAAGGGTGAGCCCTATCTTGGTGTATCGGCAGATATTTGGGTAAGTCTCCTCGTCCTCCTCGCGTTTTTGCGTGATGCTGAAGGAATCTCAATGTTGGCTTGATATTTTATAAAAATAGCTGTGAAGAGCTTAAAGCACTCTATTCGTTGAAATAACCATCATTGCAATCTACGATCTCTGGCCAACGAGACCCAAGTCTGCAGCGAACTTTAACTTTACAGGGCGTTTTACTCCTGAATAGTAGGAAAGTACCCAGCCCTAGTCGCCCGTTCTCTTACTTCAATTGTGTTTATCGCTTGGGTGGTGTCTGTTCCACTTTGCACGTGGCCGTATCATCACCGGTTGTTGATGTTATGAAACGTTATCGGTCACCACTTAGGGAAGTGTTGTGAGGAGAATAGGGGAGAGGATGAGGTTGATGATGGAAACGGACATGTATATGAGTGTAAACACGAGTATACCGTAGCATTTTTCCACTTTTTTTCCTTTCATTCCCCCTGTCCCTTCTACCGTAGAGAGCAAGCCTTCCCATGAGTCACATAGGTTTTGTATTGTGGTAAGTGGTATGCGGTAGGTGTTGCGTTGTCTCTACGGTTCAGGAAGAGGTTGTTCCTTCCATTAGTTGAATCACTGGTCCGATCTTATTTTTCTCATGGTGCAAGCTTTTGATTTCCCACCTTCTGGTTTGCATGAAGGGTTAAGTCGAGTCAAGCATGCACTTCGTGACACCCACAAGGGAAGCGTAGTTTCTAGGACGGAAGAGATGCGTGCCTCATAGTGTGCACTGAGGTTGATGGTGGTGTAGTTGATTGGCATGTTGGTTTGTTTGTTGGCCGAGTGGTCAGGAATTTGTGGTTGGCTGGGTGGCAGCTGCTGGTGTTTTTAATTGGGCTAACTTTGGAATACAAAGGTGGGGTAGGATTGGGAGTCAGTATGTGGAAGACTGGTTGGCTTTCGTGACTTTCCTTTTCAATTTGGTGCAGGTATAAACCAGTTGTTTAGTCATCACTCGGGCTAATTGGAGGTTGGTGGGTCAATTCCAGATGATTTTATCATGTCGACAGTGACGCGTATTTTGTGGTTATGCATGAGGTATAGCGTCTTCCTTCCTCCCTTAACTTGGGTGTATTCTCCTGACCTGTAGTGATCCATTACCAGAATCGGGTTACTCACTGAAAGCTTTGGACTTCGGGGAGTGCGTTCTACTGCCTTTACTGCTTATCGCGACCGCCCTAACTACTGTGCAGAAAATTGGATGAAATTTAGCTTCTCGTATTGTGCAGATGTACCGACGCATATTTGGCCCACTCACTCATGCCGATAGCCGAAGACAGTTTTTTGGTCATTTATTGTGTGTAGTCATCGGCTAAAATGGAAAGGAGTGGAGGTTCTGCTAAATTTGCAAAGAGGGGCTGCTAAAGTACGCCTTCGATTAACAGCTCCCCTGTGGCACTTTTGATGGGATTGCGTACCTGCGCGTGTTTATGTAGTTTATTCAAGCTGATGCTGATCCATTATGCGGCATTGCTATCAATATCTCAACTTTGCCTGTTTTTTTTCACTCAAAGAAAGTTTGGGCTAAAATTAGTGACTTACTGAACTGGGATGTCAGTTTTAATAGTGCCTCATACTGATTCTCTTTGAATTAGCTCCAACTATTATTTATGGTCCCACCTGTAGTTGTTACATAGATTTTACTTGAAATAAAGCTAATGTCTCAACTCTAAACCTAGAGCTAGGCTCTTAAAGAAAATTAATCTTACGTTACTGTGTGTGTTCAAATATCCATCTGCGTTTTTGGCTCAAAATGAAGTAGGGTAATTCAAGTTAATTGTGAGGAATGACGTCAGATTTGCGATAAGTGGCTCTATTAAACGGATGACTGTATTTATCCGAACATTTCCTGCAAAGAAAGCGGTTTCTACCTACCAAAACTACATCTTTGGAATCCTTTTTGGAACTGGTGATTCCATTGACTTGTGAATGATCAATTACATGATTGAGCTTATGGACTAATTAATTTGCTTTTCTTTGCTAACCTCTAGAGCCTCGGTGTGATCCTTTACGTCCTTGTCTGCGGTGTGTTGCCCTTTAATGCTCAAGAGGTCTCGTGCCTCCGACGCCAAGTCCTTGAGGAACCCGTCAGGGTACCCTACTGGCTTTCGATGTGTAAGTTTTCCTTGTCTTTTTGGCCGTCCTCAAACTCTGCTCAATTGGGTTTCTTCGCTTTCATGACTGAAACGACCTAGGAGGTCATTTAGTTTTCTAATTTATATTCCTGTCGGTTTTTGAACTATTTCGTGGGCTATTTGTATTAGTTATGAAGTTTGTAGGGTACATGCGGTCGCCAAATCGTTACCGTTGCCTCAACAACTATTCTAAATAAAGGATTTGTTTGTGGTTTTGGAGATCCGTAAAAGGGACTTTGTATTGTAAAATACGAATGCATTCTTTCTCACTTTCTCCAGCAGCTTTTCCAACTCAGAAATAAAGTAATTGTTATCACATTTTCAAAAGTGAACCTTTAACTCTTTTAAAATACACCTCGTTTTGTAACGACGCGTATCGTAATCACTTGCCCTCCTGACTAATCGGCAGCGCAAAATAATTTCCACAGGAGCGCCATCTTCGTAGTTCGAATTCACCTCCCCTAATTGAGTTAATAATGCGGCCTTTTGGAATAGGGATTCTCTCTTTTGCTATTGGCTTAACGTTTCACTGATGTCTCCACTAAAAAGGAAAAATCCTTCTTGTCGCACTTAGACAGTGAAACCACCATATTTTGGTTAAAGCCACGAAACTGACCCGCAACAAAAAGTATCTTGGCATTCCTTGTCCTTTTAAATATAACGGAGTTAGATTTTCTTAACTTACTTTTTTGCTTCAAATAATTGAGCAATTTTGTAAAATCTAGCTTTTAGGCGCTAGCTCTCCTCTCTTTACTGATAACTGACTTGTCTTCGGCTTTGACGTCATTGACCCTGACTACCTCCTCGAGAGTAGGGAAGCCAGTCAGCAAAACTTCGTCAACACCTTTTATATACCTGGTAATGTTGAGGAACCGTGATTGACGTCTTCTATCTAGTACGCTCATGTTTATCCCCTTCTATGCACTCACAAGCCGTGGTATACTGCTTAAAACCCACTTTAGCGTTGAATACACACGGTGGGAGCTAGTGACACTTGTAATCGCACACATCCGCACACCCGTAAAATCATCTTGGCTCATGTGTCCACTCATATTTGCATACGATTGTGCAAGCGCCTTGCTCTCCAGTGTGCGTCATTTTGGCTAATCTACTCTCCATCCAACTCTCCCTGCATTCCTACCTCTACTGCTTGCTGACGTCGCCTCTAGCAGTAGCATCGATGATTGAGTGCCGTTGTAACGCCTTCGTCAGCCATAAAGACATTACTGCGATAAGTGTATAAATGGATAAAGTGGCCGAGGGACTATTTTCTTAGGTGTAAAGGCCTGTATGGTTTAATATATAATAAAACTGGAACTGGTCAACATTATTATTAGAAAACAAAGAAAGAAAGACTCCATAATGACTGTTCGCTTATAAGACAGTCAGATCGACTGGACTTAGCCTAGATCTTGTCGTACTGATTTACTGAATCGCCAACATTCTTCATTTACTTTTTATCGTATAAATTCGATTCAAAGCAAAAGTGATAATTTTATTAATTCCCTTGCCAATTTATTCGACATTTGATTGCTCTCATGTCTGTTTGTGCGTGCCCGTTGACATCAGTGTACTCTCCACTAATCGTGGTACCAAGTCGATGACGCTCAACGTTGTCACATAAACACTTGCCAACTCATAAGCATGTACCGCAGTTGTGGAAACCAGCCGATTCCTGACAAGTAGCTCGTTTAATTGTCAGTTCTGCGTCATCATTTTCGGAAGAAGTGGAGAGTTTTGGAAGCCACGAGTTCGTACCCGCATGACAGGTTCTCTGTGTGTTTACCGAATTAGATAAATACGGGCTGCCTCTCGTGACTGTTATGGTTGGACCCATATTTGTCCCTCCAAAAGTTCATGCTAATAGCTTTAACCACACACGCCTATTCCCGTCTGTTTGCTTTTTCCCTAGCTTGTGAAGACTTGTTGAAACGGATGCTAGCCAAATCGCCGAGCAAGCGGCCTTCCATAGCCGAGATTTACAACTCCAAGTGGCTCTCAGAAATCATTGACCCTGGCTTGGTGCCCTTCCCCCTCGCTCTAGATGAGCCCGATTCGGCGGCGGGTCGTGAGCACCTCTCCGCCTCACTGGGCTCGACCTCCGCTTTCACCGCCACCGCCGCCTCCTACCTGTCCGATCGGTTGCGCTCCTCTTTTGTCTCGCCCCCATCTCCCACACTGGCAGCGGAGATGAAGGTACACGTCATGCCGAGTTGACTCCCTTTTTATTCTAACTTAATTTCCGCTCCCTGATTTTGTGTACGGATGTATGCGTATTTTCGCTAGCGCCTAACATCATCTTTCGCGTTTGGCATGATTTAGAGGCGATTCCTGTGCGTTAACCGTAGTGGTTTTTTGCACACTAGAGCCATCCTTTATCCATCCCCTGATTGGTTGAAGGCAGTGGACTGGATGACGTCATACGAGCTCAGGGCATATGATGATGAGGTCACAATGCTTTGCTTGTGTATATGCGTGCGTAGGTGTGTGCGTACGTGTCCACCTTAGACTTGGCAAACGCGCTTTCCTCTGGTCAGTTGATTGGTTAACGTATGGGAACCATTCGTGTTTGTCGTGATTTCTCTCGCTCTTGCCATCTTCCCTCCACGATCGATTATAACGAAGTGCGGGGGACAGGGGAAGAACAAGGAGCGCCACCTGAATCGGACCGTTTTTCATCCTCTTCATACATTACACTCTTAAAGGTTTAGCTCAAACTATTTTGTCTGGATGTTTGTTCCCCAGCATTTCCCACCATTAATTTAGTCGAGTTTCGGCTTTTGACAGCTTTCAGATGCACATGATATCATCCTAAGCATCAACCAACGGAGGATCTGTACTTTCTATTTCTTTTTGAAAGGTTTCACGCACTTAAGAACAATTTCCCTTTTTAAAGCAGTGAAACTTTTGCGCCTTAAAAGGCTGCATTTAGGTGTCCACACTCACCTTTTAAAGAGGAGGCATGGAAATATGCCATGATCTAATCTTTCATCGTGACTCTCTCTTCTGGCTCTGCGAGGTCATTTCCTTATGCTCTCAATTTTCCTGGGTTTACTGGCCCTTAGCGGCAAACTGAAGGCACAGTCTAGAATTACTTTTATTTGCTAATTGTACGAAATTCTTCTAATCAGAATTTAACTTAGATGCGGACCAAATACTTATCTAAAATTCAAAGTTTTTTCGTCCATCTCCTGTGCTCATTTCATTTGTTTTTTCAAAAGCATCGCAACTGTCGATGATATTGGTACTACTTCCAAAAGAAGCACTCATGAACGCGCTCGTTCAGGTGGTTCCTTCAGTTAGGGGGATTCTGAAGGCGGGGGGAGGCGGTGAGAAAGGCAGAGGAAAGTAGGGAAGGAGGCGGAAATGCGCATTTACACTGACATCATGTCAGCGTGTGTTAGTGGCAGTGGCAGTCCGATCCCGAATGACGACAGGGAGCACTGACACCACCACAGGCATTACTTACCAGCGTTGCTGTGCCTACGTCAACCAACGCGTAGCTGCGTGCGTGCGTGTGATTTTTCTGTTCGTCCTCCTCTCGCACACCGCTGCCTGTCCCACAGTCGTCAGCCCACGCTCTGATTTTGCTTTCCTACCAGCCACGCTTCGATGTGGCCGCCTCCATTGGTCGGATCGAATCCCCTCTCACCCACTTTCCCTGTCGTAGGCAAATTTGTCAGCTAATCCGTTTCCGCTGTGGTTGTTAATCATGTTGCTGATTCCTTATCATCAATAAATAGAAGTTTGTCGGAATGCCTTGATCTTGGCTCTCAGCCTTCGTTTTCAGCCAATTTTTCTCATTATTGGCAGATCTATGATTAATTATTCCTTGAAACCTTGAAATGTGGTAAAAAAGATAGTCACTCGAGGGCAGAAGGGATTATGAATGCTTCTGATCCATGAGAAAGAATGATTTAAGTTACCTAAAAGGTGAATAAGTATAACGATTGTTTTCAAGTTGATTTTTATCAAAACGTCACCAAAACTCTTTGCCTTCTAAAGAAATTGGGAAGCCATTTTTTACCGTTAAGTTGCATGTTTGAATACAGCGGTCTCTATTAGCCGGGTCGACCGTCACACTCCCATGATTGCAAGCAATTGCATCAGTATGGAGGCACATTTACGTGCTTCTAGTTTCAATATTGATGATATCAATGGTTTGTTACATTCTGTAGACTGAAAAAGGGATTGACGAAAGCCATTGGTCTCCTTATTTACTTTTTGCCTCAAAATTTTTGGTGGATATCATAATGTAGCCTCAGATTAGCAGTTTGGACAGTTTGTTCGAAATCTAAGGAGGTCTGACAAGTATCCTGTGTTCCTGTGAAGCTAAGTTTGCCCCACTTCTCTATTCCCTGACATTGAAGGTATTTCTCTTCTTTACCGGCAAACATGCAATCTAGACGGAACTTGACTTAAATTTGTCTGTCACCATTGATCGGGTCGAACTTCACGCTTTCTTGATGTTTGGTAAATTTTTACACTTTTTTTACGTTTTAACAACGAAACGTAATCGCATTATCTATGGAAATGTTTGCTGTGATCAAAATTGTCAGGAGAAACACGCAGCAGATGTGGCAACAATTTGGACGAAGCAGTGCCGGAGGGATGATCATTAGACGTTGACATTTCCATGTTGACTTTATTTTTAATCGCAAAGTCTAATCAAATGTCTTTCCATCATTTGAATTCTATATCTATGCAAGTCCCACCGCACTCATAGGCCAAACCTCCTGCCTAGATGTTGACGATCTTCCTTTTTTCCTTTCTCTTAGGTGGACGTGTATCTTTACCTGGTAAAAGCCATCACTACACTTACCCTTACTGTCAGTTTCCACGTTAGGGGCATGCAACCCATTTTAATTGTAACTAACCCTGGTACCGGTGATTCTATTGACAATGCTTTCCTCCTGATTTGGGTGACTGGGTAGAATAGGTAATACCTGTCTTCTGTCCGCATCAAATGCATCGGACTTCTCTACATTGAAGATGTCGTATATATCACCTATCCAATCACCCGCCCAGTAAGTATTCCTTGTGGGAATTCAACCTCTCTCTATTGCGTACCGCAACCATCTGATTTCGTCCCTACCTTACTTGTCTATTGTTTTTTACAATGGGGAATTTCAGGGCACATGAAATGATCTCCAAACTGTATTCTGGAATTTTTAATTTGGACAACACCTCCATGTAGCCTGAGGCATCCTCCCGCTGCATTTATCAGACATGCGAGTCTAGGTGGCTCTATTATAAGCGGACGAATGGTGTGAAAGTCCGACAACTTAGGAGAGTTGGGCAAGCCCACTGTGGTAACCGAGTCGTAGTAAATTGTACGATCAAAATAGTTATTATACGGTACTTCTTTTCGCTGCGTGTATCCACCTTTATCATCAGTTTGCTCGTACTTTGTTTTCGCCTCGGCAACTTTAAGAGAATAAAAGTTGAGGTCGTCTTTTCGTGCTTAATCTCTAGGGTACAATATTATGAGTTGGTCAAATATGAATACATTCAGTAGATTTTACTGCACTACACAAAATCGGGGTTATAGGTGTGCATTATGGTTATAGCCGTACTTTTGTTTACAAAGCACTTGTAGTCCTGCATCTATTTGTTAAACACAAAAGATCTTATTACTGTTATTACTATGGCTACTTGTCAGAATTGGGGTTACGTGTACGAGCGTGTGGATGACGTGGTTGAGGCGCCATTATGGAGTTTTTGGGTGTGTGTGTGTGTGTGTGTATGTGTATGTGCGCCCCCTGTGACGTCGCAGGTGTGTATCCATTACCTTGACGATTGTTCTCTCCATAGATTAATTGTCAACTTCTCTCATCATTTACTTCAATCCTTCTCCTTGCCAAACTGCTGGTCTAATTCGTTCTTGTGTTGATTGTGATGTTGGATGGGCTCTGCATGCTATTACTTGACTAAGATGTTTGAGTTATTGCAACAAGAATGCAACTACAGTCTCATGGTACAAATAGCACATAAAATCATTGTGTAATTGACTAGCTCTGTAGGCCTTCTTTTCCACAAAATATTTAATGTGTTAAGTGCTTCATCAAAATTGTTTTAAAAAAATCCTGATTGAGTCATTTGTTTCGTCTGTTCATTTGACGGCGGAAGTCCACAAATGGGTTACATTTCCTTGTCGTCAACTTCTGAGTTGAGCTTGCCCTGGCTTTGAATTTCTTTACGGAAAGGTCATTGCCAAAATCCAAGCGTTCTCTCCTCATCCAAAGTACCAGCATCATGTCACCTTATTGTCGGTTTATTTTTTTTTCGGACAACATGTGGAGCATGTAAAATCATTATGTAGTAGAATTTTCGCATACTATTTTGTCCGGTGGAGGCGTTGGAACATTTCCTTTTCTTTTCTGCCTTCTTCATTCATGTTCCAATGTTTTTGCTCCTGAGCGCGGCTCGCTCGGCTCTTTTTCTGCTTCGCCGAAATCGCTCGTCTGACAAATGGGCCACAGTGATCAGTCCTGTTTGGTTAGATTTTCACAACTTACGCATTTGTGGGTGTGCGTGTGTGTGAATGATACGACACTACGCCCATTTCTCTTTCTCTCGCTCTCTTGACGTCATTCGCCGTCATCCACTTTCGTGCTTGCGTGTATTCTTTATCATTTTTTCGATTGCAGAGCAGCGTTTTTGGTGCTCTTCGTTAAATCCCTCCACTCCGTTTCCATTTCTAAAACATTGCTTTGGATCCACTCCTGCGCATTTCGTGAGCACGATCCTGTATGCCAGCATGATGAGGCCCCCTAGTCTTGCACATTGAAACATCTAATGTGTGCCTTATGCGTCTACTATCCAGCTGACCACATCCATGGGAATATTTGATGACAAAGATATTCGTGATGTAAAGGTAGAGAAAGACGGTAGATTCCAACGGCTGAATTATTTCTGATGAGTTTAGCAGTGACTGTACTAAGAGGTAGCGAAATGAGCTCATGAATTTCCTTATAGTTATAATTGAATGACTTTAGAAAACCTCGTAAAGTATCTTATTTAGTGTATCAATCGGTACACCTGAGATTCCTGCTGCTAAATCGAACTTTACAGGTCGTTTTGCTCTCAAATACCGAGGCTGTATCCAGCCCTAACCGCCTGCTTTTCTATTCCACCAATGTTCACCAGTTGCGTGCCGTCTATTCCACTTCACACGTGGTCATGTAATTGTCTAATGTTGTTATTATAACAGTGGTGACCACCACGCAGAGAAATGCCATGAGGGGAATGGGGAGGAGGGAGTGTGGTAGCATTATTCTATTTTAGTCCCTCCTTCTCTCCCTCTCTTCCCTCATAGAGAGCAAGTCTTCTCATGAGTCAAATAGGCTTTTTGCTTTGATATGCGCTGGATAATGGGCCATAGGCAGTCGGGGTATGCCGTAGGAGGTGTTGCATTGTTTTTGAAGACTAGGAAAGGGCCGTTCTTCCCACTGACTGACTCACCTGTCAGGCCTGATTGTTTTCATTGGTGCTTCAACTCTTAATGATTTTACCATGTCGACGGCGACACGTATTTTGTGGTTATGCATGATGTGTAGCGTCTTCCTTCCTCCCTTAACTTGGGTGTATTCTTCTACCCCGGTATGATCCATTAATAGAGTCAAGTTACTCGCTGAAAGCGTTGGGCTTCGGAAAGTACGTTCTGTTACCCTTGCCACTAATCTCAGCTTCTCTAAACTTTTATACTTTCTACAAAAATTGTTTCTGTAGCCTTGGAACCGATTTAACAATTACTCTTAAAGCTGTCAAGCTCCAACAGCATGTATCATGTCGAACCGACTTGTGGTAGAGAGAAAGTTGGTTTAAATTGAACTGAAAATAGTAGAGATCGTACTAGGAAGCACTGTATTAATCGGCTGCCACATATCTATGCTTTGTAATTAAGGCATATAAATAATCGTATGTATCTAGCATGTCCCTATGATGTGCTTCAAGCCCCTCCGATGGGTCAAACCGAAAGTCACACCAACTTTTGTGGCCGCCTGATGCAAATATACAAAATGACCGGAAGACTGATATGACATGGTTGAAGGGAGGCTGATGATAGGATTTGCGTAATTGTCGATACAGTCAGAACAAATTCCCATCTGTTATGAATTTCCTCTTCTGTGTCAAACCCCATTCAGCTGTCTAGCTTATTTGTCCTATCGCTGTTGCTAGAATGATATCGCTTCACCCAGTAAAGAGTGTCAAATCATCCATTCTGTCCACTTTGTCACTGCCCAAATTATGGTCTTCTCCTTAGTCGATTTACTTGGGAAATTAAAATCACTTGCCTAAATGCATTCTTTTAAGATATTCAGCATTCACACTACCGAAGTGTAGAGTTAGGACAATGGAAACACGTCTTCACGTGGAGACTTCATTGAAAGGGCAATTTGTAGAATGGTCACCTTATTCATATCAGCTTCTTCGAGGCTCCCGTGAAAAGCGTCAAATCATTCACGACAAGTGTAAAATAATTATTGCCTTAAACGTTGTACTTTTTCATTCCTCCCTCCCTCCCAACATCATGTTCTTTTGGACAGTGAGGCAGACCCTTTTCGACTGAAGTGTAGACGATTATTCTGATTCAAGTCGTCCTGCCTACTGTCTCCCTTCACCTGCTTCCTTGCCTCTCCTCAGGCCTTTCTATCCACAGGTGTTTGTGACGGCCTCTGATACACCCTGGTTTGAGTGTGAATACACATATACAGTCACTTAACTAGCTACCCAAGCAGTCGGTCACCCGGCTATCTATACAGGCACTCGAGAAAGCAGGTGGTGGTTGCATTTTTAGTCCGCCACTTTCGGAAACCACTTGGCGCACACGTGCTGCGACTGGTCACATGATGCCTTGGCTTTTTCTAACCACACTCTTCCTCTTATCCTCTTCGCCCTTCTCTCCTCTTAACTATTCCTCTTATTTTTGTAGGCGGGGAAACTCGACCAAACAGTAATTCAAATCATGGAGAACTCAGGCATCGATCGTAGCCAGCTCCTCGAAGTGAGTTCATCCCCCCTCCCCTCCCATTCAGTATGCTAAATTTTATACGTGTTCGCCTCTTTTTGTTACTTCTTGTAGTCTCTGGGACGTTGTGCCTACGATCACCTAACCGCCACCTATCTGCTTCTGGGCGAATCACTTCGCACTAATCGGCATAGTTTGCCGCAGACCCTTGCCCCACGCACCGAAGAGATTGAGGTGCTACGTCAGGCACGCAATCGGCAGCCACAACAGCATCATCATCACCACCATCACCACTACCACTACAATCACCACCAACAGCGGCCACACGCTCGTTCCTCCTGTCCTTCAGGTGGAGTTGCCGTGGAACTGCTCCTTCAACAACACCTCCCCACGTGGTACCAGCACGAGGTGTCGGAGCGTCGGGGACTCTATTTCGGTGTGAAGGACTCGCCTTCCATCTCCATTGCTACTACGGCTGCCGCTAATGCCGGTGGTGCTGCTGTCGACCCTGGCAGTGGCAACAGCAGTGCAAGTGGTGGAAATCCCACTGGTAACACTTTTATGAGCCCCGGCAGTGGCGGTGGCGGCGGCGATAGTGCTGGTAATGGTGGTGGTGTGAGTGAAGTCTCCATCTTTCCCTCTTCCCATCCCCATCAGGGCTTCCTCTTCGGACCGACTCTGCCCCGTGTGGCTGAGTTTGCAGGGCCCAGTGGTGGTGCTGCAGTCGGTGTCGGTCTCCGACGCACCGACGCTTCGCCCTCACCACCTGCCTCGCCGATTAATCTGAGCAGTCGCAATGCTGAGGGTGACTGCTTTGAATCCGATTGGTTTCCTTACCAATCGGAGGGTGTGGCCTCCTCGCCTGCGCCTATCTTCTCTTTCGGGGGTGAACTAACTCCTAGGGTGGGTCTCTAGCTAGTATGCTCTCAATTCATTCTTCCCATAGGATGGTCTTATAGTATAATGGTATTGGATCTGATTTCGGTTTAGCTTTACGCGCGTTGCTGACACATAGGTATAAGTTGGTAGACGTTTAGAACTTAACGGTAATTGGTATTTAGCACTCTTATTGACTGGAGCCATAAATAGGTCCACGCCTATAGTAACAAGGGTATTTTACGAACATTTTCTTGCCTTCTCATCTATTTTAGTGATTTAAACTCAGCCGGTCTATTTGAGATGCGATTTGGTACAGCTAATTGTCGTGAATATGACTAAAGTCCACCTTCCGCATATTTGTAATCCAGCGCTGAGGCAGGGGAATTGGGGCGTCGCACATACGTGACTGGTACCCAATGAGTTAAGATACTGGTTGAAAAAATGTCAATTGGAAGGCAATGTCATTTCCGGTAGACCTTCCAATGATCCTTTGTATGCGTCTCCATAGACGCTGAAAACATAAATTAGTTGAGCTGTGTAGCACCTTTGCCAACTTGGCTCCTTTGATTCAAAATTAAAGTTCCCATGTTTCTTGGCCCATACATTGGATTTTCTTCGAAACTTGAGCTCACGATTGCCCGGCCAGCCAAACGATTTGCAAAGAATCATGTAGCTTTTTCTCTTGATAACTATCCTTTAATCAAGGTTTTGACAACTGTTTCAAATATCTGAATGTAGACTGTTGAATTGGTCCCAGCACTGATTTAACGCAATTTTCATCTATGCGTATTTGGGCTTGCTGGCCGCAGAAAGTATGCTTCCTTTTGGTCAGCGGAGATAGATTTCCTTGCTGATAGCATTATCCCACTGCGTTATAATGCTGCAGCACTGTATCATTGTATTACAGCAAAGTAGTCGCTCGATATTCGGAGCCCCCTCCTATACAGTGAATCCCCTCCGCACTGCAAACGCAGTATTCTCCTTCTCCGCTAATCCATCGGAGTCAGTTGAGGTGTGTACGACGGCCCTCCAACACGCCAACGTCTCGAATCCCTTCGGTGGGCACCAGACTGCTGCACACGAGACCGATCTCGCCTATCCTCTGCCCCCTCCGACCATGCCTCCAACCTCAGGCGACGCCAATCCTCACTCTCACCATCAACAGCGTCGGTACAGTGCTACTGGTGCAACTACCCGCCTCCTCCATCTTCCCCCACCCCTTCTACAGTGCGCTTGTGAGTCTCAGCACCTATACGAGAAGTCTGTCAACGATGAACACACCAGTGGTCTAGGCAGCTCCATCGAGGCTGACTCACATCACTCCAGCTTCTCCCAGCCCACTGCTGTTGCTCCTTGCCTTGCTGCCACACATTTTACCCCCATGGAGACGAGTTTCAATGAGGACGGAGGCATCGACATCCCTGCTCGTGCGTCTCGTAAACATATTTCCGCACACTCTCCACTCCAATCGTCCTCCGCCTCGTCGTCTGCGGCGGCAGCTGCTGCCGCTGCAGCGGCGGCGGCGGCGGCTGCGGCACTGGTGATTGGATGTCCACGTCGCAAGTTCGGTGTGAGTGAGCGTCCACCGGCACTGGCGGAGCAACTGAGCCGGTTTCAGGGTTTTGCGCAGTTCGGCCAGTTGCATCAACTGGCAGCTAAGAGTGTGGGCGATCAACAACCACCGGCTCAGCCCTACAACGGCATGGACTTTTGAATGTGTTTGTTCGTGTGCTTGTGCGTTCGTGCTTATATAAGTTATTTTCATTTACGTATCTACTCGTTCATTCATCGACTCCGTATTCGCCTCCTTCATCTTATCTTCCTCTATTTCTCTACCTCTGCTCACGCTGCTTCTCCTCGTGATCCTACAAATGCACCTGTTACTTATGTAAATATACTTACTTGATATTATAGCACGTGTCGCGTTATACCGAATGACCTTTATCGTTTGTTCTCGTGTTTAGGGATCGCAAAATCGCAAGCAGTCAGTCAGTCAGTGCCCACTAATTAATTTTGGGTGCTTTCGTGTCTACACTCGCGGTTGTTGTAAATACCCGTTTCCTAGTCTCCATTAGTGAATGAATGTCGAGTGTTTGTTGATGTGTAGAAAGATGAGGCACGAGTGACCTTTGATCGGCGGCTTCACATCAATAGAATTCACAAGAGCGTTGAATTGGGACGCTGAAACATGTACTGGTGAATGCACGTTTACGGGGCGCTTCCATAACTTGGAGTGTTGATGTTAGCCAATATTCACCGTTGGGGAGAAAATCTACAATTACATTTTTTTTGGCGACGATTCTGCTTTTGTTTTGGAGGGGTGGAGCCAAGTGAAATGCATTATATTTACGCAGCATTTCCAAAAACTCGGTGCCTTAGTACGGGCGCACCCTTTTTGTGCATTATCTTGCGGCGCTTTTAAACGTCTTTCCCTATCGTGGGTGGAGCGAAATGCCACATTACACGTGCTGCAAATGTATCACCGATTTCAATCACGGCGTGCTGTGTATCGAGGTAAGATGAATGATGGAGGTGTGAGTGTGTGACCTACAACTCGCCTTTTTTTGCCATTTAACCTTTATGTATCTTGTTCAAGAAGAATTTTGATGTATTTGCTTTCATCAGTACTTGGGGATGGAAATGGGTGTTCAGAAAGATGCTGTATAGAATCCTTACTTAGTGCGGCGCTCATCCATACTATTGAGCGGATTCTCGGTGAATACCTTTTTGAGTGCTTCAACGAACTTTCACTCATTTGTCCTTAAAAATTTCCTCAGATTTGAGCGCAGAGTAGGCTAATATCCCATTAGGGGGCGATGGCGGACATTGATTAACCATTGAATTTCATGTCGCAGTTTAAATTGAGGCAGGAGAAAAAGTTGTTTGCTTCTGGGAGCATTTGGCGCCTCTGGCCACATTCGGTAGGTGCGGTTCTGACAGGATGGACAAAGCCTGCTCAAATGACTGCCAAACATGTCATGACTGGTTCAGCGGCCTCAGTGTTTCTTTGATAATGCCGCCTGGGTTTTGGCCTTTAAATGGCCAGGGGTGTTGCCCTTTGTTATGACAACAGATCTCTAGTGTTTCCTTTCTTAAATAACAACTTTCAACTCCTGTGCCATTACTTATTTGCCTTTTCATTCCCTTTTAGTCTAATTTAGGTGTTTAATTAAGAACCAGAGGGAGGTTTTGAAAGAAAGCACCCAGCAGGGAAGGCTGAAAGGAGGAGGACGAGGAGGGGAAAAAGGATAAGAACTGAAATGTACCAAACTCTGACGTCAGTCGTCAATTCGTGAATGCACAAGGATCGACGTCATTCCCGTGGAGGTTTAAGGAGTCGAGAATCGCAGTGATTGGACGAGGCTGGAAGGTGGAAAAAGCACTAATGCATACATCGGTACGGCAGCTACGAAATGGAGGATTTGCAAGCTTGCTTTGCTGATTTACAGCACATTTTAACAAATTTTATGCCAGAATTGCGTGTCATCTACTGCTATGTGGAAAATTTAGTGAAATTCATGCATTCGGTGCTTTCAATATCAAGTCGTACCACAAAGCGGCCGGGTGAGTTTAGAGGAAAAGACTTTTGTTGTTTTTTGGTTTTTACCATCTGGATATTGTGGGTGATTTTCTCCTGAGTCCTTGATAACTTCACAACGTGGAATCTCCACTCTCCACCACCTTGGTGGTATGGGGTTACGCCCCTTCCACATTCCCCCTCCTACGACGTGACTGGAGAGGATCTGCGCGTAATTGAACGGCGATTTGGAACGAGAAGACTGTTTGAGATATGAAAGCAGTGAAAATCTCATTGGGACGTCAATTTATAACGAAGTTGTGATAACCACCTCAGCGTTTATTAAATTGGATAAGTGTAAAGTGCCAGACAGGTCTATGATTAGACCTCATTTATTGCCTGGAGCAAGTTTATCAACGCGGCGTTAACTCTCTAACCCACATTTACTGTACTAAATGAGTCAGACTTGAGGCTGCGTAGGTACTACTTACCTCAGAGGGCCTTAGAGTTACCCCAGACTAGGTTTCGGGAACTCGCCAGCATTCCTTGAAATTGGAGTCAACTGATCACGCCGATTCAAACACTCTGGGAGTACATGGAAGAACCTGCCAACTTGGTTAGCCTGAAAAGGTTTCATGAAAAAGCGAATACACTGCAATAGGTAAGTCGCTTATTTAACTCTCGGTTTTAGTAAGAGGCCACTTGGTATCACCGCAATTGAGCCCCCGTCAGGCGGCCTGGCCTCTGGGCCTTGCCAGAAGCCCCAGGCCTATTGTGGGTCGAGGGTACACATTCAGTCGAGCATTGTATCTCTTTTTGCTGCACTTGAAGTTTTTTATTCCTTTTTAGTAGTTTGGGAGCAGATAAGGTCTAGTTGAATGTCAGATTTCCTAAAGTTACAGCACGCATTTTATTAATTAATTAATCAAGTAAAATCGAGGGAGTACGTCCCTCTTGAAGAAGAATGCTCGAAAGGTCGGCATATCTGGCCGGTAAATGATTGTCAAAGTGGATGATACCTATCGAGTCTTGAGAATTCCCTGAAGGAGAAAAAGGACAACCCTCGGGCAGAATATGTGCTGTCGACGTTCAGTAGGACTTGGTGCTGCTGGCGTGGCTTGGAGAAGGAGTACCTCAATAACCCATTGCCAAAATTGCGAGTTAAACAATCAATTAAAGTATTACAATATCAGACAACTGCAGATACGAGCATTGTTTCTTTTTCAATAAATTCTGTACTTGACTACGATTGTCAACGTCTAGACAGAAGTAGCTTTGGCAATGACTGACAGACCTCATCGTGGCGGTTAAATAGGACATTCTAAATGGGGCAATCAGGGGACTACTGACTTTACTCAGGGGCTAAAAGTGGCGTTGTAGTAAGGCATCAGAAATAGTGGCTGCAAACCACTTTAATCGCCCCATGTGTAGTTACCCCTAGGTGAACTGACTACTACTTAGGAGAGGTCAAGTACTAAGTAGTATCATTTGATGACCGCAGGAAAGGTAAAAATTAGCCTTCAGAATTATATAATCACCTCACATTATCATCCATTCTATGAACAGAATCACACAAATCAGTGATTCGCCAAAGACAAACAGTCATGTCTGTACCTGGGCTTCATCTTGTTCCTACCTCACCTCGCCACCCCCAATTTGTCTGCGCTATTACTCAATATGTTATTATTTACATTTATACTGTATTTTCCCATAAAAAAAATCCTAGAATAGGTCCCCCAAAAGACATTAAATAATACTTTGGCCCCGATCTGCGGCCCATTACCTCATAATGGCTCCTCTAGAACGTAGGGGGAAGTTACCCTCGGTCTACTTGAAAATATTCGACACACACATCAAGACAGCAGGCACTGCGCGTAGGCCGCAATGGACTATCGGCTCCACCACAGGGGAATCACATTCTTTGCTTTTCAAGACCCACCAAAACTACCTTAATGGCCCACCCCGGGGTGGGAGCTACTGAAATGCACAACTCATAAGTCTTCTCGATTCTTCTACCTCCTAAAAGAAAACAAGGTGCAATTCAGGAAGAGGAAAAGATATTTTAATTCATTTTGGGAAGTTATGTGATTTAGAAGTTTTTATTTATTTTGCAACTCGTTTTCCAGTCAAATGAGACGCCACACGTTTGTTGAAGACGAAACTGATCTGTTTACAACTTTGCTATTTGCGTGGAAGGACGATATATGGCACTTTTTATTGCCGACGTGCTAGCAGTTTATGGGTTCACTGAAACAGTTGTTCCCAATAGCGGCAACTGCAGTGTCAGCCCTCGGTCCCCCACCGCTCACCCATCGGCTAACCTGCCACCAGGCTTGTGGTCACGTGAGCCTCACATGGCGGAGAGAGCGAGGGTTGCGGGAGTTGTTGTCGCCTGTGCCTCCATGTTTGATGCCTTAGGCCTTGTCACATCTTTTAAACAATAACCCAGTTTTGGGACGCCTATTGTTGACTTTAAAACTGCGCCTTTTGGAGGTTGTAATAAGTTTAATTAACTTGGTTGGGGAAGGTTAGCAGTCAAGATTAAAACAAGCAACACTCCAAACTTGAAGTTTTTCAATTTCTTTATTCTTTGATCACAAATATATTCACCTATTAAGAGGTCCCATTTTTATTTGCATTGTTAAGATTCTCAAACAACTCCACATTTTAAATAACGCCCTGGTTCGTCTTGAAACTTGAGATGGGGCAAAGTACAATGGGAGGGCGCACCCTACTAACCCAAGAGAGGGAGGTAGGGGGAGGCCTGTTTAGGGTCGCTCGAAGTACACACCGTGGAGACTCAAGTACCCCCCCGTTGCAACACATAGTTAAACCAATGCCAAATGATCGTAAAAACATTTATCCCGTCTTGGTTCTTGCATTTTCTCCTTCAGTCTTCTCATATGCTAGATGAAACTTTCTGTAGAGCTAATTACGTGGTTGAATCGTTCACCTCTGACTACTCGCATTTTGAGTGCTCCTATTTAATAAATGCAATGGACAAATATTAGGAATTATTTAATTCTTAGAGATTTATTTTAGGTCGTGGCAGTTAAACTAACAACTTGTTTACCACATTGATGTCTATTTGTTATTGTCCGTTAATTGATATTCCAAATCTTCTATACTTGTCATGGTGACTAGCTGAAACAAATACAGTAAAACTCAAAATCCCCATTTGCTTACACAACAAATTCCAAGTTTTTGCAAAAGTAAACATAAAAATGGCTTACCTTTCGTTAAAATCCCGAACCAGTTATCGCAAACCGATTTGATTCGGGGGTAACTGCATTTATGAAAATTTGCCCAATCGGCCTGAGTGCTGATTAAAACAAATGGGCCAGTGATGCGCGAGGATCCTTTTTTATTCCAAACCAGGGATCCAATTGCTCGTACTCATGCAGATTGAGGCCATACATTGGTAATAAATGCTCTTCCCGGTATTTACAAATCCAATTGTGGATTTTATAAACTAGCTTTAATCTAAGATCAAATGAATAGTTCTGATCTTCGAATCTTACGAATAAGTGCTGTACCATGAGATAACTGTATTTATTTTAACCAACCATCAGGCGGTCTCGACTTCGGTGACATATCTACTAAGGGCAACCCATCCTTCCGTACCTCTAACATTCGGTATTTGACCTAGGAACGCGTTTTTTGGTTTTTTCGGTAGGGAGAGAGGTATATCAAGCCGATTCAAATAAAATTATGGGCAATTTTTTTTGTTTTTCGGGAAGCTCTTGTCTAGTTACCAAAAATTGTTCTCACGGCAGACCATTTGGACTAGTTATTCTTCAGAGGGAGACGACCGGAGACTTGTCAGTTATTCTAGATGTCAACTGAAGTCTTGGGCATAGAACACAGTAATTCCATTGGTAAAGTTCGCCACTATCAACTGATTCGTATCTCGATGTTATGTTTGCATCACAGTGACTGTTTTAAAGAATTGGGAGCGCATAGGATGCGGTTTTTAGTTAAAATTGCAAGAGCTTCAGTTTATCACGCGACAGGCGTCTCTTTTGGCTGCTGGAACCGCTTTGCCATTACCAGTTATTTATTACGCAGCTATATGACCCTGACCTTAGCTAACCTGACCTAACCACACACTCAAGTCATGACCTTCGATTACTGTCATATAGTCTGAGTGAATCACGCGGAAGGAGGTTACTCGATGGTCGTTCTAGGGCCACAAAATACTCGCTTAATTAAATACGTTGAAATATCGAGTTCATAATTTCTTAAGCTTTAAAAATTAATGTCAAAGATTGAAAGATTTAAATTAAAAATGCGCAAGGTATCAAGGACGACCTACTGTAAATCTAACATGGCAACTTTCTTGTGTGAACCATTACTAAAACTGCAGCTCTTTAAATAGAACAGGAGAAATGTCCAGTTACTAATGTAAATTAAAAGGTATACTTACGAATCCAAACTAAATGCAGCCAGTCCGTCGGTTAGTGCAGGACCGCCATTGCGGCCTCTTCTACAATGAATGCCAACTCATTGGCTCAATTGGTATGTCACTGCTGTCGGCAATGCTTTCCGCTTCTCTTTTTATCCCACACTGACTTTATGTTTGCATCATATGGGCCAGTGTTGTATGAGAGTGGATGCGCAATGATTACTGCTTCATGTCAAAATGGCAGGCTACTCATGTCCCGAGCATCTTGGGCATTGTCCCCGAACCTACGCCCTTGACCCTAACTGACCGGACCTAACCGTAGGCACTTCTGTTAACTCACAGTCTCTTCCCACAAGTTACATCTGAATGATCTTCTTGTCCGTTTTACGCAAAAAAATATTGTTTTGTGTCAGAATATCGGCATGCACACGTCCCGAGCACCAAAAGCATGGTCATCAATTCCTCGACATGGAATCGGGCCGGCCTGACCTAGTCGTAGACGCCCTTGTTAGCTCACTGACTCATCCAACCAGTTACGGCTGGATCATTTCCCTTGCCCTATTTTACTCTTTTTGGTTTCTGAAGGGTAGCATACGTACGTCCCCAGGATTATGAGCATTGTCATCAAATCCACGTCGTCGATGGGAGCGGAGATGACCTAATAACAGGCATCCACGTCACCCCCACTGACTCACCAAACGAGTCACGATTGAAACATGCCCTTGTCATTTTTTTAAGGCAAGGATTACTTTCCTTGTTGGCAGAATGGCCGTGTACCCAGGACCCTACCATTGCATTTTTCCCGAACCTACGACCTTGCTGACCTGACCTAGTAGCAGACGGCTTCGCCACGCCACTGACTCATCCAACTAGTCACAGTTAGGTTATGTCATTGTCATTTTTAAAGGTTGGAAAATGGTTGTGATGTCAAGTAACAGGGGGTTCAATTTTTCAGGGTGAAAAGATGCTCTGGTTATCGGTATCCATCTTAGCTATGAGGATAAATTGAGCCACAGCGATTCCAAAAGATGATTGGCAAATCTACAATTGATCTAGATCTAATAAACCTTCAATTGGGTTTTATAAATGTATTGTCTTATTAACATGAGATAAACAATCAAATAAACATTTATTAATAAACCTCAATACTGCTCGAATAGATCCTATCTCGTGCTCAGAATTTCTTCCTTTTGGTCCAAGTCTCTAACATTGTTGACTTTATCTACCAAGCGTTCTGAGCAGTTAAGCGATTAGAAAAATTGTTCGACATTGATGCAGTTTTTTCGGCCGTCATGATAGCATTGTGATCTAGTCAACCTGAATGCTCATGAGAAGTGACATCTCAAGTTGTGAAGATATTTTAAGATATCACAAGACAAAAAGTGCTTTACAATTTGACATTAGTAAAGACGGAATAGCTGAAACTCAGAAATGAGAGTAAATTTTGCTGTGAATCTCAAGAAGGGTGCGCACTTATATCGTTTGTGTAGTTTTCTCATTAGAATTAGCTTGGAAGGTCAGAAAGTGAACAGTAGTGAATTTAAAGCTCTTTTTGAGCCTCCTTGAAAAATTGGAGCTTTGACAGCACATTTCGTGAAACAGTACAATTAGGGTAACACGTGCTGGCAATCAGCCCGTGGAGGATTGAATGAGGTTGACTGGCTTGGTGACAAGGGACCAGTTGCTAAGGCAACCTTACACTAATCAACCCGCCGTGCCGTTCTTACGTGCTTTACTCAGCCGCCGCGCTACCTCAGTCTAGTCATCTGTGAGTACCTCATGTGAGAGCGACAACTGATCTGTGGGACATGGCTTGGGATTGCAGGGCAAACTGCGCCAGTCATTGATGCTTATTCAAGCAATGGTAAGTAGTTCTTCAATGGTTTAGTGGACGTAGTGTTAAGCATGGTGTTCTGGAACTTTATGATGAACTGAATATCCTTCAAGAAGAGATTTAATGCACAAAAGACGTGTTCGTACTCAACTGATGGATGGTAATGATGATTACGTCCCATCTACTTGAAGTTACTGCATATTAACATGGTGTGATTGTCTGGCCAATTCTCTTACAAAAGCTGCCTTTGGTGCCTTTAACTAACCGTGCACGCCTTATGGCGGCAAATATTAACATTTATTGGGACTGGTCCGTGGTACTTTAATAAAACCACAAAAAATAGACTGCTTAATAGAAAATTGTGCTGGTGTTTCAATGATAAACTCTAACAAGCTGCGAAAAATTAACATCTCCCACAGAATAATTTAGGCGCTCCTTCTGGAGCATTATAAAAGCTCACACTCAAACTGACTACTGCTAGTGGCGTTCGCGATGGGCATCTTTCCCAGCAATTACTAACGTCTAAAGCACCAAGACGTGGTTGAATAGTATAGCCAGCGAAAACGGCATGGGGATTAACTCTAATTTTTTTTCGGCTTATGTGGAAACAGAATAGGTGAGAGCTGGTGCGCGTTGGTTTGCCTCTACGCCCACGCCAGTTACGAAAGGTGGGATGGAGCTCAAGGTCACCCTCCGCCCCAGCATTTGGACAGACTGGCAACGCTCTGCGAAGAGCCAATGCCTTTCATTTATGCAAGCAATTCACGCAATATGGGTAACTGTAAACCGACGTGTTGCAGAAACGAATCAAAGGTTGCAAGTTCATAATCCTAACGCATGCCGACATTAATGAGTTATGTAGAAGGGTGACGGAATTTGCCTCTGTAAGAAAAGGCATGCACAAGGCTTATTTAATAGCGTGCCACTGCATCATGCCAAAGGCAGCATGAAGCTACATGAAAAATGTTAACACACCAGTACATTATGCAATGAAGACCGAATGTCCGCCTTGATAGCCATAATCACAGAGAGCGAAGTGGCATTGTAATCCTAAATAATAATACAATTTTTGGGACGTGAATTTTATTTTAAAACTGGGGAATTTAGGGCACTAATTTAGGACTGCAATTCAAAATGCGCGAAATTCAAGTTTGGCTGTTATCAGATAGTGTGAATACATAATACTCTAATAAAATCAACTGCAACAGACATCTTGCTCACTTAGTAGCCTCAATTCAAAGGGAAAAGTCGTCCGAGCACATACTGGTAGGCTCATTTAACGCACAAAGTAATAATGGGCACTTTGAAAACCTGAACATAGACTTACTAATTCACCAACTTTTTAATGCATAAGAAAAGCTGCAGGATTCTGTTTTGTTAAGCACACAAGGTATTGGAATGTAGTAACTTTGGTCGTTAGGCGAAACCCATATTTGTTTAAATTTGTATTTTACCAAACTGGAGTATTTGCTTGCATATTATGGCGCATTGATATCTTGTTGAAGTAAGGTGCTCGACGTACATAAGCGATTGAGCTATTTCTCTAACTTGTATTTTGCCGTAAGTTTTTTTTATCAGCCCACCTCGTTTTGTAAACATACAGTGCATTGATATCTGTTCCAATATAGTAAATCATCACTCTTAATTTGAATATCATCCCCATGTTATTCAAACTTTTCTTCCGACAGATATGCGCATAATAGAATGGAATCAGAGACGATTATCAGCAAAACGATCACACTTCAACAACTACCGATATCACCTTCAGGTGCTGAATTTATTCTTGCTTAACGCATTTATTGTTTTGAGGCTGCATTTTTGTCTTTACTACATGCTAAAGTCCACATTTGACATCTTTTACCCTATGATTCTAGTATCAACAGTTTTATCCTAAAGCTCTGCACTATTGAGCTGTTTCCAATACTTGGCATTTCTCATCCACCACATGGTTTTAACCCCATGATAGCTAACCAATCCGTTTTGTAACAAAAGTTGCATTTCCCATGGAGGTTTGGTTTACTGCAGTGGTTTAAATAGGCCAACTAGGCTTCATGAGACCATGTTTTTGGGGTTTGACCTAGAAACGTTGATGCGATCTCCAACAAATGCCAAAGCTGCCCCTGATTTTGTCCTGCATGATACTGATAACTCTATAAACTTTGTCGCCTGTGAGCCTTTGTGGCTACTCGAGATAGTGTGTGCCTATGAAAGACTAACATCCATTTTTGGTCGTCTCAGGTTTTTAAGCTAGCAGGTAACTAATCCCATTTCTGAAGCCGTTATGAAGTAGTCTACCGTATCGCGCATTGGCTGACTGTTGCACTATTTGCGGCTCAGGAGTCGCTTACCTCAGTTTCCGACCGCGCATGGTTGCCTTGGGGTTGCCAGTCTTTTTCAACTGTAGCGTCTGGACTATTCTATCACCTGCCACGATCGAGTAGTTTTTTGAAATCTGGTTTCACAGTGTGAAGCTGGTAACCTCTTAGGAACTGGTTTTTTGTTTATTGCGACTTCATTGTCTGGTAAGCGAATTTAGTTTCCTGCGATTTATGTACGTACCTGGTTTTTTTTCGACAATTTCATCTCTTGTGTAGCAAGTATGCGCGGCGGTGTATGGAGTTGATCTTACTCTTGAGTCGTAATATGGTCGTGGGAGCATTTTTTTTAACAAATCATTCGATCTCTCTCTGTCTACCTCGAAAATAGATTTGATGCAGCCTGGGATACAGGGTCAGTTTGCTGCGATAAAGCGAAGGTGTCGCTTAGGTTCGTTGAGGCATATGCGGTCAGTTCCATTACTGTCTATTCTTATGTGCTAGGGGTTGAAGCTGTAAATGGGAATTGGCTTGATGTCAATTTCGATCGATTGCAGTATTAATTTGCGGCGTTAGAACTGCATCACTTTTTGATTGTCGTAGATGCAAAAACCGCAAATTAATTCTGACTTTGGTGTTGGTAGGCTTTGGTGGTTGTCTTCTCACTTTGAATTTCTCAATTTCAAAGTAGAAAATATTAGTCGAATGGGATTTAATACGGATTAGCGCCCGGAAAAGTGTTTGGCGGTTAATGTCAGGAGTCTCTTCCCTTTTTGGTCAACTCGATCCACTAGTGTAGGTCATAAATACCTTTGAATTTTATCGAAGTAGCTACCTCAACCGCGGTGATGGGTTTAGTATGGGGTGTGCGGTGACACTTTGTCTCATGCTGGTGCAGGTAAGGCTGCCTCACCGTTTTGATAACTCTGATAACTATGTGACATCGTTTAATTCTTGTATTGTTGTTACTCTTATTAATCGTTTTAGTAGCATAGTGTCACTGTATATTTCAAGTAAGCGCGCATAAAATTTGTTTGTCGTTGATCCACATACGCACGACCATCCCGTGTAATCACACCGCTTAACTCACCTCTAATCAGTCGCTTAGCCACTTAGCTACTTTGTTTTGGCTCATTCACCTCACACATCCCCACACATTTGCCTGCCTAGTTTGCAATCGCTCATTAACATTGCTCTCCTTTTTAGACGTTAAAGGCTCGGATCAGATTCCATCGCTACAAGACGCTGGAAGCCATTTCCCCCAAACAGAGCTGAATTCTGTTGATGAGCCTGTCGCCTTGCAGCAAACCTCACCAGACACTACAACACCCTCTTCTAGTGGCAATATTTCTGATCAAGACCAAGGCAAGGTATTTGCAGAGGTTGTTGAAGCTGCCAAGGCTGGTAAGTACTCTCTCTGAGTTTAGTGCGCCTAAACTCACATGCCCTTATCTAGTATTCTCAATTCCTCCATTTAGGCGATTTAGCAAAAATCATAAACCTAGTTTCATCATTGACGGAGTCATCACCTCCATCGATGAATCCGTCAACCGCTCAGGCGGCATCTTCATCTGCCGCGATCCCGAACAACTCTGGCGAGTTGGCTCTACCGAACTTACCTGAGAGTATTAATGCCGTTATACAGAGTGCTGTCAACTCTCCCCAAACTGCTATGGTGTCCACAACTACTTCTTCTGATGCTCCTGCTATCACGACAAGTTCGTCGAATGATATCGGTACTCCCGTCGCTTCTTCATCAGCTACTCCACCCCGTTCTCATCAGGGGCCGCCACCGTCCTCTCCGTTAGTTGAAGAACCCAAAGCCTTACCAACATCAAGGTACATATTTGGTTACTTTCTCTCATCTTTTTCCGATCTGTCTGAAAAATATGCCCTTCTTGTTCAGTGGGGAGGAGAAACTCACAGACTGTAAATCAGGGAACCCACAACCGGTGAATGAGTTGACGGGACCACCCCTATCAGAACCGGCAGTCACTCCCTCTTCTATCGCACTACCCACCACTGTGTGGGGCACATCCACCGCTCTGCCTCCCAAGCCTGTCTGCGTTACTCCCACAAACCTCTCTACGGATATTAACGTACAATTAACAGTCCTGAACGCAGCTGGTGAACTCAGTCCAGTTCATTTATGCTTACCGGAGCATCCACTTATTATACTGCGTGTTAACCCCATTCCAGGAGCTCGTGTTGGACAATTAGTCACTCTGAGTTTTTCTGCGCAGATGATTTTGAAGACTATATCTAGTATTCTGGAAAATGGTGCGGTCTACAACGGTGCACCGATTATAATACCCATCTCCACTGCACCACCACCCCCGGCTCCTACCTCAGCGCCAAGCACAGAATCCGTTTCCAAGGCTATCGCATTGCCGGCACCGCCTTCCCTCCCCTTGGGAATGAAGTCGGCAGCTTTGTCTGGGGCTCGAAAGATGCGGGCAATCGCGCCGAAGCCCTCCAGCTCTGCTGCGGGCTCAATGCCCGTCTCCTCGGTTGCCACCGCAGCGATGCGCTCCGCCTCGGTCAATCGGCCGGCTAGGAAACTTTTTGCTGCTCCGGTTGCACCGAATCCCCTGACTTTACCAAACTCTTCCTCGACGATCGCCCCGGCCTCTGCTCCTATCGTTAATCCCACCCCTCTGGTCAGCAGCAATAATGCACGTAGTGCTTCGATCCTCCGAAAGGTGAACTCCAATTCACCAAATTCGCGTAACCGCAATCGCAGAAAAAACCTCAGTACAACTCTCCCTCCCCCACCTCCCGTCACTATGGCTGTTCCCACCACTACTTCAATCGTACCTCAGTCCACCGGCTACATCGTCGACCCTACTTCCGGTGCTCTCATCTCCACCGACACTAGCACTGTTTCCGGTGGATTCATCCAATCCATTATGCAACCGGGACCAAACGGTCCTCAGTTTTTCGCACCAACCGGTTCGATCTTGGTGGGTCCTTCCAACAACATTATCCCAATGCCGATTAGTGGTGTTATTCCTGCAGAGAGTAAGCCTCCAGACACCGAAACAGTCGACCTAATCACCAATGCAGGCAATCCCTACCCATCGGGTTTCCTCGTCCCCGCCGATGGCAGTAATGATGGATTCTCTCGACAAGTCTTTTTCACTAATGGAGGTGCGCCAAACGGTCAATTCCTCTTGCCAAGTTACCAGACGAGTGCGACAGGTGGTGAATATGTGCAATCCTTCTCGGCTCAACAGGCGGAGTACTTGCAAACTAATGGAGGCGAAATATACTTCACCAGTGACGGGTCTTGCTACATGCCTTACACAGGAATCATTGGACAGCCACAACCAGTAGCCACTGTTGACATTAAGGACGATGGAAGTGGAGTTGACGTAGTGCCTGAAACCGACGATATCATCGATATCGCCATGCGCGTTGCTCGCGAGGATGTGGATTGTAGTGTAGCCGTTGCCACTGCTCCTGTTGCTACCGAAAGTGTTAGCACAGCTCCTGGGACGATTGAGCTAACTGACGACGCCAACGGAGTTATCAGTGAATTTATACAGTCATCAGCCGTCCCTCCGCTGCCATCCTCTAGCACAGAGTTCGAAGAACACCAAACTATTGACCATGTGTCGCCAGTCATTGATGAGTCCGTCTCTGCAGCTGATCAGCAAACTAGTACAGGCGATGCCAAGATTGATGCTCTGCTTGCTGAAGCAGCTCTTGTGAGCTCGGTTAATGGTGTTGGAGATAACCAGTCAGCTGTATCCGTGCCTGTCACTTCGTTGCTGGGCCCTCGTGCTAGTGTGCCGACAACTACAGTTGCAGTGAGCAATGCAGAAGCCTGCACAATTGTGGAGGCTAATGCCGTAGACATGAATGAGTTTCCGCAGTCTCTCTACGATAGCTTTGCGAATTTTGAGGCTGCAATGATCCCAGAACCGGTTCCTACTTCTTCCACAGAGGCGGCTACGGAAGCAGCCTTCACTTATGTGACCCAGAAAGTGGGGGATCTTGACGCAGAATTTGGAACCACTGATTCTGATCTGGATGTCACTTCCACGCATGTTACAGAATCATTTCTCAAATCACTAGTCAATCAGGCGGATGACTTGGAGGCAGAAATGGCAAGTAAAGAAGCACGTAAGGTTACTGAACCCCTTGAAAGCCAAAAGGAGTCTGATGGAGCATCGCAAAATGATGCAGGTGGGATCACTTCACAGGCTGAAATGACGGACCTCTTTCAGCTACCCTTCAGTCGAAGCGTCGATGATGATGTGGCCGGTGGCGATAGTGATGACAACTTTTTCCCATTTTCACGTGACTACACTACACCGGAACAGTTTGATGCAGCCCTGCAACTGCTCGATTCACAGCCTTCCTCAGACTGCACGCCTCCCCATATACCAGACGATGTTGATGATGCGGATGATGAGGACGTTAATGGGGCATACTGCGATGACGCCCCGATTGTACCGGACAGCCTTTCGGTGAACGACCAGGAAGTAATATCAAGAGAGAAGCCATCTAGTCCTGAGTCGAAACACATCGATGAGGTTTCGTTTGGCGAGTCGCTTCTGCCACCAGAGCTAACCTTGCACTCCAATATCCTCGATTCTAGCCCTGCCGCCGATACGCTAATTGATGAAGCCAGTACGCACGAGAAGGAGCAGGATGGAATGCCATCTCCATGCAGCACTTCTGATGCAACTGATGTTAGGGAAACGGTTCCCATCGTCTCTGCCAATGCCTATGTTGAAGAGGAAGACGATGACTCAGGAAGTGAGTTGGACTTTCTACCAAGTCGCAAAAGACCAGAACGGAATGTAACCCCTCCGACATCACCGAAGAAGCTTCAGTCGTCGTCGCCAGCACCATCTTACTCACAACAAAAGGAACCGCCACAGGGTGTTGATGACATCTCGGGTTCCCCACACCCTGTTCCTTCTACTACTACGTCTCCAATCCCTGCTACAGCATCTCGTAGACCCCTCAGACTGCCCAGGCAATCAACTCCTCGTGTAAGATTTTCGCGTCGAAAATCAGTATCTAGCGCGATTTCACCGAGTTTGCGTCGTAGCAGCAGAAGAGGTCGAGGAGGTACCTCTTCCACACCTGTCTCTCCACGTCAGCTGCGCTCATCAACGGCAAAACGGAAAGAGGACACTATCGATGTATCAGAGGAGGAGACATCGGATGATATATTGCCACTGAAAAATACAATCTCGAAAGATCTCAGCGAGCTGGACCAGGCCTTGTGCCCCAACCAATCACAGGAAGACAGTGCCACTTTTCCTATGCTGGGCAACGATGTGGCTAACTCATCGAGACTCACTCTTGACTCCACTTTACCCCGTAATCCTTGTGTAGAGGAATCGAGTATTCTCTGCAACGCGGGCTCGCCTCAGTCTCCCAAGAAGAAACGGATAAAGACAGGTGGTGAATCAACAATGTCTACTGTTTCTAACACTCTGACTGTCAAAGGTGGTTATCCAGAGGAGGGTTCAGCATCAGTTGTCTGGGACTTAAACGGTTCCAGACCGACATCTTTTGGGTTAGTGAAAATGCTTTTTTGTCTTGGGTAAAAAATAATAGTAATAAATATGTTACTGCATTATGTGAAAGAAAGGCCATCACCTCATTATGTATCTGTCAGTATATGGAATCAGGACATACCTGTGAATGTTGTTTTTTCACTGTTCGTAAAAGCAAATGAGGCAGGCTACATTCTTTCAAGGAGTGTGCGTGTGGGTCGTACTAAGGTCACACAGCCTGTGTGCGTCCGTGTGTGCATTTAGTTTGGCAGGCTTGAGCGCCCGTGTGCGTGGTAGGCCGCTTGACGCAATATGTGTGCACACTTGCGCGTTTCTAATCCAGATAATCCAAAATTTCCGCACACTTGTTTGCAGGTTAAGCAATACCTCTGCTGTTCCCTCTCTAATTCCCGTCAACAATTTTGAGTCCCACTTGGAGCTCAGGGACAATCCGGTTCTGCAGTCAGACAGACCATTCTGGAGCGATCCCAATGGGCCAGCTTCTACTGAAGACGACGACGATGATGAAGAAGGAGGTGAGAGGGAGAGAGTGGAAGTGGGCGATCCAGATGATGATAGTGAGTCAGACTCATCTCCCAGCCTCCTGGCTACTATTAGGGCGGCTTCTCTTGCCCTCAACCTCCCTTTCAGTCCACCAATCGCCTTGCCTGGAAACGAAACAGCTTTTACTCAATTTGCATCATCGATTTCTTTACCCTCCTTCGATGCTTTTGTTCCCTCTGAGGTGTCCAATGAAGACAACAAGCACACTAGGCCCGATAGTACCGCTGCTGCCGTTGGCTGCACTGCTAGAGATGGTGATGAGGATGCAGATGATGATGGTGATGATGACGAGGCGGAAGATGTCGCACCAAGCTCCTGGATTCCAGATCCAACAAAACTGGTGTTCTCTGAAAACCTCTTCCCACCGAAATTTTCCCCTCTACGGATCTTACGACCTCCCTCTGTTCCGATTTTACACGATAAAGTTCTGAGCTCCTTCTCAGCTATCGCAGAGGCAGCTCCAGAGAAGGAAGGATTTGCTACTAATCCCACTGTTAATATCCCTCGTCAGAAGAATTGTCGACCAATATGTCAGCGGTATGATCTGTCCCTATACGAAAGAACACAGGAGATGGTTACTGTGTCATCTCAAGAAGAGGTGACGGTGGATGAGAGTCTTCCTGGCACTAGGCATCTCCCCATACAGTGTGAAGTCGTTCCGGACTTGAGGTTGGTCTCCCCGGTAGCGAAGTTTATGGGTGCTAGCACCGTTGATCCACCTCCTGTAGCTCCTCGGCCATCATCATCACCATCTGTTCAAATAATCGATCTGCCTACACCCTCTAGTACCGAAGCTGTGTCTTCAAGCAGCGACTGTGCTGTCGAAATTCAAGATTCAGCATCGATGGCGCAACCGCCAATACGCCTGAAGTTTAAGCTCTCAGATATTAGGCTGCGTCACAAGAAAGCCAACAGAAAGCGCAAAGTGGAACAAGAGTCAACACCACAACAACAACACCAACTGCCTTTGGATATTGAGGCATCATCCCCACCAAAGACTCGCAAGATTGGCACCATTTTGCGGTTCTCACGTGTCGGCGGCACATTTCGTACGGAAACGGTAGCGGCACCACAGTCGTCACCCAACCGAACCTCACCACCACCGCAGCTGCAACCTCCACTACCACCCATTCAGTCTACTACCACTATTGGAGGGCCTGCTCCGCCGGTTCAGCCAATATGGGCGGCAGCCAAACCCCCCAAGCGTGGACGACGAGGAACAGGAGGAAGGGGAGGTAGAGGCAGAGGTAGTTTTCGTGCAGACCGTGGTGTTACTGCTGCCACTGCTCCTACTGTTTGTTGCCATGGTGATGACAACAACGGTAGGGGTGAAGCCTCTGTCGATTTACAACAATCCTTTGCCTCAGGTAGCAAAACGGTTGCCCCTACTCTCTCTAAGAAGTTCTTCTCCTCCTCCAAAGAAGATCGTCGCAGCAGTGCGATTAGAACAGTACGTGGCTTTATACTAAATCTTATGATGTGCGAGAGAGTGACTGTTCAGAAGTACTTTTGAAATCAGTAGATCACACGCCTCGTGACATTCTCCCAAGGCGTAGAGAGTTGGAGATCAAGTCGCTCGCCTTTTTATCTAAACGCCAATTTGCGTTTGCTCTACTCTGACACCTGTGCCTGTATTTGTCAGCGTCACTGTGGCGGTACCTCTACCGCTGCTGCTGCCGCCTACGGTGATGTGGCTTGCGCATCCACACACACACTCAACGAGGGCGATGGTGTTTGTAGGGTCGTGTGCGTGCGCACGCGTGATTTTGGCATCCCAGAGGTTTTGGCATTTGGGTGCGTGCCTCTTCACGTGTATGCGTGCGTGCGTGTGTGCTTGCATCGCTATGGCAGCGACTTTGATGGAAGAGCAAGGGGAGTGGCGAGGTGTAGGGTGAGAGAATGTGTGGGGGGTTGTGTATGATTAGTAGTAGCGTACGCGGAAACACGCATGGAAAAGAGTTTTTCCTGTTTTTTTCATCGTCGCCGTCGTTATGTCCCTCCTTCTAGATGATTTTGCGCGTATCAGTTTCTCTGGAGGCACTGTCATCCACTTTCCTGAAAGCCTCTTATCTTAGGTGGGTGGGTTGGTAATCACCGTCACCTTTGAGTAATCGTGAATTATGTTTGTAAAGGGTTGACTTTTTTTTATTCTCATGTGATATTGGTTACACTGTGTGCAGCACAAAGTGTTCCTTGTGATTGCTTGGCTCTTGTTGCAAGCGCTCAAAAGTTCCTCAGCTTCACACTACCCTGAAGCAGCGGGTTTCTTTCCCGCAATTGATTTTAGTCAAAAATAGGTATAGGGTTTATTTAATCCTTTTGTTATTTTCTCACCGTGATAATCAATTGCGCTACACAAGTTGAACATCAGCCTCAAATGCGAATGGCTACTACTCAAACAGCGGTCATTCTGGGTGTTTTTAATGTTCTTTACCAAGGTGCGGCCTTGGCGCTCGACATTCGGAAATTTGATCCGGAAACGCGGTCGTTTCTGTGGTACAGCAGACCGTACCGGTTCACTTCGGAACGGTGTGCCCAACCAACCTTCACTTCCACCGGTAACACCATCACAGCCACAAAAACCTCCTCCTCCTTCAACTCAGTCTAATCCCGCCTCTTCTCCTAATGATCCGATCCGTCTTGTGATTCGTCTTTCCAAAGAGAAAGATAGCAGTGCAGAGGCGGGTCAAGCCTTGGCGAACTGTCAAGCAAATGATGGTCAGCTACAGGAGACGGAGGAAAGCACCACTGTGACAAGTAATGAGGGAGGGACGTGCGATGATGGCGTTGAGGATGAGGAAGAGGGATTGGATGAAGAAGACGGGAATGAAGTAGGACGCGCACCGACTGGTGAACCGGGTCAACAGTTCTTCGTTGCCCCGGAAGCGGAGACCTTTATCGACAAGAATCAGGCTCGAGTGCGAGTGGTGCTCAACAAGGCCCTCTACACTGCCAACGGCGTCGATCCGCATGGTGATGATGACGACGACGAAGACGATGAGGAGGAAGAAGGGGATTCATCTTTTTTCCCCTCCACCCACGAGAGACTTCGTCGGCTACCCCCAGTAAAGAGCACGCAACCGGCAGTTCAAAGACCCACTGTTTCTACGGAACAGCACTATCGCAGCCACCAAACTCCTCAACCGGGAAGTCGACCTCCCAGGTATAGCTGGTTTCGTCATTTCTATTGGTCTAAAATTCACTGAGTCGGAAATGGACGGGATAATCCTCTCACTATTTCAGTTATGCATCACAACAACCCCCTCCAACCTCGATTTATAATCATCAGCCGACCACAGGTCCTCCAGTCTCCTCCTCTTCCGGGACCACAGTTTTCAGTCCCCTCCGTTGTGACATGACGACGGCGCCCACAAGCATGCAGCAGGCTCGATCTCAAACTGAGGCTGTTAGCAGTGCCCGGAGTAGCAGCACAGCGAGTGGCAGTCTTCCTGCACCCAGCACCATCTCTCCTCCGGCTCCCTTTACAGTCGCCGCAACGACAAGCGAGGCAGAGAGCAACGGTGGCCCTGGCGGCCCGCCCGCACAAGACCATCACCAGAGTGTCGCTGTTGACCAGCAACAGCAGCAACAGCATTTTTACCAAAGACAACTTCCCCGCCAGTTTGGTGAGCCTGATGAGGGAGAACAGGGATCAGGCCAGCGCTCTTACGTCCTGCCCAAATTGGAGAACACCTCCCAGCCGCCCACTCCGGCCACGTCCGCCTATCCCCAGGAAGTTCAGTTCGCTCGTCAGTTGCGAGATTTTCCCACGATCCCTGCACAACAACATCATCACCATCAGCAACAGCATCAGCAGGCGCTGGCGGCTGCCTGTGCAGCTGCGGCCGCTGCCTATGTAGGGAACTTCGAACCGGCAACTATGCAGGCGATGTGGGCCTCCTCTTTTCTAAATAATCTTAGTGGGGCCCCAAGTGGCTACGCACAGAGCCAACATCCCCCGGTTTCCTCCTCGAATTCCTATAATCACCAACAGCATGACCAACAGCATCCGTCTCGTGGAAACTTGGAGCCCTCACATCAACACCAACAGCAGCAGCAACAATTGCAGCAGCAACCTGTGTTTCCACCCTATCGAGGAGAGGGGGATGCTTCACGCGGACGTACTAACGAGGCACATCAGCAGCCACCCTACTCAGTACCCTCGCATTTTACGAGTGGGTTTTATGAGTCGCTGGGGTTTTTATGTGATCATTTTTTCTACCTGTATCCCTTTTTCTTTTCTAGATCGAGTTGTCCCCGATAGTGGAGCACTGAACTATTACTGGCATTCTCAGCAATATCAACAATTCCAACAGCAGAGTCATAATGCGACGCAGTTGAGAGCGATTGATAGGGCGGCATCTTACTACTCTGCCGCCTCACCGGCTCTACAACAACAGCAGCAGCATCAGGCATCAACATCACATCCCAACGCAGGTCTCACCTCCCAGTGGTATCAGAGTAGTGGCGGTGGTGTGCCATCGTCGGCCAGTCAGTCGTCACCGGCCGCACCCCAGGCTGCAAGTTCGACGCCTGGCTACTCTCAAATAGACGACTCAGCTGTTGTCGCAGCAGTTGCAGCTGCGGGCTATCGGCTGCCTCCGTTTTCGAGACTCTCTTGAAGTATCAGAACTCGTCTCCCTCCCCTTCCACACACTAAGAATATTTTGCCTCTCTATGTATAGTTCCATGGTCTTATTTTAAAGTGAAAAGTGAGAAATAGACGGACATACACGCATGTAATAACAAGGATTCGCTCATTCACTTATGAAAATAGGAAAACTCTTACCCTTCCTCCTCCCGAATCATGTGATACTGTTTTGTTCGCCTTTCCTCTCCCTCCGCAGATCTCTTCCTCTTATGATTTGTCGCCGAAGAAACCACACTTGCGCGCGGCAAGGATGATCTGGTAACAAGGGAGAAGTACTCTGGATTTTAATCTCTCAGGCTGTGAATGCCCAGCCGCTGTATAGGTCTTGCTCGAATTCCCCTCTAACTTCTTCCTGTTGTCATTTTCTTCTTTTTGTACTCTCTCTCGTTCTCTATATATCTTAATGAGCTCCTCTTTGAGAACGCGGGTGAATTAATGAAGTGTAAACATTACTCTTATGGTAAGCCTTTTACTACTGTCGCAGTATGGTCTTCTGCTTCTCTTGCCTGATGGGGTGCTATTTGTCGAGGAACCGGTAAGTGGGAGCTGGAATGCCATTGCGTTCAATGAGGCTCAGTGGTAGTTTTGGGGATAATTTGGCGGTTTGATGGCCGCACGTGGTGCTTGGGTCACCGATGGCCCAACATGGCCGATTTGTCGTGTAGCTATTGTCATCTGTTTGGCAGCATGTTAACTTTATGGACTAAATCGCCTTAGAGTTGTGAGGGGTCACCCGCGCTTAGAGTCCTCCTTGTTTTGGAGACGACTCGGGTCACTGCAATTTTACCAACTGTGTTTGAGTAATCGGGTCCTGGTCACATCCAGCTAGGGAGATATCAGTGTGATGAAGAAGGTTAAGTTTTAGTTAGCGTGACAAAACCTCTTATAATGGGTTGCTTGTAATAGTTCGAGGATAAGATAGTTACATAATTATTCGCGGTCAATGCTAGATATCAGGAAATTCAGTTCAGCGGAGGGAAGAAAAGCCGACTTTCTCCTCAGGTGAGGGTAATAAGGACTTCGGGGGCATTCGCCAATCTTTAGTGCTATTAAGTGTAATTATCCTTCCATTCTCAGCTAACAATCAACCTTCAACCCCTCTTTACAACTAGTATCTGCGGCTGATCCAAATATAATTTTTTCTTACAAGCATTAAAACATCAGCAATTGAAAAACTATTGCGAAACAAGCCTAGAAGTAACAGTTTTTAATTAACTTGTACCAGCTACTTAAGTTGGCGGATAAATAACATGCATAAAATCCTTTCTCACTAAATTTATTTTGCTTTAATTATAACTTTCTTCCTACCAGAATGACCAAATTCTCCATAAAGCTGTACTTTACCCTTTTTGCATTTTTCCCTTAAAGACGGGCAAATTCGTCGCTAAATAAATCTGTTTAGAGCGTAATGTAATGCAAATAATAACTAGGTGAAATTTAGTTTAGGCAATTCAAAGTAATTCGTAACACGCTTTCATTGCAAGAATTTACAGAGCCAATATTAAATTAACCCTAAAACACGTGACGAAAAAAGGTAAAAAGTTCAAAACGGCAATTATTTGGCCTAATGACTATTCAGTATTTTCGTGTATCTAATTCCCTAAGCAGGTGTGAGCAGTTTGGTGCGGGGCCTTACCGCCAAAATGAGTGTGACTGGTGAGACGTTCGCGTCATGGGCTACTCGCGTAACTGGATGTTCTAATCCAACATTCAACCGGGTTATTAATCGGCTTTGGGAAAATCCGTCACTACAGAAGGATGTTCTCGCCGTCCTTACTGGTGTGACTAAGTTAATTCAGTCCCGTGGGGGATGCGAATCTGCCGCAGAATACTATGCTGCGTTGGTAATGGACAGTTATTTCGTAACTGGGGTTTTCTTAGCTAGGTTTGTTAAATACTGAGACAACTACTAAGAATGCAGAAGCATATCTTTTTCAGCTTGTTATATCTAAGGCGTAAGTGAACATTTAATTCTGATATTGTCCCAGGGTTCCCGTGTCGCTTTTGAGGAAAACTTGCGGTGAAGCGTCTAAGACAGTAATGAATGTTTTGTCTGCTGCACTTCAGGAGGAATCGGTCAATATTTGCTTGTGTAAATCCGTAGGTACCTTTTGGTAGTGTTTTACTATTTAGTTACTTCTTTCTCTCGGGCGTATACTGGCTGTCCAGCCTACGGAAAACTGGGCAGATGAGTCGGTGCGCCATACATATAGGATATTTCTTCGATTTATTGACTATGATAAAGCCGCTCTGCGCAAAGCCGCCCATAAAGTCATTTCCGAACTTCTGACTTTTGCGATTAGCACCAAGGATACTTATCATCCTGTTTGTCACCAAACGATTAACCATATTTGCAAGTTAATACGTCAGGTGTCCACGTAGGCGTATTTGCATTGATCTACCCTTAAATATTTTGCATCTTTTTCATACTTACCTTATTCTCTTATATTTAGGGAACTTTCGAGTCTAATTCACATAACCGATAGTGCGTGCGGTCGACTGTTATGTATTTTGAATCTCTTGAAGGCTATTATCTGTCTCATCCCTGAAAAAGATATAAAATCGGCATGCGAGTGCGTTTTAGAGCTGACAGCTTTCAACAATCCACTGGTACGTACTTTTTCTATGCTGCAATTTACTCTCACACGGGCGACTATGGCAACTGCTTTGGACCATTTGAAGGTTTTGAAATCTGCGTTCGAGTGCCTTCAGACGCTGTTTCAAGGCAGGGTCAAGACCTTGACTGTTTCCCTGGACACTGCAGGGAAACTTATGACTGCTCTTCTCACTTGCAAGCCCCGTGAATCTACCTCAGTTGATATCGCAACCTTACAAAAGGATTCCGAATCCATTATTGCGTGGCTAAAGTGCTTGTGTGCTGGTGTCTGTTATCTAACTTCATTGGCCGTTGACAATCACGACGAGAAGCCCACAGAATTAGCTCCTCACGTTGCAGTGGAGCATCTGGAGCAGTTGGTTCGTGCTGCCCTTAGTATACTGGTTAATAGTCCCTTGCCAGATCTTCGTATCTCTGTCAAACGTCTTCTTGTCGACGTTTTTCTCAATCCATTGGTGAGCTTTTCTACATCACAACCGTTTAACTTACTCCGACGTCATGTGGATTTTCGATTCCTCTTATAGACTGAACAGTTACAGATGTGTAATCTGCTCACGCGACGTCCCCGATTTCTCCCAGAGTTATGCCTCACACTGCAGAATGCTCTTAACTTGGCGCGTCACGAAACCTGGCCCAGCCTTCTTAATGTTTCCTCCTGCCTGATTCACGCTTGGGCCATGAAGGCTGTTGTCGGTAATAGCGTCGACATACAGCTACCTGCCGAAGTAATAGACCTAATTCAACGCGTGGCCAACCTCCGCGATGCTCTGGCAGACGGCACTGAAGGTGTTGTCGATGATAGTAGTATCAGTGTAACTATACTTGTCGACGAAATGGATCGACTGATCCTCACCTCTATGGAATCTTGGGGCATTGAGCCGGTACTCAGGGATTCCTTGCCTTTGGAATCCCTTGTACTTGAACTTGAATCTGGTATTGTGGAACTGCGACGCTCCTGGATCCTTCCACTCATCTCTCGTGTCCGCCCTGCTCGCTCTTGTTCACTGGCCTTCTTCCACTCCAATATTCTCCCGCTTGCCGACCGTGCTGTCACAGTTGCCAAAGCGGCAGCTGAGCAGAAGTTCAAACGACAGATTGGTGGCGAGAGCAATGCTCCATTCGTACCCCTCTCGGCAATTCTGAACGCGGCTGTACAAATGGCTCGTCAACTGTGGATCACGTTGACCGCCTTCACACGGCGTTGCCCTTCGCGCTGGGCTGATCTTGTGGATTCGGGTCTCGGTGGCAGGCTAATTGCTGGTCTCCTCACCGCCAAGACTATCAGACCTGTCATTCTCTCTGCATTGCGACGCCTTGTTACTTTTGCCGAAACAGAAGGTTAGTTGCTTCCGCTTTAGAATCTCGTTTTAAATGTCTTCTACTCAGGCTAGCCTGATTTTCTTGCTCTTTGTGTAGAAGCCATTACTGTGATGCGATCAGGAGCCAAGCAGATGGTACCCAAGATGCTATCAATGTACGAAGAGCTCGACTCTACAAACGACCAGCAGCTCAAGCAACAATTGGGAACCACGCTGTCCGTGTTCCTGCCTCTTCTTACACCAAAGGTAAGCTTAGTTCCATCTGTTTCATGCTGTACTCTGAGGAAGGTGTTTATTGTTAACCTGTATTTGGGGTGATAATGACTCTTTAGGCAGTCTGGAAAAGACATTGTTTGGTTGTTTTTGATTAACGTCCTGAACTCCTTTTTTAAACCTTTTAAAGGTGCTCTCAGTACCTTGCGAAATGGCCTACAAGAAACTTGTCACTACTAAAAGGTGGGTGAGTCGTTTTACTAAATTTGCGCGCCCTTCGTCTAGTGTCGACACGCTTTCAAATTCCTAAATCTCCTCTTACAGGCCAATTTACATGGAAATTCTCATGTTAATTGTGCCAAATCTCACAAGTGAAAGTATCAAATCTGTACTCGATCAGCTGGAGGAGTATTTCTTGGTATGTAAAAGTGGTTTTTTCATTGCCATATAACTGAATTAGTGAATTTCTGGTATTTTGCTCTGGTGCATGACAGCGTCTTAATGACGAAGCATTTCGAATTGATGGCTGAAGTTAACGAAATTAAGTAGATTTTTTCATGCATCTATATTGGCTTAATCCACCGAAGCGTTTGTATTATCATAGCCGGACCATCACTTTTCATTATTTCTTGTCTTGATTGCCTATCATTAGTTCTTGCCTTAGCTAACGCTTCTCAGCACTTTTTCGTCTTTTTTAATGTTTAAACCATTTTTTCGGTTATGGATTTGGGCTAATTAATTGTGGTAGTTGGTAGCTGTGAATATCATCCCTTTTCAGGGTTACTCCCATTGTAATCAGTAATAAATGCGAGCCAATAACTTATTGGTTGTAAGACTACTCATTTGGGGGTGGGCATTCTCCCATCTTTTCACTTTTGGTATTTGTATATCCCATTTCAACATCTTTTTTAAACGTTATTTGTCCGTCATGTCTTTAAATGAACGCGATCCTCTTTTTCGACAACTCAGCTATTCAAACAGGATTAATTATTCTCGAGGACACAGATTCGTAGGCAAGACTAAAAAACGTTCTTCAATTTATTGTACTTTTCTGTCATGATTCATAGCACTTCAGCACAGGATTGTACAAGTCATTTTGCGCACAGAGTTTAACTTGATCAGCCTTAAAAGAATTGGTAATGCGAATTCATCGATTCTTGAAGGACATTAAAGGCAGCCAGTGCTGAGGTGTATCATAGCCTTAAAAGCTTTTCATTGGTGTCCTCATAGTAACTTCCATATGACTTGGTACTAGTGTCACCTATATGTTGCTCCTCTAATTTTTATCTGGGCATGGCGTGGTGTCATCTTATGCTAGCTGAATCTCATCGTGCCTCGAATAAATCGGTTGAGTTTAAAACAACGTAGACGTGGGATTTTCCGGCCTAATGATAATTGTGCTTTTTGACATTCGAGGAGCAGTTGATTTTGTCATTTTAATTCAGTAGGACAGAGGTTTTGATGTCATATCGGATCAATGAAATGCCTGGGATGTAGTAGTTGAATTTCCTCTGGGACTGTGGTAGCGAGTGTGTCAATGAGAAACTAAAGGCTTGATAACAAAACTGGGCAGTAAGTGTCGCCTCAATCTCCTACTCTAGCCCAAAGATCGTGAAAGTCGAGTTCTCAGAAAACCCGCTTACCGTCTTCTGGAGGCAGTTCTCTCCTCGCCCAATCCCTCAGCGAAGGAGTTCGTCGTTGCAAACCTGACCAGTCTCACCACCTTCATGGCACAAATCACGCCTCCCTCCACGGAGGTAGCGGACGGGACGGGAACTGAGATCGAATCTACCGACCACCTTTCCTCCACCATGGCCGCTTTGGCGCTATCCGCGAAGGAGCGCAAAGCTCTCGCCATCACCACTCCCTGGAAGGCACGTCTGCGAATCCTTCGTCATCTACTTCACGTTCATGCCGAACGTCAGCGGGAGCAACCGGAGGAGGGATGTGGAAACAATGCTGTGCAGGGATTTGTCAACATCTTTATGCCTGAGGTGAGCAATCAGCTAATTTTAGGGCGATTTTTTAAGGATGTGAACTATTATTGCTTTATTCCCGTTTAGAAACGCACTGTTTCTTCATCGAACTTTGTGTGTGCATCATGTCAAGAGCTTGTCGAAGGATTATTAACAGGACCTTGTTTTATTTCATCACACGTAGTTACATATCGCGGCTAAAAGAATTTAAAAGGTTCAATTTTTTTCCGATGGCAACTTTTCTGACGATCTTTCGGCTACACTATTCGATGAAATTCATTTAACTGTTCAGAACATCTTGAGTGGTTCACTTCGTTACACAGGCTTTTATTCCGGCCAAGATTATTTGAGCTGCCTATTTATAAGTATAATTAAACTCGTGAACCAACGCACTAGTTTCATTGACCCTGACAATTCGGCGTTTTGAGCTGTCTATTGATTCCGTGACGGAAGCTGTGTTCACTCCCTGGAACAATCACAAACAGGAGCTCACATTTTAAGTAATTCAAATAAGCCTTCACAATAATAAGGGAAGTCTTGAATTGGTAAAACAAAATATCACCGAGATATCGACTCTCAAATTGTGATAAATTTGGATCACCATATGTACCAGCTAAATATCTCTGCTCTTTTCCTCTTCGTAAATTTCAGATACCCCAATGTCTGGGAAGCTTGAATAGCCTCGTCCGAGTTTTGGCCGGCCGCTTGTTAGTGGACATGGTTTTGGCCACCGCAGGAAGTCTTTCCTCGGAAGGAGGGACGCTACCATTTGGACGTTTGCGACGGTCGTCTTGTTCACTAACAGCTGCACCTTCAGAACTCACTCGGATGGATGACGATGGCGAAGGGGATGAGGACGGATCAGAAGTGGAAGAGGTTGAAGGTATCGGTGAGGAAAGTGACGATGCCGATGATGACGGGAGCATCTCGGGTCAGTCTCGTAATCCCACAGAAATAGCCTCTGTGTGCACTTCCATTTCCATCACTGGAGTGGATCCTCTCATTGCCATGAAGGTACGTGCTTTGTCTTATTCTTTTAGTCGAAAGCAAGTAGTTCGTTTGACCAATCGGTGATTTCCTGCTTCACGTTATCTTGTCCTTCAATCTTGCTTTATTTTCAAGTTTAAAATTGTGAAATTGTCTAAAACCTTGCAGCTTTCACTTCTGCTGTTTTTGATTTTACATATTTTCATTCAGAAGAGAACTATTCTTTTATGTATCGGAAAGGTCAATTAATTGCTCTTGGACTACTGGCTTTTAAACTCCCATTTTGGTTGGTTTCCTTTTTGCCACGTATTCCAGAAAACTGGAATGGGTCTTTTGCCGCAACAAACATTGACCCTGGTTCCTCCAAGTATACGAACTTTCTGGGCTATTCTTTCAGACGTGCGCGGGGCTACGAAGCATTCTCTCCCATCTTTGGCCCGTGATATTGGAGGCAAATGTTGAGAGCCTGAAGAACGTCTCGCAATCACAGCTGCTGCGTCTCGAAGTGACGGTTAAATCGATTTGTCGTTTACTTTCCGACCTCAGGCTGCGTCGCTGTCTCATGACCGCCATGCAGGAGGTTGAGGACACCAAGGATACCTCGGATGCCGCTGAGGTCCTCTTAACTGCCAATCGCGCTGCCCAGGGGCTTGTCCGATTGCCCAGCAAGCACATCGCTCGTCTAGGATTGCAGATATCCCGTCTCCTCATCGCTTTTGTCGGGCACTCTGTCTATGTCTCGGATATTGTTGTCAGCATTCACCAGATCCATGCGAATCACAAGCACTCCTTGCGGTTTATGGTCAAAGCAATGGTGGAGAAACTACTTAAGAAAGTTAGGTGAGTATTGGAGACATTTCACAGATGACTGATAGACTTAGACTTCAGGGCATCTCTCGCTTATCTTCCCTCGACATATTTAGTGTACAAGCATTGTTATCGCTGATGAGCCCGGAATACCACAAGATGATCAGAAACAGCGCCAAAATTCTTCGAAGAAGGGAGCAGAAAAGCAAGATCGAGGAAAGGAAAAAGGGCGCCAAGTCTACCAGTGGTAATGTTGACGAAGATGAGTTGGGGACGGCGATTCCAGAGGGCAGTGTAAGGGAATCTGGGCGCTTTCCTTCTGTGTCTGGCGCCTCCTTAAGGTCCCTTGGAAGTGCCCTCTCCCTCTCGAAACATATCCATGTACAAAAGTGAGTTCCGTGAGTTACTTTGATCCTGATTAATTAAACTGCCGTTTATAACGGTCTGGAAGGTCGTACGAATGAGGCCTTTCGTGGGTTCTTCTGTGAAGCCTACTGCATTTTGAACGTACACCTTTTGGTAAAAAGAGCTCTTGAAGCTGATTTGAGTTTTTCTTGGCATTTATAACCAGAGACGTCGATTGTTTTTACCGTCACAAGTTCTGCATGGAAGGCATTTCCATAGAACTCGGTACTACTTATTCACGAGGTACCGTTTTAGTTTGTGCTACCATTGTTGATCCTCTGGGGTGGTATGAAAGTTAAAATCCACAGTTTAAAATAACTAACGGGCTGTCCGGAGACTACTCTAATTCCTCCAGATTCATTTCAATATCTCCACTCCATACCGTGCCTCGTGAAGTTTCATCCAGGTCTTTATTAACTTCCTTTCTATTACCCTTTTAGCCTCCAAGAAATCCTGTCAACTTCAAACGAAGATGATGAGGGTGGTGGCGTAGAGGATATCGCGAGACAGAAAGCAGCATCAGAGAATCAGAAGGCTACTGAACGCCCCCATCGACGCTTGGGTCTGGCGGCAGAACTTGAGCGCGCTGCTTCCGTCGCCGGGCTCAGTAGACGCTCCCGGCGCAACCTCCTCAGAGGGGCACGTGGAGAGAGTTCTGACGAGGGTGACGAGGATTTTGATGATTTGGGTATGGTCCAAGTTTTTGCTTGACCATCATACCGTCGAAAATTTCATGAAACACCTTGCTATCGTTTTAAATTGCTCATTTTTTGAGGACGCCAATCATATGGAAGCTCGGCTTAGCGAATTCCTAGAATTTGGAATTAGTTGTATTTTGAGTATACTGAAAGGCTAATCGTTCCTCCGTAGTAGCAGGGTTTTTTGGAAGAACAGTTCTCCTTCTAAGCAAATAACATGAAGTTTTCCTTTAAACCAATAGGAACCTTTGTAGGTTGCTCTTTCCCCTGTTGTCCGCTTGAATGTGCCGGCCTACCACTTCATCTTCCCGCTGGACTGAAGCCGATACAATAAGTTGCGAATGTGTGTGCTGGCGTTGATTGTCATTCATGGGATACTTTAAGGAATCGCTCTTGATTGGCACATGTCTCAGGCCCTATCAGTCGAACTAGTAGAGACCAAGTAGGTAGAGATTGGCTTTCGTAATGGAGCACGTTCAAACTAATGACTTGTCACGGAAAGAGGCATAGCAGTGTTGCCATCCGGAGAGTTTCAGTTGACCATCGCAAGCATTGATGGCGGACCGGTGGTTTATGGATTCGGTGCCGTAGCTTCTCCTAGAGGGGGATGATTTCCGAGGCAGGTTTCAGCTATGTACCCATTGGATAAACATTAAGCCGGACAGTGATGTACTTCCAGGGGCCAGGTGCATTGGCATGGAAGAAGGTCATCACCCTACATTCGTTGTTAGTTCTCTTAATCTTTCCTTGGCTTGTTAGTGGCCAGATTGGGAATTGACTTGATGGGATTGGAAATATTTATCCTTGTGGCTAAACCTATTATTTCTGGCGGCACTAGTGGCGCTTGTGGGGGTAGAACTTGACGAGTGCCCAGGCCATACTATACCGATAAGAAGTTTTCTCGTTCTTGGCGCCGGGGCGAACAGGGTTGGTCGGACTGGTGCATCTCATGGAGCCAGGGATTGCTTCGGCCGTAGACTGAGCCAGAATGATATTAAGCCATGAGATGTCATCTGTTAGTGGCCCAGCTGTCTGAATAGACGAAGTCGAAGCTTTCGTCTCTGTTAAGAACTCCATAAAATTCAACTGTTGCTCTAGTAGTAGCTCTAGCTTTTTATGGACCCATGGTGGGCCTATCTGCGCCGCCAATTATTATGATCTACCACCCATATTGCGGCACTTCGATTCCCTCAAAATGTTTTATCGGTTTCCAAAACATTGCTTTTATGTTCTCGCCTACTTTCACCTAATCTTAACATCATCTATCCATCATAAAAGAGCATCTTTGCATTTTAAATCGTGACGTGTCGTGTGTTTTTTCTCAAAAAACTGCTAGCAAAATCGATTTACAAACAGAGCTTGTCTTCGGATGATCTATAGTTTGCAAAGAGCGTCATTAAGTAATGGTATTTTATTTATATAACCCAATTTATACCACTTCTAAGCGTCCCCTTGCTTCCACATTGGTGCTTTTATGTGCCCTGTTTCTGGTCTCATCACCTTTTTCTTCACAAAATAAATGCCTCTTATTTGAAGAACCCACGTTTGCATCCCTCTCTAATTCGCTATTTGATCCTCTTAAAAGTATCTTGTTATAATACTTTTCTCACAAGACATTAATTCATCTTTTGTGCCTCCTGTTGATTCATAGCAGGAGTATCCTCGTTAAAATTGTTGTAAAAGTATTGAATCCAAGTCGTGATGGATAGTATTTCGGCTGGTGCGGTACTCACAATTTCTACCTCTCAACTCTTTACAGTGCTTCGGAGTACTTGGGCAACGGACTGAGACCTCAGGTTACGTTAGTCCCTATTAGGGTACCTCTCTTCCTCCCACATTTAGCTTACTCGCTTATTCAAATTATAGGTGATTGGCTTGAATTTTAGTGAACTTAGCAAGGTAATAACTCTTCTTATAACGATAGATCTATAAATGTAGCTCACTTAGCTTCCTCGTGATTCATGTGACTTTCATAAATGCGGCCGTTTTAAGGAGCACATTACAATAATGCTACGCCTCTATCCGGAACATTCCATTCAATGAATACCACGTCCTCCACAATGTCCTATTTTTTAAATGCGGCCTCTTTCAGTCACAACGCGAAGAGTGCGATTCGCAGACGATGTCGCAAAGCTCCACCTAGCGGGCAAGAGGCGTCGCCAGCGTGCAGATGCTGGGGGTGATGCCCCCTCCATGACCTATTTAGTGGAGGATGCAGAGGATGAGGTGGTGGATCTGGCCGAGCCAGAGTCACTTGCACGGCATCTCACCGTTGCCTCCTCCGCCCAGCTGGCTAAACGTGCCCTCAAGCCGGATACTCTCACACCCGCTGTTTCCGCGTCCAAGCGCGCTCGACTCACCTCCCTCTCCTTCGCTGCCGCCTTCCCGACATCCATTGATGGGAAGCTTATCATCAACGAGGCTACTGTGAAGGACTGTAAAGGTGAGTGGGAATTTCACTTGCCTTTGGAAACCTTGTAGAGGTGACTAGAGAATCAGTAGTATATTCCACGCCCTCTAGCTTATAGGCACTGGATTGGAAACACGTGAACCTTTTAAAATTTTGTCAAAATAGGGGGAAATTTCCACATTAAAAGGAATTCCAAACTTAGGCGTAGACTAGTTTCTCGTGTGCATCTCTTTTGTATCTTAGGGCACCACCTTGGCGATTTTATGGGCTTAGCTTTTTTGGAGGGATCATCCGGGATAAACTTTTTTAGCACTCATCACAATCATATTTCAATTTCCTCATCACTATTTAATCAAATCTTGCGTAATTATTTCATAAAGATGGCTGGTCGCTGAATGACGCTGATGATGATGGCGCTGAGAATGACGGTTCGTACTCGATGGCTCAGGGTGCCTCCATAGCCCGAGCGGCTGCTGCAGCGTCGGAGCGCATTCGCACACCTCGTCTACCGGGCGCAGAGTATCGGTCGTCGCGTGCGGAGGGCGATATGCGGAAGCCGGGCCGACCTGATCCCTTCGCGTATGCTCCACTCGGCGCCGGATTGTCCAACCCGAAGCGTCGTGTCGGCAGTAGTGGTATTGCAACTGCGGCCGAGCGCAGGGCCCTGCTACGCTACCTCGGGGCCGGAAAACGGAAGCGGAAACAGAAACAGGGAAAGAAGATGGATAGCGTGAGCGCCGGTTTTCATCAAGGCAAGGTTCGCGCCGCCTCTTCTAATTTGGTGCTGAGACTACAGAAATCGAAACGTGGCAGGAAGTGATCTTGTGTGGATCTTTCCAGATTATCATCAGTAGAAATAATTTTTGAAACCACTTGGGTGGAGTGATGTTGAATGTGAAATATCTACCACCTATTGTCCTTTGGCTTTCTACGTAGGAAGGGAGCTTCTCTCACCTCTTTTGGGTGAGTAGTACAAGGAGTGCTTCCAATCCTTTGTATTCACTTATGAATGTGGTGGAGCCCGGCTGTAAGTGTATTGGAAATGTTCAAATGCTTGGGCAGTTACATCAATAATAACTGATGGATGAAAAGCAGGTGCATTGTCATTCAAAACATGGACTTAAAATTTTTCATACGCAACGGACAAGTGTCATCTTCGTATATCTGTTTACGTTGGGACGAATTGCAATGTTGGAATGCAGGTGTGGGTTGATTTCTCATCGTTGGTTTGTATCGTCGACTCTCGCTCATATTGTTTCGTGGGTTGTATTAGTATACACAACTATACGCCGTGGATGCACGAGTCCAAAATGAATGGTATAATCCACGCCGGAATCGTCGCTTTTGCAGATGTGCATCAGTGTAGGTGTTTGGTTGGTTATTCAGGGTAGTTTCTGCCGGAGTAGAATGTCGATGTGTGCAGACCCGAGCTTGGAATTAAGGCTATTTGGCTCACCTGTGTGGATATGGTTTTTCACTATTCACTGTTTTGGATTTCTCGTGGAAGAATTAACTGTGGGAATATGTTCTGATTGATTGGCAAGTATTGTTGTGTTGATCCACGTATTTGAGTTCTGGTGTCAACTTGTCGCCGTTAGGTCTTTCCATTAACATGGTTCAATGGGGAAGCCCATTTTGTCTGCCTTGCCGTTTATTAGTGGATGTGGTTACAGCAAATTTTCGATGCTACTTTTGCCAGACCTTGTATTTACAACTGAGTGGCTGAATCACGAGTTGTGATACAACGTAGGTAAATGGGTGAGTGGGATTTATTTACGATAAAGAAATGAGAGTCTTATTCCTTGAAACGCCATGAGCACAATTTTTAATCAGTCTCTATTGAGACGTAGGCTTGCTGCAAATTTGAGTCTCATAAAGTTATGCCTTTGTAATCAGAAAACCGGCTGTGGCCACCTTCAATTCTACCTAGATTTTAAGTCAGTAAACCGTTTATTCCATTCCTCCTGTAGTCTTGTGATTGTCTGATGCCAAAACAGGGTACTAAACACTTTTCTTGCAGAAGTTTTATTAAAGGAATGCAGCGAATGAAGATGGGATTGACTATGGACATGAAGACAAGCCAAGGGCAGTCTCTCTCCCTCCCATCATGACCAAAGCCTAGGTCTCCTCAAGAGTTAGGTTTGGGGTATGGGTTAGATGTAGTCTTGCGTTGCCATGTTAAAATCGGAATGGGCCTTTCCTCCCACCTTGCAAGCCACAAGTTTGGGCTGCTTCCGCAGAAGGTGTTTGTGACATTATGCTAACCAGGGTAATCAAATGGATTTCAGGTGTCTAGACCTCAGCCTTTACACCACTGGCAGTCCTCCTTACTTGCTTATCGTTAGTAAGGGTTAAAATTTGGATATTCGGGATTTCTCATTAGAAGGGCACTAAAGCGATTTAAAAGCGTAAACAGGATCAGGCCATGTAACTGGATTACCAGTGTTGCATACATATGCGACTTCAGTGGCTACCAAGAATTTGGCTTTCTAGGGGGCTTTCCGAAATCAGTTAAATTTTTTCCTAAAAAAGCTAAGGAAAAGGCCTAAAACTGAATATATTAATAGCTCGTGCCTCTTATTGCCCCTTTAAATCACACATTTGGACCAAAGGATCTCCTGAATACATATGCAACGCCAATCTTTGTCTTGCTAGCCTGATTTAATAATATTAGCTTTTGAAATGAAAATTCTAGGCATTATAATTGGCTCTTGTGATTTTTTCCCCTTTAAACTTTTGAATTCTTATTATCTTTATTAATAGTTAGTAATGGGTCAAGGCTGTCGTGCTGTTGCTTCACATGGCCGGGCGCTTGAAGTGTTGCGGTGGTGATGGTTGCTTTTTGCAGTGTTATGTGGATTTTTGTGGTGGTCCTATAGGTCTTACTACATAAACAACTTGTTAAAAACGACTTATTCAGTTTGACAAATAGGTTCTTGCTTTGTTTGTGCTATCTCATCGTCGCTTTGGGATATGGTGACGTATACAATGAACCGGTACAAAATAAGTCTAAGCTAATTGTCCGATTAGAATTGTATTAAAAGGAATTACTCCTGTGTTATGAAAAGTCCTGCAATTAACAATCTGGAGGTCCTCTGCTGTATTCGTGAGACGGGTACCCAGGTCCTACGCCTTCGTCCGGTTTCGAAACGAAACCCAGTTGGGGTAAAAAACTACGTCTAGTGAGTGGAGAACATTTTGCAGTCACCAATTGGCATGCTCAATTACATGCTAATCGGCAAATGCACAATTCAAGTTTGCTTTGGCGCCGAGCTAATCCAATGTGTGGGCAGCCCGGGAAATGCGCCCGCGTTAATTATCATAGGAATGCCGAAATGCAGGGTTGCATCGACGTCCAACCTTGGTTCTTCCCTTTCGTTGTGAATTTCCTACTGATTGATTCTCAAATGTTGAAGTTAGTACATCCTGTTATCCATTAATTTAGGTGTTGGGTTAAGTGGTGTTTCTGTAATCTAGTCAATGCAGTAATTCATCCAACAAAAGTGGGTTATCGAAGCAATTTCTTCTGCCTAAAATGCCTCATCTCGAGCGGAATGGGCCCACATCGACCCTAATGCCAAAACAGTTTCTCTCTAGGTTCAGCTCACAAAATAAATGACGGTCTAAAGTTTTGCGATCTGTCTGTTATCTACACGACTAAGTCAAAACCGCTCAATCTCTATTCTCTTCAGAACTTTTCTAGTTTTATTAAAAGGGATTTCTGTCATGGTTGCACTGAGAAGTAGGCACTAAGGTAGGTACTATTAGGTCTAAAATTCGCTCAAAAGAGCCAAGTGAACATATCTCCCTTTCCTGAATGCAGTTTTTCGGAAGAATTAGTGCTGGAAGTTATTACACTGCGAGTAATTGTCTTACCCTCAAAAACGGAACTGTTCTCCGCTAGTAGTGAATTAAATAAAGTTGAAAGCATGTCTGTCAATTATTATACTTGCGTTTTTTTCCAAAAATACCGGTGATTTGATTAGCAGAGTCCTTCTCGCCTGGGATGGGTGCTGCCTAGAAATGAAACGGAATTAAATTATTCAAGTGGATTTACTAGACACTCAGATCTACCTCGTCGGCTAATGCCGACTTAAGGCGCACAATGTAGCGATACAAACAAATGCTAACAGTTCGTTACGGAAGCAGAGGTGGCCGAGCTATAAATTGTGCATTTTTCCTGGGGGTACTGAAGTCGTAGAAAAAGTGAATCGTGAGTTGATTTTCCAATTTTTGGCATTTTTAGTGGGCACACTTATCTACCCATTTCGATTAAACATTTGAAAATTCATTTTCTACGAGGTGTCTATTTTTACCCACAAGATGGGACGCGATTTGAGTCATTTTATTTAAAAAAATAATTAAAAGTTTTTGGATAGAGTAGCATCATCCCTATCATTGTGAGCGCCTGCTAAGGCCGTTTATTAGGCAAACCATAATGCGGTCGGACTGGAGAGTCACACCTCCAAGGTGAAAGTGGGATCTGCAGGGACCGCAAAGTTCAGAATTTGCCTAATGTGTCGTAATACCATCTTATGGTGAATTCCAGTTAAGTGCCTCAGATTTTAACAATCTTGGCCCCAGTGTCACATATATATGTCGCCCCGAGTTTCTAATTGTAGCTCTCCGTCACAAATATGTGACATGTGGTCTTAATAACTGTGATAATTAACCGCACCACCTTATGTCACAAACAGATTGATAAGATTTATAACACTAAACTAAACTCAGAATGCGCTTGACTTGAGATTAAATACATGTTTCAGTTCTAAAATTTCACAACTATATCCTACTATAAATACTGTCATGTCAGAACGATAAAGCATCTTTTACCATGGGGCCGAACTTTACGCGCCCTTGCCCGTTTTTGTACAGCAAACTTTTCCCCGTTTTTGTACTGTACATGTTGCAAATCACCGTTGCGGTTGAAAACCATCCGTCCATCCTTTTCGCGATAAATGGCTATTTTTTTCATGTCTCACCCCTTGCCATGACGCCCCGCTTGTAATTAGGCAATCGACCGAACCAGGTCGCAGTCCGCCTAGGCAAAATGAAAATGGACAAGTCAAGAGGAGAGAGGTGGTACGTGCACAGTTACGCAGCAATCTTTCTGACTTTAAATGGAAGCGTTGCCGGAGCGTAGAAGAAGAGGTTACAAGGCTATGGGTTCCCTGATTAATGGCTCTTTTCGTTTCGTTAAAGCATGAAATCTGTGGCTCGAATGCCAGCATTTGTAAATGCATCGAAAATGTGTAAAAGCGGCGTTTCTTATCGACGCTGTTTAAATTTAAAGTTCCTCTTAATAGCGCTTCAATCAAAAACCAAAGCCTTTTCTTCCTTTTTGAATAAAGCGAAAGGCAGGGGCTGAGGTAAATGGACCAATATTGGTAAAACTTTTAAACTCTCGTGCCGTTCGGCTAGAAATTGCCACGCATATCTGTGGCGAGATTTCCGACATCGCGAATGCGGATTTTTGAACAGACATATTTACCATCGTTTTAATGGGACGGGATGAAAATTAATTAAAAGCAACACATCACAGCGGAGTTTACTTGGGATTCCACGTCAGTCGAAGAGCGAATTTATTCAGTTCTAAATGTGATAAAATCACAGCTATTACGTGCGGATAATTGCATGCCTTATGAAGCATATTCTGCCGTTCAATCGGTGCTATCAAAGGGATTGGATGGACAACAGTGGAGACTATTCTGCTCCACGGACCGAGTTCACCTCCATTCTGCTGATGTAGAAGGTTCGCGTAAAGTATAGTCTATAGCATTAGGAGAAAGTGCAGCAGCGGAATGCACATCGTGGAAAAGATATAACAGAAAACAATTGGGCTTCAAAGGTCATCATCGTGCTACCCACTTCACTTACTTTGTGGAAACGTGCCGTGCAGTTTAGGTATCTTTGCTGATCGACTGATAAAGTGCCCCAGTGGTAAAAAGAAATGCCTTTTCCATTCTAATTCCCGTTGTTCATTGGTTACTCCTAAACAGCAAAATATCCTAATATCCGTTCCTCACTCTGAAAATACACACCATTTTGGGCATCATTCCCAACAGTCCGTGTTCTGTGTATATATCCAAGTATTTGTGTGCGTCTGGTGGACTGCAGACACAATTAACAACTACTCCTGTCCCCATAAAGGTCAAATAGCAACAATGACTGAGATCTACCCAGTCCGTTCCATGGATTGCATTTTTTGTGAAAACAGTCGAAACACATAGATTCCAAACTGGGAGGAAAGGTCTACTTAGATTGCCTTAAGGCCACGCGAGACTTGCGGAGAGAGGGAGGGAGAAAGACACCGTCTTGCGCTTGTATTTACGCCCATCGCCAACCTCTTCTTCACTCCTCCTATACCCCTGACGAAATTTCTGCAGGTGGGAAGCGCTTGTCACCTTGCCTTGGCTGCAGCCAATCACACGGTCACATATGAAATAGAGTAGGCCTTTTGACAACTAAAAAGGGTGTGGACACAGAGGTGGCTACAGCCGGTATTTTAGTTGCAGTGACAAAACTTTTTGTAAGACTGAAATTTGAAGGAACCTTGTCACTCGATGCGACAAAACTAGAGGTCATAGACTGCAGCCGTTAATTTTTACCATAAAAACTGCGCAAACTTATTTACCTTCCCTACATGCTCAATGTTTATATAAGTGAACCTTCCCATCCTTAAGGTAATCATTCCTTTGGTGAGGTTGTATCAACTTCACTTCGAAAATCGCCATAAATTTTGACCTACAATAACATTATTTTGTTTGTACCATGATTGTTTCGACCCAGATTTTTGTAAAAAAATTCCACTACTTCCATTTGCTGCACTTACACAGCGATGGCACCCTCGATTCAATCTTCACATTGCCTAAGAAGATTCCATTAGGACAATGTATCAACAACCAACTTTCTGTTAATTTTTATGCTTCAACAAAAAGGTTAAACATTTGACCTTTTCTGTAATGTAACGGTGTCACGGTATCAATGGATTAAGGGATAATTTGGACCTTGAAAAAAGATCCACCCTGCATTTATTAAGGCTTTCCTCCACCACAGTCCCAATTCATCCGATAAAGAGGAGTTTATTAAATTCAGTCAATATCCTTAAAAAATCTGCAAGTAATTATGAAGAGATAGGTGTGGTAAGAATTTGTAAAGCGAATTTTCGTTCTTAATTTGGATTGGGCACCACAGTGACCGGAACCACTCCTTGATGAATGACAAAATCGCTAACACTGCCAAGGAGAGCACGAGAGACCGGACCCAGTCCCCGCGTTCCCATGATAATCAGGTGAGCGTCCATCTCTTGAGCAATGCGTATGATGCCCTCCCCAATCTTCTCGGCAGGTTTACTCAAGAAGGCGCAGTTCAGGGATGCAGCTTGGCCCTCGGCTAAATAGTCCTCTTCCAGTCGTCGTGCCTTTTCGACTCTATCACGAAGTCTACGGCCCCATTCCTCCACTGGTACCGAACCGGGATTGGTGAGACTGAAAACATTTAACGACGGTGCCTCAAAGATATGGAGAAAGGTAACACCATCCTCCGGCATTCGAGCACATTGGAGGTACCAGCGGAAGGCATGTTTTGCGTGGTCCGAACCGTCAACAGCGATAATCACTTGGCGTCCGCCTGGAGAGGGAATTCCTGTGTACTTCTTGTTGGTGGCCATAGAGGTACTGGCCAAATAACTCCATACTGTGAACTTCTGGCCATATGCATGACTGCTGCTGATTTCTGATTGGTCCCGTGCCTTTAACTAATCAGAATGGGTTATGCTCACCCCACATAGGAGCTAAAGATTAACCGGAACACCTACGGGATTATATCCTAAAAATTAACAATTTTGCTCTTCACGTCTCTCTTTTTTCAGTAGCCGTCTGAGCTAATTTGTTAAGAATGCACCACAAATAAAATTTCGGGATTTTAGATTTGGGTAACTTCCTGCAACTGACAATATACTAATTCTTGAGGCATGATAACCCTTGGTAGATTACAATGTGTACAGCTGCATAACGTAAATGCGCAGAAGCACCTGAAGATGCCATTTAGCATTATTAACTTCCATTTCTGGCGCAGCATTTGGGCGGATCGTTATGCGTTGGCGCCTTTTAGTGGACACCGAATCAGCAAGTCAGCGGCGTCACCTCTCAAGCCCAATAGAGTACATTAAAAAAGGTCGCGCTTTTGGGGTGAATAAAAACAGAGACCAATTTATCAAATTACTATTGGGAGAGGGTACGTTTAGAGGACCTAAAAAATTGCAAAATATAGGGAGTTTATGCAATACTTAACGTATACAATTCGTTTAATTTTCCCAGTTAAGCCCAATTCTAGCGCACTCAAACACTCCCAGTTTCCTTTTGCGTAGGGAGGGGGAGGAATTTAAACTTACAGGATGCTAAATTGTACCACATCTTTGACTAATTCCAAGTATTCGAGGCTGGCTTGTGATTAATGCAAATGCGTCTTTTTAAAATTCGGTTTATATTAGTTAATTTGCTAGCAAAGGTATTTGGGAAAACCGAGGAAGATAGACATATGGTCTTCTGTTCCAGTCAAACACCATTTACCATATATCTTTTTTTGCTAATTCAGCTGCTTTTAGAAAACTTCTAAAGGGTGATTATCATCCAATCAGGAGCCTTAAGTCAGATAAGTTTGAAACCACCTACAACTGACTGCAAACGCTGAGTTTGAGTGTCACATATATGTGACATGGGTAGAAAGCTTGTTAAATACAAAACTGTTGGTGAGTGAACAATTTATAAGGGCACCACTACATGGTAGTAAGAGTTGAAAAGCAAAAATTAGGGTTTTATCATCAGGTTTTACTAAAAGTTGCACCGATTAGAATGGAAGCGTCAACAAGCACGGTTTGCACACTGTAATGTCAGGATTATGTACTGCGACAAGCTTTAACTGTGCCTAGCTGAAAAATGCACTTGATTTGTGAATTGCTGCGTTGATTGCCACTACCTTGCCATCAGAAGCTTACGTGTCCGCTCCCGTATAAGGTGGTGGTGTGAGCCTCGCCTTTCCCATGGAAGAACACGCACTGCTGACGTCAAGATGAGTGGAGAAGCTTCTAGCATGGTCTTAAGGCCAGGCCGCAGATTGAAAGCCTTGGGTACCTGCGTGATTGAACACACGGAGAAACAAACTGTCAAATTACTACATTTACTTACTGCAGTGTGTCAATCTAGGCAGAAGAAGTGGAATGGTGCCACAAGATGACGGCGCCTTCAGCTGAAGTAACGCCAAGTAAACAGTGTATTTTAGGGGCCTAATGTGACATTTATGCATCTTTTTTCACTTAAGGCAGTACGAAAAATCGCTAGGGTGGAGTGAATTTACAGATTAGTTTTAAGGTGCGGCTTCTCAAATTAATCTACCATAAGTTATTGCCATGACAACGCGAAAACGATAATAGCCTCAAATCCTCCCAGCTTACTGTTGTCAAGACTAAGTACAAATAAGCATGAATGCAGCAAACGGTGGACCGTATCCAGTGGCAAATATAGAACACTTTGGGTTGTTCTTTTCCTTTAAATTCCCACATTTTGCTCGGCTTTAAGGCGTTCATAAAACGCGCTTTCAAAGGTGGCACAAACATGTCCGACTCATGCCTCCTCTTATGTCTGGACGTCTTAACAACAAATAATTTAATGACCAAGTGCAAATTCTCTTATTTTTGGGGGGTTTGGGTTGTTTTATTTTACATGGTCATAGGAACACAATACTTGCTGTAATGTTGTTGTAGACATGATGCTCTACTCCTTCGATAGCTTGGTTAACACTGTGCCTCAGTAATAATATAAATCTACTCCAAAGTCTTACGACTTCGAAGAATAGTCGGGAGAATACATTGGTGCCAATGGCAAAAAACCCGATCCTAAGGGAACAACTACCCTGACTTCTACTACTGACGGCTGAACCTTAAAGTGACCGGAGAAGAGCATCACTTGCTGATGAAGGAATCTGTGAAGGTTTAAAAACGAAGCCTACCTTCGGAAACTACCCATTTCCGATCACTATGGGAATGCTATTTACTGCTGAAGTGATAATAGGCATGAACCATCTGGAAGAGCTCATTACGAAGCTGTCTATAGCACTTACGTGAACAAATGAGACCGCCTCCGCCCTACCAGCTGAATGAAATGATCAGTAATGAAGTGGGAGCAATGTGACGAGGAGGAATAGAAGCAAAACTTATCAAATGACTCTGCCCTAATGCCAGTATCCTTACGATTAGTGATGAGAATACCAGACGGTCCCGTTGTAGAGCGTCATTTAGTCTACGGCAGCATGAGGACAGCGCGATCCATTTCTCAAACAGGCCTGTAGAATTGCCGAGATGAATGGGTGGAGTTGCATGCAAATTCGATGACTGGCGGTGCTGGTTCGTGGTTGACCAAGGGGAGCGCTGAGGACGACCATCAAGAGAAGAGGGACCATGTAATGCTTTAGCAGTTTATCCAATTCTGCGTTTGATTGTGCGGACACTTAAGCCTCCACAGATTGCACATTTGCTCGATGAAATGGCCTTCAAACCATGCCAGTAGCTTCTCAGTCCTCCTGTACTTCGGTATTATATCTTCTCCAATAATACTCTGACTTTATACGAATTCAGAAAAGACTCGATTATCTGCAATACGTACCACCCTTTCTGCCAACAAAAGGATAAGTTATGTTTCTCCAAGTGAAGCACTTAAAATCGGAGAACAGTGGCAAACCCATCCATTTCAACTGTCCATGCAACCGCCTGATGGCAGATGACCGAATTTGTAAACCCTAAAAGTTTTTTGTAACTCTATGGTTTAAAAAATTGGGTAAGTTGGAACAATGCGTCTCTAATTTGAAGTAGTTTTTTAAAACACCGACTTAATTCATTTATTTGCTCACTTGGAGTAAAAACTTTCACCAGTTATTATTGTTTTGAACGCAGCAGGGATATGCGAGCAGTAAAAACGTTACATCGTCGTGGGATGTATCCGTGATGGGGTTCACAGGGTACCCTTAAGTGGCATCATTAGCGAACACTTAAGTGACATGCCACACATCAAGCTGGGTACACTCTTATACGACAATTAAGAGTTGTTGTGTTGATGATGCAAGTCCTGGGATTTCTTCTGCTCATCCACAAGTTCTCACAAGTTTTCCTGAAAGTCGATGTATCCAGTGTTATCCTGTGAGCGTCTCTATTGTGGCATTCGAGATTTTTCCCGGAAAGTAGTGCCCCTGAATCCAGCATAATTGTATTCCTGAAGTAAAATCCGTTGAAACAATGGGTTGCTACAGATTTTACTGAAGCCGAAATAGGTTCGGGACGTTTACAATGTCTAGAGTTTTTACAGTGGTTGGGACTACTTCTGTGCCACAGGCCTTCCGCTTCCTTCGCGATGATGAGGGACTGTGAGATCCACACGCAACTTGCACTTAGGCAGAAGAACGTATCGCCATAGACTGGAGATAATAGGCGCAAATTCATCACCGTCTGGATTAAGTTCTTAGAAATGTCTACAAGTTTTCAAAAGGTAGAGGGTTCCAGACCTATGGCTGCATCAGTTACTACTATGAAGTGAAGAGAAGAATGATGATTGGAGCAAGTGAAAGGAGTTTAATGCCTACTCTCATTTAGACCACCAAAAATTGGTGCTTATAGTTAGCGTCAGTCACGGAGGATACCCACTTTAAATCCTTTAGCATCACTTAAAATATATTTAGGCAGAATCTGCTTTTTATGAGGCAGCAGTTCCAACACAATAGAGCAACCATGACTACATGTGCAGGGAGAAAATTTTACATATTGGCATTAAAAAAACAGGATATTGCATCCCAAGGTTGACTGCCCATGGGAGTGACGTAGCAAATGCCTGGATGGCAAAAAACACGAACAGTCATGGATGAAATGTGGCAGTAAGAATGGTTAACATTTTGAGAGCGCAAAGCAAATGAAGCTTTCTTCTGATTGCCTGCGCTTCAACTGCGCTCATGCCATCAACGCTTCGTTTGTCAGCGCCGCTGTGTTGGCTTCAAAACTTGTTCCAGACTCTCATGCCTCTTAACGTCCTCCAAGACCTCGGTATTACCAGTAGGAGCAGCAGAGCAAAAAACCTCTTGACACACTACTCCGTACGACGAATACCTCTGTTTTCGCAGATGCTCCAAGAAAGGCTTACATCTGAATGGATTAACTGATCCATTCTAATTTGATGAGTCGACCTTTGGCAGGTCCATCCATCGCAATTCATGCATCATGATTAGTACACTGGGCCAATACCCACATCCAACAAGTCTGAAGGATCCATTAGACGAACTGCTCAAACCGCACTTCTGCAGCAAATCCTAACAAATTGAGGTCCTACCTGGGACTAGCGACAGGACCCACACCTTTTACACGAAAAACCAATCCCCGAAAAACTTCGTCTTTACCGACTGAACCAAGATTTGGAAAAAATAGAAAAAGTGAGGAAAATAGGAGGGATATTGGTAGGGGGGACAGGCAAACGCAAAGATGATACCAAAAGGAAACCCCCTCTTTACAGAGTGTAATGAAAGTAACGAATCAAGAGGTGAAAGTGGATATTTCTCCGAGATCGCGATCGGGTTACCATTCAAACCAAAGAAAAAAGACAGAAAGTTTACCCTGAATAAAAACTGAAAACGATACTTAGTACTATTAACAATAACTTCATGGCTTTAGTAAGTCCAGATAATTGGAGTAATAAAATAAAGTGCGTTCGCTGTATGAGTCCGTGTTTTTGTGGAGAGCACGGTGAATTTAAATTTGATTTGACTGGGATGATACTGGCGGCGATGGTCCGGCTATTGGACTTTATGCTCTGTCAATGGGTGGTGGGCGAACTCGTAGTCCAGATGGACAAAAGCGCGTTCCACCTCGTCCAATGACTCCAGCTTTTGTTGAAGCGACTCGCCGATGTCGTGAGCCTTGTGCAAATCCATGTCACGTGGTAGAACAATGTCCACCTGTAAAAGTACACACTGGAATTAGGGGCGCTGCTTCCCTGTACTTCTTGTGGCCGAATAAACTCTAAAAAGTGCATAGAGAGATCGGCTGTTTTTCCCAGACATCTACACGTGTTTTGATTTCTTATTACCTCATGAGGTGAGATGACGAAGCGGTCATACAGAAACTTACGGGACATAGGGCAACATTTCCCTATTTTTGGATCAAAAATAGGAGCTACTAAACCACCAGCTTGCTACTTATTAAATCTAGTAGGATGTGCATTTGCCAACCAATTTTTAGGCATAATTTGTTACCCCAAAATTATGACAAATCATAATCTCTGAAAAACGAAAATTTTGTACCGAAATCAAAAAATAACGGGTCATTTAAACTGCAAACAAAAGTAAAATACATAGCCTTTCAGATAATTCAGTAGTCATGATATTCCAGGCGCTGAAACTTTCCAGTTCTGGCCTATCATTAAAAATTTTAAAAAATAATGAAAGTGTAACATTTTTAAGAATACAAGACCGTAGTAGCAAGCACACTGTCAGCGTTTTAAAGTTGGATGTATGAACAGTGGAACATCGACAACATTATAGGAGAAAAGCCGTTTAAGCTCATGATGAAGGCTACATCAACAACTATGCACGTCGGTAATACAACAACGGGGAACAACTTTCCCAAGAGACTAAGTAATGATGTCAGCCCCTAGTAGGGCATTCGTGCAAGAAAAACAAATTTAAGCATGACGGAAGGGAGTTGCCAAAAAAAGCAGCCCTCACAGTGAAGACGATAAGCGATGAGGTCACAATGGATTGGCTGCGAATCAAGTGCTTGCAGTTACCCAACCAAGACAACAACAAGGTTGAACTTCCTATGAAAATGACACCTTTTTTCAATTAAAAGTCTCCAAGCCTTTGTTTCAACTGTGATCTGGGCTCTAAAACTAATCGCCGATGGTGCATAGAGGAAAGGGAAAAAGATAACGGATTGGCAGTTTCAAAAGCACAAAGCAGCGATTTGAGCACCGTTGAATAGCTTCACAGGATTATAATGAAGTGAACGGCATGTAAAGACACCATTCAAGATTTTCTTAGCTTCTTCAGCCTAGTCTAGAAAGGTTTACACGACTGTCCAAATGGTGTGAAAGACAGTTTCCAAGAGAGATGTGAAGCGCCTACCTTGGTAACAACTGCCAAATCTATGGTCAAACTGACGGTGAATAGAACAATCCCGTGCTAATATAACCAAAAAATAGACAGCAAAAGGTGGAGACAATGCCAGAACACTAATGGAAATGAGCGCGTTGATACTGTTGTTGTAAATCATAAATTCTCCGCCAAAAACTGGCTTTATCGAAATTCCCGGGGAAAAAGCATCGCTTTGTACAAAATCGGGTGACAAACATTATGTGAATAATGCAACAAAGCGTTTGAATGTAACCTCGAAAGTGATGCAAAACGGCAATAAAACCAAATTATCAGAGCCCATTAGCGAACGAAAATGGGAGGTTGAGAGGCTAACAATTACCATAGGGAGGGCAACAGGACGAAATCCATATTCTACACTTTGAAAGAAAACCGTACAAACAGTTCAAGTCCCCGGCGGATTAGAAAAAAGAGGCAGAGAAGTTTGCAGATTGACTGAATAGTAACAGTTCCACTGCGGCATGAGTTATGGAATCTCGAGTACGGGTGTAGTCGAAGATCGCGCATAGTTGCGTAGCAAATGAAAACAATCGTAGTCGCGTTAGAGAGCCGCCCTTACGCCAAAAAAGGTTAATTAAACGAGAAAAATTGCTAAAAAAAATATTGCAACTGACGTCTTGCCTTAAACCGTAGGGCTACTATGTTTTTCCAATTTACCCCTAATGACAGCAAAGTAGCTGTCAAATTTCGTCAATTTGTAAAAAAATTTCAAGCATCAAAAAGTGACCCAAACTTGGTAACTTAAAAGCTCTTGGGGACTGGGAATGCTTGCAGCCACAGAAAAAAGCTCCCAAATGCTTCCATTTTCTTGGCTGACATCTCAACCATCACGTTCTAACTCATTCCTCTCTGTCTGTCTGGAACCGTGTGTCGGTGTCCCGTAATTGACCTAATAGTCCACCTAAGGCCAAGGTCATTCCAGGTACTGCAATGTATGCGTGACCGGAGCGACTAACTGTCTCGGCCCGTCTTCGTTGTCTGGCTGGCTTTCACGTGTCCGCACGTAGCACCACCTTACGCACACCCGTCGGATAAGAGGTGCCGCATTTGTCTTTCGCCCTGATTCGGCGCTTGACAGGAACCACTCACCGATGTAGAGACCAGTTTATGACGCCTAAGTTTACTGTCCCGTAAAAAAAGGAGATATGGGGGGGGGGGGGTTCGGATTCACAATCTACCTAGTGGCGTCAGCACAGTATAAGTCGTGAAGTAAAGTGCTTCACACCAAGGGAGAAATTTGATGAAAGCGAAGTTGTCTGCCACAGCAAGAAAGGCAACATAAGGCAGCCCGGTTCTCAATCTTAGATCTTCCGGCACAGTCAAAGTCGAGACATAATCATGCAATCGAACCACAAAAAGTATTAAAGCATGGACCGAACTAGATGGGAAAGAAACACTAACCTCCACCATGAAGTTGCTGCCTAGGTGAAAGGCTCGGACAGTGTCCAACCGCTCGATGGAGGGATGATGATTGACACAGATGAAGGTGATGCGTTGCAAGAATGCCGGATCCGCGCTGTAGCCCGTGAGGTTCCGTGTGTGTTCTATGCAGAAGGAAAAAAAAATAGCCCCAGTCAGTAGCTACTGGCACCCTAAGTGCTCACTAAAGAAGTAATGCTGTAAAAAAAGGGGGCATAGCAAAGGTGATACTTCATCCGCCAACCTTTCATCCTGTGGTTGTCAAAGTGCTAGAGTAGATCAGCTCACAGGGATCACGTGAGTGCGTGCGAGCCACCGAGCCGCGTCGCATTAATGCTTGTATTAGCTGCGCAATATATCACCTTTAAATACTTAATCGACTACTTTAAAACCTCTTCTTTAACAGAATGATACCCAGTTTTCGTTATCAGTCCCCTGTAGTCCAATGTCCACAATAGTGGCGACGTTTTGCCACGTAGTACAGTTAATTTTAGACTCTACTGCATGCTGACTTCTTTAGGGACAACAAAGAAACTGATTCAAGTGCCTTCCTGCTATTCAAAACTATCTGGTGACGGTATCAACCGCGATATAATAAATATTCCTGAGAAAAATAAATGTTTAAACACTATGTTTCCATCCTCAAATACGGTAAAAAAGTGTCAGACGGACTTACCTGCACCCATCTTCCACCAACTATAGACAATGTAGGCACCGATAATAATGGCCCCCGAAGGATCTAGGTACTTCAGATACGGAACTCCCTCTGCAAGAATGAAAGAATAAAAAAGTAAATTTGGTTAAATTAGAAGTCATGCTTTGTAGGGAGAGTTGTCAAACCAACCAAATAGAAGTGACACTTTCAAGCAGCACGTGTTTAAGTATACATTCGGCACGTGTGAGGACTTTCAGGTGATTTTACACAAGTCAGATAACTTGACTGTGATTGGAATTGCCACATTGATGGGACTAAGCCCTTGCAATACCTGAACTTGAACACCTAAGAGTGTATGAAAACAAGCCCTAAGCATAATGAAATTTATTGCCCGAAAACATCGGTCCGAGGGAGGTTCAACGCGGCAAATATATGCCTAGAAAAACAAGACGCCATGCTACTGGGGTTATGTGGACCCAATGCTCGATTTCCTGTTCCACGGTCCCACTGATCTCATGAAGCTGGACTATTCCCACTCCCACCACCACGAACGATGCGCACAGCATACTTTTCAGGGTTCCTACAGTCGAGTTTTGCCAACCACTATGTGTGATGACAAACATACTGCCAACTGTCAATGTTATTTGGGATGTCAACGCATCTCTAGATGATTCTAGTGGCGCTATAGTGCCATGGAAACTGCATACGCTTGGGGCCGGAACATTTCGAATTTTTTTCAGAGCCGGGAAAAAGTGCACAACAATAAACCAACTTGTTTATTCTAGTCAAATAGAATGACAGGACATGACAACGGCACCAATATTTGTTGAAATAGGAAAACAACTTAAAAACTTGATTATAAAGTCCTTCTTTATTTAGTAAACGGGACCTAGATAGTGCCATTACAAAAAAGCCCTCACTTAGAGGAAGGGGAGAATGCATAAGTAGCCAACGCCGAGGTTTGAAGGTGAAATGCAAATAATCCTATGAGGAAAAAAAAAACGAAAAAGGAAAATACTGGTACATTCATCTTTGTGAAATGGAACACATCCAACTTCGTGGTCAATGTTAGGAGGATTTCAAAGTCAACAGCTTAATTTCAAGAAAATAGTAATACCGCGTCCAGGAAATACTTGAAAAAGGAATTTACACAAGTGCAAAACCGTTAGAAATTTTCCTTCAAAAGCGCGTCTTGAAACGAGATCTAACGCAATATTGTCTATGAAAATATTCCATTTAACCTGAATTACGACAAAAATCGGCAACTGAAAGAGGGAGGAGGAAATAGACTACAGTGGGAGCATCAAACAAACTACACTTTTACTGTAGAAGCCTCTGCGGGAAAAGAGTGTAGGACAAATGAATAATACGGAGTGGATTGTATCAAGACAACTAATCGCTTATCGCCAACGCCTCTTCCAGTCTTTGCGGTTTCAACGACCGTCTTGATGCCACGACGTTACAACGTCTTCAGGCACTGTAGAAAACGAACGTAGGAAAAGTGGTCCAGTTCTTCGTTTTTCGAATCCATTTTTGGGCACCTCTAACTCATCTCTTTATTGCTCCAAACCTTCCATTTCGCATTTGAATTCGTAACTCGAGGTCCTACAAGGTCTCCTACCAACACTTACTCTGGAGTGGTTGATATCTAGATAGGAGCAGATAAAAAAAAAACAACATTCTTAAGTAAGAATAAGAGAGACAGACTGTACCGATTCGTGCGGAGAGGGTACTGAAAATGAGCGCAATGGAGTTGCTGAGGGAATCGTTGAGTTGATCGTTCTTCAGGGCTGCCACAGATTCGCCCCGTCCGAACTTCCAGCAGGCCAGAAAGAGAGACACCTTTACCACTGTAAAAAGAGAAGAAAGTCATAACAAGAGCAGTAAAAAAAGTACAATTTTTACGATCTATTTACTCGCAACATTTCCCCCACTGCCTGCATTATCTAGGAGGGGTGGGGGCAGGGGTTGTGGCAGTTCTGTTTATTCCGGTTCCCGATTTGTTGACTTCGAGGGTAGAAAGGAAGGGTAAACAACAAAACTCTTCAAGGCCACATTAGGCTGAAAGAGGTGAACAGGAAGTGACCAAGACAGGCACTGGGGATGATAGCTACCATAAAATGCGGCATCGTGGGCCGCTAGGGACCAGGCGCTATCACCGATTCAATGATCATAAATAAAGATTAAAGCTGTAAATGATACAAATTCAATGCCGAAAATAAAATATTGATACTGATCTTATGCCACTGACTGAGAACATCGAAGTTAGGTCAGCAGCATGGCAGGCGAGCGAGGTCACAGTAGCACATGAACAACTGGTGATTTCCAATTCACATTAGACATGTCAACTGGAAATCCACTATATGGCCTCGAACGCGCAGAGGCAGTAATGGCCTATTCTGATCACACTTTCATCTAAAAGTTGTTTACATGACTACCTGCAGACAAGTGTTTAATTTTGAGTTTGAGCAGTGAAAATGGGGTAAATAATTTGAGACGAGCGGGTGAGGTCCTTGCTAGACTGCTCGCTTCACTGCATAAACCCCTCACCCTCAAGTATGGAACGACTGATTCCACAAAAGAGAAACCCTCGACATTCCTGGTACCTTAATAAGACGCTTCCTAAAACTTTTGATAATTTAGAAGGTGGGGCCTTGGAGAGAACTGACACCGCAACGGAAAAGTGACCTGCTGAAGAGGACATGAACCTACAACAGCTGAGCTGATGCTTTAGGGGGCGACCCTGCACCTGAGAAGTGAGCCATGCAATATTCTTGAGCGAAAGCGAGAGAAATACGAATGAGATGAGACCGGTGATCGGCGTCAAGGCGTGATGGGGTTGCGGTCCCAAGGAAATTAGGTTACCTCAAACGACGTGGTCTGGACGAAGCTGCCAATTAAGCAAATAGGCACGTACACTTTTTGAAATAAAAAGCAGGTAGACCAAAGTTCAACCACGGTTGAAACACTGGATAAATTTACTGGTGAATGTGCAACTCAAACACAAGCAATTCTGACATTTAACAGAAAGCACAGCACACAAACATCACGCCAATTCGTACTGATTGGCATCGGCAGTACACAAGGGGACAATGGAAGAGTGGTTGTGGACAAGTGTGGAGGCATTCGTAGTGACTTACCAATGGTGGAAGCGACAAGGCCAATGGTGAGATTACTCATGATTGGAGGACCCTGGTTATTGGCGGCCATGTTGTAGATAGTCTGCACCGCTTCCACCATTATTTGAACTGAGACACTAGCCATTATCACAGAGAGGATGATCACTGCCACTGGCTCCAGTCGTCTGCGTCCTAGACACAGGGGAGTAATATTTTCCTTAATTCAACCTCAAAGCTAGTTGTTTCAGGCACCCCTATGCTAATGGTCTCCCAGCCCTTCTGTACGCTTTGGTTAAAGCCACTTCCAGATTTTTAGGTGTTACAGGGCCTTCAGGAATAACTTAGTGCCGATGCACCTTTCTGAAAAGGATAAAAAGGCGACAATTTTGGCATATCCCATGTACTTCAAAAATGTCTTTAAGATCAAGAATACCAAGTGATAATGCAACTCCTATGAGTCTTTGAGAACCCCTAAAATCGAATCTAAGCTCACCAAATGCAATGATGTTTTGACTAGTTACTTGTACTGTGAAAACTGTTTAGGAACAAGGAAATGGAAAAAAAGATCGTCTGATAATGAATGTTGGAAAAATTGCGTCCTTTAGACCGTTGTTGACAAGGTGGTGAGTAGACATTGGTTCCACTTTTACCATTCCAGCACAGAACAAAGCAGTAGCACTGACGAACTCCCACAAAGTCCATCTCTTCATACCCCATTGGCATGTCAGTTGCCAAGGTCTCAGAGGAAAGATGACTCTACACACCCCACAAAAGGGAATGTTGCACTTAGTCATGCCGCTCAAAGATAAAAAAATAATTATTCTCGGGCCACAAATCCAGCACCCAGCTTGTCAGGTTAAAGCCAAAAAATCTTTTTGTGACGCACAATTTAATGGTGCAATAGTAACCATGATCTAACAAAGAACGCAGTGTCACATATTTGTGACGTCGGAGTCAGGTGCAAGACTGGGTCACACAGGTGACGCTGATAACGAGCTCGTTAATAAAACAAAAAAGGGAATCCCTTGAACAGCACGGTGGATTCAAAGGTCTTACCACGGCTTAAATACCAATGCAATCACATCGAGACTAGCAGATCCTCAGCTAAGTAGTTGTTGCACTTTTTCTTTGCTTGCGAAATGAGCGTTGCCGAAAGTCACATAATACCACTTACTAATATCCAGTAACCAACGCTTACGGCATTTAATGCTCCCAAACCTGGGCGCTGAAAAACATCGAAATGGAGATTGGTAAATCCGAGCCTAAACGTCAAAAATGTTGAAAAAGGATCAATAAAAGAGGGACCCAGAAATGCCACATCCAAACCTCCAAATTAGACTATTTTATCAGAAAGGATGAGAAAGTGAGGTCACCTGTGGGATAACTGTAGGGCCGGGACTTGCGCATCTGATGGGCTGCAAGCCAAAGGGTGAAACCTGAGGCCAAGTCGACCGCACTGTCCATGAGGGAAGAAATGACGGAGAGGGAGTGGGAGAGGATTGACGCAGCCATTTTGCTGCTCAAGAGGAGCTGAAAAAGAGCATCAGATGCGCATCCACATGTCGACGGATACTAAAGAAGCGGAATTGTTAAGCGAGGTCCTGAGGACTCACAAGGTTGAGTAGAAAGGTAAACTTGATGAGGAGATTGTTGACCCGATTCTGATGTCGTACTGTTTGGTTACGCTCCTCCATCTCACCATCTGCATCCTTCAGCAGGGACATTGTCGACTGCAGCGACTCAATCAACTTGTCCTGCTTCTTGTAGAACTTTCTGCACGTGGTAAGAAGGGATGAAACAGTTTATTCAGGAGTACTGTGGTGGGAGATGGGGAATTTAAAAAGTCGTATTCTTCGAACTTTCAAAACTTTCTGTCTAGTGAAGTGTTTCATCTGCCTTGGAATTAACTAGGAAAAGGAACTTCGGGATTTAGAAATATAATTAAAAGATGAAACGAATCATAAAATCATGATATTTTCGAGGACGTGTCACTGGAATAATGAAAGATTTGTAGCCATCAACTAGTGAGGTAGAGCAATGACAAAAAATTGAATGCGGTGAATGAAATAGTGACCTGAGATAGTGTAGAGATTGACTTGCTGTATTGACACTAAGATGAGTGGAGTACATGCAGCTATGTAGACGCCAACAGCTGGAGATCGGAGGAAATGGTTATCACAGGAATTTACGCGTCAATTAGAAGGGCTGACAAACTGGCCACACCATTGTAACTGGACGAAGCAAAATTTACATCAGCCACAACCTATGACCTGCATTTTCATTTTTAACTACAGTCGACAGAGTAGATTTGTGAGCCGGATCGTAAAAGCGTGATTCATCTTTAAATACGGAAAGGTAACGAAACTGTAACACAAAGTCCATTAAATATTACAGTAAACAATCGTTCGAATCACATCTGCAAGAACAAAGACATTATTGCACCAAGGAATCCCTAAATATGCTCATTATTCTGATTGGCTAAGATGATTCCCTAGACCAGAGTACCGGATGCTTTAACCCTATTGAAAAAGCATTTCAAATGAGATTGCACTGCCCTCCTCTCACCCTAGCGCTTGATGACACCATTTACCCAATTTTTTTGCGCGAGACGATAGGACACACTCAACCTTCAATATCACAGTCATGCAGGGAAGATTGAGGTAACGCTGCAGGACAGGCGGTAGAAAGGGAATCCTGAACACTTATTGTGCCAAAACAAGCAGATGCTTATTTATAAAAGCAAATACTGTGGAGGAGACCTCTTGAAGTGCTGTATGAAGTAGCGAAAATACGGAAGTAGTATCAGGTTGGGCAAAATGAAAACTAGCAACATAGAAATGCTTTCGCAATGGTGTGAGGCGACAGCAAATACGGCTCGCAGGACAAGACGAGGAGGGGATCACTTGTGGATTAGAAAACACCCCCAAAATTACAAATGATAACGAAATCTGTCAATTGCAATCCTACCTCTAAGAGGGAAAAATAGAAAGGTTTAATTTACGCACCTAACTTTGGATGGGAGTTCACGATCCTCGGGATTTTCACCTCGATACTTATCCCAGAACATTGAAATTGGGTGCGATCTCCACCGCTCATCTAAAAGTGCATAGGGCGAAAAAACATTCTCGTGCGAGTTTCCGCAAACCAATTGGGTGATAATGCAGAGGGAGGCGAGCTGTTCCTGATGGTAATGAATAAACAAATTCCTAGTTGATTGCAAAATGGAAGATCACTTCCTACTCATATTAAACACTGTTACATGAATGGAAATAAATTGGTAGGCATGAGAGAAATTGACACATGTATCGCCAAGAAGATCCCGAGTTCATTTTTTAGTCAACAAGCAAATCAAGCATTGCTCCACATTTTAAATCACTCAAGTAATAAAAGCAGTCCTGTCGATAAGACTACCCAAAACAGGTTGATAAAGTGTGTAATTTGATTTGCAAAAGTACAGAAGTTGACAAGAGGAAAAAGCATACCCCTATTGCTCTCAAAACCTCCAGAAGCGAAAGCAAATGCTATACAGCGAAGAAGGTTTTCGTAAAAATGACAGCAAAGACAAGTAATCAAGATCTGTTAAGTAATTTAAGAATATCAGGATTATTTCACTCGGTGTTGTGCAATACCTCTCAAAGGAAACGAGAATAATTAACAGCACAGATATTACGATGGCGTTATGAAATAAGCATTGACAGCGGAAATAAAATTTGATGCCATGCAGAAATCAGATTGTAATCCATTGAATAAGCAGTTAGGCAGGTAAAAAGAGGTTTTATAAAGTTTCCAGTTATTCGCTATCAATGAATCGAAATCGAGAGTAGAAATGGTGATGATTACAAATCATGTCAGTTTTTGAAAGTCGTAACCAATGAGACCTAACATAAAGCCAAATATCATCATTGTAAATCTCACAAAGTAAAAGAAATGAGCAAAAGCCAGTATCGAAACCTCGAAGTGACGAGGCTTACTATAATTATAGATACCTTCATGAACGGAGGGCCGTGGATCGACAGAAAGAGAGTTGGAAGAGTTCTTTTCATTCTCGCTTGATTCGAAATCACCGGCCCTACGGCTGACAGGCGCACGGTCAATATGGGGCAAAGGCAAGGGTAGATCAGGCGCTGCAAGTATCAAAAAGCGGTAAATGCCACTAACTGTATACATAAAATTTACCATCTAGCACATGATAAATCTATTCACACCCAACAAAGTGGCATAACAAAAATAAGCGAAGCAGGATACTCACTTATAAATTCAGCTAAGAAGATGCAGAAACATGAGCAAAAGCTAGACGAAAAGTCGATGTTGATAAAGGAGTAGAAAGGCAGACAAAAAGGTTCAACATTACTTTAGCTATTTAGCGCAGGAGATAGTAACAAAAACTGAATAAGTACAGATTTGGTCTAATGCAACCTCATATTCAGCACAAAAATGAGAGGTACACTGCAAAAAAATTAAAATCCGTAAGAAGAAGCTAAAAATAAAATAAGCTGTGCAGGACAACTGCGCACTTTCAAAAGTTATAGACGAAATCAACAGGTATTTCTCTATAATTCAAAGAAATATGTGAGGAATGACGAAGGTAGCCATGCGTGCACAAACAAAACTATCATTATAAAAAGGTCGAAAAGCAAATTCGTAAGGTATCCATTCCGTTGTTTGTTTTTGAAGAAAACTCACAATCGAGGAGGAAAGTCATTGTGAGCGCGAATTCAATGGTGCGGCTGAGTTCTCTTGGGCATTAAATTCATTATATCAAACAAATCTAAGCACCTTAAAAGTACTAGCCTTATAAAAACAATTGTTATATCCGTTTTACAGTGCAAACATAATAAAATACGCCTTTTTAGGTGAATGGTAAAAATTAAAATGCTTTGAAGAAAGAAAAAATTGATTATTAGCACTAACAAGCGCCCAAGACAGAAGTTCACTTTGAAATACTATGCAAAAATGCAAATAGCATTAGTAGGGTATTAGGGATTTTTTTAATTAGTAAGGTGCTGTTGTTTCCTGGTTAAAATCCCACCACCCATTCTGCGCTTCAGTTTCATGCCAACAGAAATGAGTGCATGAGTGAGGGTGGACAAGTTGTATTGTTTAATGTAGGTTTTGTTAAAAATGCAGACTTGACAAAAGGTCTCGATTTTTTTACGTCCTTTACGTCATTAGGACACTAACTTAAGCTAAACTGACAACTTACCACCTAAAAATCAGAATCAAATAATGTGTGTATTACACACGAGTTCAGATAGAACCAAAGCAATGAAACTTCCTAAATAAGCTTAAAATACCAATTTGGCTCTTTTATTTGAGTAACTTTTTGAAGCAAGGGTAGTGATAAGGGGTTTTTTCTTAATCGCTTTGCATATTTTCGCGCGAATCGAAATTTCGTTACAATGCTACAAAAACTTTATAGATTAGCAGGTTTTTGGTTTAAGCTGCGCAGTTAGATACAAGCTTTGGGAATGGCATCAAAGTCTTCGTTACGGCAGCTACTCGATTAACGACCTTATTTTGTCACCACTCTAATTATGCTAGCTAACTCAAAGTTTTTACGAAACAAATTTGGACGCCTCGATTTTTCAGAATTTTTCGATGAATCAATGCTTAGATTAAATGTTGAACGGGGATAAACCCTTTTGGTTTCAATTTGTTTAGGTACCTTGCATTAGGAGCAATCCTTTTGTGATTGGTAGTCATTTCATTCCCTCACCGGATTCGTTAATTTATGAGGTTGCTGTTTTGTATTTTTATGATGTTTTATTCTGTCATTTGGCCAAGCTACACCCTCAGGTTGGTGCTCTTGTCTATTTTGGCCTTGATATCAGAACTTGGAAGAGTAGATAAGAAGAAAAACAACTTGGAATTTTTGCCTTTTTGTAAGTCCTTCCTCCTAGAAGTATGCTTATTTTGGTGTATTTTCATGCAAATCGGTACGCTTGAACTATTAGTGCATCCGATTACCCGATTTTCATCTCAGGATTGTTTAATATAACTTGGGACCTCTAATCCACATCCTGTATTTTCCGGTTATTATTTTGCAAAGTTCTCTTTTACCATGCAGTGTCTTTCCTGTCGAGTGGATAAATTAAGAACATTTAGCTTACTGCCTAATTCCATTAATGTCAAGCACCTTGCTCTGCAAGACGAATGTTTGTCTGTTTTCTTTGCAGCACTTTTAAACTTTCTCTACGTTAATTAAACATTAATTTAATGCGATTGCACATTATCTGTACTGTTTCTTTTTGACTCTTGAGGCTTATTTTAAACTTTTTTCCTATTACCAAGGGTGTTGACCACACCAAAATGCTTTCCGTGGTTATATTTTAACCCATCAACGCCGTCAAAGCAGTAAAAGAAGTCGTTAAAGAAACAAGCCTGCACTATTAGTGTGCTATACTTATTTTCACCTTAATGCAGACTTAGCAACTTTTGGATTTTGCATTTCCCGTGTCTTGAGTTTTTAATTCCAACATTATTTTAATTGGCTCTGTTAATCCTTTTTAAAAGATCTGAATGAACAGGCGAACCTCTAGACGGAACACCAGGGGTCGTTCCTCTTCTTCCTCTTCCCGCTCCTCCACGTCCTCTTCCAACAGCAGTTGCACCAGAAGCTCTAGTGAATCTGATAACTCACGAGACTTCAATCTACAGCTCTCACGTAAAGGTCTAATCCTTCGTTCCGTTCCCTTGGATGGTAACTGTTTGTTTTCCGCGTTTGCCGATCAACTTACTGGCGATGTCCGTGACCACACTCGTTTACGGGATGAGGCTGTCAGCTTTCTCCGTACCCATTCTCACGAAATGCGCCCCTTTTGTGACGACAGATCTTACAAGCACATGCTGCGAAAGCTAGCTGAAACAGGGACTTACGGAGATCATATGTCGATTGTGGCGTTGGCTCGGGTTAATCGAGTTGATGTGATCGTTCATCGCCTGGGTCAACCACCTCGCCTTGTTGCTCGCGGTTGCACGTCTTCCTCATGTGCACACTCTCAAATTCATCTCGCTTACAACGGCGATATAGAACACTTTTCTAGCGTTCGAATTCGTAATGGGCCGCCCACTGGTCCGGCTAATGTGTATATGGACTTGAGGCTGTTAGAAAAGGAAGCTTCGAGGTCTCTGAGTCATTGCCATCGCCGGAGTGATAGTGAACATCACGAACATCATCACTGCGATCATGGGAATCGTAAAATTTCCCACAAACTGATGCTCACAAATTAGAACTGACGCAGTCTTTCAAATCTTTATACTTACATTTCCTTATTTAATTTTGGTTGCTTTGAATATTTGCTAATAAAATAATCTCGCTGTTCTTTATTGTTACACTCGTTAGCCACTGTGAGCTTCCACTATTCAGCTGTTCATTTTTTGTCTAGCATAGCTCCAATGGGCAATCAAGTCTATGGAGTGTCTTCGCCTCAGGTTGTCGGGTGTGAGGAGTGTCTGCACGAACTACAGAACTGTTTTACTTTTGAGGAGGAACTTAGGGGATCTCGATTGTTTAAAGTGGCTAAAGTGAGGTGAGTACCTGCTCTTCTTGTCATTCCCTGCTCCCTACAGGTGTATGGGGAGCAAGTGGTCGCCCCGCAAAGTAGTGAAGGTATTTCCCTACACAAAAGCCACCTTCTTGATTGAGAATGTCAGAAAGGCTGTACTCCCATTTTGTCAATGGATTGAGGGTGCCGTAAATCTACTTCCCCTGAACATGTACGTTCCATTCCACAATGGATCGTCAGCATCGGCTCCACCTCTCCCTTATCTTGACTCGTTGCCATGTGTTTTAGAGACTTCGTCACCGATAAGTACGCCTTCATAGTTCGTGATTTTGTGGACCACTCGCTGACCGAGCGTCTTTGCACTCGACCCTTCCTCACTATGGACGAAAAACGGTGGGTCGCCTTCCAACTTCTTTCTGCTATCAGTCAGCTACATTCCTCGACAAATGCTGACTCCACCGTGAGTTTTAAAAGTCGAGATTGTTTGAGTGGAAGTTTTCATCACTTTAACTTTTGCTCGCCTTTTCTTTTTCCTGCAGCCGCGTTGCCATGGGGACATTAAGTCGCAAAACGTACTCCTCACGGCCTGGGGCTGGTTGCTCCTGGCCGATCCGGCGCCCTTTAAGTCCACCCGCCTGCCTGCAGACAATCCGAGCGAGTTCACCTATTTTTTTGATAGCTCCCGACGTCGGGTCTGCTATCTAGCGCCTGAACGCTTCATCGACCCGCTGCTCTGCAGTGCTGGTAATGGTGAGGCATTTGGTTCTGCCCCTGGGTCTCTTAACCTCAAAGGCGATGTTGATCCCGTGAGTCGTTTCTGCTCCCCTTTTTAAGGAAATTTGCTGCTGTTTTCAGGCAAATAGTGGTGATGGGTGGCCAAGTGATCTAATTACAAACGAATGAGCCTGTTCAACGTTTACTTTCTTGTGCATAAATGAGCTATCCCGCACACACCCCTGTCTTTCTAATGGCTGCTTCCCAATTTGAGTTTAAAAGGGTGAAATCTTGGTTTAAGTATCGCCTCGCATTTCTCCGTCTACTCTAATAACAAAAATATTTGCCATCGAGATGATTTATACCTATTCCTTTGAGTTAGTTTTCTCTAACTCTTGAATGACAATGGTCGTCAGTTGATTATGAATAAGTTTCTGGGATCTGATTATGGCTAATTCTTCACCTGTGATTTCCGATGGCTAATATTTAAATCTGTGTTGAGTGAGTTAGGATTCGCCCATTACTCACCTTGTCATCTTTTTGCTAATTCCGATATTTTTTTGGGAAAAATTCATGCATTGGTTTGGCTCCGTGACCTCTGCTTTCTGCCTTTAAGGTGTTTTTTTTGGGTAGATGCCCCGTAATCTGAAGAGGCAAAAGCTATTGTCGAAAATGATTGTCTATAAGTAAAGCGGTGATTTTATTGCGGAATCCCCCTCCAGTTCCATATTTCCAAATAACTAACATCATTTCATTTTGCTGGTGCAGTCAAATGAAGCACCAAGTTGTACTTCTCATTTGATGCAAGTAGAGCTTCAGGATGGTCATATTCGCCGCTCCCTTCAATGTGTTCAATATGTTTTTGTTTCAAACGGTTTATTTAACTTAGATCCTTATGTGAAAAGTGCGGGGTCTACGTATTATTTTTACTTTGTCATACATGGGAAACACTCCCAATTCTTGTATTCCGCAGCATTTTATTTCAACCCATCGTATGTAATTACACCTCATGATCCACGTTTTTAAAGAGCCAGCAGTATTTAGTCCCCAGCTATAACCTTCTGCCCTTTGATAGCTTTCACTCTTAAACTAAATTATAATCCTGCTTAAGTACTGTTTCGTGATGGTCGCATTCAAAGCACCCCTGATGTGCATGTAACGCTATTCCTTGAATTTGCTCAATGGGCACCCATAATTCGATCGTCTGCAGATAAAACGCGGCTCTCTTGCTGTAAGTAAGTGAATTCACAGTCCTGCTGATGCATGCCTGAGGGATGAGTGTGGTTTAGCATGGAGCTGTAGTTAACGTTATTAATCTTACTGAGCTTGAGTTGAATTTTTGTTAAACTGTAAAGCTACTACACTAAATCGGCTCTGCGATGCCTAAAGATGAAGCACTGCCTCCTCTTCCATCATTTGTTCTTGCTTTATTGGGGATCAAAATAACCTCCCATTCGCCCTCTGTTTCGCTGTCAACGACGAATCTTTATCTCCTGCCAGTTGCATTCGTCTGTAGTCGAATTAGAGGAGCTCGTGATAAATATCACATCCCTTCATGTCCAAGCCTCAGACAAATTACGCGACAAATTCTGCGAATTTTTACAGCAAAATTCGATAGCTACACATAGCTTCCTTGCATGTTTTTTTGAAATGATCACTGTCAAAATCCATCGTCTTCCAAGGCGACGCAGAGTTCCTGCAAATTCAAATTTTGTAAAAGATTTGTCTCAGCAGGCATGAAATCCTTGCCCTAATCACCTCAGTTCCTGCCTCACTTTTGCCTCTCAAATGACGCAATCGTAGGTGATCATGTGACTGCCAAATGACAAACGAGGTGATAAACAGCACTTGAGGAAATATCACCAGAGGAATGTGAGGGATGAGGATGAGGCAACATCTCTTATACAACTTAACGTGTTAATCCGCTCATAAGTAGGTTTTTAAGGTGAGGATTTTCGTCAAATTGACTGATGTACTACCCTTAGCTGTTTCCTCAGTCGATATTTTTGTGGATATGTTCGAGCTGTGTCATGTTGAGGAGGTAGATCCCTGTTATAATTGAGATTTTACCTTCATGAAGTAAACGATTGGACTTGCGCCTCACCAATATGCAGCAATCCTAGTCTTCTGGAGGTAAAATGGTGTATGTCTTGGAAGTGCGGGGCAAGTTAGTGAGTAAGTCGTTTAGAGACAACCATAATTCATAATTCAGTCAGCCAGGATATAACATAAAATGCGCGGTACCTTTTTATCAAGCGCATGGAAGTGACAAAAGAAATGGTGGTCTGGGGCTTATTGTCGTCGACTAAAGTGGTTACCTTACACCACGATATTCCATTCTTAGATAACGTAGGTGCAAACTGATCGTTTTATCAATCACCCTGAAGATGAGCGATTTATTAGCGCGTTAATTGAAGGTTAAGGTAACAATAGCGAGGCAATGTTCCTGGCTTTGAGGAACTCAACACCCGAATCAAACTATTAATTTAAACCATTTCTAGACAGTGTGTTCTGCAACCTCATTCTGCACCTTGCCTAAATGCTAAACAAATTTTGCAAGAAGATCCAGAGGCTTCGAGACCGAGTTCAACTCGGTCCCGAAGCACGGATCACGTTTGCCAGGTTAGTTCAAGCGGCATTTTCATAACATGAGGACTCAAAATAAGAGGAAGAGAGTAGGGAACACTAACAAGAGTAGTGCACTGATGAACTGACAGCTGCGGTTTGTAGTTGGTGCATATAAAGAAGGGCATGCGTTTGAAAAGTCCGCAATTTACAACAGGTCGTTTTAGCAGGCCGTCCTAAAATTAGTGCATTTCTCTTGGTTATCTCAACTACGGGCACTTCGTTTTGATAATGAATCTCAACTTTCTGCTTTTGTAAAGTTTCCATCTTCGGGTTAACACTTTCGTTACCAGCATTTGTGTGACGCCCCACTTTTTCAGCTGCAACTGCTGATTTGCGCCAAATCCTGAGTTTAAAACAATGAGTGACTTTCCGTGTCCGTAAGATGTTTTTGAGTTAAGGATAATTGCACCTTAGTTTTGGACTGTTAAAAATATGCCCAACAAAAAATGAATGGCATTCGGTGTTATATTGAGCTAGTAAAGCGTCTGAACTGTGGTGGTCACCCTTTCCTTGAGACAGACCCGAAAACGACGTATCAACTGACAGCTCCAAGAATAAAACTCTAAGTATTCTTTAATGTGGACGCAATGGTATTGTCTTCAGCACAGAGGGTCGAACGAAACCATTTGATGGATATAAATGAGGTGATCCTCTCCATTCTAGCTTGTGAGGTATGAAGAACTTTTCTTTCTTTGATAAAATATGGAGGAAGAGGAGGTGACGGTCGGTGAGGTGGCTGATGAAAATCTGCACGCATACGAAGAAGACATCATGTCGTCGCAGTCCCTAACGCTCACCAACACTATTACCGGAGGTAAAAAGAGCCATTCAAGTGAGGTTGACAAGGCAACTAATCGAATTGGCCGCCTCCGACTTATCTCGGGCTCGTGTCCGGACTCGGCGTCCCCCACACCGCCAAATGTGAACATGGAGAAGCCTTTGACGGAGGATTTCATTAGAAGTTTCAATGAACCGCACCTGCGGCCTTCGATGGACCTCTTTTCTGTCGGGTTCGTGCGCAATCATTTCATCTTCCCTAGTTCTCTACCGTCCTCTATCTTAATTGACTGCTGTTTGCGGTGTGGTTTTATTTTCAGGTTCCGAGTTATAGTACGTTCAAGTCTGAAAGTAGGTTTTAGTATTAAACCCACAGAAGAGCAGTGAGATTATGAGCATAACTCCAGGGTGCCTGGAGTCTTAAAAATGCCATCGATGTCATCTTTTCTACTACGGTCATAATGAGGTGGTGGAATGCACTACAGCCATCGGCAAGGCAGGAACAGAGGTTGTGGGGCAATTTTCTGTCATAATGGGACTGATTTCGAATTCAAAGGTAGTCCTGGTTGTATTATGAAATTGTATTTGTCATATTTTGCTGAAGGTTGGACGATGGCCTTCAGCAAACCCACCTCATAGATCGCTTTCCTTTGTAGGGGTACTTTGCCCAGCATGAAACAGATTAGCAAAGCTCACTTTGTTGCCTTACCGGCTTCTTGAGATTTTTAATAGCTTTTTTTTGCAGTGTGAGAAGGCATTTAGGTACCTCAGGTCCAGCGATGTGCGGCAGACGCCTTTACCTTATGACGTTTAGATTTGACATCTGGCCTGCAAATTGGGATTTTGGGGTCTTTTGTTGTTTGATCCCCACGGGTCATTCTTGGGTGCGTTTTATGGCGCAAGACTACACCTTCGTTATAGGCCTTTACCATACGTTGAGAGCTGAAAGGTCTAGGTGGGTAAGCGTGCTTTTAAAACAAAAACTATTTTACCCCATAGGTGTGTTCTGCTGGAAATGTTCACGGATGGATCGGTAGCTTTTACGCTGTCCGACCTACTCGCCTACCGTCGCCATCAAAATACGAGGATCATGAAACTGCTGGCCTCTGTTCCGGATCCCGCTGCTCGTGTACGTCGTGTCACTTTCCACAATTCTTGTCTTAGGGAACCAGTTAGTATGCCGAATCAATTTGATGACGTAACTTTTCAGAATGCTCTGCTGTAACTTCGTGACACCTCTATTTCTATCTTGATATGCAAGTGCATAAAGAGGCCAACTCATAGCGTTGAAGAATTTCCATGTGTATTCACCTGTTTGATTGTATCATATCACCTCCATTATTAAATCAGCAATTAACCCACCGAAATTGCAATCGTTAAATGTGAGTTGCGATTTTACTATCTGATTGCGGACTAGATATTATCACACTAAAACCTCACCTAATTCATTTATAATTTGAAACTTTGAGAAGAATCCTTACTATCGCCTGGATTTTATGCTATGCGGCTGGGTGTACGACTGTTTGGTCTACCGCTGCCTGAAACAATGTAAAGACTGCATTTGTTGGTAATCATGGTCGCTGCTTAGGGTGTGAACGACATAAAGCGAGGGATAGAGGTAAATGGATTAATATTTAATAAAGTACTAAAAATATTTATGAAGAGAACCTAGTCTGATTAATTTTCAAGCTACAAAATGCCGAAATCTTCTTACTGAATTTTTCGGATCATAATAAGAGATTGAGTGAAGCGCTGGAACATGGCTTTATTTCTTTTTTTGTTGAAATTTACTGCCTCAGGAGATAAACACTATAATACAAGGGGTATAATTGACTTATAATTATTGAAAAGTATATTAGATTTTCATCAGATTTTGCTACTTTTTTAAGGCCATGGTTAGTATAAAATAGGAAGCGTAGTAAGATCACATTACCGCAAAGGCGGTCTTGTTACCAGATTTCTTTGTTCCTAATGTAACATTAAACGTTATGGGGCGGGAGTCGTTTTCAACTCATTACTTTATAAAAAGGACTGAAAAAGTTTCCTTTTTTTCCAGATTATCTAGTCGCACATAGTTTCCATAAATTCTGAAACATTGGCAAGGTTTTCAGTTGTTTCCGCATCTTACGGTTATTAGTAGTGAGACGGTTGACGGTAAAAGCCATATTTAATAGATTACATCATAAAAATCGTCCAAACACCATTCTATTTTGCAGTCGATAGCAAAAGATTGTGTGATCTAATATGTAAAGCATGGCTGGCTCTTTTATCAACGCCTAGAACCCTAAATGCCAATTTGCTACCCCTATTTATAGCTGCGAGAAGGGTACCTCATTTCTAAAAATAAGGGATACAATAGGTGAGTTTTTCCCCCAAAAAATCATTAAAAATATACCCATCTCGACTAGAATTTATCTTTTCTCCTAGGGTGAATAGTTTCTTTGTCATCATTTAAAAGGATGCATAACTGTTGCTAGTTTGCTGTCTTATTGGCGTCCTTGATACCTGCTTACAAAACATCGAGCTCCATAAAGGAGAACTGCAGCCATTTAATATCATCCGCCAAATTGCTAAAATAAACTGTTTTCTGATTGTCTGCTTTTGGTAGTCACTGATAACAGAGCTGCTCTCGCTGCATCCGGAGGCTCGCGGCAGCGCTGCACATCACCTCTCCACTCATCGAGGCGGTCTCTTCCCCGAATTTTTCTTTACCCACCTCCACCCCTTCATGCGGTCTTTCCTCGAACCTTCTATGGCCAGTCCGGACGCCCGGCTTCGTCGTATTCGAGCGTGAGTTTACCGACACCCCTGCCCGCATCTGCCCCCATTTATGGACATTTTGCGGAATATTTTGAGAGCTATTTGTGGTAGATTACCGGTGAAGGCCCTCTAAAAAAGCTGAGCTTAAAAGTAGTCGGATGAACGTTAAAGCCACTCGCTATCTTTTAAGACGACATGGCTATGCTGCACTATCAGCAATGGCAATCCCACTTCACTCTATCGTTTGACTTTCTTCTATTTCAAAGCTATGATAAGAGCATTGTTTGTATAACGGGATTAGCAGAAGCATTTTTTTTGTTAAATTTGGCTTTTCGGAGGTTGAAATCGTTTTCAGGTGCAAAGGTTTGCAGCCAAACTCAATTAAAAATTGTTTATGGAAGACGCATGGAAGAAACGATCTTAATTAAACGAAGGGACTTACTTTCACTCTGTAAGTCTTATAATGAGTATCCTAACTAACCTGCTTGTCTTGGCAAACAGATGAATTCGATGCAGACCATTTATAAGACGGTTTTTCCTCACAGCCTCAGCGTCTCAGGATTGTAGGTGGTTATTGATGGGGAATTGTTGCATTTGATGCTTTTTCCCTGTATATTTTTATGATTGGTTGTTTTCTTGTGTTAACTTTCCGTTTATTCACGCATAGGAAGCAGCTTCAAAGCTTTGCTCTTCCCAAAAGTAGACCATGTTAGGAAAAATCGGTTAACGGAGAACGATTGAGAACGTGTATCTGAAGCGCGCTAATGCTTTCTCTTGCAGAAACCTACCAAACCTTATTTCTAACCTCCTCAATGAACCTTCCCCCGCCTGGTCCGCTGGTTCCATAGTACTATGCAATCTCATCACCGCTACTCTGCACCTGCAATACTTTAATCGGGCTAATCCCGTCACATCTGCCTATGTCGATAAAACATCCTCTGTCAGTGAGACCTCCAGCATTCCTTCCGAGGATGCCAAAATGGACGCACTTTACTGCCTTTCCCTCCTCATCAAACGCATTCCCTCCCTCCAACTCTTCAATCGTCTCTGGCCACACTTCGTTGAAGTCCTCTCTGATTCACGGCTCCACGGTTCGGGGGTCCGATGTCTGGCGTTGGAGGGTTTGATGGAGAGCTTGGAGTGTGCGACGACCATTGCGGTCCAGGGGAAAGGGGAGAGGAAGGCCGATTTGGAGGAAGAGGAATGCGTGGCAGTGATTAGTGACACACGCTTCCTGAATGAATTTCTTTTGCCCTCTCTCTCGGCATTGACTCAGGACCCCTCTGTGGATGTGCGAATTACACTGGCTCAGTGTCTCCCGCGGCTGACCACAGTTTGTTCACGGTGAGTTCGCTATGCGTCCTGTTGACCAGTCAATTGCTTTAATTTGGATGTATTTATCTAGTGATTTCATTTTAATTCTCTAGACTGTTGGATCTCGCTAGACTACGTATCATGAATGAGAGGGAGGAAGAGGGCTTGGATGAAAATCTGCCGGAGCAGGTAGGCTGTATCGGTGATGTGGCATATTTCTAAAATGATTATATCACCTAATTCTCTATCAAATGAATGCTAGGCTGGATTTTTCGCTCCTGGTAACAACTTCACAATGAAAGTAGACTTTAACTTTGTGAGAATTTCGTGGATTTTATGTTGAGTCGTTACGTTTTTGAAGCTCTTGTGTGTGTATGACGAACTGAGATTCAATACTCCATATGCTTATGGTACTGATTAAAAAATGTCTGTGTTGTTGGCATATTCTGGGGTTGTCGGATCGACACAGACATACGATCGTCCCTTACCAATTTGGTTTGGGAAGGCATTCTTGTCTGGTGGACCAGAGGTCGTTTTAACTACGCCTAAGGACTATTATTTAGATATTTAGTAAATTCAAACACCAGAGGTTCAGATTAAGTAGCTAAACGGTCCTCTGGAAGCCGAATTCGATAAAGTAAGAGCCTATAGCTAGCAGTCACCCATTATCTCTTCAGTCATGCAGATCAAATTGTTTCAGCTTTTTTAAGGTGAGAGGTGATGCATTCCGAATTTCTAATTTCTGAGTATAATTTGTACGGATTTCCATTTGCTTTTTTGGCCTAAAAACAAGAACAGTATATTTTCAGTCTCATTCTTTTGAGGTGGGGATGGTTACAATTTATTATTGATGCTTAAATATGAAACATATCCTTTCAAAGCTCTTGTACTGTTGAAATTGTGGTAATTTAAACCATTAACGCTTATTCACACGGAGCTTGAAACGGATGTGAAAACCTTTCATTTCACTGCAAATTTTGTCTTAAAATCCCTATATGACGAATTTATAAAATATCAGTGCTCAGCACCTCAGTACCCTGTAAAATTGTGTTGGAAATGAAACTTAGTCAAAAGGAGCACGTTTTTAACCTATCCGAGGATTCTGAATAAACAAATTATCCACGGAATTGTTGTGGAGGTATCGAGTGTTAAGCTTGCCTCATCTTGTGCTTCTCAACTAGGTGTTTTGATGGTAATCCGGGGCGGTGCAACATGATGGTGCCCATGTGGCTGTAGAAGTTGTATGTACCCACTTCGTCTTTCCTCATGCAGACTCTGCTGTCGGATGTGAGCGCAGCGCTGCACTTGATGGGCGCCACCTTGCCGACACGCGGCGTGAACACGGGGAAAGAGGGGGTTCAAACGTTTCTACGTGAGCGCTTGGTGGCCCTCTTCTCAGACGACACGATAGCCAACCTTGTTCGCCGCGCTCTTATCCAGACTGCCACCGGGCTGGCCGCACTGGCCACCTTCCTCGGTCACACGAAGTCCAGCGACGCTATCTTGTCTCATATGGTTACCCTCCTCAATGACAAGGTCAGGCATGTATTCTTTATGCCTTTTCAAAGCCAATGCTTTTCCAACGGTTAGGAATGAGTTATTAAGCGCTGTCCTCTCCCGCCCAATTATCCCACTCAGATGCAAGATTCGACTCACTTTGAGCTCATTTTCACGAGTCAGAACATCTACTGACATCGTTGCTCGTAAAAATAAGACTTGTTAGGTTTGGGTTTTGCTTCCTCAAGGTCCATTCACTGCTGCTGTTTGTTGGGTTTTTCTGTTTAAGGCAACATTATTCCTCTCTCGGGACTGGTTGCTTTCCATCGGTTTTAGCAGTACCATGTCCAGTTTACACTTTCACATAACTAATTCCTATTCGCCTTCATTACGATTTTACCATTCCCATTTGAAGTACACCTTAAAACTGGAAGCCATCGAACCACACATATTTATAAATATGTTTCCGTATTCTTGTTTCTGCGGCGTCAAGTATGTATGTTAGAGATTCCGTGCTCACTGTCACTTTTTCTCCCTTTAAAGAAGGATGCAAATCTGCGCGCTGCCTTCTTTAACCAAGTGGCGCCGCTAGTGAGTTGTTTTGGCCCGCAGTCGATGACCGTGCTGCGTCCACTGTTGGAGCAAGGTCTCGCGGACCCCCACGAGATTGCTCTCGCCGCCTGTCTGCGAGTCCTCGGCCATCTCGAGCGTCGCCATGTCCTCGGTGCTCCCGTCACCATCGCCTTCCTCCAACGCATACTTGCTCTCACCGCCCATCCTGCTGCGCACATTCGACAGGTTGGCGAGTATTGCCCTTGACACTTCTATCTCCTCGTATCGTGTGATTCATCCGTTTCCCAATGAAACACAGCAGAAGATTTCTGTTGTTGTTCTGTCTCTAGAGCAACCACACCATTCTCATTCACTTCAAGTGAATTGCAGCTTAGGTTACTGAGTTCAGCAGGTGTTAGCTTTCTCTCATGCCTCTTTTGTTTTATTAGTTGTACCCGCTTTGCCTTAGTCTTGAAGATAATGTGGTTTAACGCGTTTATAGATTTTGACTCGTTGGATGGTTCTGTGTTCTCTCGGTTCAAAGCGTTGACCACTTATCTATCACTTCGCTCGTGCTCTCTTTACTCTTCCTTTATTTTCTATTTTCATTTGGTGGGCTTAATTCAAAATTCCGTGTGTCTATTTTTTTGGTCATGTTTTCGTTCTAAAGCTTCTACATCCTTCCAGACCGCTTGATAGCATAAATTGGCAAGTTATCCGACATCCTCATTTTCATTTATTCTACATTTACGCATTATATCGGTCATTTCAAATGGGCTGGATTGTTGATCACAGAGCATCGTCGTCTGTTTGAAAAATCGGCAAGCATGGGATTCCCTTTTTACCCCTTGGATCTCTTGGCCTTGTTGAATTGGAGTTGATGCTACTTTGGATGTATCTAAAGAAGCGTAACTTTATTTAGGGTCTAGCGTTGCTAAAAGATCCTAGTCACTCCAATTGAACTGAAGTTTCAACCCCCAAGTTTAATTGGACATTATCATTCTTTCGCGTTCATTGTTATTACGGACTTACAGTTAATCCTGCTTTCGTCTGTTAGAAATTGACTGTGCAAAGGGTTATTAGGCTTAAATAAAGAGTTGACTCTTGAGAATCATCCCTCTTTGAAAGGTGAAATGTCAATTGTCACCAGCGCGTAGGCCGAATTGTAGGAGACCGAAAGGGCCCGTATGACAGTGTGCAGAATTTTCAAAATAGGTTTTACCTGATAAGTGCCGTTTTTTTCGGGTCACAACTACACTTCTAGTCTATGAAAGAGGTAAATAAACGACATTTTGATCTAACAGCTGAAATAATTTTTCTACTAAATTGTAATTTGTTAATCAGAAGGGATATGAATGAATTTGGACATGAGAACCTGCTGGCGTAGAACATCGTCGTACCTCTCTCACCCACCATCATCCCATCCCACAGGCCTGTATCGCCTACGTAACAGCATTCGCACGCACCGGTTTGAAAGCCCTCACTGTTGCACCCAACGGACCTCTGGACGATCACACCATTGAGACAACGGAAGGCGGCACTGGTGTCCACGACCACCGTCCCTATACTTGCTCCATTGATCTAGAGCGCTTTGCTGGGGGCAAATATGGTATTGCCACTGTCTACGCTCATCTCTTCACGCGGGAGGTCACTGAGGGCATTTTCGCGTGAGTTGGAATCCACACTATGGCAGAAGTCCCCAGTTTTGGGGTTTGATAGTGCTTTGGCTTATTTCCTGTCAATTCATCCCAACGAAGGTGGAATTTGGCTTACAAAATTGCATGATAAGCTTAAGAACTCGTCGTTTGTAGCGGTGGTAGTCGTTACAGTAACACCTCATTCTTTGGGGTTTTGTACTTTTATGTTTTATCAGTCTCTTAACTCGTCTGTCACTTAGGTGAAGGCTTACACTTTAAGAATGTTTTGCCAGACATCAAATTTTGTCATTTGCAGCGGTGCTCAATCATATCTAATGATTCAAAACCAGCTTTGCATATTTGCAATTAAAAAATAATCTGTACACTTTGCTTCTCTCCCGCACCTTCACCAGACGTCCAATCGGTTCGAATTTCACGAACGACTCAGTGCTTCTGTCTGCCCTGCACCCTTGTCTGAGTCATGCCTTTATTGAGACTGTCGTCGCGACTCTCTTTGATGTCGTCGCGGAATTCCGCAGTGAAGACCCCTCCGTGCCGCCAATGTCACCGCGTCAGCTTTGTGCCGACCTGAAGGAACACCTGCAGGAGCGTCAGGCTGCAAGGCAGACCGCACGGAAGTGCGAGACGCCTTGGTACCCTGCTCCCTCGGTTAGTTGCCTAGGTTGCCAGTGCTATCGCTGGATGTGTTTGAAGGAGCTGTGATGAAATCTAAAAGTTTTGGATATCGACTTTCATGCTCATTGTTGCTAAATGAAGTTAGCGATGTCATATCTGATACTATATCACTCCATTTAGTTAGTTTTATTGGTTTAATCAGTGTCAAGGGATGTTATGTCTGTCCTGAATTAATCATACCGTGGCATTTTGCGTCAAACTTTCTGTTCCGCTCCAAATACTGTGGATCTGAAGGCAGACAGCGGTCAATGTGCTGTCACGCCTATCGCAGAGAGAGCGCTTAAGAGTTTGGGTTCTTTTAAAGTCTCACGCATTTTTTTAGTGGCACGTGATTGAGGTACTTCAGGTTTACATTGGTTCATGATCGAAGTGTCGGCTACTAGTCACTTAAGCGCTTCTGCCTATTTGAAACGGTGTTTTTGTGCTTTGTTTGTCAATATCTAGCCTCTGTGGTGCTTGCCTTGGTTAGTAGAGGGGGTCTAAGGTTGACTAGGTGACAGAACTGTGGTAGCAGTAGTTGAAGATTGCTGTAATATCATTCACCACGAATCCAAAATAGGTTTTAGATTTTAACTAAATGTTCTTTAAAATTCCATATTCCACTTTTGTATCATTTCCACAGTTTCTTTGGTGGTTTGAAGATTTTTAAACTCTGACATCTTTTTCCTCTCCCCTTTCCCACACACAGAGCGACCCCGTTGCCGAAGTTCTAAACCGCCTCCGGCAGCACGAGATGACTGACCAGGCGGAGAATCAGTTGCTGCGCCTAGCACCCCTGTTGATGGGTCTGTGTCAGAGTGCAGCAGACTCCGCGGAGCCAGGCTCCCGAGTCTCCTCCATGTCAGCGACTCTGAGGGCGCCCAACCAAATGGCCTACGTTGTCCCTTTGTCCAGTGGGGACCTGCCGAGAGCGAGACTCTACCCCTTGCCAGCTATTCCCTCGGGTGTGGTGTGCGTGCGACGGCCTCAGCCCATCAATTCAATCGGTATGTATTATGAGTCGTTTATGTTTGTGCGGCACTTTTAGGCAGCTCATCGGCTACCAACATCCCGTTTTTAGGTTGACAAACTACTCAGTGACGCTTCACTGTGAATAATATCCATTCATCATAAACACACGAAAGCTTATCAAAGTGAATGCTGGCATACGACACGTCGAGGAAGTATCCATTCGCTCAGTACTAGCACAATCCCCAAATGCATCGTCATTGCTAACTCTTGGGAGGTGGCAAAATTTTCCTGCTCGAAGTTTGGATTGAAACTCTTCCGCTCACAACGGAAAGCACCTTGTTAAAACTCGTTACGTTACCTATTTCGAAAAGTGCTGAAGAATTTTCACACTTTTTTGCCCATTTATAGAACCAATTTTCAGAGACAAATCTTAAAAGAGTGAAGTCAAATGCTTGGGACCATGCTCATCCACTGGTTGCCCAGGTGTTCACTTGATAAAAAGAACCGAAAACGAGACTTATTTAGGTTTGATATCTTCATTCAACCTTCCCAAAGTTTCTTCCACCTTACTTTCTTGGCTTCTTGTGTTTGTTTTTGTAGCTAAACGTTTGATGCCTCCTGCATCTATCACACCCATAGCAGATATTTTCGAGTTTATAAACCTGCTGGAGACGACTTTTTTCCAAACCGAGCCCACACTACAAAACCAATTCCTGTGCTTGTTGCAAACCCCCTTTTCCACGACTTTTTGCGCGTAAGTTCGGCGGCTACCTTCACCCTAGACCGATCGGCATCCTAGTGAAGCGAGTCACGTGACACGGCCGAACACGACTAATTACTCCTTTTTCTCCTTCTGTAGCAGCTTTTTGCAACAAAATTTTGGGAACGTTTCGGTTATTTGTTTATTTCCACTTTTTTATTTGGAACTTCTCCAACTTCATTAGCTTTAATGGCACCAACAAACGAAAGTGCTGCATGCCAATGCCTCCGAAGGGTTTCTGCGCCTGCAGCCATTATATAAAGCTGAAATCCGTAAGCTGCTAACACAAGCGAGCCTATTTAAAGCAATCGAGAAATCCAGGGGTTCTTATGCTAATTCCTTTGGCGACCGCTGTGTAAAGCAGCCTTTTCTAGCTACAATTGTACGATGCATAGGTTAGACATATGAACTCATGCATTTTTTTCCTAATAAAAACTAACTAATCCTAGAAAACGGTGTAATTGCTATTATACGATCCACATTCCGGTCGCAACAGGGCACAAGTTTGGAATCAAAAAGTCTAGTACTAGACAGCTCCATTCCTATTTTTTCCCCTTCCGGTTTTTATCTGTTTACTTAATTTTAATCTGATTACGGAAGAGAAGTAGAGAATGAGCTGATTGTTGTCTTTTAAACTTGTTCCTATCTTAGCACACGCACTTTTTAGCTCTCACGACTTTCCCTGTTGATGTGGGAGTAAATCACTTGTTTACCAAAAGTAACCCTTGACGCGTCAATCTCCAACTCTTTTATTGCCACAGCTATGCGTGATTATTCGTTGTTGAAAATGGGGGTCTTTCCGGACGTGACCCATCCACAATTGAGTGAACCATCTCATTAGAACCCCATCTTGGGGTATTCAGAATGTTTGAACCTACGTCAAATTTTTGTATCATACAGGCTTGGTCACCGTCAGGTTCGGCGAAGGCTTCATGATATGGGGTTTTAAAATGCAAGGAAAGGCGCAGAGAACACAATAAAGAACACCGTAACGATGGCCTGACGCATGCACCCCTATGCGAACATTTAAACAATGATATGCACTGCACAAGTTACAACGAGTCATTGAAACGAGCCACACTAAAAACCTTGCACTTGATGTGAATGCATTACGTTCTTATTCTCCTTCAGTGTCAACTCCGGAGCTCATCAAATTGTCGTGTGAAGCAAAAACAACTCAGTATCCTCTGTAAGTCCTTTCTTACTATGTAAGTGCACTTTATGATGCTATACAGCTTTATTTTGTCTTTTTTAGCCCGTCCATGTTATGTGAAATTGAAGTTATAGTTTTTGTTAACCAGTCACATTGGAATTAACTTAGCTTTTGAAACTGCGGTTATTTTGAGCACTTAATTCTGATTGCCTTAAAAGAATTTTAATTGATTTGTGGTTTCCTTAAGCCAAATAGTTTGGACCTTCCCCTTCAAACTCGTGACAACCCTTAAGTTATTGCTCAATCAGAATGCACCCGTTAAACGAATTTTCCTCAATAAAATGAGACGCTTTGATCTCCGTCTTTGAATCCATTACGGTCAGCGGTTGAAAGTTTCTAATGTTATCATCCCCATAGATTGTGATGTAAAAGAATCAACCTTACTTGTATGTCACCCGATGCAATGAAATGGTAGTTTTGTTTATTCAAAGATGGAATTTCGAGAACTGATGTTCCAAAAACCCCCTGGAAGTCAAAAGCACACAAAGCAATAATTCGCTAGATTGGCCCATGGGAACCAAAATATGTAGATTGAATTAGGGAGGTGTGAGGACGCTGAAAAAAGAGGAAATTTCTGTAAAAGCTAGCAGGTTTGCTGCCAGAGATCTCTCTTGGAGGTGACTCGACCACTGTATTCTGGGGATTTCATTGGTCTAATGGTTCTCCCTTCCGAAGTAATTCATCTTTTATCTGAAGGAGGCTTAATTTTGCGAGCTGTGGGCCTAGGTACGAAAACTACCGCGTCACATGTGCGTTTTAATTTTTAAACGCAGTAGAAGTTGGTGAAAACACATGATAAAAGTGTGTTTAAAGCTCCTTCTTCCGTGATCCGGCGTTTTTTAGCTTTACTGGTGGGGCTAAACGCTCGTGATCAGCGATGAGTCAAAAGGAAGGAGGTGCTTGTATCTTACCAGATGAATGCGCTGTACTTGATTGCCAGTTAAGCAACTTTCTTCAGCTTGCACTACCTGAAATAGCTCGTACTCGCTTTTGTTGAATAAATGTGGCCAGTAGTAGTCGGAGAGATTGTAGGCATTACTAATGGGTGGAGATTAATTATGGGGTGACAAAAGGTGCATACTGTTTTAGCTTTAGCTCGCTGCAATGGCTTGTGATTTGAAGGGCATCAAAAATGCATGCGATTGTTTATACACATAAACTGTAAAGCCTAGAGATGCGTCGGTCTCGTCATGGCGCTTTCTACGTATTTGTACCCTTTACTATTTTCTCATTTTCGACCCGCCCTTATGTCATGACTTGTCGATTGACATAACTTGATAGATGTGCCTCGAGCTTGACTACTTTAGGACCCGGGCTGAGCCTAGTCCCAGAGACGCTAAACCTTCTCGTAAAATGCACCTATTGTTTAGAGAAGGTGCGGAATGCCCTAACAGAACGTACTACCTGGAAGTGGTTTAAAGGAGTGATCCCCTTCTGGTGCCGGGTCTCCCAAAGGTAGATGCGACATTTTCATGGGGATCCTCTACTTTTTTGAATGATGAAGAACTATGGGTCACTACTGCTCGATTAATCTCGACTTAACATATCTGGAAGAACTTTCGGTAAAGTTTCGGAGGACACACGGTGAAACAGTTGAGTTACGCCTACCTGAAATGTGAAAATCGCGAATGGTAACCAAGTGGGATCCGCGCGCCAATCTGGAAATTGGGCTACGGAAACGCTTCGTTCACTTTAAATTGTTTACCGTTTGCTTTTGTATTTCAGTGTTAAGTGAATACTTGTATCATTGGTTTGCTTCGAACGATCCACCAGCCTAATAACCCCTTCATACGTCCCACCTTATCCTTCAAAGACCCTGGTTTGTGTGTGGCGGGTGGAGTACTCAAATTCTCACTGTGCAGACCAACACGACTTTAGGGGTTGGAAGAAAAGCTTTCCTCAGCAAGAATAGCCGACTAGTCAATAGGAAGACAGTGCGAGACCTCATACCTCATTGCATTAAAACTGACTCTTGAAAAGATTTGTGCTTTGGGCTGGGAGGGAAGGGGGAGAGCAAACCTGTCTTATCGCATATTTAATGTACCACTTGATGATATTTTCGCAACCGATGGTTTGGGTCTTACCATAGCTTCAGGCCATCACGTGCTCATCCACGAAATAAAAGTTAGGTGGAAACAAAGATGACTCGACTCATACGTTTTATAGCAGGGAAACTCGTTGGGGCAGGATTATTGCTTACAACTCGTAAGACACTTGAAGAAGCGTTTTACATTTATTTCTTTTATGTTACAAGAGCCGTGCAGCATTGTTTACTTACCTCGTGTTTTATTGCGAGGATAATTAATGGTCACCTTCATGCAATCTAAATGCAGTGTGTTCTACTATCATTTCGCCATTGCGAGCCACGTCGTTTAGTTTTCAAATTTGAATGATGTTTTGCGTACAAAATTATAAAAAATGTAAGTGTCTGCTAAGTTTGGATTTGCACTATGGAATCTAGGAGGTGGCGACTAATACTGGGTAGTGTGTGTGTGCCTCTAAACTTTCTCCACCTAAAGCTACCACCGATTCAAGTAATGTCGACAGATTTCAGTTAAGGCTAGTGGTAATTACAGTTTACATTAGGCGTGGGATGGCACTAAGTAGTAACGAACGCATACATGCTCACGCTTCCACGTAGAGCCTTCTTTCAAGTCTCACTCCGTAGTAAGATTTTACTATAACTACCTCTTCTTTATCTTTCAGTGGTAAGCTATATTAGTAATGGAGAAGCCATCGGTCCTCTGTTCGTATTCGGTTTGAGAATCGTGCATGAGTCTTCTCTGAAGTCGATACACGGTGTATGGGTCTGGCCAGAACTTTATTGTAGGCCTATAGAAAGGTTGACGAGTGTTATTATAGAAATGACGTGATCGGGACACCATTTCACCGTGTTGGTGATCGAAACCTACGGAGACTGGAGAGTCCACGTGATGAAATTGGAATTAAATCAGATCCTTCTGTTACACATGTTTGTATGATTCGCCACCTCAGAGCTACCATCAAAACAAAGCCCTCGTTCGTCGATATCATCTCGTCCCGCATCTGCCAGGGTCGTATTCCCTTGCCCTCCAATCCTCCTCCCAGGGCCGTGTTTGCCCGTGGTCTGACTGTTGCTGCAGTATCGACACCGAAGCCGGCCACTGCGGAGGCTCGTGGCTCTTTCGTCTCTCTCCGCGTTTCCAACAGCAGCTTTAACGGTAGTGGTCGTCCTTCGCACACCGTCTCACCAGTTACCCTCACCTCCCCTCAGCTGCGATGTGGTGTTGCCGAGTTCCCAACGTGGGCACTGGGGGGTGGACACACTTGGCCCCGTCTACGACTTCTTGTGCATGTGCATGAGCACATGCCTGGTCATTTGAGGTAAATATGCTCCCGTAGTTTGGGTTGCAGTAATTTTTTTGCTGTTTCGACTCAACTGTATTGTTTGAAAATCCATGGTAAGGACTGCTAGATCTTATCTCGCCTCCTTCACCACCCAGTGGCAAATGCTTATTTAAATGCTAGGGTAATAGACTGTTCTTAGCCATTAACTTGATAACGGCTACTCAGGGATGTACCCATTTGAAATTTCAACGACTCATCTTTGATAGCACAGGTCCAATGTGAGATTTATTGGCCTCAGCACTGCCGATCTGATAGTTTAAAGGGCATGAAGTAGTGGCTTAGTTTGAAGGTCTACCGTAAACTAGTCTCCTTCTCATTTGTCGTCTGTTTAGAACCGAACTAGAAGTGTCTACGGTGAACTGTCGAATTCCATCTTGCTGTTTCTATCAGATAATACGATTGGCCGGATTTATCGTTCCTAGGAATGAGTGAAGATTTCTGTTTTCTTTGCTGATTCCTATATAGGAAGGGTTTTGTTGCCGGTTGATGTTAAGGACCGCGGCGCTGTTCAACCACTTTATATGCCGTTTTAATATTCCCACGGTTTTTTGTGCTAGGACTGCTCATGTTTGAGGTACTTTCATAAGTTACGCTGTTGATATATTAGCTTGAATGATCCCAATGAAGGCAGGCTTTTTCGATTTATGACTTATTATGATCACATTTCAGGAAGGCCTTGAAGAAAGGGGATTGGATGCAAAAGTAAAATTTTCCAAACTTACTTTAATTCCTCAAAACCACCCCAAAGCTCTCGTAGATCAATGTTAACCGAATCCCTATTTACCTGTGAACCATTGTGCTATTCCTCCGACATCCTTGCCAACTAGGATTATCAGAGGTATAAGGAGAGCTCCCAATGTATTTAATGTTTTATCTTCCTTCCCTCCATAGCCTAGCGCTACATCCATCCAGTCGTCTGCTCGCCTCTTGCAGCAGTGGTGATGGATTTGTCAAGTTTTGGGACTGCGGACGCGCTGCCCACGCCAGTTCCAGCCAGTTGATGGCTTCCACCGATGAATTCGTCGAGCGAGTTGCCAGCGAGGATGATGAAACCACCCCAGAAACGCCTGATGATAGTTTGGTGGCTACGGAAGTGAAGATTCCAGAATGCGATGCTGCGGATGACGACACCTTTGCTGGACGCTCCCTTCCCTCTCGATCTCTCTCCAGTTACTCGGTTCGACAACCTCAGGACGCCCTGGAGACCAAGCAGAGCTGTCGGGTAAGTCGGAAGCGTTCGGGATTTAACTACTGCCTCTTTACTCTTTTAGTGCCTTGTGTGGACAGAGAGCGGAAGCAGTGTGGCTACACTGGTCAATAACTCGGCCATTCACCTGGTGGACGACTCAGTCAGCTGTCTGCGCTCCCTCTTTCCTCTGCAGACGGCACATCACGGAAGAGCCACACACTTGACTGCCCCGGCGACCGCTTTTTGTGGCGATGATGGAAGCCCCCTCCACTCCTACATGCTTGGTGGAACCGATCAAAATCTTCTGGTCTACTCCACAACTAGCGGAAATATTGTGGGACAGGATGTGCGAGTGAAGGAACCAGTGTGGTGGTTGAAACAGGATCGTATGCATGGTGGGTATTTTACCTTGCACTGCTTCTATCTGTGAATAAATGAACTTATGATGGGTCGTCGGTATTGATGCTCTTGTAGGCCTTGTAACCTGTCTCGCCGTTCACAGCGGGCATACGTGGCTGGCGGCGGGCACGATTCACAGCCACGTGGTCATTTGGGATCTACGCTACCGGCGCACCATTTCGCATTTCATTTTGCCCCATAATACCAAGACATCCATGGGATTCACTAGGCTTCAACTCTACGATTGGTATCGACGATCCTCACACTCCACACTGGTGCGCCAATTCCTCGTTTGTATTTCTGATTTTTGCGACTTCCCGTTAGAGTTTGTATGTGTACGAAATCAGAGTCATACAATTTAGGTAGTCGTAGCTTCGATTATTGCATCAAAAATAATTTGGGTGCATTTAGTCTTCACTTAGAGACCACTGGAATCGGGTCTATGATTCAGCGGCAGTTTAAAAAGTGCGACTCGGATATTATGTTAGTCACCTTCCACCCACCATCTTGTAGATTTGTGCTGCGACAGGCCACCATAACGAAGTGGTGCTTTTCGACCTGGACGACTCTAATCCGCGCCAGGCGTCGACAACCTGCGTGGCAGCCACATGGACACAGTCTGACACGCATTCGAAACCTCTGATCGCGAAAAACTCCTGCCCATTGCCTAGACGTGGTGTTCTTAGTCTCCTCCTTCTCCCACCGCCGTCTACGTCTTCGTCGTCCTCGACAGCACCATCTGGTGCAGCCAATAGTGCTGCTGCATTGCCAACGCTGGTAACTGGTGGCCATGATGCTCGGCTCCGGTGCTGGAGCTTCGCTCAGCCCGACGCCTCCGCAGTTCTGTCTTGGGCGGGAACTGAGGAAATCTTTCGGCCACGTGTCTCCTTTAGGTATGCATTCTCCGTCCTAAAATCACACTAACAAAGCCACGGAAGACCGAACTATCGGCCTGTCAATTCGAGCGTTAAAACCACCTGATTGTTAATGAAACGGAATACTGTTTGCGCTGTTGCTGTAGAAGCTCATTTGATTGAGCATTAAACCCTTTGACTTGAAGGTTACTGGTCAAACACTTAGAGCCTTATTATTGGATCACTAGTTAAGCATTAAAACCAATCAGCCACTCTTCATTTGAAATCCAAGCCCTATGACAGATTCAATTGCATGTATTTTTTGATCAGAAATACGGTTCAAACTTATTTCCTTTCCTCTGCAGCGAAAAGTTGGTCGACGGCGTACGAGTAGTAACGGAAGAGGAGTCAGTGGAAGACTACTTTCAACAGCAGCATCAATCATCCACCCCCGCCGCCTCAAAGGGTCGCCGCGGTGAGGCCTACTTCAGTCCTTTGGATGCAGGCGACGTCACAGTAGGTCACACCAATGGCGTCAGCGACCTGGCCCTCATTAGTCACTCCTCTGGGCGCGCCTTTCTCGTCTCGGCGGCCATGAACGGCGTCATGAAATTTTGGAGGTGAAAAGAACGGCAGTCTCGACCATCTGAATGTGTTTGCATTTTCTAGCCACAACTGATTATGTAGTTTCTTGATTTGATTTGTACCTCAAGTGAAAATGTCTTTCAATGCCAGAATCCCTACTTGGACTAAAACGTCGATCTGGATCTGTATAAGCATGTTTTTAGACTTAACTGGGTGGGATAGGATTTCAGAAGCAGAAAAGGCAACCCCCGACCTCAGGCTTAAAATGATAGAGCTTAAACTGATGTGGTCATTTGTTCTATCGCCTACTTGTTTGCAGCAAGTAGAAATGGCAATATGAGCTACACGGAACAGGATGACGTGAGTTGGAGGAGGATCATCACCACGTTTGTTTATTCATAGGTGATAGGGAACTGATCCAGGAAATTTGCCGAGAATGACGCGAAGGGACCGGTGTGCTGGCCGAGTTCTTGTCCGTAGATTGAGGCGGTCAGTCCCCCTGGAGAAGGCTAATCAGCGCTGAATCGTCGACACCTAGTCAACTTACCGATTTTGCGTCATCTTCTCAAACTTGAGTGGATAAATTGTACATATTGAACAATAAAATGAGGACAATCTGAGTTTGGCTACGCCGTCTAGCACTCAAGCACTTATTATAATAGCCAAAGGCCTGTCCTACCTGGAAATGAACACATGTACCCGCATAAGTAGCAAAAGTGGATATTATCGATAGCGCATTGGCAAAAAATGAAACACTTCAGTTGCGGAGTAGTAAGAGCACCAGAAAGTCGTCAACAAATGCCAGTCCAGAGGAAAGTCTAGGCGCAGCGAACTTCAAAAGACTGAGGGAAAAACTACTCGGTGTGAGCAAAAGCAGGGTATACTTGTGAAATCCCTCCTCCTCACCGCTATTCGCAGTTCCAGTAGGCAACGGGGTAAGAAATCCCGCTCTTTGCTTCAAGCGCAGATATGAAACGAGGCAGGTAAGTGGCCTTTTTACAAAGTTCGGCTTCGAGTCATCCCCTTCATCCTTGTCCTTTTCCTCTTCAACATTTTCCTCCTGATTCGGAAGCGCTAACAGGATCGAGAAGGGCGGTGACGAGGAGGAGGGATCTCCGAGGGCCCCGTTGATCTGTTCTACTGCGTCTGCCATCCATGAGGCCTCCGTCCGCGCCTGATGGGCCATCTGGAAGCGTAGAACTCCCCCAAAGGAGGAAAAAGCAGGTGATTGGGGCAATTCCTTTGCTAGGCGTTCGTCTCCAACAACATGAAGGCACCTAAATCGAAACACTGACTTTTTGGTGTAGAGACGAGCAAACCAGAGGTGGGGACGAAGAAACGCTTCCAGATCAGACATGGTAATGATGGAAGAGAGGACAGGGTCGCTAAGGTCTGTCATGTCGGGTCGGAGAAGGCTATCGATCGGTGAGGCACCACGACCCCCAAAACGAGAAATAGGAGCCAAACGTCGGGGCGGTGGGCCCATGGCTAATCGCTGCTGCCGAGTGGAATCGATCGGCCGGGGCTGTCGCCGTAGTCGTACATCTTCAGCGGAAGAAGGTGCAAACGCGGAAGCGTTACTTTCATTGTTTCCCATTGGAGCACGCATGAGATCAAACGCAGCAGCAACGAATTGATTCGGAAAGGGTAGAGAGGGGATGAGTTCAGGCACGATGGGGAAAGTGGAGGGGAGGGGAATGAGTGAGGACTGTCTAGGTGCGGAGAGTACATCTTTCTGAATGTCACCTTCAATGAAATCCACCATTAATCTGCGATCTGGATAACGCAGAGCCAGTGCTTTCAGCTGCTGATTCACCTCCTCAGCTACCTCAGTGCTTTGGAACACTGCCGTGGCATAGTTTTGCCTAAATTCCCAGTCCAGTTTGACCAGCGTTCCAAACTGATTAAGAAAGCATTCCAGCTCTTCGGTATCTCGCCAATTGTCTAGTCCACTGATGTATAAGACATTAGAAATGAGGGGTTTTCCGTAGCCGATCTTGCAGTGGTAGGAACGCACACAATTCCCACTCATTTTATTTTTTGCTACCACTGCCATATCAACATTGGCAAAGCGAACGAAAGCGTAGGCATGTGAGGAACTGGGATGCTTGACATCAATCTGCTCAACAACTCCATAGCGTTCAAAAGCCTCGCGAACCTCAGCTTCTGTGATGTCGGGCTCCAAGCTGCCGACAAAGAGAGTTCTTGTGGCTTTGGGGTCGTTCAGAGGCTCAGATTCCATAGATCCAGGTCGACTTCCGCGGCCGGAATAGTGAGAATGACGACTGGGCGTACGCAGCGGCGAACGAGAACGATCGTCAAAGGGAGAAGGGCGGAGTGACGAGTGCTTGGGCGACGAGCGTGGTCGGTGCGGGGATGACTCTTCGCGATTTCCTGACCCATGTATAACAGGTTCCCTTTCATCCCAAATTTCTACACTGAAAGCTCTGTCGTGAATGTAGACCCGGTGTTTGCACCTGTACGCACGATGGGCATCACGAGAGTGACTAAAATTAGAATCGCACTTATGAGATATTATAACGTGGGTATTTATTCAAGTAAGGAATACTAAATGCAAACGTAAGCTATACGGAATTGCAAAAATTAGCATTGTGTATAGGCATGTACCGAAAGTATATAATTGCAAGCCTTCTTTCGGAGGATTTAAAAATACGGATATCCACATCACCAAATGTTGAGAAAGCATCATGCAAATGTTCCTGTATGGTATCAATGTCAAACTTTAAGGAGATTTTACGGACACATAGGGCTCGGTAGTTCGGCTTCTGATAGGAACTCGTTTCAGAGCCATGTGTTTCGATTGAACGCTCACAGCGCCGCCTTGAACCACTCTCTCGGCTGCTCTTGGAGTTCGTTTCACGCTTACTATCGTCCCGTCCCATGTTGTAACGCACTCAAGTGAGTAAAAGTAATGGAAAGAGATAGATAGCGGCCCCCAATTATAAGAGATGTTTTAAGTCGCCCAACATTTGAAAAACCACAGCCCTATTTGGGAATTTAAACAATTAAACGCGGTTTAATAAGTGTTTAAAGGTTGGTTACAGGCCCTTTATTAGCCTGAAACTTAGTTTGAGGCACAAAATTATTAATGATCAAGAATCAATGCCCGTTGGAGAAATAATCAAGGGGCCTAATGCTGTGCCGCTATATTCCCCCCTAAGCTGTTATAAGGTGTAAAACCAGACGATAGCAATTCATTACTAGCACATAAATAGCTTAAGAACTACCTGTTAGAAAGGAATTTCGAGCATCCTACCAGGCAGAAGTTCAAGTTGCAGTTGCTCAAGAACTCATGTGCCCGAATGCATTTATAAAACAAACCTGCAAACCAGCAATAACTTAAGGATGGAATGTCACTTAATAAAGGTAAGCAGATCTTACTTTAAACTACTTTAGGTCCCATAGAATTTTTGGACAGTTACTGTAGCATGTTGGCTGTCTAAACCTCGGTTTTGGCAATGAGGATATTTTGGGTCTCCGCTACGGTAACTTCGTCGGGTGAGCTGAGTTTCCAGTAACCCCGGCCCTACCCGAGTGTTATATTTTCTTCCGTCTTCATAGGTGTCTCGAGGTGTGTCAGCTACAACCACACTTAAATCTTAGCGATGTTTTGGTATTATGAGTTAATGGACTGAATTACTGACTCAGGTCTTCAGACTATCCATTGATATTTATTAAATATAATCGCATTTTGAGACCGTCTACTTGTTTTTGCCATAAATTTGACTGTTTAGGGCTATAAATGAGATGCGAGGCATGATTTTTAACTTATTCATCTCAGCGTGTTCAATAATAATTCGGATGTCTTGATGAAGACAGTACCGGCGAACCGACTCCGGAAGGGTGATCGTGCCGATGTCTAAATGCATTTTACAACTAAACATCAGAACACACTTGCGAGGACTCAAAACAAAGGAACCTCGAGACCGTTGTAACTTTGTCGCCACCCTGGTATAAGATTCTGCAAATTTGGAAGGAACTGCAGGATTGTGACCGAGGTGAACTACGGACGTCGTACAAAAGAATGACACCTCATATTTGAGGGGATTAAGAATAATCTAGGTAGATGGGTGGCCAAGCATCAATGAGGTGCCTTTGAGGTAGGAGGTAACTATAGAATCAGTCTCCCTAATCCTATGTCTAGAATGGCCGCTTTCCCATCTCACTGAAATTGCTGCTGAGACACTTCGGGACACCACTACCTCGACTAGGGCTTACTAGTTTGTCCTCAACTAGTCGCATCTCGGGGCACTGTCTTCACTTTTTCAACTTTCCACCGGAATGTTTTTACCACAAAGTATCGCTTTCTGAGCTCTTCCAGGACTATATGAGGCCACAACAATCCCAAAGTTAAATGACAAACCTGAACGGACTTTACATAAATTTTAAAAAACGACCTTTGGTAGGGTTTAAAGTATTCTGCATCTTGTGGTCTTTTTTTAAACCAATTGACTGTGGAAAATGGAAAGTTGATAGCGCTGATACTTAATTCAAGCGGTCAAGTCCACCTGCCCATCCGATGAATAGAAGTTGAGCTATGTATAAGAAATTAATTGAATTTTACTATGGCAAACTTGTAAGTTCAAATTATTCATCTTTATCAATGTCACTACTCTCGTCACCGTCTTTCTTCTCCTCCGAGGTCTCTTTGGACGCACCTTGATCCGACTTGAACCCCGTAGTAAGGGACTCAATAGCCCTGCGCACCTCCTCATTTTGAGGGTCCACACCGGGCAGATACTGTAGCACAGACTGGAGAAATTCGGGATCGCAATCCATCACAGCTTCATCCTTCGCCTTAGCCCTCTCTCCTCCCCCAGACAACTGGTGGTGACCGTGGGAGGCAGCTTCGGAGGTAGATGCAGCTGGGACACCCGCGGATGCAGGCGCCTCATCTACATCCATTTTTGCATTGTTGTTACCGTTGTCGTCATTTTTCTGTGGAACAATAGAAAGGATAAACCTTGCCTGACTTAAGTAACGAGCAGATGGAAATCAGGGTGGGGATTCAGAGCATTCTGGAATGACCACAAATCGACAGTCGTAAATACGTACTCATAGCTCGCTCCGTCGATAAAAGTGATAGCTATAACCATTTAGTGCCTGCTTAATTGTCCTACCGTCTTACCTAGCAGCCCTTTTGAATGACAGAAAACAATTCTTATGTGGCGATAGAACTTATTATGGCTTCAGAAAAGAACTGGAGTGCCATAACAACCGCAAATGTATGGCATCATATAATCTTAAGAAGGGGGAACTGATTCAAGTTGCAGCAAAAAAAAGTTCAGTAACTTGCTACTTAGAAGAGCCCGGAAACTAATCGAGAACCTCAAGTAACTAATCGTGCATTCTTCAAAGGTTAACATGGAAAAAGTGTTTAAAGACGACAAAACACATCTCCCCGAAATGGTACACGACTGCTTCGTCAAATCAAATAACGTGTGCCAGCGCGGTACCGCTGAAGTGAATGAACTGAAATTGAAAAACCCCATCCACTCTAAGTTCGATCACGGAGATCAAACATTATGGATCGTTTGGGAAGGAATGTCGCCACGACTACCAAATGCTGGCTTACAAAAGCTCCGCAGGACTTTAGTATTAATACACTGAAGCTCCGCAAATAAATTGAGAATAAGGATGGGAACAGGAAAAAATTGGAATTACTAAATAGCTCACCCATTGATCATTGGGTGATGTATGCGACAAAATTAGTAACGAAAAAAGGGTTGCAAACACACATCCCTAAAAGATGAATGACCGTAAAATATTATGTTGGTAGGACACATAAACAGGAGCTAGCAGCAAAATCGAGGTTAGTCAGGTGAAGGAAACAGGTTTAGGTTAAATTTAATAGAAAAGGATGTAGGAATGAAACAAAGACCCTATCCACGGATTTCACGAAAGAAAAAAGAAAAAACCAAACAAGAGAAAATGATTAAAGAAAACTAAAAACTCACATTAGAATCGGATTTCTTATCCTCCAAGGCTCTCTCCTGTTCTTGTGTTTGCATTGACATCTGGATGGCATAAGCGATTTGTTCCTCTTCTGTCATATTGGCCAGATCCACCGGCCCTGAAGCACCACTAGAGCTAGCAGGCCCAACCTGCATTGACATTGCCAGAGCTTGTCGAAGCAACTCCTCCTCTGATGTGCCGGCAGCTCCCGGCAAAACAGCCGTAGCTTGACCACCAGAATTTGCGCTTGCCTCCTGCTCCTGTCTCATGCGCTGATCCTCCATGGAAACCCGGAGAGCGTAGATAAGATCCGGGTCGTCCACAGCATCCAAACCAAACTCCAGACCAATGCCGGAGCCAGGCAGAGCCCCAGAACCATCTTCCCCAGCGATGATAGGACTTGAGGCGAGAGATTCGTGTAAAACAGTTCCAGGCGGGACCGTAACCAAGTGGGACCCGGTGCCGTCTTTCCCGTTTATTGTTTCGACAAACTCGAGGAGTTTTTTCTGATTCACTTCATCTTCACCAAAGTTCACAATGTCGACATTTACCTTTTCTTTCTTTAAACGCTTAGCCAGTTTTACCATCTATGCTTGTTAAGATTTAAAATGGAACAAATGAATACCTCAGCTTCATCATCTTTTATGGGACTACCTATGAAACAGACTATACGCATTTTTTGGTGACGAAGCTGTCGATGGCGGAGAGCCAAGTGGGCGATTCGCATAGATGTGCAAAAGCTAATACCTCCTTTAGGCTGAATTAAATGAAGCCTGTTGTATATTTTGCTCATATCACTAGTGAGAGTACATAAAACCTCGGTATTGGCTAGAGATATTAACCCGACTGTATTTTCCGGATTCGCTTGCCGCTTCACTTGACATAAGAGATTAACAGCATCGTTTTGGGCCTGCAAGCGTGATGGAGCAAAGTCCCCGTTGCGCATGAAATCGCTATTATCCACACTAAACTTATAGTAACATCGGATTAGGCACGTACGCAATCATCACTGCCTCCTGCGACATTTTCCAGGTGAATCACAAAAAAGACCGCAAGGTCCGCGACCAAGACACCTCATTAAAATATATAGGTCAAAGAATAACAAAGACTAAAATTTGGCATTTTGCCAAAAAATCCTCAATAAAATAAAAATATACCGCAAAATTAGTTTGTAGGCAAAATCGATCGAATTTTATGTAAGGGTTAAAAAAAATACACAATTTTACGCTTGGAATTACAGCAAATAGAGCCCCATTAGGTTTATCTTTGCCATCCATAGTGCAGCGCTTATTTATTTTTAAAACACTAGGTGACTGCATTTAAAGCGGCTGAATTCAAATGTCTCATATCAGATTGTTGGGGCTGTGGTGCCTTTAAAATTTCCGAGATGTAATGTAGCTCATGGAGACTTTTCTGAGGACAAAATATAGGAACAGAAAATAAGTTTTTGACAAACGCTAGGCTTTGAGTCTCCTGGAGTGGATTAAAGGCTAGTTTACTTGGCAAAGGCACAATGGCGGAGCATAAATTGCCCTTTTACCAAAACCAAGTGTTACGTATTGGATTAACGCATCATGTGTATCCTAGGTCAAATCAGATACTAACAATGAGTGCTATTTCCATTGTTTTTGCCAAAGCATCGGAATCTGATGCGCTTTTGGAGCTGTGGCATATTGCTAAGCTCTAGTCTTCAGCAGGATAGGATTTGCCTATCTTTTTCTTTCATAGGTTTCAAATCGATTTCCTGCGTGTTAACACAATATAAGTGAAGTAGTTGCTGTTTTGCCCCACATGGCTTTAAAATAATTGTAGCTCTCGAAGTCTTTTTAAAGTCGTGAGAGTCTAAAAGATCAAGATAGTATGTATGTAATACGATGGTGGCCTTTTTCTTGATTGCGGTGAGGCGCCGCTTTTGAACTGTTAAATTTGACTTCTTGTACCCTACCGGGTGGGCTGGCCTTCGAGTCATACCAATAACCCAGACACCTTCTCTGCGCTGAATATATATCCTGCCCTAGTATTGTGTCTTCTTTCCTCTTCAGGGAAGTCTTGGGACGCTACAATGTATGTAGTACATTGACCGGATAGTTAGCTCTAGGTTTTGGTAAAGGGCCAAATTTGGGTCTCTGCCGTTGTGTTTTAATTAAGTAGGCAAGTTTCCAGCTAAGGCTAATAGCCCCAAGCTCTACCGTTCATCAAATGTGTATTTTCTACCCAAGTTATTCACCTGATTTCGTTTTTAGGAAAGGCCAGAGATGCGACGCGTAGACCGCAAACGTTGAGAGGAGCTAAGAAGTTGCTGTATTGGTTTGAACGCCACGCTTTCTAATAGAATAAAGCCAAATGCTAATAAGGTAACTGCATAAAAATTACAAATCAACTTTTAGGGTTAGCTACCAAGATCTTAATTTTACCGGCTATCAATTTATGCATAACTTTTAAATGTGGTGTTGTACCATATTTAGGGGTAACATGTGTTGGTGTAAAAAAGAAGGGACTAGGCAGAATAACAGGGGCTGGATTTCCTGCTGAACGGCTCAAATAAAATAAAATGGTTATCCTAAGCAAGGTCGTTGCCAAAGGTATGACTAAACATAAGCAATTAAGACAACACAAGGTCTTGAACATTTTAGCGCCTTTAAAAAAGAGGTATTTGAAGACATCTCGTCACTTAGACGCGTTTGTTTGCACTCTGACATAAGCATTAAGCACAATCTCTTTGTAGAAAATTTAATTCCCCTAGCAACACTGCAGTAATTTAACAACGATTTTTCGTCGATTCCCTGTTAAAGTGTTTTGCGCAGTTTGTTGATTACTTATAACCTTGTTGTATTTGTTTTTATTTGCGAATTATTTTAATAACATATGGTGTTGCGGAGAGCGCCACATTTAAATATTCAAGGTCTTAGTCCCATTTTTGACATATATTTGTACCCGCGATAGATTGTCATAGCAACCGCCCTTGAGTTCTTTGTGTGCATACCAGTCCTCTGGACATTATGTAGCCAGCACATTTGCAGTTTTCCTGGTTGTGGCCTAAAGTGGTTAGTATGTAAACTGAAAAAATTTTGAATATAAAAATGTTGTAATGGTTTTTATTAAATTGAACATTTAATTCAGTCATTTTTGCAAAATTATAGTTTTTAAACTAGCAATGCTTACAAGTTTTTTGCCTGATGGCAAATTCATTTTAAACCTTTTGAAGTGGATTTGTAGAGTATTTTAAATAATTATATCTGCGGTTTTATTTCCCCCCGCGGACCTGACCAATCAAGTGATAGGGACCAAAGTGTCTCTTATGTCAGAATAGTGGGGAAGATGAGTAGCAGGCGAAGGACCTCTTTTACTGAAAAGCTACCCCCAATAGAAGATGTAAAAAACTATATTAGATCCAGAGAAGAGGATCCAAAGCTGAAGGCCATGCTAGCTTTTACAATAGCTAGGGATCGTGAAACAAAATATAATAAAATCTTGTAGGTTTTTAATAATATGCTAACTTCCAGACGTTCACAAGCTAAAGTACTACATTCATTAAGAATGAAACAAGCCAAAGCAAAAATGGAATCAGCAGCCCCAGATCCTGAACTCCCATTATATGTACGGAATCTCTGCCTTTATTTGGTACATAGATGATGAGTGAGGATCGTAAGTTGCGAATCGCGTATGAAAAGCTGGTTGGATGCGTCAAAGAAAGTGTAATACCACCCATACACGAAAGTTGGCTGCACAATATTGTTTCAAAAATTCCAAAAAAACTGCGCAGTGGAAAAAAGGCTGAACTTAACCAAGTGCTGGTTGAAGTTCAGGCTAATTTTTTCAATAGCATGCAAAGGAGCGTCCTCCAGCAATCTCTTAAAGTTCCACCTATTAAAGGAGTAGAGGTAGAGGATCTAACCATGCCCATCTTTGAGCCAACGTAATTATTTTTCGTAATTTTTAATAATATAGTGGAATGAATTTCGCCAATCCCTGGCACAGGGACTATATGACCCATCGGATCGAACTGCGCGAACATTTGATGCTACTTTATCCACAAATGGCGAAAACTCTTGATATTTGTGAAAGGTTTTTTTCATCAGTTCAAGTGGCAGATGTTGGCACGTTTCGGTACAAACCTTTCTCCACGACTTTATTTGTTATTATAGTGAACTAGGACCCATTGATTTCGATTTTGTCAAGACTAAAATTCACGCTGACTGTAAGAAAAGTGGCGAAAATCTAATGGACAAGTAAAAATAGGTCGATTAGCATTTTTAGATGGTTCCCAAAAATTTGTTCAATCTTTGTGGGGAAAAATCGCGTTCCGGCTCTCAAGCAGGACAAAATGAATGCCTTTTTTAACTGCGCTAATATACTCCTATCAAATAAAGTTCGTTTCTTCTGGTCTTTACCAATTTTTTTAGATCAAGCAGTTTCTCTTACGAAACCTTGAATGTTGGATTGACCTCTTTGATGAGGATCACCGGGAAAGGTTGCCCGTTTTGAAAATGTATTTGACATTCGAAAATCAATGCGTCAAATTCTTTCCCGGCTATGAAGATTTGGAGGAGCTCCTTTTATCAGTAGCTAAATATATTTTGGAATCTATGCCACAGGTACAACATTTTGTTCAAACATGGATTTTACTGCTACTGGTAATCATTTCAGTTGCTTTTTACGTTAATCAATTTTTTTATAAAGTGTCGTCGTTTTTCGATTCCCCCATTTGGAAACCTGAAACTACCTCTGCCGCATAGTGATGATAAAAGTGTCGCAAAGTGAGATGCAGTCGGCTATCTCGGCTGGGTTGGGTGATGCGGCCTAGTAAAACATCCAATTTAAAATTAATTTCTTGTCCTTAATCAATCGGTCTAACTGACAAAGAATGTTGATCTTTAATCATCAAAAACACAAGAAGCCTGCCACACCTTTGAAAGTATCAGGTTCCATAAAAGATACATCCGTCGATGACCTATTCACGGCTTGAAATGACCATTGTTAATCGTAACTTCAAAAGTTGCACTTGCTGGTACTAGTGTCATGCATTTTTCACCTACTTTCTCTGTCCTAGATACCAACGGTACACTCCATCCTCTATAGGTCTGATTCTCCACGCTACATTGACACTAATATCGCTCCTCACATAGTAGAAGCCCTCCAAGACAGACTGAAGAATGCCGCGAAGTTCTACTTTGAACCAGCAGTACGCTTCTTCCACCAAAACATTGGTAGGTTCTATAATACCCTCATATCTCACTTTTTAGTTGAACCCTATTCCTACATATTCGACGGGACTGAAGCCAAGCTGGTGGAAGACTTCCTGAATAAGGATCCAGAATTCAGGGACTACTGCGTTGTAGGTTATCGCTTGGTATATTCATTCACTGATTGGACGAGATTAATCAAATTGCACCATCATTCTTTCCTTCAAAAGTATGTCACAAAGCTTCACGATCTGGCGCATGATATCAACCACCTTCCAGACGTAGAATACTTCGATCTAATTCGTTTGGACTGCGAAGATGTTAAAACGGGCATTGCAAAGGAATGTATGCGATTAGCCAACAATCTCCTGGAGACTCTGGCCAACAAACTTCGCCAAATTAATCAAGAGTGAGTTGTAGAGTAGATATCTGGAAATCAACCCTCTTTGGCTCTATTTACACGCGAATTTTTCCCTTAAGTGGACAAGGATGGTACACTCTTTTTTCTCTGCTTAGGGTATGCGCAAGCTTTGAGGAGATGCAAGCCAAGTGTCGAACCATCCCACAGACAAGTGAAGAATTGATTGAACTCAACTCCTACATGGAGGAAGCACGTTGTCAAGGCATGGTGCGAATGGAACAAAAGATCCAGGTCCATCCGGCACAAATCTTTCACCTTTTCGGACCCAAAATACCTTTTAACCTAACCGGTGATTGCTTCGATAGGTCTGAGGGAAATGCTTGCTTAGCTATGTATTCAATTTAGTTTGGTGAATGGAGTAGCAGCTGTAGCTTAGATGCGTGTAGTCTTGTCTATAAGAGCGAAATATGGTCCAGCAAGTGTAGCCGAGGTTGATTTATCTCCAAAGATGTAATAAGATGTATCGTGCTAGAAGCAAATCTCTTGTCAGTGCATATAGGGGTTGGAAAACTATCAATGTGGATGACATGAGGATGAATTCATGTCATTAATGTGACCATCGAATTTCAGTAGACTGAAGAGACATACGTGGTTAATACATTTACCCACCAAAATAATTACGTGAAGAAGTGGAGCTTACTTGATTTACAATAGAGGCAACTTCAAAACTGTGGTGACCAAGTTTTTACTCTTTTAAATTGCAGTGGACTCGAGAATACCTTATTTACCTATTGGATGCGTATGAGTTCACACCAGAAGATATAAAGATGAATAGTCAGGTGCTTACTTGGAAAGCCAGAATAAATCCCGAATTTGATGCTCATGATAAGGTGAGTTTCACCATATTTCGGATCATGCTAGGATACTGAGGCAGAAAACAATGCTAGGTGATAATACTTACTTTCCTACTACAGATGCAAGAGAACGTACGAACCGTGAATGAACAACGCATCAATGCAAAACGCGAACAATTGGAGGGCGATCTGAAACGTCTGCGAAATCGGGTGGATGAATTCAATGACTATGGCGAAGTGGACGCGGAAATGATGGCACAGTACGCTAACGATGTGCGTGTCGTCTTCAAACGAGTCAGTGAGGCTGAGAGCTTGCGTGAATGGATTAATAAGGAAGAGAAGCTCTACCAAATCCCCATATCGCCCTTTGCGGACATTGAAGAGATCAAGGCACTCGCTGAACCATTCCATCGTCTATTTACCAGTGTCGTCAAGTACTATAAGTCTGAGAGGAGGTAGGCACTGGTCATTTTGAGGGGAGACTATGCATTTATGAGGAGGTTCAACATTATCAAAAGCGTCATGAGTTAAAATAACTTCTAAAAAGATTGTTTAGTAATAACTGATTGGGAAACATTCCCGGAGTTCTAGCCCTATCGCGCACCTAAACTATGTAACCTTTAACTCTGCACTAGATGGATGTACGGTGAGTTTGACAAATTGGATGCAGAAGCCATTGAGGATGAGGTGGACGAAACGTGGAGGGAGATGTTCCGCCTACAAAAGGTGTTCGCCAATCGGTTGAAGAAGATGCGAATGGAGGCGGATGAGCGGCGAAGGGAGCGCAATGAGCGTCTTCGACGCCGCATGCTAGCAGCAAGTAGAGCAGAACCAATGTCGACCCCTGTAGATGAGGAGGCTGCAGCCGTAGCGATGATAACAGGAGGAGCAGTGGAAGATGAGGAAATTGCTGATGTTAAGGCTCCAGCTGCTCTTCAAACTGTCAACTTTATGTTGGAACGTCTAAAGAAGTTCAAGGTTGGTTCTTCTCAGCCCTGCTTTCCTTGAAAGCTTTGCACCTAACAGTTACGGCTTTTCTAGGATATAGTTCCTGTCATACGGATCCTCTGCAATCCGGGTATACGCCAGCGCCACTGGGATGCCATGTCAGCTATTGTGAATCGTGATCTGACCCCGGACAGCGGTACCTCACTCTCAAAGATGCTTCAAATGAACCTGACACCGTATATGGAGCAATTTGAGGCAATTTCGGTGGGTGCGAGTAAGGAGCATACGCTGGAGGTTAATCTAGTAAGGATGCGTGAAGACTGGATGGATGTATGCTTCACTCTAACCCCCTATCGTGATCACGGTTTCTCGATTCTCGCCTCTGTGGACGATATTCAACAGCAGTTGGACGATCAGATTGTTAAAACGCAGACGATGCGTGGCTCGCCTTTCATCAAACCGTTTGAGATGCAACTGAAGGTAGGTTTTATAGTTTTAATCGAGTCAATTACAATTTGGCCTAAGGGAAGATAATCCATCAGAAGGAATGCCTTAAACTTATTACTTCCTCCTCGCCTTTTATCAAACTGTTTGATCAGCAACTAGAGAAATGCGGCATAGTTTTGCCAACGGGAATTTAACAACCCGAAAGCTTTTCCCTCACCTCCTTTATACTTTTATTTCTTGTTTTTCTCATCACAGAAATGGGAGGAGCAATTACTTCGCATTCAGAGCATAATCGACAGCTGGCTGGTAATGCAAGCCAACTGGCTCTACCTGGAGCCCATATTCAGTTCCGAAGACATTATGCAACAGATGCCAGAGGAGAGTCGTCTCTTTGTGGCGGTTGACAAAGCCTACCGTGACATTATGCGTAACACAGCTGTGGATACCCACGTGCTCAAGGTGATGGGTCCTTTTTAACAGCCCCCTTTCTATTGCCATTTCCCATGGCTTATCCCATTCAGCTCTGCACAACTTAGTGTTGCCTAGTCTACTCCTAGTTTAATGAGAATAGGCTTTCTTAGCGTACGGACACATTTCCATTGTCGAAATGTGCTAGAACTGGGAGATCAGAAGTGTAGCTACATGTCATCTGTACAATTATCCTCCTTCCTTCGAATAGGCCACCTCAATGGTCGGTCTACTGGAGCGCATTCGGGAGGGCAACGCCCAGTTCGATCGTATTAACAAAGGCCTCAACGCCTACTTGGACAAGAAGCGTCTATTTTTCCCTCGTTTCTTTTTCCTCTCCAACGATGAGATGTTGGAGATCCTCTCGGAAACCAAGGATCCCCAGCGTGTCCAGCCACACCTCAAGAAATGCTTTGAAGGCATCGCGAAGTTGGAGTTTGACAAGAACCTCGAAATTAAGGCCATGTTTTCTGGTGAAGGTGAGAAGGTGGTCTTTAGTCAGGTGAGTCTTTTGAAGTGCTTTCAGTGATGCTCGTAATTTTTTGGCTCAGTGTAGATCTCTACACGGCCCATTCAGAGACATTTCGCCGATCTAATCTTGGATGGAGTTTAAAGGTCAAGGATAGTGTGGATATTCACTAGCCTAGAATGGATCTCTAATAGAGAATGTCGATCTCCGTGCCAGCTGCCGGAGATGTCTGCAACCTTCAAAAATTGTTTTTTTTTTTGGTTCGACCCTTCAGGTGCTTTTTTATGCCTAGATTCTCAAAACATTCTCCGTCAAATATTCTTGATTGTTTACTACTACGTACAGCTAGGCTAGATGTTTTAATGCTAACTTTGAGGTCAAGACCGACCAAATATTTAAGAATGGGACCACCCCGTGTCCCCGGTAGTCAGTCAGCAGGTGTACTTCATCTTACTCATGCACGTTGACGAATAAAGACGTCCGTATTGTAGTCGTACTTTCTTTTTTGTCCCATACACCCAACTACCACTTAGTGGCGCTTTTTACGTATCAATAGACATTTTGGCATGTCAGGTCACCTTTCAAACTACCCTGGACGAATCTCACATCTCACTAATCAGTCTAGAGTGGTTTGAAATCTGACATCATTCAATTTCATACATGGACTACAATACCAAAAGCCTACCAACTACAAAAAGGAGTTTAATTTGCCATAAATATATATAACAATCTTATAATATAGCGTGACCTTTGAGAATGCCACCTCGGGTTAACAGTACGTGTTGGTACTGGAAGACCTTTCACGCGCTGAATATCCCAAAGTATTGTGAAAATTTCTATACCCCTATTTTTTCCTGCCTCTAGAACATTGACACAGCGGTTTGCAGAGGAGCGGTGGAGAAATGGCTTCTACAGGTTCAGGATGTCATGGTGCTGTCGGTGCACGATGTCATTGCCAGCGCAAGAGACGTAAGATGATAAGTTGTGGTATTATACTCCTGAATTTCCATTGTACTAAATATATTTGGAGTAGTTTCTTCGATTTGAAATGAAAAAGAAGTGTTGGCTATCGGTAATCCTGGTCACCCGTGTTTCTACAGCGCTCTCATTTCTTAACTGTCAACTCTATTTCGCAGCAATTGTCACTTAAATAGCTTAAGGGGAAGAACAAAGTGGTATTTCCCTGTATTTATGAAAGATCTTGACATTTGAGCTTTGAGTTCTTAATCACCCGTTTTTCTTGTTTCATCTTTCTATTTGATAACCAACTAAATAACTGACTTCAGTATATCGTACATTTCCACTCACACCAGGCGTATGACAGCGAACTTCGCGATGTGTGGGTGCTAGACTGGCCAGGTCAGGTGGTGCTTTGCGTGTCGCAGATATTTTGGACTCTGGAGGTCTCCGAAGCTATCGCATATGGGCAGGCTGAGGGACTGGCGAGCTACAAGAAGAAGCTGGACTCGCAGATCGCGGCGATTGTGCGTCTGGTGAGGGGCAAACTCTCCACTCAGGAGCGCATCACTCTTGGCGCCCTAGTGGTCATCGACGTCCACGCCAGAGACACAGTGCAGACGATGGCGCAGAACAAGGTGACCGATGATAATGACTTTCAATGGCTCTCGCAGCTCAGGTACTACTGGGAGGAGGACAATTGTCTGGTTAGTCACTCTATGCCTTTCTCTACTGTATCGACTGAGTTGTCCCTGAGGCTACTGCGAGGTATAGGGTTCGAGATACAGCCTTATTATGAGCTTGCGAAAGGGCTAGATTTCGATGAGGCTCGTGCATTTGTAAACCCCTATGTAGGATCTTATTTGCGAAGTATTTCTCAAGATTGTACGATGTGAATTTGCTTTACAATTAGGTTCGTCTTACTAACGCTGTGGTCCCCTACGCCTACGAGTACCTGGGTAACTCCACCCGTCTGGTAATCACTCCCCTAACCGATCGCTGCTATCGCACTCTCATTGGGGCCTACCATCTCCACCTAAATGGAGCCCCCGAGGGTCCAGCTGGGACCGGTAAGACAGAGACCACCAAGGACTTGGCTAAAGCGATTGCTGTCCAGTGTGTCGTCTTCAACTGTTCTGATGGGTTAGATTACATCGCTATGGGCAAGGTGAAATCAGCTTCCCAGCCTTCTTTACGCTCTGTTGTGTCTGTGTGCCTTACTGTATCTATGTTTCACTGACAGTTTTTTAAGGGACTCGCTTCATCTGGTGCCTGGGCGTGTTTTGACGAGTTTAACCGAATCGAGCTGGAGGTGCTCTCGGTTATTGCTCAACAGGTTAGTTGGATCTGCAAGCACACCATTAGTTAGTGGCATTCTGTCGGTTTTGTTTTTGAGATCAAATTAATTTTCATAGTCGGGAATGAACTGGTTTGTATCCAGTCCTAGAAGTTTGACTTTGTTTCGCATTCACTTCACTCGGATAACCTGTCGCTTCAAGATCCTTATAAATATGAAGTACACCTAATGTCCCCTTGGTTTACTCTAAAGCACCGCACTAGTTCTGAAGGTTCGGGTCTAATTAAAGGAAGTTCTTAGCTGATGGTCTGTGCCTTTCGGACAACCTTAACGTTTCCCATGATACCTGATCATGGTCGTCATTGTTCTGGAAATATTCTCGGAAGAGATCAGGTTGTTTAAACAAGTTTGATCTCGTTATCACCACGGTTGGTGACTCATTCAACAAGAATGGGTTAAATGCTCAAATTTCCTTTACTAGAACCCTGAAACTGGATAGATGACCTTTCTTGCATATAAGAGGATTAATTATGTCAATTTAAACAACAGATATTTTTATAACCAGATTCTGTGCATTATCCGAGCGATTCAAGCCAATCTCGAAGTGTTTGAATTCGAAGGGACAGTACTCAATCTTAATCCGAACTGCTACGTCTGTATCACCATGAATCCAGGTTATGCTGGCCGTTCCGAGTTGCCAGACAACTTGAAGGTAAGTGTCGCCCGTCTAGACACCCATCTACTAATCCCCCCTCTCATCAACATTCCCTTCCTCCTCCTTCACTCCCCTTGTGCAGATCCTCTTCAGACCAGTTGCGATGATGGTACCGGACTACGCGATGATAGGCGAGATCTCCCTTTACTCCTACGGTTTCATGGACGCACGCAACTTGGCAGGCAAGATAGTCACTACGTACCGGCTATGCTCAGAGCAGCTCTCCTCTCAATCGCACTATGACTATGGTATGCGTGCCGTCAAGGCGGTGTTGCATGCAGCGGGCAACTTGAAACTCCGGCATCCAGAGGAGAATGAAATGATTTTGGTGAGAGAAATGCATTCTTTTTCGATCAATGGACGTTAGAAATTCTTCCACCCTGTAGTGAGCCTTCTACATTTTGTCTTTTGGAATATTTTTAAGGTACTCTTCTAGTCCATATTCATAAATAGTGGTTTTGAACTATTCGATAATCCTTGACTTGTGCCACAACCGCGACCTAAGGGCCAGGATCAAGTGGCAGTCTTTTGTAGTTTCCTCATTTACCCCAGTACGATAAAAAAATATCTAAATGTTGCACTGAAAACACTTACTTCCTTATCCCACTTATACGGCAATCCAAACTTATTAAAATTGACCTTTAAAGGAAATCTCACCAAATTTACAGCACTTTTCAGGGCCGCTTTTACTAGCTTTTCTGATGTAACTGCTCAGAAATCTACAAGCGGAGACAGATCCTCGTGCCCCACTGAAATCACCTCCTAGACTTTCTACCCTTTGACTTTTCCATGCTCTCCCCTTTTTTCTTAAGTGTCTGTCACATAAGCATTGCTTTATTGACGCAGTCTTCATGCACCTTGTCTCCCACTTTTCTCCAAGCAATACCTTTGCATTGGCTGCTTTCACAAAACCTAGCTTCTGCGTTCAATCATGGATGTGAACGTGCCCAAATTCCTTTCTCACGACATTCCACTCTTCCGCGGCATCATCTCCGATCTCTTCCCCGGCGCCATTCTACCCGATGCGGACTACTCAGATTTCCTTGAAGAAGCGGCTATAGTGTGTCAACGCAATGGCCTCCAAGCTGTGCCAACTTTCACGGAGAAACTTATTCAAACCTACGAAATGATGATAGTTAGGCATGGGTAGGTGTCACATGTGCGTCCAGATTCCACCCCTTTTTGTGATCTCGCGACCTGATTGGTGGATACATTTAGGGACGAATTAATTAAATCCTAATGAGCCAATCAGGACGTTGCTTATCATGAGTCTCCTGATTAGCGTATATTTAACTATGAGTTTAAATACTACTAAAATTTAAGACCTTTCAGCCGATTGTATTGATAAATAACCACCTAGTAATGGATTAGACTTATTACTCGATATCTGTTAATTGTCATGAAAGCTTTCAGTCGTGCGGGCAACATATCAACAACAGACCCTGGTCCTGAGTGTTTTTCTTGTTTCATCTCAAAAAGAATATCCTTTAACAAGGCGGAGAACTTTTCTCATCTCATATATAAAAAACTCTGGGACGTTTAAGAGAGTTTTGTCCTCTGAATCACTGCATTGGTTCCCTGGAGCCATGAAAACAGCATGACGTTTCATCGTCTGCATTTTATTCAAAGCTAGTCGAATTTACTTCTTAATTTATTACAAAATGTTACAAAATTGCATCAGGTTCATCCCCTTGAATGCCTTTAGATTCATGCTGGTTGGTATGCCCTTGGGTGGTAAAACGAAAATTCTCCACACTCTGGCCGAGGTGATGACCGGTCTCTTTGAGAAGGGCGACACTGACTACGCCAAGGTCTTCTATCGTACCATCAATCCCAAATCCATCACCATGGGACAGCTTTTCGGCGAATTTGATCCCGTTTCTCACGAGGTATGCTCTTTAACCATAGCACCGCTTGTAGTAGTGTAGATTTCAAGAAAATAGCTTTCCCTTTACTTAGTGGACAGACGGTGTTACGGCGAACACCTTCCGTGAGTACGCCAACATGGAACCACCCGATCGAACTTGGGTGATTTTCGATGGGCCTATTGACACTTTGTGGATTGAAAGCATGAACACTGTGCTGGATGATAACAAGAAGTTATGTCTCATGTCGGGAGAGATTATTCAGATGTCGAAGACTATGAACCTCATCTTCGAAACTATGGATCTTCTACAGGCATCGGTAGGCTATTGTAGCATCTGAGTTATCACTAACCACGTCTGGAGATAGCTGCATTGGGTTAGTAGGGCGTAGGTTGAGTCGGTTAAAATAACAAAGCCGGTAGAGTCTAGACCGATTTTTAACACTTCAGCCGGCAACTGTATCTCGCTGCGGTATGATCTACGTGGAACCTATGGCACTGGGATGGCGGCCTCTAGCAACCTCTTGGTTAGACAGCCTCCCCGAATCCGTTACTCTTGGCGATGGCAAGAAAGTGTTGCAAGACCTATTTGACTGGCTTTTCGATCCTTGCTTAGAATTTGTTCAAGCCAACTGTCGCCAGCTGATCCCTATCAGCGCCATGTGCAGTGTCAAGTCTACTCTGGACTTCCTCAGCGCTCTCATCACTGAACACGCCAACGCAGAAGGTGCGGCTGACAATCGATACCTTAGGCAATGGGTACATGCTTCTTTACTCTTCAGTGTTGTCTGGGGCATTGGTGGATGTCTGGAGGAGAACAGTAGAATCAAGTTTGACGATTTTATTAAACCCATTCTTGGTGGAAAAGTGACAGAGTTACCCGTACCCCAGAGCATAGGTGGCCGTTGTGATTTTCAAATGCCTGATACTGGGTTGGTCTACGATTACTTCTACGAGGTGAGTTAGTTCCCAAACTCCCGATAACTCCAACCCCGGAATGACTGACCATCTTCACTTCTCCACTTTACAGTTCAAAAGTCGAGGGAAGTGGAAACACTGGAACGAATTATCACGAGGTCAGAGCAAGTTCGAGGGCATGGAGATAAGGGACATCATCGTTCCTACCATGGACACAGCACGCTACAAGTACCTCATTGATATCTGTTTGACGAGCAGACAGCCATTGAGTTACATCGGTGTGACGGGTACCGGCAAATCGGCCTATGTTCGGGAGAAACTAATGCGCGACATTGATAATGAAACCTACCGACCGTTCTTTATCAACTTCTCGGCTCAAACTAGTGCTAATCAAGTTCAGGTGGGATTTGTGCTTTCACAGCTTGTCAACTGCTAACATATCAACCACGAAATCTGCAATTGATTTAGGTGTTGATATTAACTACTTCCGCGGTTTTTAGACTGTAAAGGTGTTTAGTCGCTCGCTGTTTTTGCGTAGCTTTCACTCTGCCTTAACGAACAATTTTGGTGAAAAAGTGGATAATTAGTTAATGTCATTTAAATTCTAGAACATATTTTTACTGCAGAACTGCTAACAATTTATCAAGGCATTTCTAAACACGTTAAATCTCCCAGGTGAGCGCCACAGGCGAGTCGAACTAAGGCCAAGACGAATGAGGATGAGATGATGATAAGTTTTAGCGCAAATGGTTACAATGATTTAAGAAAATACCAACTTTCATCGATAACAAGCTACTTGAAGGTCAAATATTTAATAAAACTTGAACCCTAGCCATCAACTTCGACTTTTTCTTAAGGATATTATTATGTCGAAGTTGGATCGTCGCAGAAAGGGTGTGTACGGCTTGCCATTCGACAAAATTGCAACATTTTTTATTGACGACCTAAATATGCCTGCAAAAGAGGTTTATGGTGCTCAGCCGCCAATTGAATTATTGAGAACCTTCATGGATCATGGATTTGTGTAAGTTTGCGCCTTTATTCGCACCTCTATCCCCTTTTAATACCTTTCTGTGTTCTGATTGGTGAATATTTTGCGTGCAGCTCACTCATTGGCCGATTATGGACCAATGGCTTTATTATTAAATAGCTCAGTTGGGCTCTACAATCCATATATCGTTTATCGACTGGGATGGATAATGTAGTCAGATTTCTAATTCCAATTTGAGTTTATTACAACCAGAAGTGAAAGCTCCTTCTATTTGTTATTTTATTGTTTGCTAGCTATGATCTGGATGACATGTCAAAGATCCAGCTAATAAACCTCTACATCTGCTCGGCAATGGGCCCGCCCGGTGGCGGTCGTAACGACGTGACGCCGCGATTCATGCGCCACTTCCATGCCGTCTCTATGGTGCCCTTCAACGATGTAACTCTCACTCGCATCTTCACTACACTCATGCAAACTTACTTGCGGGTGGGTTTCTGATAGCTTTTGTCTGCATATAACCTACTTTCTTCTAATGATTAATAGTTAGGGCGTTACTACTTTCAGACAGTAAACGCATGTAAGAATTAAAAAGTCATCTTCATTATTTTCTTGTGCCACTGGTGAGGTTATTTCTGCGATTTCTTGAGCCATGTCAATTGCGGTTTCTTGCTACCTTGAGTGTGAACTTTAGTTTTCGTGTACTCGCTTCAATGCGAAACTTTATTCATATAGACTCAAAAAAATGTTTCGGATAAATTTGACGTTTGTTACCAAACCGCTTGGTCATGCAAGGCTTGAGTGTTGAAAACTAAATGCAGGATGGGGATCCTTCCACCTCGTTCTTTTACTGGTCAACTATTCCAAATAATGGTGACAAGCATCTTTAAAACCAAATCACCCTCACAAGATGCGCTTCTTATGATGTGTTTCCTGCGGCGTCCGGGTTATCACAGGGGAATCAGCTTTGTAAACTTGATTCAAACAAACGCTTCTGGTCAGATTAAAGTAGTTAAATGTATGCTTGCAAATATGTTTATTAGTTTATGTCAAAAATAACAAAACAAAAGTTGCCGAAGAGGATTGGGGAAAACTGCATACCACTTGGCTTCATTTGACATCAGTTTGACCTTTCAACATAATCGAAACTACTAGCTACCAGAGGTTACTCATGGAAATATTTATTTGTGATCGAAACAGGCGCATGAGTTCACTTCTGACTACTATATTCTGGGTAACACAATGGTTGACGCAACACTGAACGTCTACAAGGCCGCCATTTCGAATCTATTGCCTACACCAGCTAAGTCGCACTACGTCTTCAATCTGCGTGACTTCAGTCGTGTCATCCTTGGTATTTGCCTTATCAAAAAGGGACGTGTGAAAGATAAGCAGACCTTTATTCGTCTATGGGTCCATGAGGTGCTTCGTGTCTTCTACGATCGTCTCACTGACGAGAAAGACCGTCAGTGGCTTGTTGAGTAGGTCCAAACTATTTCTAAGTGAGAAGTGATTTCTTTATGCAGAATTGACTGGAATATTTTCATTTCGTTTTCTGAAGCTTTATCAAGAACACAATTGACACGTCTTTCAAGGACAAAGTGAACATGGTGTTCTCCCACCTTCTTGCTAATGTCAAGGACGAGGTTAGTTGATTCGCCCATTAGTTTGTTGATTTATTTATTCTAGGTCACCGAAGAGACCTTCCGAAGTCTAATATTTGGTGATTTTATGGATATTGAAACACTACCCGAAGAGAGGAGTTATGAGGAGGTCATGGATATTAACACGATGTATCCTATTGTGGAACAATGCCTTGCAGACTACAATGCCACCCACAAGACGAAAATGAATCTCGTTATTTTTAGGTTGGTTGGCGGTTCTTCTGCTGAAGTCCAGCTGTTGAAATGTCCTCGGAGCATTACTTGAGGGATTTCTTGTATTCCAGATACGTATTAGAGCATCTGGCGCGGATATGTCGTGTTCTACGAGTGCCTTCTGGAAACGCGCTACTAATTGGAGTAGGTGGTTCTGGCAGGCAGTCATTGTCGCGTTTGGCGTCCGCCATGGCAGGCTACGTCACGTTCCAACCTGAGGTCACAAAGGATTATGGACTTCAAGAGTGGCGTGAAGATGTCAAGGTGAGATCCTTCTTTTATTCTCTATTTTGAGTTTTCTGTATCAGAGTCTTCGTGGACAATTCGGATAATTTTCAGGGTGGATTGAGGTTTACAGAGTGCATATTTTCCTCTTTTCAGTCCTGTCTTAAAAATTCCGGTGGGCGTGGGATGAAAACAGTCTTCCTGATGACTGACATGCAGATCAAGAATGAGACCTTTCTGGAAGACGTCGACAACCTCCTCAACTCGGGTGAGGTGCCTAATATCTTCACCTCGGAGGAACGTGCTGAAGTCACCGAACTCGTACAAACTGCTATAGAGGTGGAGAGTCGCAAAAATGCCACCACTCCTGGTGGAGGTGGCTCCAGAGTCATCCAGGACATGTCTCCACTGGGGCTCTTCAATAGCTTTGTCAATCGCTGTCGAGCCAACCTCCACGTTATTATTGCCTTTTCACCCATTGGAGACGCTTTTCGAAATCGGCTTCGTCAGTTTCCATCCCTCATCAACTGTTGTACCATCGACTGGTTCACGGTAAGTGGTACCCACATCTACACAAAACCTTCTGGGTTTTTTTCAAATAACATTGTCTTCTTTTGATAAAATTTCATTCAGCCATGGCCAGAAGACGCGCTGGAAAGAGTGGCCCGACGCTCACTAGAATCGCTAGGAATGGAGGCTAAGTTGAGAGACAGCATTACGCTGATCTTCAAACACTTTCACACGTCCATAGCAAATCTGTCGGAGAAGTTCTACACGGAACTCGGAAGGAAGACTTATGTCACACCAACATCCTATCTGGAACAGATTGCCTCGTTCGAGCGACTCATTACGAAAAAGAAGAATGAGATTATGACGGCAAAAACGAGGTATATATACAGGGTAATCAAGGGGATTTACAACATTTAATTTTATACCCAAAGAATTTATTGTTGAAAAGTGCGGCTTCTATTGTCAGTTCAAAGCTTTACTAATAGGACTTATTTAGTGCCATTTGTGTCATTTTTTGATGAACATCGAGGAAAATTTATAGCCTTTGGGTCTAAGTACTGAGAAAAACTTTTGATCTCTACTGGAATTTTGCCCTAAAAAGGAACAAAAGTGTAGTAGATAGGGAGTGAGAACTGTGATGTCCCTACCAGCCGGATCAGGCAGAAGGCGACCGTTAGTGGAGAGGCTGTTTATGTGCAGAGCGCGCCCCTCACGCTATGAAACTTTGTATGAGATGAAAGTGGCGACTGGAGCTTACGTGCAAGGAGCAAGTGTCTGGGTCATAATTGTACTTCAATTGTGCCCTCGTGCTTGAGTCATCTATAATATAGGCTCTCTGGACTGTCTGCCTGGACTGATGATGACGGGCCCACGCCGCTTGTGTGGTCGTGTCCCCCAATCTGCACGATCGGTCCTTGTGTGTGAGTCCGAACCGTGGATGTCGTAGCGCGATGGACGCCCCAGATGCTTTCAAATGATTCAAAAGGTGCCACTTAATAGTCGAAACTGCCACCTGCCTTTCAAACAATTACCTCAGCTGTTTCAGTGAATTAGCTTTTGACGTCGGTTAAGTGGGTTTTGCAGTCCAGATTTTGAGTTAACTACCGAAAAGTTATGAGCACTAACAAGCAGTAGCCACCAGCAATTTGAATGATGTCACAAACCATACTTAACTATCATGGAATAAATTGGAAGACTGATCCTTTAGATAAGCATCTAAACCGTGAATCGCGGCGAAGAATAATAATGCATTCTATCATCGCCCTCTAAACAGGTATCTCAACGGTCTAGACAAACTGGCCTTCGGCGCAAGTCAGGTGGCGGACATGCAGGTGAAACTGGAGGAGCTACAGCCACAACTGGTACAGGCGGGTGAAGCCAACGAACGTCTCCTAGTGGTGATTGCGCGTGAGTCGGCAGCAGCAGAACAGCAACGGGAGAGGGTGGTGCAGGAAGAGAAGGTAGTAAATTCTAAGGCGGACGCCTCAAAGGCACTGTCAGAGGAGTGTCGGGCCGATCTGGCGGAGGCTCAGCCCGCCATGGAGGCAGCTCTGGCGGCCCTGGACACTCTTAAACCCGCCGACATCACTATTGTCAAGTCGATGGCAAATCCGCCTTTTGGAGTGAAGTTGGTCATGGAGGCGGTGTGTGTGATGAGAGATATCAAACCAGATCGTATTAATGATCCCAGCACGGGGAGGAAGATTTTGGATTATTGGGGACCCTCAAAGAGGCTTTTAGGTGATATGAACTTTTTACAGACTTTGAAGGAATATGATAAGGATAACATTCCTGCTCAGGTGAGGTTGAAAGGTGGTTTTATTTTGAGTCAAGTTAGTTTACTTTTTTCAGAAGCTATTTTATTATACGGCCTATCAAATCGAAAACGAAACTAATTCAGATTGAGTAGCAAAATTAGAGGCAGTGACTTTAACTTTGATGTCATTAAAATCTTGCATTCTCTGTAGTGAACAATTTATTTTTTTTTTCTATGAAAAATCATGTGTTTAGTAGGTGCACAACCAATCGGCTTGCTAATTCTTTAACAGCGAAACCTTGGAGAGGCTATGCTGAATTTATCCATTCATTTATTTTCTGGCTGTTCCTGAACTACCCATCTGTTCTGTATTCATCCATCCCAATTCCATCCATCCTGTATTCATCAATCCATCCCATATTTAACTCGTATGCGTTCATCCATTCCGTATCGATCGGTCCATCCATCTCGTCTCCATCCATTCATCCATCCACTCAACAGGCCCTTTCACATATGGGGAAGGGAAAAGCACCACTTCATCTCCATCCGTCATTTTCAAAACTACTAATGTTTGTGTGTGTTGGTAATAGACTGTAAACGGATTTGTTCATCCATTTTCAGTCATGAAGAATATTTTGTTAATGAACTGAAATTTGCCTCAGGCGGGTCTATTGGAAGCCTATAAATAAAATTTCTTTAAGTAGTTCCTTATCCACTTCGTTCCGCGGTGTTTACTCCTTCCATTCATTCAACTTAGATTATCACAAATATCAGGAGCAATTATATAACCAACCCTGAGTTTGACCCCGCAAAAGTTGCCCGTGCAAGTTCAGCAGCCGAGGGTCTGTGCAAGTGGATCCTCGCTATGGAACAGTATGACCGCGTGGCCAAAATTGTTGCTCCGAAGAAAGTCAAACTAGCTGTAGCTGAGAAGGAATTGGCAGAGAACATGGCTGCACTGAAGCAGACTCAAGCCTCTCTAAAAGCCGTCGAAGACAAACTTGCGCAGCTGCATGAGAATCTAGATAATACGCAAGTATGCTTGGCTGGAATATTGTGTGCTTTCTTGTTTTCTGATTGCCAATAACGTTATGCCCTTCCAGGCAGAGAAAAGGCGACTAGAAGACGAGGTGGAACTCTGCGGTTTGAAGTTGGTGAGAGCCAAAAAGCTGATTGGTGGATTGGGTGGGGAGAAGGAGCGCTGGTCACAGGCGGCAGAGCGGTTGCAGCACGTCTACGACAACCTCACCGGAGACGTTTTGGTTTCGGCGGGCGTGATTGCCTACCTCGGTCCATTCACTTCAACTTATCGTGATGCCTGCATTGAGGACTGGGTGGGTGTGTGCAACAGCCAGCCGAAAATTACTTGCAGTCAACACTTCTCGCTCACTAACTGTCTGGGCGATCCGGTCAAAATACAGGCATGGAATATCTTCGGACTCCCTCGAGATGCGTTTTCTATTGACAATAGTGTCATTGTAGATAATGGACGTCGATGGTATGCTGGACCTTTGTGGGCTTAAGGCGTTTCGAGAATCAAAACTTAGGCGTTAGCATTTGTGCTGCTCTTTCAGTCGCTTTGATATCCACCTGGTATCTTACAGAACTTAAAACTTATAAATCATTTTTAAAGGCAATTCAACATTCCCATTTAGGCTTTTTTGAAACTTTTTTGTGCCCTACTTCTCGTGTTTCGGGAACCAAATAGTTATTTTGCGGTTATACCTGTTCCCTGTGTCCATTTTCAAATTTCGTCATACTCCTGCGGACGAAACTGTAAGAGAATCTGGTTTTTACAGCAAGTACACTTATCAAAGGAGATGAGTGAAAAGTAGGCGGATGCACTGTTGGAGGAGAAAAATCATCGGCAACCTCAGTTTTCATGGCTTAATTCGCATTCGGAAGCATATTGTCCATCCAAATTCGGTCCTCTCGTCTGATTGCTTAGTTTTGCTACCTTGTTCGCTTCTTGATCAAGATAAACGCTAGGTCTCCAGCTTCTACCTCTAAGTTACGATTGATGGCTTCTGCGTAGCGTCTTTTTGGCACTGACGAATTCCGCGTGTGGTAATTAAGATGATTATCAAATGACTCTCAAGTCACTGACAGTTGACACTGACCCACCCCAGTAACAGTATCGTTGTATTCGTATGTCGTCGTTATTCAGGCCCCTGATGATTGATCCCGAAGGTCAGGCGAATAAGTGGATAAAGAATATGGAGAAGGAGAACGCGATAGCCGTAGTCAAGTTGAATGACAGTGATTTTATGCGACGAATGGAGAACAGTATACAATTCGGAGTACCCGTCCTTCTGGAGAACGTCGGTGAAGAATTGGATCCTAGTTTGGAGTCCCTATTGTTGAAGCAGACGTTCAAGCAGGGTGAGTACAGGGCATATCTTAAACAGCCAATTAGATGGGGGCTTGTGGGGGTTAAAGTTAAATTAGTTCCCCTTAGAACCGAGTTTCCCATGATGCCGTTATAAGATGAGCTGGTCCAGAAATATCTTAATTAACGACACGCACGAGTTGGGAGGCAGCGGCAGATCCCCGTCTTACTTTAAAGTCCTTTCTCGATTTTATTTTTGGCCTCATGCTATCAAGAGACTTTGGTCACACGTGTTGCTAAAACAGATACCATTATTCTACTCGTATTCTCCTTTTGAAGGCGCTATTGATATGATTAAGTTGGGCGAAAATATAATTGAATACTCCTCGGACTTTCGCTTCTACATTACAACAAAACTTCGCAATCCGCATTACCTCCCCGAAGTGGCAGTAAAGGTCTCGCTGTTGAACTTTATGATCACGCCGGAGGGCCTGGAAGACCAACTTCTCGGTATTGTGGTTGCAAAAGAGAAGTATGTAGAATGGAATTCTACCCCATATGTTGTTAACTTTATGTATTACAAAAAGATACTTTATTGAGTGCCAAAAGTGTTCATATTCCACGGAAATTCGGTAGGCGATGATGCAGATCCTTGAACTCTAATTTCCAAAGTTGATAAAACCCAATTATTCATAAATTATTGCAAGCTTATAACAGAATAATATAATCTGATCGAATCTCTGCAAGTTCCATGATTTTGCATTTTCATGGGAGTGGTAGCAGTAGATTGGTCGTCTCAGTTTGTCATGCAGCCATCTCTGACTGACAGGCCGACTGCCACGCTTTGTCACAGACACATTTCGTGGAGCGAAGAATGCGATGACACCACAGATCGAGTCGAACCTCTCTGTAGGTGAAGTGAGAGTTCGATGCAGTAATTAACGACTTTATTTTAACGTCAGGGAATATGTTTATTCACAGTGTGCAGAAGAGCAGCTGAAAACTAGCAGCCTGTAACATGCTTGGAACTCTATATCCCCTGGATGACAGTGGAAGGGATGGAGACCAAAAAGCCTACTTAATATCACTTAGTATATGATCAATCCTACTTGTTAAAGTTAATCCACCTTATTTAGACCGGAACTGGAGGAGGCAAGACAGGAGTTGATTGTCACAACTGCCAACAATAAGCGAATGCTTAAGGAAGCTGAGGATCGTATTTTAGCTACTCTGGCTGAGGCAGAGGGCAATATCCTGGAAAATGAGACGGCTATCCAAACTCTCGACTCCTCAAAGGCTATTTCTGATGAAATTATGCAGAAACAGGCGGTATGTTAACATTCTCATTTATCGGACTGTGTTGTGAATCTTGAAGAAACTTTATCGCTTTTTAACGCGGGCTTACTAACTGAATTGTCAAGTATATATTGCGAGGAAATGTCAAAAATAGAAAGCATACCAGAATTTCATCATTATGGCTATTTTGCTTTGTTTTGTCTGTTTGTTATCTTTGTGAGTTCTCCTAGGTAGCGGACGAGACGCATAAAAAGATTGACCTTGCTCGAATGGACTACGCACCAATAGCGAGGCATTCAGCGATTCTATTCTCCTCCATCACTGATCTCCCCAACATTGATCCCATGTATCAGTACTCACTCAGTTGGTTTGTCAACTTGTACGTCAATGCCATTCAAGATAGGTGAGTGACTGGCTGATCAATACTTGATGAAATTACTTACTACTTGTCACGTCAGTAGTATGTTTGAGATCACGAAGATTAATGGGACAAGATCTGCGGAAACAGCTGAGCCACGTAAATCCCTCCTTGTATTCTTGCCTAATTTAGCAACAAGTCGAAGATCCTGGAACGCCGACTGCGTTATATCCAAGAGTACCTTGATTACAAGCTTTACTCAGAGGTGTGTCGAGGCCTCTTTGAAAAGCACAAACTAGTCTTCTCACTCTCTCTTTGCGCCAGGCTTTGCTTGTAAGTATCACCACGTGTGCGCATGCATGTAGGCAACGATGAGGCTGACTGCTGCACAGACTACGCACTTCTATGACATCTGCCTGTACCCCACTACGTGTCGCACGTTGCCTCCAAACACGACAGCTTGATGAAATTCATCGCATCAAAGTGTATCAAATAGGGCTTTAAATCACTTTAAAAACAGCAGAAAAAGGCATTAAAGCGTTCAGTTCCACTTTGGTTGTTCAATTGGTTCTTTCTATCGTCTAGTAGATACTCCGTTTCGTTCGTCATCAATCCTTCGGAGTATTTCATGTTTACTTTTTTGTATCCATGACTTTGTTATCCACTAACTTGGGACGATAAAGTGCTGTCGAATAAAAAGTCGCGCTGAACTGTGATGAATTGGGTGAGGTATAAGGTGCATACTTAAGGTATAGGAGGGTGAAATGTAGAACGAAAGTGGGTACATTAAGCTGTAATGCTAAATTGAGGTTACGTTGCCATTTAATTTGTTGTAAAACTGCCTTCTTTCTCTTTCTGCACACCTTACAACATCACAGCAACAAGTCAAAGATAGTGGAGAAGCGTATCCGCTACCTCATCGACTATTTCACCTACAGTCTCTACGTGAGCGTCTGCCGGTCGGTGTTTGAGAAGCACAAACTCCTCTTTTCTCTTCTCCTCTGTTGTAAACTAATGATGTGAGACTCCCCTGCGTTGTGGAGCGTTTTGTGTTCTCTGTTGGTTTCGGCTCTCCCCTCTGACACTTGGTTGATTCAAGACAGGTGCCAATGAGACGATGGTGTCTCGTGAAGGTGTGCGTTTCGGTTCGAGTTAAACCTGGCAATACTTAGACCTCTGACTTTCCAGGTTTTCACAAACGCAAATTTTAACTCTTCAGTCCATAACGAACAATGAAACTATAAAGTAAAAAGATTAATTTCCAGCCATAAATGCAAACAATTAGGTGACCTGGCAACTACTTAACTTTGTACTGTTCTTGTTACGTCCCTTTTTTATGTTAGCTTTCTCCATTTCTATAAGGGCACAATAATTCGCTTTTTGCCTGAAACTATGTGAAAAGCTACCACAATCCTTGAATCGACGAAGCAGAGTTTAAATAGACTTATCTTTCCTCGAAACTAGAATTTACTAAGGTGTCTTGAAGAAATTCTACTTTGGTTTGCAATTTTGCCCAAACAATATAGCGAAATGCAAATTCAGGTGCATGGAATAGTAAATCATTAGTTACTGTAATAAAACTTCAACAATGAATGTCCTGACAGTATCAGATTATGAGAATCAAAGGTGATTAGAAGGGATCTCATTTACCAACATTTGGCGTTTACATGCCATTTCCCAATCACAATGTCGCATTCAACTCTCAAATTTGTGAAGAAACACAGAATGGCTAGTAAGTACAAAAAAAGCTTAAAATCTAGCATAAATTTAGTCTTTATTTGTTTGGTTGCCAAGGTGACTTTTCCCGAAATCCACTGTTTGTCAATCCTAGTCTGATGGGTTTTGCCCATTCACAATGGCACTACTCCTATGCCGCCTTTTTTGTTTGAAAGCAAAGAAACTACCTCCTAGACTAAAGCTACTTTGTAGATTAATGCAGACTTCGAGCGAAAAACTATTCTAGGTGGCACAGATTTTCTGAATGCAAGGCTTAATGCTTTTTCACCTGCCCTGCTCTTGGTACACTTCATTTACACCGTATCGTTACACTGTTCTGTAAAGGTGTGCTTTCTGATCCACTTCTTTTAACTGATTTTTTTCCTTAGGGCAACAAGACATATTGCTAGTAGTTAGTGAAATACAGTAGCTGAGTGCTTCCAATGGCTAGCGGCTGGATAACATAGCTTTTCTGGAGGCCATGACCTTGAACCCCGTGTAGTGAACTTTTCTATTGAATACCTCGTCAGTCCTTTTCATTTGCACTTCTGTTTTTACCTCTCATTTTCAGGTTAAAGTTGCACCGTTCTGCAATGACGTAGAATCACTGAAATATAGCCTGATGCTTCTTCCGTTTCTTCATTTTTTATTCGCCTAGGGCCAAAGATGAGATACACCTAAACGAGTTTCTCTTCTTCCTTACTGGCGGTGTGGGTCTAGAAAATACCGTACCCAACCCGGCTCCCCAGTGGCTCATCTCAACCAGCTGGGACGAGATCTGTCGCCTCTCGGACCTGCCGCCTTTTGCGGGCCTTAAGGAACACGTGGCAGGGAATACTCGTGAATGGCAGAAGTTCTACGACTCCAAGACACCACATGATACACCCCTGCCTGCGCCATGGAAAACTACTTTGGATCAATTTCGCACACTCATTGTGCTACGATGCATTCGGCCGGATAAGGTGAGTGCCTGAGCTTACTCCTTTCAATGAATGGGTTAATTCTTCAACTGATGATTAGGGGCCCCTTGATTCAAGTCAAAGTTATTAAACAAGCTTTCCCAGGGCAATGAAATGTATTGAAGTGCATTGAGGTGATGCTTGATTGTTGAACTCGTGACATTTGGAGAAAATGCGGTATTTAGCGGCATGGGCTGGCCCTAAACGATCCACTCATTACGCCACCCCACATTTTTAAAAGGAGCATCACTTCGTTCATCATCCTCAGGAGACTGAAGACGAAAACGATTATCTGCTGAAAGCCAGCTACGGCGATTAGGATTGAAGTCTATCTTCTTGATTCAATTTGTTGCAAGATAAACAATCAGGACTAGCCACTCAGTCAGTAGGAAGGACTTGTTCTTTTTCTTACAAGGCAGCATGATATGTTGTACCTTATGCCAAAAAACTGACTTGTGAGGGCATTTGCAGAAAGTGAGGAAATTCTGCCCATTCTTTAGCCACATCGTCCGTACCTGTCTCTCTAAGAGCTGCTTATCCTCTTCTTGGCACTGGACGTTTGTACTGTTATATGCCAAATACAACAGCAAATATTTGGAAAGTAAAGTTGAGGGAGGCAGAGGTGGGTGTAATTAAGTTGTTTACTCCTAGAGATTAAATGTAGGACTTATTTGTTTTCCTCACAAGATATGGTGGAAGTCATTTGTGCTGGAAATAGCAGTCGATCTCGTGTGTGATGGCCTTAAAACATAATATTCCCACAATTTTGGCACATTTTTGCCTTTTTAGACCAACATTTTTCTCAACAGCTGAACATTTACCCATTTCCTTTATAAAAAAACAGTACCTACCCTTGAAGTATCACGAATTTGGATGCATGACATCAATTCCTGTTCATTGACAACTTGGTGACAAAATGCAAATCTATGCAACCACAATTTAGTTAGGTGATGCGCGTGGTTTTGAAGCAGGTTTTGCTACAAAGACATTTAGAAAAATATCTTTTTGAAGTCATTTATCACATATTTATCTTCTGGGGAAGCGCATTTGCAAGTGATACCCCAATAGTCCGCCTTACTGCTGAAAATGGTTAGAAGTAGTTTATTCAAAATCCGGTGCTTTAGCTATGATCCATTGTTGATTATTGAGCATGACACGCACTACTAGGTTGTTGTCATTTAAAAACCTTATTTAAAATTCCAAGTCTTGTAGAGTTCTTTCAGTTTTAGGAATGCTATCATCCGTATTTTTTGCTGATAACAAATTCAAATTGTACAGGCTGGTTGCAAACATCCTGTTTGAATCCTCGAGTCTGCAGCTATTCGTCTCGTTCGTCGATATTCTTGCGTCTCCGCAGGCATTCCGTCCAGACTAATGAGAAATTGCTGGCTGAAACTATTAATACTGCCAAAAATGCATTTTCCTACATTCCAGGTTGTACCCGCAGTGACCAACTACGTACGTGGGAAACTGGGCAGGAAGTTTGTCGAACCACCTCAATTCGATCTAGCCAAGAGTTACGAGGACTCAACATCCACCGCGCCCCTCATTTTTGTGCTCTCACCGGGCGCCGATCCGACTATGGCATTGCTCAGGTTTGCGCACGACAAGGGCTTTGGAGGCACACGCTTCCAGTCAATCAGTCTGGGTCAGGGTCAGGGTCCCATCGCTGCAAAAATGATAGAACGCGCACAAGCGGAGGGTTCATGGGTGTTGTTACAAAACTGCCATCTAGCGGTCAGCTGGATGGCAAATATGGAGAAGATTTGTGAGGGGTTCACTGTGGATAATACTGCGCCGACATTCCGTCTCTGGCTCACTAGCTATCCCTCTCCCAGTGTAGGTATTTTGTTACTACAATGTGATAGTTTCAACACAAAATATCTTGCCGACCGACCAATTGAACGTCTTTACATGTGATTCGTGAATATAAATGACTTCCATCATCCGAAATTGGACTTTAAATGTAGGATCATGGGAATTCATCCTTCATTGGCCTCAAAATTTTGCTGTGCTACTTAATCGGTTTTTGTGGTTACACCTTAGAGGTGGAGTTGGATTTAATCGCTGTGATATTTTGGCCATTTCAGTTCCCAGTCACTGTTTTACAAAACGGTGTAAAGATCACCAATGAACCTCCGTCGGGATTGAGACAAAATCTTCTCCAATCCTATCTGAGTGATCCACTCTCCGATCTAAACTTTTTCTACGGGTGTCCCAATAATGAAGCGGTGGGTTTGGCTAGTTACTCTATATTTGATCCACTCATCTTCATCCATTTATACGACCACGTGAAATAATTGTAGAGTTAACATAGAAATGGTATTATCACCAAGATAGTTACTTCTACAAACAGACAATAGTGATTTTGATCGAGACGCACTTTATTGACATCCTGACGAGGTAAAGTTAGCCAATTTGGGAATTATTTGTTTCGTGTAGACATTTGAGAAGCTCCTCTACGGACTCTGCTTCTTTCACGCGTTAGTTCAAGAGCGACGTCACTTCGGTCCAATTGGTTGGAATATTCCCTACGGCTTCAATGAATCTGATCTGCACATCTCTGTGCGGCAACTACAAATATTCATTAATGAGTATGAGCAGGTAGGTCTCATTTTAATCTAGGTAAAGTTTTTAATATTCCTTATCGGATTTGTTACGTAAAATGTTTGGGAGCTCACACTCATTCCTGATTTTACTATTATCATGAAGCGACTTTTAATTGGCTCTCGGAATTGACCATTTAAAATTTACTGAACTAATAAAGTGTTCTCCGTGTAGGTACCCTTCGAGGCGATCAACTACCTGACAGGTGAATGCAACTACGGAGGTCGGGTGACTGATGAAAGGGATCGACGATGTCTCTTAACCATTCTCCTCGACTTCTACTGTCCTGCACTGATTACGGAGACCAAGTACAAACTGCCCACCAATCCGAACTACTTCATCCCACCGAAAATGGAGTACCATGAGTACATAGAGTTTATCAAAGTGAGCGACCAATTTTAAAATTGTGTCTAGAAGTGAATTTCAAAGTCCACAATGAGTCCGGAGGGCTGGGAGAGACCATTAGCATAGTTCCATAGTTTCCTATGGTCCCTGATAAAAAAGCTTACCTTCAGGGGTTAACGAATTGTTTTTGATTGACTTTAGAATCTGCCATCAGTGCAGACCCCTGAGGTGTTTGGATTGCACGAGAACGTGGATATAGTGCGTCAGCACTCAGAGACGAAGGCGCTGCTTGCAGCAACCCTCCTGACGGTCACCAGTATCGGTGTCGGCGGTGGTGGAGGGCAGACCGCCGCGGGTAGCAGTGACAGCCAACTCAATGACATCGCTACGGACATCATCGGCAAATTGCCGCCTCCTTTTGACATCGATGCTGCGTCAAAGCGATATCCTTTGGTATATCAGGAGAGCATGAATACAGTTTTGGTGCAAGAGATGGAGCGATATAATAAGTAAGGCTGTCATGGATTATAAGTCTTTAAAATTCTACATCTACAAGTGACAAACTGTAGCGTCACATTTTAACCTTTGGGCGACAGTTCAAATCTTTTCGAGATTTAATCGAGCAACTCCAAACATCTCATACGAGCTGATGAAGAGCCATTAACTACACATCTCTCAAGTGCTTAGTACTTAAGTGTGCTTATTTTCACATTTGCAGCCTTACACAAACAATTCGTCAAAGTCTGCTGAATTTGCAGAAGGCCCTTAGTGGTCTAGAGGTGATGTCGGCGGAGTTGGAGCAGTTAGTGGCTTCCCTTATGATTGGTCGAATTCCCAATGCGTGGGCATCCCGATCCTATCCCAGTCTCAAGCCCCTTGGCAGCTACATCATTGACCTCTGCGAACGCCTCGCATTTTTTCAGGTTTTCAAATGACCATTTAATCTCCCACTTCTAGTAAAACGATAAGACCGTACAACAGAAACCATTTTTTCTACTTTCCATGAGCTCAGTGGTATTTTGTGCGCGTCTTTAGTGAGAGGCGGTCTGTAGCTTAAAGCAGAATTGTATGTCTCAATTCATCCAAACGATTTAGATGGCCACAAACATTATCGTGATGCCTTCTCTTCCGTTTCAGCGTTGGTATGAAAACTCCAAACCGTCGACGTTTTGGATATCCGGATTCTTCTTCACCCAGGCCTTCCTGACAGGTGTGCTGCAGAACTGCGCACGCCAATACACCATCCCAATTGATCTCCTTGTTTTCGACTTTGATGTCCAACCCGTGTTGAATGTTGAGACTCCACCCAAGGAGGGCACTTACATCAATGGTCTCTTTGCGGATGGATTTCGGTGGGACTACGACAGGTACACCCTTAAATCGAGTTTTGGTACTCAGTATTTTGTCCTTTACTTAAAGGAATCTGTTTATTTCTAACCTCTTCAGTTAATTCCATGTACACAGCCTGGGATTTTTCACTAGTTAACATATGTTAAAAAGGATTGCAATAGATTAATCACCCTAATTTTTTTCCCAACCAAATTGGTTTGGGATACCGTAGTTCTTGTGAGTGCCTTCGTGATTCTCGGGGACACAAGACATTCTCCGTTTTTTGTTACGCTATTCAAATAAGTTTACCTACGTCTTGGAAAAAAAGAGATGGGTTATTGTCTCATTTGAGAAGCACTACAACACTAACATTTTCTTCTGTCCTTAATTACAGAAGTTTAGTTGTTTTAAAGTACTACTTTGAAGGTTAAAAAAATTAAATTACCTTGCGTAGGCTCCTGCAAAATAAGTACGCGGCAATCGTTGTGTTCCCGAATGAAAGACTGGTGCTTTTTATTTCATTTATGTAAAAAGAAATTACACCCTCTTCAGGGCAATAGTAGGAAGGTGAAAACCTTACTGTCAGACTAAAGATGCATGTAGCTTCTTTTGGAGTAATATAGTAACCCTTCATGACCTCAGGAAGCGTTCTCATTCCTCATTCCTAGTAGTTTCGTCTAGAAAATCTCGAGTTTTCATCTTTTCAGGTCTAATTTTTAAACATTTTGACACATTTGCCAGCTCATACTCCCATTCACTCTCGCTTGATTAACTAGCTATGGCGTGTAGACGCACCTTATATCCACTAAGTCCCTTTAGGCTTAAGGCTATTCAAAGGGTCACCTGAGTACTTAGCTTATCGGCAGAGGATCTGCGTTTTGAGGTCTTCGCATTCTCAGATCCTCTGGTTGAGGTGGCGGCGGTGTTCGTACTTACCTAGGCCATGAAAATTGGCAATATGAGAGAGATACATCCTGGATTCGTCAAAGATTGAACTACTACTACTGGTGTAGCAGCTGGAGTTGTTAGTACGGACAAAAATTTAAGATCTGCATGTTTGGTCATGCAGAATAGCCGGTATTGTCACTATGATCCAGAGGACAACGCCATGTTTGGCACATTATCCGTTCTACGCTGATCCTACTTCGTAGGATGATGCATGAGAGGTTCGTCTTCTGCTTCGCAAACTACGGCCACTGATATTTGGTCGTTTCGCTAATCTGATACTATTGCGAAATCCACAAGGCCACATTTCCGAAGGGAGAGTGTAGTCTCTTAGCTGATGACTCCATGAACAACCGACACATTCCAGTATACGATACAAAAGTTTGGAATTGGGTACAAATAAGACCGACAATTATCTTGCCGTGCAAGCGATTCAAGTTAGAAATCTTACTGTCGACTACTTCGAACCATTCACTTATATTAGCAGTCTTCAGTTACCTAAATTTTTAGATATTTGGGTACACCTACTGTTAAGCCCGAAACAGGGTCCAAGAACCACACCTGTTAAAACTTTTTGCTGGTATCAACGTCTACCAAATCCGAACTTTGATTTAGCCTGGGTACCAATTTAGTCTCAGGGTCCAAGCCGTGCATCACTACTGCAAACTTAGCACACGAAAACCTGGTTCACATCCCAACAACCAACATTCTTACGTCGAGGCCACTAAAACTCCTCCCTCAGCCTTCTAGTACTGCCGGATCTGGCACTGCCATATTTTGTCCCCCGAAAGCAGTCTCGATGCGGCTGTTGTGGCGCTGTTGGTCACAAAGGCAAGTTCTGTAAGTTTCGCCTCTCCGACTTAAAGTCCAGTTCCAACAAGCCAAAGAAAGCTAGCCACACAGCCGTTCGGCTTTCCGATCCAACGCGCCTGACCTTCAGAGGTGTGCCACTTTTCTACTCAATGACTATCCATTGAGTATGGATGGACTTCCCCCCTGAACATCACCATCATTGCAGAGATCCCGTGGCACAATTGCTCATGTTGGTCAATCAAAACTCTCCGGGTCGCTACGGTTATGCGCATCTTTCCGTTGTGCATTAGTCATTGGAACGCGCCACACCACTAAGGCCAACTTCAACCCACTTGGTCTAGACTGGTTTGACTGGTTGAGGCTGAACCAGGTACAAAAGCACTACGTTCTCAGAGGTCTTTCAATCCCGATCCGGTTGTTTTCAGACGTCATAGGCCGTCGTACACCTACAGCCTTATGCTACACCAGTATTTCGGCCGAAGTACTGGTTTCTTATACCTTTATGCTTTAAGTTAACGCGAGTATGCAAAGGTTTGTGAAGGGAGGTCTTCTAACTCTACCTGCTTACTCCATACCTGAAGCCCCTATTGTTGTGGTTAGAAAACCCACTGGATCATTTTAGATTGACTCAATGCTGCACTTAGGAGCACCATTACCAATGTTTGTCCCCTGAGGGTCTACTTACCATACAAAATGAGAGAAGATTCTTTATCTAAACGGACCTTGCTTACGCCTATTTACAAGTTGGAATTGCATCAGTATCGTGAACTTCGGACCATAAACACACCGCCAACTGCTCCAATCTAACGACCACCCTTCGAAGTGAAGATTGCTCCCGGTACTCTACAACAAGTGGTCGACGCGATTCTCTCCAGCACCTCCGGCTTGTCTGTATAGTTGGGTGCCATTCTAGTTCTTGGCGCTACGGTGGATGAACGTCCATGCTCAAAAGTATCAGACCAAACGACTTCCACTTGGGCTTCGGAAAGTGCAACTTTTTCTTGAGATCGGTAAAATTCCTTGGCTTTATCTTCGATGCTACTGGTGGTCACCTTGATCCAAAGAACATTGGAGGAATTTCGCAGATTTCGGCCCCGACGGATGTTCTCTCACTCAGTTCGGCCTTTTGCCGTTTCTCTACAATGTCCAAGCTCTAATAGACAGCTTACTTCGAAGGCCTTTTCCGTCGAATCAGATAAGGCAATACGAGGCCGCCGTTTTTTCACCTGGAGGCAGTATTGAGCTTGGAACGCCTGCTGACTCACTACAGTCTGGGGTTGCCAACCACCGTGGCTGCAGACGCGTTTGCCTACAGTGTCAGAGCCGTTACTACGAGTGTTCCCCGACGAAACCGGAAGGATTGTTGTATTTGCTTAGTGGGAAGGTACTACGAGAAAATCAAAAAGGAGGGTTTAACATTGAAATTTGTTGACCGCCGTCTCCAAAAGGCTACCTTATAGCCGATGGCTTATACTCCTTATTGACCACAAATTCTGACTGTCAATTTTCGGTTCAAAAGACGACATCCTGGCACATTCAAAAAACCAGCTCTACATTAGTTCACGCAATTTCGGCAGTTTGAAAATAAGTATGTTTTAGTGACGCGTTCTAATGAGTTTGTGGAATCAAAAACATGCCTTGGTGGTGAAAGCTTGATGATGTTGCCAACCCTGTACATTTTATCTTTTCGGTTGGATATCTTATTCACAGAGGATGAGATCGAAAGATCACTTACCGAGGCGATGAAAGTGGCACTCCTCGTGGTCATGATGGTCAAGCCATTCATGAGCAAATGGATTGGTCTCAACTTTTAAGGAATACCAAAAAAATGGAATCAAGCGATTTGTTGTTATGCGTTTTCAGTAGATGAATGTAAGGAATGAAAGAAGCTCTTTCTTCGGCTACCTAGGATGAAAGTGGGTGACCAGTTGCCCAAGGTGCTCAACGAGGTTTTCCCGGCGATCCACCTTCTACCCGTGCCAAAGAATAAGAGCAAGATGTCGGCTATGGAGGATAGCAGCTGCTGCTTCTACATGTGTCCAGTGTACAAGACAAGCGAGCGTCGTGGTGTCCTCTCCACCACCGGCCACTCCACCAACTTCGTCTTGCCCATTTACCTACCCAGCGAGGAGCATGAGAGCTTCTGGATCAAACGCGGGGCCGCATTACTCTGCCAACTGGACAACTAAGCTGTTGAACTCTAACATCTAACCCAAATACACTTGCACACACCCATTAGCACTTTTAAGTCCTTACTTTAGCCAGTGAAATGGACAATTAGCTATGGGCTTGAGTAGTTTGTTTAGCGTTTAGAAGAGCGCACATAAGCGGGCTTGCATGTGACGCCAGTGAGTGACGCCCTAGTAAGAATTCTAAGCTACTTGTAGTACCGACAACAGAGACACGTGTGCACACGCAGAGGAAAATAAGCGCATAGTGATAGAATAATATCTACACAACATTAATTTACGGAGAAAAAATGGAAATTCATACAGGGGTTGGAGAACAAGTACAGAGAGTCATCAGTCAAGATGTGAGTCAAAAAAGAGTTTTCTGGACTTACTGCCAATCAGAGGCATAATTTTACAGCCGATTTACTAGTTTCCTCTGACTACGTAGCCTTTTTAAGTATCAAGTGGACTTGAAACCTAAGTGAATTCCCTGTTCTACATGAGTAATTCCTTAAGTAGCCCATTGTGAGATTATCACCCACTTTGAGAGCTTAATTGCTTGAGGAATTTATAAAAGTTCATGCATAATTTGAATGAACTTCCCACCATTAGTGAGCCCAACGTTAAGGCTGTGGATTGTAGATAGTCAGTGATATTTATTTGTGTGTACAAGGCATTTTTGCAGTTTAGGTTACAGGGGAATGCATGAGGTCGCAGATGAAGCAGGATCTGGTTAACATCGAGAGGCACAGGAATTAATTGTGACCGTAATGGAATATGGCGTATGGATAGCGCACATAAATAAATAAATCACACACCTTCTTAGTCGCCGCCTTCCAAAAGGGCCGGGAAAAAAGGCGTGTTCATGTAGGGTTCAAAGTGCATCTATGATTGAAACGCTTTAAGTAGTATCATCTCTAGGCCTTCACAAAGGCATCTAACTACAAGGGATTGATTAGTACAGCAGTTTTACAATGTGTAAACAGGTAAGGTGAGACACCTATACGCTGACCTTCATGTAGGCGGCAAATTCATCGTAGCGACTGAGAAAGGGAAAGAGGCCTCCACTGTCGATGCTGGCAACTTTAGCTTCGGGGTAAGCCCTGTGCACGCCCTCATAGAGCTTCTTGTACGTCGTATCCAAGTCACCAACCTGGGCAGAGACAAATGAACAGGCCATAGTAGGATAACAGCACATAGGTAACCATAGAGAAAATAAGCCTTTACGAAACGGGACTGCGCTTTACAACTGCTTTCAGTATGAGTTACTTCGGGGTTTTTGCCACTTTTAGATGCAAAAACTAGCTATTCAACGATTCAACATCTCAGTAGATCGGTTTATTAAAGGTGAAATGTCGGATGATATTATTGAACAGGAGGCAACGCAGTAAGGTGCCAAGGTTTGTATCTATAAGGGCAACGATATTTTACTCATTAGAGTCAAAGACTAAATAGAGGAGTCTTCATCTGTCAAAAGGCGAAAATAGAGTGTTGGTGCACCATGAATTAGGCAATCCAACGCCTGTAAAACTGAGACTATTCATTGAACACCACCAGTGTTGGACGAAGATTGTCTGGGTACAGCTCTTAGAGGTTGGTTAATGTCATCTGATGGAAATGGCAGATTCCTGCAATGAAATTCCAAGCGTTTAAACACAAATATTTTGCCTCAAAATTCCAACTAGATGATTCCAGTAGATATGGGCTAGCTTGACTCGCTTGAGGGGTTAAATAAAACCTGATAATTAAGCAAGCACCACCAGCTTTCGATAGTTCCTGCAGCTCTATTTAGGTATTGAGTACTCAAAAGAATCCATCGTGGGTGAAGTGGTTTAAATCTGCTCCTTTGCGGTAAAAGGGGCTGTCCATAATTCTACCTATCCAGCTGTCAACAATACTGCTTAATCACGTGTAGTGATGCAGACGTGCATCCGCTTCTGTTCACTCACCTCCACTCATGCCTTCCATTGTTAAGACTTGAGTCTCCATTGCAGATCACAGGATATTAACTAGGGCTAGTTACATTCGCTAGTCATAATCTACTTGGCACGAACGAACAGGCACATTGTTTTGCAGATGTAGTAAAAGCGAGAGTTGTTGAGACCCCGGAACTCACCTCAACAATGGTGACATCGACATCTTGCAATTCTTCTACCGTGACATGGTCTGTCGTGCAAGCCATTGTGAGTCGAGATGCCAATTCAGATTGGGACATTTTATTCATCTAGAGGGAAAATGACGATGACATTTCATCATGTAGTCCATAAGAGTAAATTTGTGGATTATTTCTTTGTCTCATTTCATTGAGATTGAACTTGAGGCATTTCCCCTTTAATATTACAGTTGCATGGCATTCCAACTGATTCTAGTAACGTCAAACTGTAGAGAAATAAGGGTTTACCGATCAATCTCCATTGACCACCAGTAGATATCATCGACAGGCAAGCTAGTTAAAAGCGCCATTACTGAGGCTCGGGGTCAAATTCCCACCGGAAACCTCCCACGAGGTCGGGCTTTCATTATTTCACTCCCCTTTCATTTTTTAAGTTGCGCAAAAAAGTATTCGTAGTATTAATGCTGATATGAGTATCATAAAAGTAATAGAGTATTAAGCTACAAACCATACTGCGTTGACCATGAAAAATAACGGTTCTTAGTATCCCAGACCCAGGGGAGAGCATGAAATTGTTTACCAGATAAAATATGCACAACGGCTTCATGTTCATTGTAACTCCAAAAGGAATACGAAAGAGGTAACGAGCTTGTTGACTAGTAAATGTGCAATCACACGATTGAAAGCCCAGTAAAGTTTATTTCATTTTTTTTAAAAGAGTTTGAGGAGAATCAAGAGAAGGGCAGATTAAATCAAGTGGTTTTCGTTAGAATCTCATTTGCAGAATTTATTTTATTAGAAGATTGAATAAGATTTGTTTAGAACATAAGTAATTTGTAACGCGTGAAGGTAACACCGTCTGAAGCGAATGCAAGGTTTATAATGTGCAATTGAGCCGCTCAGCTCATTGCGTGTTTTACCGGTCAACAACTTATAAAAGTAACTGTAGAAGACTCGTGAACTAACAATGTGCAATATTCTGTTTATACAGATTCTATTTAACAAGATCGAACTTAAGCATGCCATCGAGAATATTTTTTATCAAATTTCAGTTTCCATGCCGCTGTGAATTCATCGCAGCGTGTTTAAAACCGAGCCAGAAAATGCCATTTCTCCTTTAATTTTCCTGGGCAGAGCAGCTCCATTAATGAATTTTTAGGCAAGCACACTTATTTGGTTTTGTGAATCTCATGTCCATTCCGCTAAAAGACGGCAAAAAAACAGAATTTTGCGCATTGACACGGGCTATATTGTGCATTTAACGTCATCTGTGCAGACTTCTCAGGCACGCGCAATGCATACAAGTGAAAACTAAGCTAATAGCTAGTCACCTGTTGTTTTGCCAGTTCTACCGAGGTCCTGACATCTTCGTCAGCATCGGTGGAGACGGGTGGATACTCAAGAGTCATTCGTAACAGGGATACTGGTAACATCCAGAACCTAGGAGACGCCAAGTACAATGCGTAAACCGTAGAAGACAGCTAAGAATGTAGACGAAACAATAGGAAAAATTCATATGGATAAGTAACAGAAAAGGCAGGTCGTAATCGATGGAACACTAACACAAGTAAAAGATAACATCAAAACTGGAACTTGCAATCTCGACGAAAATCGCGATTCAAATGAATAGGTGTCTGTGAATGTGTTGCAGAGGACCAAAGACTTGACATAAGCATTGGATTTTTCAGAAATTTCATAGAACTTCTGGGCAAGGAAACCGCCAAGAGAAGAGCCGATGAGATGAACACCCGTTACATGCAATTCACCAAGCATTTTGAGGAAGACTTCACAGAAATCATTCGCGTTATATGTTTCGGGATAATTGATCTAGAGATGATTACAAAAGCACCTTTACCGATATTATCCTAAAACCTTCCCTTGAAAGTAGTAGCTGAACTTTGTAGTAGATTGATGCATCACACGCAGTCGGGGGCAAACAAATTATTGGGCAAGATATTTCCTTTGGCCCGAAATCATAGAAGTCAATAGTGTACTTATCTATTTTTAACTAATATACGGTATAATTTTGTTAAAACATTACTGATGATTTGTTAGACGAGTCATTGAACTCCTCATAACCAAACAAATCCGAATTTTCCATTCAGAAATACGCTATTTGAACATAAGGCAAACAGACGTCTTGGAAAAAGCGCTTTAAGCTTAAGGTCAAGGACGTGTCACCGCGTGCTTAGAGAAAAACGGGATACTATAAATACTTATTTTGCCCTTATAACAAATTTTTGCATTCATTCTTAGCTCTTACTTACTAACGTGCTAAGACATATGCAAAAAGCACATTCAGTTAAGTTGGGTAAGTAATAAACTTGTACAAGATCGTTGTTGGGTGCTACCCGATTTAGTGCTCAAACAACTGATTTTTTGGGTTTCACTGGCAGAAAGTGTAGATAAAAAATCGATCGCTTTTAAACACTTTGTAGACTTTCCACCTGTTTGCATAATCGTGCATTTGTTAGGTACAAGAACTTATTGATCTTTGGCATTTCTCCGGGTTTTTTGTGGTTCATTAGGCATGTACACAGCTGCCAGACAATGGCGCTGCATGAGGTTTATGCATCAATAAATTTTAAACACAATTAATAAACGCAATTTAAAAAATAAACAGTTAGTTGTCGCGCGCCATTCAGTCTGGTTCACATGATGCTAGCGTCCGTCTGGGGGCTGGGTTGACTCCTGGATGTGTTATCTGGAATTCATGAGGGTTTCTAACAATCAATTCGCCTTTCTAACTCGTACATTAGTCGCAATAATTCGGTTTTGATATCATGAAGGTGTCAGATCAGGTTTCAAAAGTATTTTTTCATCATGGATTATTTTGTTCCACACGACCACTGCCAACTCTTCTGACTGTTATTTGTATATTCATTTTCTTTTGGTAAGTGTTCGGGTGTGATCTAGTCTTAGTTTTCCTTTGCAAAAAATCAGCATCTCACGTGATGTTCCATTTGAAGCCATCCCTCTACCGGAGTCAAAATGCAAGTCTCTTTTATCTACACCAAGTATCCAAGTACGCCTTCGAAACGTTTTTTTAACATATGTTGCCTTTTATAGAAAATCTCGAATGACGACTTTAACTTCACTTTTGTCGCTCAAATTATTTTTCGATCTGCCATTTCACCACAGCATTCTGATATCACTCACATGGATGGTTTGCGTTGCAACCTGAATGCCAGTTTCAGGATTCACGAAATTGTACAGTCTACTGCGTTTTTTGTCGATACAAAATCGAATTGTTCCGGTGCAGTCGGCGAACAAAAACTGGATTCGATATGTATGCGAGTATGTTTTCTTCCTTGATTTGCTTCTTTTCTCCTTGCTGGATGAAAACGTAGTCTTTTTAAATTTATGCCTAGATGAAGGATCTACTAATCAGCCTCAACGCTGATACCAGCGATCTAGCCACGACAAAAAGCCCGACTTCGCGGATTCTTAGTCTTCCTACGCCCTCTCTTCCTTTTGACGGTTGCGCTGTTCTCTCACCGAGCCTCATTTGGGGGAACGAGTGGAGCCTCTTTCACCTAGACGACATCGATCTCTCAGAGCGGCTCAATTTGAACGAAGTTCAGGAGCTCCTGGATGTCCTTTTTGGTCTACCGCGACGTCATCTCGGCATGTTTCGAATGAAGTTTCGCAATCTTCCAGTGGTGAACGCTTTCGCGACCACCATTGTGCTTCGAGACTTCTATCCTGAGTGAGTTTCTGTGGGTTTTATCTTGTTATTAATTTGCTGGATATAATTTTAGTGAAAGTACTCATATGCCATGTTGCACTTGCTGGCGATTTTGACAAGTGTTTGTTTTGACTTCGTGCAGTTAAGGATGTCAAAAATGCAGCATATTTAATCTAATTAGAGCTACAGGTTTTTGAAGGATTGCTTCACTTTCCGTGGATTACTAAACCTTTACGATTTGGCCATAGTTTCCTCTCTCCTTTCTGTTGCCGCCATTTTCCTCTTCAATCTGCTGCGATCCTTTCTTGGTCCTATTGCCTTTCGGGAGGGTTGAATCTTCTCGACATAATTTAATGCTGCAAACTTTTGGGTTGAGGTTTGCCTCTATTTAGATAAGGCATTCCTTTGCTTCAATCTGGTTCTAAGAGATTACCAAACCTATTCTTTTTCCTGTTTTAATTCGCTCTCGATGTGGTTGGTCATTATAGAGAGGCTTCAGCTGGCGCGGTTGTTTCTTTGGCACTAGTGCACCTAATCTTCCTTTCAAAAGTACAGCCTGGACGATAGTGTCCTTTATTAGTATTCGGCTCACCCCGTCGTCTAGTAAGGGTGTTCAACACCGCATATAGCATCGAACCAGAGCGTCAGTTTTGTGAACGGTCCTCTCGTTCTCCACGGATTGTCAAGTTTCTACAGCTTATGATTCCCATTTGCTTCTTTTTTAATCTCTTGTATCCGGTTTGTAATTCCGTGCTCTTTCGGTACCGATAAAGTTCTTCACTCCGTTTCCATGTCATGATTAATAAAATTTGACGCTTTGGGTTAATGACACATTTACTTATTCCATTTTAAGGCACTATTGGGTACCTTAAACCTCGCATTTTCTAAACTTAGATTTTAGTATGTATGAATTGCACATATTCCGTCTGTCAACTTAATTTAACCAATCTACTTTCAATGTACTTCTTGTGTTATATGACAGCATTTGGAAATATCCATTTTGGCCCTTCGTCTGTTATATATTTAAAACTGTAAACTGTCTTGACACTGAGTATCATCTCTTCTGATCAGTTATATCTTCTTCGGTAGATCATTGGATTTCAGCTGGGTTGTAATCTTCACACTTACCTTCCATAGCCACCATTTGCTTTAATGGCCTGATTAAAGCAGGCTCTGGGAGCCTCTACCGCCTTTCACTGGTTGTGATTCAACCCGTCGTAGGCTCTCGTCACTCTCTTTGGATGAAGAAGTTTGATCATTGGATTTAGTTTAACACTCATTTCATTGTTTTTAATAAATTATTAGCCCTCTCTCCAGTCTACTTCCCGGTTATTTAGGTTTCAGTGTTCTATTTTTAAAAAAACGAGGTATAACCTGTTTATAAAGAGTTTGCCCTTTTCAAAAATCTATTACAAACCTGCCTCATTTTAACTTCAGTTAATTACCGGTCTTATTGAACCACCCTTATGTATTATGCTTCTGTCTACCCCCTCTATAAAAACCAGTATATCGGTTTTTATAGTATTTTTTGCCCTGTTTTCACTGGTTCATAGCAAGTCACTGGCGTTAATACTACTTTTATTTGTAATGACCATAAGTTCGTTAATCTTTGGATTGCCCGTTATTTAAACCCTTTCCAAAAAGTCTGTACCTTGGTTTTCTAAGGCCTGAATCCCCCTTTACCCTGTCTTTCCACCACAAGCCTTTCACCATCTTACTACCTTTTTTTGGTTGTGAATTACACCCATTTTAAGACCTAACTTTTATAAACTTAGGAAATTTGATTGTCACTTGTTTATTCCATCCCGTCTTAAATGTCCTGTTTTTCTTCCTAAACCCCTGTTATTTCTTTTGGTTGCAATTTCTGTATATATAAACCTCAAAGGTTGATGTTTTAGCCTTTTGGAAACCTCGCTCCGTCCACTAATTGCGGGGTATTTGTGAAGCCATTGGCTTACGGCGATCAAGTTGCTTCACTTCAGTTTAGAATTCTGTAGTTCTCCTTTGAGTTATAAGTTTTCACCGGTTAATTCGTTCAAACTCCCACTTTTCTAACGAATTACAAGTTTTCACGGACCTAATTTGTTTCTTTGGTTATGATTTTGTCATTAATCTTTCTTCCTTATTCTGTGTTGATAAAATATGGCTCCCTTTTGGATTGATGAATTTAATTTTGGCATTCGAGACTCATCAAATGTTTTGAACCTCCTCTCTTGTTAGCGAAAATTTTAGTGCGTTGGGCACAAAAGTAAATGCTCACTAAGTGATTCATTACAAGCCGTTCACGATCATACTGCCCTTCGGTTTTGACGAATAACAGCTTTAGCAGGGCAGCCTTTCCTTTTCAACAATCAGTCCTGATCTTTACTTCAGTTAAATATCCCATCAAAATGTGGGCATATGTTTTCTTTAAGTTGGTTGACTTTTTCTCTTAGGCTTTCTGCATATCCTCGGTCTATCAAAGCCAGAAGTTCTCCTAGTCCCGTCTATTCTTTTTGTATTACATCGCTATCATTACAGTGATCTGAATCTCTCAACCATAGGTACATCCACAGCCTTCGTGAAAGACTGATGGAGGCCTTTCCGGATTCGCGATTTGTTGGGAAGATCAGCAAAGGAAAAAGCCAGGACCACTACCCCGACCCCCTTGGAAAGGACTCAGAACCCCGTGTCTTCGTGGTGCACTATCGTGGTCACAACTACCTCGTCCAATACGCCCCCGCCTTTGCCGTCTACACATTTCTTGTACTCTACATCTGGTTTTCTGTCAGTAAGTTTCAAGTACTACTTTTCATTGTTTTCGCATTTTCATTATCTGCTTTGTTTATTCTTTGTCTAATAACCTTCACGACAGTTTTGCATGCCTGTTGTGGCAGCTTCTGTATCTAGCTGACTTACCTTTTGGACATTTGTCATCTTCGGTATTTGTTATTCAGGCTCATTTACTGACTGTTACCTTGTATGCGCAATAAAATCGGTCTTCCTTGCTCGCTATTTCCACCTATGTATATATATATAGCACCGACTGGTTGTTTAGTCAACATTTTATTTTCTCACCACTTAGTTATTACATCGAGATTCACAACTTACGTATCTATTTTCGACGCAATTTAAATGTGATCAGCGGTTCTGTTTGTGTCTACAAGACTTAAACTTCGGGTAATCCTCCGCTCTTTTGCTACATATTGGTCTTTTGTGAAGTCAGTCTTTTTCATACTATTTAGGTAAAATTGACATGGTCAAATCAAAATTCGGACTGGCCGTCAGCGCTTGTTTCACCATTTTTGCGTCTCTCGTGATGACTTTAAGCCTCTGTGCCACTCTCGGTTTGATGTCTCCAGCACTTCGGGGCAGGTAAGGAATGCAAAATCTGGGCCATTTTGACTTGACTTGAAATTCTTATTCTTGAAGTATCAGCTAGTATGCAAGGATTGTACGAACCAAATCTCCATCATTTAATTATGCGTAGTCTAGCTTCATTGCTTCAACACTTGCATTTCTTTCACTTTCCAGGGAGTTTTTTCCCTACCTAGTGGGGTTGATCGGTTTCGAGAACATACTTGCCACCACAAAAGCCGTGGTCGGCACTCCAATCGACTTACCCGTAAAGCACCGCGTTGCCCAAGGTGTCGTAATTTCCCTTCTTTCCGTTATTCCTTAGGTCACCTTTTGACTATGTTCCTTCTTTCCCCTAGGTTTGGCCAAGGAGGGATGGCCAATGACTAAGAACCTCCTCTATGCCTTTTTTTGCACCGCCCTCGGATTCCTTACCTTCGACTCGGCTATTCAGGAGTTCTGTCTCATCGCTATCATCAGCTTCACTACAGACTTCTTCCTTCAAATGTTCTTCTTCGTGCCCGTTCTTGCTATCGATATTCGTCGCATGGAGGTTTGACTTCTGTTGACTACTTATTTCCTACTTTCGCTCTGGACGTCCATGTTTTTTTTGTTTTAGCTCTCAGATTTGCGACAACGCGCACCACTATCTTCCATTCCACCACCCCTTGGCAACGAAAAAACAGTCAACACCGGATTTTGTAATCATAGTCCAGCGGTTACCCGCTCCCGAGATACAGCCCCACCACCGGACTATCATCGTCGCTCCATGTCGCCCATCCCACAGAATAGTCAAAACTTAGGTCACAGACGAGTTCACTCTGGTAGGTGAATCATTGATTGACTGACTGACTAACTAAGGTCTTCTTCAAATGAGCTCTTGACTATTCATTTCAGATGCATCAAATGCTGCCTTCATGTCGTCGGAGAGGAACACTTCGGGCGGCGGTGTATCCTTCCGAAGGCGATTTTGGGCCTTCCGGACCAATCGTCGTGTTTTTCAGCATTTTGGAATGGTGAGTCACCCTGTCACCTTGAAAGATGTCGTAACATGTTGGACTGAAGGTAAACCACTCCACATCTCTTTCAAAATTCCTTCCAGAAGGCTAAACCTGCTTCGTAGTTGGTTGACGACGGACGGGATTTATCACTGGCACTTATTCGCCTTCTGAAAGGCCACACAATTATGCCTGGCATCTATCTATTCGAAGTAACTCTAGAATGTGCAAGAAAAAATTTTGGGAAACAGCTAGGACTATCGAATCAATCACTTAGAAAAATCTTATTATTACAGGACAGCACGATACCTCATCTCATACTACGCAATTGACCCGTGAGGATATTTTCATTTTGAGCCGAGAGGGATGTGCGGCCTCAGTCTCCGCACATTGTCGAGATATTTTTCCAAGCCTCGATCAGCAGACCTTTTTGGCATTGGACAATCGCGTGATAGCATTCCATGTAAAATAAACTAGTTGGAAGTAAAAGGAGTATTCTTTTATAGAAACGATTCCATTGTATAATTCAAAATTCGGAGTAAGTTTGCATCCCGTTGGAGAGGATCGTAGGTCGCGGTGGTGTCTTTTAACAAATAACGTATTTGCAGAGGCTCTCTACGGCTAATTCTTTAAAAACCGCACAACTTTGCTAACCTTGTATGCCCAGTGTTTCTTATGCATTTACATTAGATTGCTACTGTGGTAAGGGTACAGAACAGTACGATCAGGGCCGCAGTTACTTAGCTTTGAGAACACAAGGCATTTGATCAATTTGCCGGCAAATATTATACGTTATTGAGACACCTTACTTCCCAAATGAATCCAGGTTCGAGTCTGGGATTGCCTCTAACATACGCATACAAGAGTTGACATACTGTTTGGAGAATTCCAGATGTCAACACTGTGTAGGCAAGATCGAAATTGTGCTTGGAATTTTAATAAGTACATGCTAATTTTGTGACTCACCCCAAACATTTATTTTAGGCTATAGTTCTGATCTGGTTGGTGATCTTCCTCTGCTATACTCTTCTTCCATCCCCCTCACCACCCCGGCCCACCGACTCAATTAATCTGGCCTCCCCACACCTCCACAAGCCAGGAAACGGAGCAGGGGAGTCAAAAACGGCCTTCTCAGAAACTGAGGATGTCTCCCTCCGACGGCTCTTTGGCCTGCGCTCCATCAACCTTCACGGCTTCGAGGTACGGTGGGACGCCGATAATCTTTGGCGCCACATGGCCTTCTCCACCTGGCCATCCATCGCAGACCGCTACAACTTCTCTCTGGAGGGTCGGCGTCTGGTGATTTTTGAACCCATCCATGTGGTACAGCTGTTCTCACCAGCTGAGGCGATGCATGCGAGACGGCCTGCTTATGAGGCGAGTAATGCTAATGCCGCAGCATTCTCCAAGTCGCGTGCCAAAGCTACCAAGTAGAGTTGTGATTTTGTCTATTCATGCATTTTATGAAAGGGTGTGGGTTTTCCGTAAAATTGCTGGTAAGGAATTACCATGATGGCAAATCTCCGCTTTCTTGGATCCGAATCTGTAATTTGAGTAGCTGAAACTGTCGATCGGTGCGTCATACTGACGTACTCACCCTTATGAACGAATGGGTAGCTGAGACGAACAGTGGGTCAGCACTTTGTTGTTCGACTGTTAAAAATGCCTTTTTGGGTTTTTTTTTTTTTTTTTAAATCGTCATTTTGTGGACTGCCAAATTTCATGGATGGCTGGAGATGTTGAAAGCTGTAACTATTCACCTTCTTGTTAGTGGTTCTGATTTTACCCAATCTCACTCATAAGCCTCTCTTAACATTTCTTCATTCTTAGAGGTGTTGAGTTCTCCCGCAGTACACATTTCCGGATTGTAGAGGATTTTCAGGGGTGGTGCTTCCTCCAACCGCCGAGGACCAGGAGTTTGACAGTGACCGGACGTGGTGGTCGCACGTGCTTTCTTTCGGACACAAGGACGCGCTGAGGGCTCTGGATCTGCCCTGGAACGGCTTTTTAGACTGGACCACGCGTCTCTGGTCCACCGCAACGATGGCGGCCGCTAGCCTCTTCGGTGCCGGCTTCTTTCTCACCATCACTGCTACAGTTATGCTCTTTGTCCACAAGTGGCTCTCCAGGCACGTTTTTGTCATTCCCTTATCCCTGATTTTGGACACCCTGTAGCGCCTAATTTTTACAAATGCTAAACACTCATTTACTTTCCGACTAACGCCAATTTCTTTGAAGTTAGAAGTGGATAGATGTACACACCACTCTCTCCTGCTATAAAGCTCCCTCTTATTATTTACTACCTTAACTTCAGGTCCAAATCTCACGCATGACCCGTTAGGGGCCAAAGTAATCTGCCAGAATGGATTTTTCGAAATATTGACCTAAACTCTAGGTTCATTAGCTAACCTCACCACATTCAAGGCTTTATGGGGTGCAAAAGCCTGAAGGCAAATTTACTACAAGTGCCGACTATAAGACCAATTCGTGGGAGACAGGTTAATCTATCGTTCTCTCTCGTTGCCTCCTTGGGATTCTCCGTGACTACCCTTCTGCATCCATTGTCACAAAACTTTCCAAGTAAGTCAACTGAAACTGCGAGACAGTACCGAAAGAAAATTATTTTTTATTGCATCGTACTAACAGGACTTGATCACCTCACATCCTATGGATTTCAGTGAAATTCATATTTCAAGTCTTCCGGTGACAAGCTACCTTGAAAAAAGATATCACTGAAGTATTATGCAAAGCTGGATTGCATTCTACAATGATTACGCCTCAGAACTTTGTCTTGGTTTTATTCTACTTCTACTTTTCAGTACTATGACGGCATTTGTCTGGATTATTAATAGAACTTTCTAACATAAAGTGGTGTCTAGTCTGATTTTTATTAGTCTTTCACTTTTATGGATAATTAAGTACTCTATTATTAACGAACTTCCTCGACTAGTCTCACCCAAGTCCTCATCCCTAAGTCATCGATAGAATTTGCCTCTCTTCTACAACAACTGCCCCCCTCTAGCACAAATATTTTCTCTTTTTCTCGTGAGGAACAGTAAATGGACGTATCCTACCGCTCTGCAACCAATAAAACATTGCAGTTACCGCTGAAAAATTCTTAGGTTGTACGTGTCTGGAAGTAGCTACTCGAAGCATACAGAAGAACTTAGAGTCTATTAGTATCGAAGTCATTGAAGGGGACTGAAAAGGTTCACGTACTCGAGGACAAACCCAAATATGCTTGTCCTACTTTCCCAGGTCAAACCCAAACGCATATCGCGAGCCAGTGGTTCGTGTACGCCAGTTGGTAGTCCCGTTACTTCAAAAAAACCACTCTATTGAGGAGTGGATTGTGGCACATGGGGATGGGGAGCAGTCCGGCAATGGCACGATCTCCCTCTGGGGCGACGGTTTATTCCATGGTTTCTCTGGTACCACCTCTACCGCACTCTCCATATCCTCCCATCGCAGTCGGCATAGAGGTGAGACGGTGGACAACCTCATTGCTGCCACTGTCTCAGGCTACTTCGGCGGTCCCAAGTTGATTCGCAGCATCCGACTGTGGAGTGCCGATTGTGGCCATTTGGTAGCTACCGTCGATCGGTTTTATCCAGGGAGTTTTGAGATCCGCGGTGCTGGTTCGCGTCATCGGGACCTTTCGCGTCGATTCAGTCCAATTTGGTCCATGAAAGTGCTTGCCCCCACCGGCAGCCTCGTTGCTGGTTGTGCCAATGGGACCATTGAGGTAAGTTTTTTCCAAATGTGTGCTTATCCATCTCTCATGCACTTATTTCCAAGTCTGCCAGCCGACCGTGTTGATTACCTGTAGCTCACGTTGTACACAGTCTCCTTGAGTCATCACACTATTATTGTGGTGTTGGTTGGCATCTTCAATAAGTCATGGTAATTTCCGTGCCTGATGTTAATGAGGTGACTTGGCATTGCTACTATTCAGGTTGACACTTTAAAGGTCAATCGAACTGCTATTTTGTTGGCTTGCCAATAAATCTAGATCTCCTTTTTCGGGAGTTGTTCTGATGATGCATCATTGCTTATTTGGATTGGGTTAGGCGTCTTTCTTCAATGATCCTCCTTGTTTAGGTACTCTTAACCGCATTCATGATTCGCCATGGGATAACCAGCATCGCTTAATGGAAAATCAAACAGCCTTAATGGAGTCGTGCAGGCCAGTACGGGGATTCTGGGCTTTACTGTACAGTTTGCTGCAATTTTTCGAGCTTCTTTTATCACCTCTGCTTTTTGATGACAATAGAGTCACTAGACAGCTTCAGTAATGTTGACAAGCTGATTACTTGTCCAGGATATCACGGTGTTAACCTTTTAAGGAATACTTTCTTTCATTGACCCTCATGTGTGAGACAGTTCAAACTGTTACTTCCACAATCTTGCCACTTTAAAAGTGAAGTAAGGTGTTTATTGTCAAATGGCACCAAAGCAGTCAGTGTGCCACTGTAAAATACGCTTCTACAGTTTGCATGGAGCTACTTAGTGTCTAGGTCTTTAATGTGTTACCCTTTGTTGGTTTGGAATCTGTCAATTACAATGAGTTGTATTTTCAAATCCATTTCTTGTCCATTTGTGATAAAGAAGATCTTATTATGCGTTGGGACTAGCCTCTTCCGTTAAGTTGGATTCTGTATGTATTTTTTTGAGTCTCATAAATCTGAATCAAGCAATCTCAAATACAACAATCAGTTTTTTGGGTGAAATTTTGATATCAGACTGGGTTTTGTCACGATTTTGAGTGAGACGTTTATATTGTCCTTAAAGCCATGGTTCTTACCTTCCTGTAAACGGCTAGTTTTAATTGACACGGATACGCTAGGATGGTGTAATAAGTAGGCTGTAAAAGGCTTAATTATATGCAGCCACCATAGCACTGCAAATCACTTTTCCTTCCATCTTTCTCCTCCTCATGCTTACTGCTGTAGATCTGGGATTTGGATAACTTTGATCTGCGCCAGGTCATTGATCTGACCTCTCCCGAGGACTTCTACAATGCGCAGGGCGAGTTGGTAGAGACCGGAGGTGAGCCGACACCTGTTGGTGGAGTTACCGTCATCGAAGCCTCCCTGGAAAACCAGTAATAAGCCTCTTCCTTTCTTTTTCTTTTCTCCCTTTTTATCTCTCACCCTTTTTTCCATTTCACTTTAGTGATGGCTATGTCTACCGAAAAGTTTGCCCATTTTTTGCCATTATAGAAGTTCATTGCATATGAAGCAAACAAGCTTTTGTTCGAATGAATATCTAACATATCCAACACATTTATTAAGCTAAATATTTTTTTGAAAGTATTTGTTTTCATAGCATACGCCGTCGACATATAGCTTAGACTCTTTTTCCTGCGCAATGTTACCTACTGATAGTTGAAGACTTTCGAATGCGGCTGTTATTTGGTCTTTTTCTTTTCGAGTGAATGACTGACAAATTTAACACAAGTGTACATTCGTCTAACTATGCGGTTCTCCTGGCTACTTTGTTAGACCTTGATTTCATTTTGGAAATGCTTTTTTTCTATTAACGCGAGATAGGCAAAAGGATTAGCCGATTGGGATGAGAAAATCCTGCCTCCTGCAAATTGAGTATCACTGAGAACCAATATAGGCTTTTTGTTCAATGCTGTTTGAATCCGAGTGAATGTATACCCCATTCATCTGACTAGTTAGCTCCACCGAGCGGGTTACTGGGCTTGGATTATGCCTCATCAGTAGTGTCTGATAGATGCACAAATCAGCTCCCGTCTTGTGATAAGTGAATCTCGTCAAGGAATGTTGGGTTCAACTAAATTCGATCTGTGCCCATTGGAGGAGAGGGATTTTTATTTGCATTTGGGAATACACAGCTCTCTTGACTAAGGTGTTGCTGTGGTTTTATCTGTGGAATCGTTTATTCAAGTATTAGGCGATCAACGAGTGGGTTTTTGGCGTGAGAACTTTAACTTATTCTTTATTTATTGTAATTTGGAGAGCATTGGAAGACTTACCACATTTAGGTTGTATGTCAAATCGAAGGAAAGGTTTCTGCTTGGTATTGTTTGCATTCAAGTGAATGTCTAACACATTTGACATGTTAATAAACCCTGATTTGTATGCGATCGACAAGTAGCTTAGCCACTTTTCCCTCATGAATTGGTATTTTCCGTCAACTTGAAGGCTCTTTGTATTCAAGTGGAAGCGAAAAATTTTTGCAAGACAGTCCCACCTATCAAGTCATTAAATCTTGATTTTGTTACAGCTACCTCAGCGTTTAAAAATAATCAACCCTTGCGGTTGTAGGCACATCTTTTACTTTGGCACAAGTCTTGGTTTCGTCGGTTGCGTCAAGTGGGCTCTTACACCATCCTCGTCAACACCAACAACTCCCACCAACACAGAACCCATCTCCAGAGGTGGCCGAACCAACCGTCCGCAGTGGAGCGTGCGAGCCAAGTGGAGCGCTCATCCCCGGAGTCGTGGAGTTGTCCACCTCACACCCCAACGCGTCTTCCTCCCTCATCGACGCTTCACTCCCCGGAGTCTTTCGGCACTTGACGGGCACTGCCTTCGGAGTGGTGGAGTTGGTGGATGCAGTAGCGGAGGCGGCAGTTCGCGCGAAGATTGGGCTCTCGTCTCCGGTGCAATGGATGGCTCTCTGGCCCTCATCCAACCACGTCACTTTCGATTTCAGCGTTTTCATTGGGATCCCAGTCATCTTCTGTGTGCGGACTTCCTTCAGGTGTGGTCTTCCCTTATCATCTTTACGCTTTTGCAGTATTTAATTTTGTCCAAGTGCGACTTGATGATACAACTCGACTACCGCTTTTAAGGTGTGGCTAATTATTTTGGTTAAGGTTTGTTTTCTGCTGTGAAGTTACTCTCCTGAATTATGCCAATTGGTTTTCCATAGAATCTAGTTGACTTAATTTATCATTGGTTCAGATTTTGGATGAAAAATCTAGCTAATTGAGTTCCTGATTAGATTAAAAAAAGATATTTTGTGTTATTTCTTCAAGTAGTATTTCATCATTTTTATACTTCCCTCGGTTTTGGGACTAAAACTGACTTAATGATCGGCACCCTTCTCCGTTCAATGTGCAGAACCCAAGGCAGACTTTCAGTTCTTTCACAAGCTGATGGTGGTGTTGGCTAGGTGTATTGCTAGTTAAAAGTTCAAAAAGAATAATAAATAGATAACTTTGCGCATCAAATATAAAATCAGCCAATAGTGTAACTTGTAGTCTGAGAACTCAACTTATCACGTCTAAGACAAAATTCCCATCAGGCTGCATTCCTTTTTTCATTGTACTTTTTTATGCAGTTCAAATTATTCAAGTTTTCTTCACTAGCGATGAATAATTCCCGAGTTTATTTCTTCTGCAGGATGAGACCGGTTTAAGCTAAGGGGTAATGAATTGTTATTGCCATAAAGCGACTCGTTGTTTTGGAATGTGTCAACTAATTCCGCGTAAATGTCATTTGTTTAGAAGCGGTCAGTAGTGGGAACCCTCAGTGAAGGGAAATCAACCAAGATTCAATATGGTGCCTCACGTGTCACATTTCGCCATCCACTTGATACTTCATCGTGGTTTTCCACGCGGTTGGACTTACACTAACTAATGATTACTGTACTGTATGTACTCTTTGAAAGCATGAACCTCGACTGCAAGTTCTTTGGAGTTATAGTTCGATTAAGCAAAATATTAAAAAAAGTGAAAGTATCTCTCGTATTAAGTTTCTCATTCTCCCAGACTATGCTAATCAATCTGACGTATAATTTCAGTGGTTTGAAAGGAGCCATGCAATTGTGCGTCAAGCGTAATCTGCTTCTATTTCTTTGCTAGCATTTAGGTGATTAAAGTGCTGAAGGTGCAAGGGATGTATTTTCCTCCTCCATTGGTTCCAGCGACCTCTTCTTCACTTTAGTCAACGATAGTGGTCGGTCAGGCTTCAGGTCGTTTGCGGATGCTGAACCTAACGGCAGCAGTGCCTCCGGCCAACAAGGATCTCCATGTCGAGGTCTTCGAGTTGTGTACGATTAGCGCGACGGGAGCAACAGCGACGACGCCGACGGCCGAGGGCTCCCTGGGTAGCGCTTCGTGGATTCGCCTCTTCAAGATTTCAACGCCATCCTCCACTGAGGACTTTCGAATGGTCACCTACTGTCACACTGGCGCTGTCTCTGTGTGGAGTATCCATGCATCCAGTTGCCACTTAATACGAAGGTTTCCTGCCGTAAGTGGACCGTCTTCCCACCTCCCCCATTTCTATCCTCTCGCTACTTTTACACGTTGTAGGACAAAAAGCTCAAGCAAGTTTGCGAATTTCACGCTTGAACATTGATTTACCAACCTATCCTGCAATTCCCTCATTTGCATACGCTTTAATTTTGCTTTTTTTGATACCGGTAGTTTCTACCTGATGGGAGGGCAAAATTGGAAACACTTGCCCGTGTTTATTCTTTTGATTTACACGATAGAACACGCCTGTATGATCTTAACTCAGATCTGTTTGTTTCAATATTTGAGTCTTTCATCGGAACTGGATGCATTCGCTTTGTCCATTGTACGGTCTTGAGTCACAATCCCATTTATCTGTTTCAACTTTCTACCTTAAGTTGGTTTTACTTTCAAAACCACGCGTCAGCATGAATCAGCCTACCCACAAAACATACTTTTGGACTAATTTGTTGTTGCTTTCGAGAAGATCGCCTTCAAGTTGTGCTAATCGCTAAGCGAAATACGTGTGGTGAATCACAACCATCTTTACAATTCACTGAGCAGTCTGAATGGATCATCAATTTGTACAAATTGTGGGTTTATTCGGTGTCGGGCGATAATTTTGCGTGTTGTCTCCGTCCTTTTCAACAGGATCTGGCATGCTTATCTAAAAATTCAGTAAATCTCTTATTTAAGCTACGCGAATTCGAAGTTTTTATCGTAAATCTTACAAATTGGCTTTTCGAGCAACACTTACCATTGGTCTCTGTCGATGTGTTGCTGGATGTGATTTTTCGTGGGTTGTATTTTGAATCGCACCAGCTTGGAATTTAGTTTCGTCATTGATGCACGAAAGGTATCAGGACTAGTACCAGAGCCCTATGGTACTAGTGTGCCGGTCGAATTATGGGACCTTGACTAAGCTCATCAAAATTTCTTCCACTTCAGCTTACACTTGTGTGTGATTGAACTGGCACATTCTGTTATTCGGGAGTAAGAATGACTCCTCGATAGCATCAAACCACCTCTGGTGCCTTTGCTTTGATGTACTCTTACTACCCATGAACCCTTGAACTTCATGGCCCTTCAAATGTGCGTTAACTTCAAAGTTATGCTGTTTAAAACAATATAAATATATGTTTCTCTTCAAAGCAGCAACTTTCCGCTGCTTTGTCGTTTGAAAATCAGCAAACGTGTTCTCGACACACGATTTGGCGCGCCCACACTGGCACCCATTCGAGACGACGGTAATAAATCTGCTAAGGATTTTTCCGAGTATTTTTAGCGAATAAACTTGAATTAGTTGTTATTTTGACATAATTCTATGTAAATTTTCTGTTTCAACTAAATATGCAAGGCTAATGAAACCCTCAGGTCAAAAAGGCGAAATCAAATGTCAATTTAATTGCCTCAGCTGGGCCTGTCAATCACTGGCCATCGTTAAAACGAGGAAAATCATTCCCGCACCAAGCGCATTATTTACACCTTGGTTGCTTTCAAACTCAACTAGTCCGTTTGTAACTTTAGTGCAACTACATTTGTCACAAAATGGTAAAGAAAACGTGTAACATGTGACCTCGGTGACGAATTGGTTAATATCAGGCCCATCCACTTTGAGGAATATCATACAGCCCCCCATGCTTATGTTATTCCCCTGTTTTTCCTATCACATACTGTTCCTGCGCTTGTACCGGAGGTCCGATTTTTCGCACCGTGGTAACCACCACTGAGGACCTGTCAAGACAGCATTTAACGTACTTATAAATCACTAATTTGGTGTTGTGTGCTCACACCCTTGCCTTAGTTGGCGTTTCCGCAAATGAAGAAAGGCTTCATTTTGGAGGAGTGACCCTCTCTTTTAATGCTGTTTTGCTTGAAAAGAAAATCTGGCAATTCCGTTTGAGTTGATATTCACCAATCAGGCATAACTTGAGGAACTGTATCTTGCAATCACGCGATTAGTTTCGCTGGAAGTTGATCTCTTTTTCATTGTTGACATTTTTATTAGCTTTCCATAAGTCATGCACCTGACCCCTGACCGAGGTGACATCAATGCTGCATGTAGGGTTTATATTCATCTTTGAAATTCGTTTGTATGTAATTGAGGGTTAACCGGTCAGGGAGATTTTAACAGCTGTGTGATGAGGGCAAGCCGGCTGCCTTTGCGATTTAAACGTCATATTGTCACCTTGAGACAAAACCAACCCTAAAAGATGCGCTAAAGGGAAATTGTTCTGTCGTACACCAACTTTACCGGGAGCCCATATTCACTATCCTTCGGTATGTGTGTTTTCTAAAAATCTTGTAAAAACACGAAATTAACGATTAAAGGAGTAAAGGTGTTTAGTGCTCTATTTGACGATAGCCTCCAGTTCAACAACGCGGGAGGCAGATGAGTGCCTGAACAAGTGATGGAGAAGCGTAAATGGGGGCGCTCACAAGTTACTTATTCTTGAATGATTTTTTTTTGCAGTCTCCTTTAAAATGAGTGGTCAGCCTTTGAGTTACTCCGTTTATTTGGTCTGTCGAAACTGCTCAACTGAAAAACGTTTCTAAGAGGAATTGGGATATTTGCATCTTGTTTCACCATTCTTGATATGTATCAGCTTGCTGAGATAGAAGTTGTTGAGTACTCACCAAATTTCCATCAAATATGCGTCATACTGGCGTCTGGGCTCAGGCGTTCCGCGTCTCGGCTGACCATTTGTTGACGGAAACGAATGTGTAGTGTGCTCTTGGAATGGCTACAAACTGCCACGGCTGGGATTGCCACTAAGGTACATCGTTAAAACGCTTACCTCTGAGCGGCCAGGAGTCCCATCAGAGTATTGTACTTCAAGGCTTCTGTACATGTCCATGGGTTTTGTGCATTAAATTGCGAGAAACTTTGTTCAACACCAAAAACACGAAGGCAGGCGTGCAGTCTTTGCTACCGGTGTCTGAATGAACCATCTCAAAACCCATGCGTAGGCCATTAGAGGGAGGCCACACTTGGTACTCAACATTGAATGTAATACTACCACGTAGCATCCCTTTTTATGGCCGGAAACTTGGGCCCCTGGTTTATTCGATGGTGTAGTGCAACTTTTTTTTTCTTTTTTGGTGTTTTTAGAACACACCGGCCTTTGCCATTCGTGCACCCATCATCTGTGTCGATGATCGAGTCATTTTTGGCGAACGGGTAGGTCGTTGTCTGGTTAATAACTAAATTCCACTTAGCCTATATCCTGGTGACCCATCTATTTACCGCTACAGTAGTTTAAACGCATCCCAAACTCTGGTCTTCCTTGCGATTTTTTGAAAAGTTGCTATTATCCTCCTTTCACCTCGCACTCTGACCGCCAGTGTTTACATGACAATTCACGTATGAATGCCGGATGCACGCATTTGGCGCCTTTTCTTTAATTAATGTGACATCGGAACTGATTCGTTTTTTACGTCTTTCTAAGGTTGATTACTAGTAGAATTAACGTATTCCAAGAAGTATTTAAAATGGAACTGTTATACTTTCATCGCGCAATTACCTTGTCGGATTTCGTTAGTCGTGTATACTGTATTCTGAAACCAACTTGACTAGATCTTCAAAATAACAGCAGATTAAAATGGGATATTTAAGTGAGCCATTTTCGATATAGTGGATAGAATAGGATTGTTTGCATCATACCTTTTTGCCTCCCACCCCGCTTGACTGTCTGATCGACATCTGTCACTGCAGTCATCTCTGACACCGGTGAATTACAGGTAGCATGGGTTGTTTGTGATCTCCTTTTTGGTCGTTTACTAGTGTGCAGCACCTTATTTCCTGTTTTACTTCACCATCTATGCATTCAGTAGCTTTTAGCCTGCTTTTAAACGGCCTAGTTTTAATGCCACAATGTCTTGATGTGTAGTAGCGGGTCGTTAGACTGACTCGATGGTTTTAACCACCAGCTATTCCCTTCTGCTCCTTTTGCCTGACCAATATACTGTGAACACGCGAATCTCATGTGTATTTGAATCATCTCATCGATGTTATGAGTGATTATTCCTCTTCATTGTCAGGGCTACCTGCGTCTGGTGAATCCACGAACAGCGAAGTACGAGCGCTCGGTGCAACTGATGCCACCACTGTTGACCTATCCGACGGAATCAGTGGCAAAGGGGGAGAGAACTATGGATTCGCAGGCCAATCCAAGCGCGGAGCAGTGGGAGCGTGGTCTGGGCCCCCTGGGTATCACCGGTGGCAGTCATGGTCATCAGTATTTATGCGGTCTCTCCGATGCTGGAAAAAGCCTCTTCATTGTCCCTAAGTCGGTCCTTCTCAACTGAACGCATGGAGCACTCTTTCCTCCCATGAGGGAGGTTTTTCGTATTTTTGAATATATATATATAAGTATACATTTTTGTGTAAATTTGCTATTTTTTCCCATTAAAAGGGGGTTGGGGAAAAGCAATGGCTCGGGGCTTTCCTAGTAACATGGATGATCTGTGGGTATGCTAGTACTTTTTTGTCTTCACCGTTGTGTGTAAACTTTTGCTCTCGTCTTTTCTCCTGTCAGTAGGCGTGAGTTTTTCTACCTCGCAGAGATTTCAATAACGCATTGAAACGCAGGTATTAAGTCACTGGTAAGCAATGTGCAAGGTCAAGGCCCTCTTGGACCCCCACCAATCTGAGCAGTGAATAAGGGCGTGCACACGGTACTCCTAGTTTACATGGGTCATCAGCATCGAGGAGCTCCCTACTGAAGTCTTTGCCTTTTGGTTACGCCGAAAGGCGTCTTGTCAGAACACATCATAGCAGCATACCCTATCACCTGCATTTCTCTCATACTGAGACAAGCTTACTGGAAATTCTGCCCCAACGAGTCATCTTCTCTTCAGAAGTTAGTAAAGGGCTAGCCATAGTTAACGCTGCTTTTTTATCTCCCTTTTATTTCACAATCGCTTGCTGTCTATTGCGCATGTAATCACGTGATGATCTGGAGACAAAATGAGGTGATAGCTATCACAGCCTCGAGCTAAATCAAGCGGGTGGATTACAACCACAATTATCTTCTGGTCCTCATGAAGTTGATTACTTTTGGCAAGCAAACTTTTTTAGCAGTCCACACACATTCGAAGAATAATTGTATAGTGAGGAGGTAGATGCATGTGGTTTGTGAGTAATTAATGGTATGTTCATTCGAATCACATTAACAACTTCTCATAACAGGTCAGGCAGTTTGTCAATCACTCAGCAGTCTGAACTGCTCAGTACACTTTAAAACGTACACGAAGAAATGAAAAAATGGATAGGCTTTATAGTTTATTAACTGTCGTATCTCATTCAGCGTCTAGAAGGGCGCTTCTTTTCTAGTTGAAGTAGGTACAAATCATTTCACCATAACTCACGTCGAATGTTACTGGATGTTACGATTGGCATCCTCCCCATAGTATTTCATCACCGGAATTAGGCGACTTATTTAGACCCTCCCTAGGATGGCCGTTCGGCTGCCAACACCCTCTTCAATTGCTATGGAACAAGTTTGGTACGAAGGCTTCCCAGATTACTGATCGGCAATACATAAAATGGGAGTTAAAAACGTGAGAAAATGGATCTAGGTTTTTGAGACCTTTGAACGATTACATCCACTTCCATCGTCACAGATCATTGCGGCATCAAGAGGTCGGGCCATTACTATTGCTTACCTGTAGTTTTGCTGTTTTGTACTCATTTTGGAGGTGTGGAAGATAGTGGAAACGGTCGTCCAGCAATAGTTTTGCAAACTCACACATTAACTTAACTGACCAGTTGAAAACAAGTAGTTTAGCCACCAACCAGCGCTCCAATTCGGTTAATTCCTACACTTCTGGAGTTGCACTCGATTGTATTCACAAGGTCCAAAAGGGGCATATTCAAGAAACTCGACTATTTTTAGGAGATCAGCCCGAGGATTCAAAGGCAATGGCATGAATATTACCTAGTCGTCCTACCACCGCTTTTATTTCCTCACGTCACCATCGACAGTAAAGTTGGCTTCATTTCCACTGCATTTCAATTGTGCTAACTTCCACCATTAATAATTTCATCGACCCATTCATGCAATACAAAGCATTTAAAACTGCTAAATTTAGGAGTATAAAGCTCTACCAAAGGCTCGTATTTTGTCTACTGTCACTTGTCTGATTGAAACTCTTTTGTTCTCGTTCCATCTCACGTTCGTTTGAGCCGTGGTGGAAGGAGTTGTCTCTTCGAAAAGGTGGTGAAGAAGTCTGCAGCAAAATTTAGTGTGTCCTCGGGCTTCTCCATAAGAATGCTTTGTAGAAAGTCCTTCACCATATCAACAAATTCCGGATGATTGTAGAGGTAGAGGTGGTACTGACTCTTTAGTTCCTCCTGCAAATTCGTAAGCAATGGAAAATTTAAATCACCTTGTACACAGCGTGGTGAAGCTTATCAGAACAAAGGAGCCGCTTCCTCTCACCAAAACCACTTTGAGATGATAAATATAAACACTGTTAATGACGAGTTGTCTGTCAACTTAAAGCGCTGATGTGATTCTTATCTCTACCATCACGTAGTCAAGGTGTTAGCTCACTTTGCGTTCATGGAACCTGGAATAGAGCATGTAGTTGTCCCTCCAGTGGAAATCATTGTCCGTGATGTTTGGAGGTGGTAGGTACTGGGCTAGAAAAAATGCAACGCTTGATTGCAATCCCCACTCTACTAACTTTTCGTGACTAGCGATGGAAGATCCACTGTCTTGAATACGATAGGCAAGCCCACTTGCACCAAAGACAACAGTTGTCTAAACAAAAAAGAAATACCGGTTTGCGTGTGACTAAAAGAAATTTTATGCTCATAATTTTTACGCCGCGAATGAACCTTCTTTCAAGTGAAGGTAATTCCTGTGTGAGTCATCAGACTTTTTAAGGGCTCAAAGGTCAAACAGATGAAATTAAAAGCGATAAGAGATAATGCAGTTTTCTTTCTCAGACTTTGAATGCCATATCAAACGAAAAAATTGGCATAATTCTAATGCAAGCTATGGACTAGTTGAAAGTGTCTTTAATCACAGCATTGCATTAAGGTGTCAACGAGAAATGAATTACTATTATTATTTAATTTATCCGCTTTAAATTATGTTTCTTTTTTTTCTTCAAAAAACTGCTTCTGCTTATATCCACTAAGTTATTTGAAGTAAGTGCGGAGGAAGATTTCCTATCCTACTTAATTAATAAGATTGCATTCAGAACCTTGTACACCCTCCCTACCAGGTCCTCGGAAGAAAGCCGACCAATACAGGCCATAAGACATGTTGTTCACAAACTTTAAAGGGCCGTGTAATTAACCTTAGACCAAATCAACCTGTATATGACACTGGTACAACAAGTGTCACGTATATGTGACGCTGGTGGCAAATGTGCTAATCAAGCAAAGGGATGACATGAAGTAGTAGGTTATATAACCCTCATCCAAAACGGGATAAAGCTGGTGGAAGACAAAGGCATTCTTCTTTATCCAAGTGGCCTATTGACGATGAGGATTTGGGAACCAACTCACCCATGAACGGTGAAATATTTGTGCGTAGTGAAACTACTTCCCGTTGGTGAGACAATTGTTTGTTTCATGGCCAATTCCGACACATTTTTGTTGTCGTAGGAGACATTCCGTTCACACAAATGCTCCTATAAAGGTGAAAAAAAGGCAGATTTCCCCTTCTTTTCTCTCTGTAACTAGCTTTGTGCTACTCAAATGCGCCGCTGACATCCCTTTTTTTACATTGAGGATAAACAAATAAACTCACGTGGCTCTTTGTAATAAAAATCAACTGCGGAAGGGCCCTTCAAATACTTCACCTACTGACCTAGCCACTACTGCAATTCTTAAGCTACACATTTTCCGCAATGAGGTACCTAATTGCTGCAAATTCAACTTTTGCAAAATATTACATCTCTAACAGCGGGGACAAGTCTTGCTCTAGCCAGCCCTGCACAAAACTCACATTTTTTCCACCATCCTGCCATCTATTTGCTATTTGGTCACGTGATTGTCAAATACAGAAAATAAGGCGACCAACATCATTGTTCAAAATACTAGGGCGACATGGCGGATGCGAACGAGGCAGCCTCCCTTCCACCTATTCCGAAGAGCGGTTTGTGGTATTCTCATGAACAATTTTTTGCTGTATATGAAGATGAAAACCTTCTTCCGTGTGATTGACTCACTTTCGTACCTTTAAGCTAAATCATGTAGACAGATTGTAGTTACTATTTTCTTCTGCTCCTCAACGGGTAAACAACTTATAGTAAGCAAGCCCGTCTGCGGTTTACCACACATACATACACGCATATTCAATGCGTACTTGTATAGTGATGAGGCTTTGCTCGCCTTAGAGATGCGAGATGGGCGGTTGGATTGCAAGTCGTTTGTGAATGACCAAGCGATGTGTTCATTTCAAACACAATAGCGATTTTTCTTCACAGGTCAGTCCATCAGTCAGCCGTTCAGCAGTCAAAAATACACAGCTTATTCTTGAACCGGACATGAGGAAGTGAAGATAGCGAGCTCTAGGCAAAGTCGCCGTCAGCTTTTAGCTACCTGATACGGTGCTACTCACTGGTCACCCTGACATTGCTACAGAAACTAGTTTCATTCGCTAAAGATGAAGTTGAACTGATAGCGTATAACTTATGCAGGAAAGTGGACGCTGCTTAAATGAAGTAGCCAACAGCACGGCAAAAGTTATTGTACAATGTAAAACGCTGTACTTATTAAAGACAAGTGATGTGTACTTCCGTAAGTGACTAATCTCTCCTGGTCGAGGAGGGTTCTCATTCCTCTCTTGCTTCCAAATTAGAGGTTAAGTAACACGCCATAAATATACCGTACCAGAGAGACGACACTAATATTATTGAACATTAGCAAACCTATTAGCACGCCATATTAAAAGAAAACTAAGATGGTTCTCCAATGTGCGTCAGCGCGGTTGCCACAGGAACCACATTTGAGTTAAGTTCTTATTTGTGCAGTGAAACATTAATACAAGGTCAGATGCGCTTTGCGGTTAGTGATTATCTGCATTATGCTGTAATTTAAGTCCCGACAATAGCGGTTAACTAGCTCGGAAGAGCAGCCAACAAAATTCTTGACAAAGTGCACAAATATATCCCAATTCCTTCTAAAAATCTTATTGCACTGGAGGAACCAAATCAGAGAAGACTTGAAATTAGGTTAAATGAATGACAAAAGACAATCATGATGGATGCTTCTCAAATCACGCATAAAGCGCCGGAAACGAGGTTTGATAAGGCAGTCATTTCAATCAATCAGTAGCATAAAATTTAACAAATAAGCCTCATAAGAGTTATTCCCTCCGAATTTCTCCCCTTGTTTTTAGGCTCTGTGAAGTAGGGAATGATTCCGAGGAATCACAAAAAGTCGCTCTGTGTTGTGCTGATTTTAAGTTGTGAGGGCACCGTCGAATATCAAGAACATTTTTCACTCTCAGGCGTTCTTCATCATACACAAAGACATGCGGAGGGTTTTGGTTGGCAAAATTTGGCTAAGTAATGGAAGAGCCTTCAGTAAAACTAAAGCATTTGTAATAGTTTGGTAAATGGAGGTAGTGTAGTCGTTTTGATCACAGATGGAAGTGGTACTTTAAAGTACGGCCATCAAGAACATTTGAAATAATTTGCTCCCGTGAGGCTGTAGGATTGCCTTGCATTGCTTTGTTGTGTTTCTTACGTGAATTTTAAGGCAACCCTTCGTCGCATAAGCATCAAAGGAGAAGTCGTCTCTTAGAGGCTTGTCTTTTTAATTTCGCCACAAAAGCTGATCCATTTGTGGAATCAACACATGTGGCGTTGGGGAAACACCAGCCGTGGTTCTGCCACCTCTTGCAGCCAGAATTTCTTGTAATCACAGGGGATAAATAGATCGCAACAAAGGTGACGCCAGCTTAAACTGGTACACAGCAGCGCATGTGATAAATAAAATCAAACATTATAATAGATAGCAGCCATTTCATTTTTAGAGATTCAGTAAAATTAATCAGCTAAGTCAACAGTGGTTATACTAGGGTACTTGCGGCTAAGCATTACATTTCCTGATTTTTCTTGAAAATCACTTACACAAACTAGGTTGCACACCACTCCATCAGTATCCAACGTATTCACTGTGAATTTGGTCTCTGCACTGGTGATGGCATAAATCCGCTCAACTACCAGGACAGCGCCATTGGCCAGATACCAACCCAACTCGCTTAGCGATTGACGACGAGTAGATTTGGTTGATTCGGTGTTTACCCACTCCTCTATCTCCACAATTAGGTTGTCCAACTCACGATGTGTCCGGATGATGCGCTTGATCACCTGGTCCTTGGTCTGCAATGCAATTGGTGTTGCCTACGTCCGTTCATTCACTTACCTTTCGTGTATATTCATTGGTTTCGTTGAGAAGGTTCAACTGGCTATCTAACTTTGATGTGAGGATTGTGCAGTACTCGGTATCGGCGATACTGTATTCACTTCGAGTGTTAACCAGGACGGATTTGTCGTTGGTGTCGGCATTGACAGAACACTGAAATGATGGCAGAAGAAGAGCAGTGGTTGTAATTTAATCTTACCTCGTAAAAGCCTACGTCGGTGCCATCTTCTGCAATGGCACGGAGCGACTCACTGAAGGTTGCTTGATTGATTGTCGAAGGTGCTAAACCCCATAAACCGATGTGATGGTTAGCCGCTAAACTTACTTATATCAGTGCTGAAATCGAAGCTAAGCATGCTTGATCGATCTTTTCTAAAATGTGTAAAGCAATTCGGTTAGATCACTTTAAGATTTCACATTAAATTAGGTTTCGCTTTTTTGTTTTTTAATCAAAAAATCACCCATATAAGCAGAGAAAAACTTTCTGCATTTACTTGTCATAAAAACTTGCTCTTTGACATATTTGCGTAACAGAAATGCTAATTTTGCATAGAAACGCATTAAAACCAACTCCACACTATTTCGTTGTCGATATGGCCTATCGTTCACTATATTTAGCAGTTATTATCATGGTCTCTGACTCGATATTTCACGGTTAAGGTCGGTTCTTGGACCAAAAAATTTGGTTTTATTACCTAGATGAAGTGTAAAAACAAAAGGTTATAGTAATCTAAATACTGTTAGTAGAAAAATTGGTTAAAAATTATCAGTAAGCGCTGTGTCTCTGCATACCCATCACGAGGCCCAAGATGTGCTTTCATCATTTAGCTATTTCTAGGTGGTTTTTAAGTTAGACCCATTTTTATAGCTAACATTATTTGACAATTTTTTTGCTATTCATTTGCAACTTATCTACAGTTGTACTTCCTCCTAAGTATAATATGGGTCACCGATAAGTAGAAGATGCGAATCAAATTTCTAACAAATTTGTACTTAACTGGCTCTTTTGAAAAAACTGGGCACATAGGTTGTATTTTAGAAATGGAAATACTCCCCCAAGATTAAGCAAATAATTATTCCTGAATACCTCGGTTTAAAAAATTGCTCGTTTTATTCCCTATGGAGGTAAACTTAAACAAACTAAAATCATTCGTAAAAGCATGTTAATTGCTTAAATCAAAAATCCCAGCATTGTTGATTTATCTACCCGAGCCCCGTATTTTTCAAGGCTACTTGAAACTAACATACACGACACCCACTATAAGTCGTCACCTTATGCCTGTCCGCGGAAGTCGACAGAGGACGGGGCCGCCCGATGAGCCGTATACGGCTTATGGAGCCTCACGCAAGTCGAGAGCCATCCTCATAAAAGGAAGGAAAACTATGCGTAATACTGAAACGCCCACCCCGACGGAGGCCGACGCCCCACCCACCAACGAGACGTAGACAATCACGGCACCCCCAAACTTCTTCGAAGACGAAAGAAGGCATAACACTCTAGCAGTATACATATACTTCCGATATACAGAAGGGAGTGAGGCCACTGGCATGACCCAGGGTCCGGCCCACCCGGCGAAGGTACAACGGCCAAGGCACCAAGCGGCCTTTTACCAAAACCGGGGTTAAACAATCAACGTACTGCATTACCTCTGCATAAAGAATCAAATTAAAGATTTGTACAGACGATAGCATGGGGTACAAAAAATGCGCTGCTGGGCGCACACCGTTAAAACGAACGTTGAGAAAGAATCCAGGATAAGACACGATCTTTTGATGAAATACTACCCTTAAGGCCACTGGAAAGCCTCTCCATCCGGCTTAAATTAAATCGACTCAACAGAGGGCGCTTTAGAGGTGGTTCGCAACATGTATCCACAGTAGAGGAGGTGCTTAATGGATTGAACCATTTAGGAGTACCGAGCACGCGGTCTAAAGTAGGAAAAAGCAAAATTGAAGAACCATAAGAGCTCATCGCTCTAAACAAAGCACGAGTCGCAATTACGTCGTTGAAAACTCGAGGGTCGTCTGTTAATAGCAACCCAAGACGCGTTCTCAATTTCTTCGCTTGTGGACGGTGTTTGGCGCTCCGACGAAGTGGTTCCGTAGCCCATACGATCTAGAAAAATGATTATTGTTACTAAAAACCACAAATGGAGAAAACCCACCTCTATCGGGTAGGGAGAATGAAGATGCTCGTTTGATGTGAACCCGAAGTTTGGGTTCAAACTCCTCTATGGGCATTAAAGTCCGGAGGTTTGACGATAGCGACCTGCGACGTTTATGTGCACCGCGTCCTACAAGACAACAATCAGCAGAAATTGTACTGAGAGCCCGTAATAGGCGATTTGAATATTACAATATTGCGTAAAGCTGGGTATTTCCAAATCTCAGTTCGACAAGCACTGTGCACCGCATTCTCATTCCAAGATAAGAAGGAATTAACGAAGTTTGTCGGTACCTACGTCATTAATGTATAAGTCATGAGTAGTGATCATAACTTCATTCGACACGAACGTTCGCGACAAATAAGGGAAGAATGGAGGCTCCCAAATCTTAATGGCTCATTCGGTCTCAAAATCCCAACATTTCGGCTACTACATTAAAAGCGTCTATGAGAGACTAATTGTTCTACGAAATCTAGAACCACAAGTAATGTGGTCCCGAAGTATTTCAACTAAGAGTTTTTTATTTCCGAATTTCATTACGCTACGGGAGTAAAATGCCACTTTGACGGGTTTCAAAATGAAATGTCAGATGAAGGACAATGGAAAAAAGAATATAAAAAGTAGTTCAAATGTATTTTTACATGGTATGTATTAATACTGTGGCAAACGTGGAAGATAATTTAGGAAGCAACAACGTTCTACAACGGAAATATTGACATTTCGACTTGATCGCGATTTCAAGAGATCTCCCAGGATTGGAGGATAAAAGTGGCACCGTCTGGTCAACTTTGACTACGAACATGTAATATGAAGCGGAATCACAATGACAAAAACGCACCTCGATCAGATGATCGGAGCAAAGAAGGCCCCGTAGTTCCGCGTGCCAAAGCGTACTTGAGCTCCTCTATAGGAGCTATAATTCGCCGCCTACATGTGATGTTAGCACCAGATCCTACATATAAAATGACGGGAAAATAAACACGAAAAAATTGTTTTTTCATCCACACTTTCTTCTTAAGAGAAACCATAGAGAACTGCCAGAAACAAAACTCACCTCGGCTAGATGATGGGACTAACGTTGAGCTTTTAATACGGTTCTGGAGGACACATTTACGGTTCTTTAAAAGGGATGTACGGCGGATTTCAGCATGTCTTTCAGAAGCACATCCGAAGGGATTTCGAGGAACCAATGTCTTTGAACGTGGGCATGCTTAAGAGGAATAATTTGGATTTATTAATTTTAGACTCAGCTACTGCATAAAAGTGTACTTAAACTAAATGCTTTTCTCTTATTACAGTCAAATTCCGAATCAGAGAGGAAATAACACTATTAACCTACCAACAGGTATCACGTCTGAAAAGTAGTCCAGTTTTTCCCCATCAGAATCTTCAACTTGCATTTCCGTGTACTAACAATGGTGAGGTTATCAATGTTGGACATCAATCATAACCAACCTTTTTTATAACAGCGCCTAACCCTCCACTGAAGAACATTTCTAAACCTAAAAGAATGTCATGAGCAAAAAAAATCGATATTGTCGTAGCTTCTACTCCATAGTAAAGTTCTTACAAGAATTTTAAGAATTTACGACTGGGAAACGCGCTCTCTGATGGCAAATTACAAATTAGGTTAACCATGTAAGTAGTAAAACATGTAGCGTTAATGTGGTGAAGACAGTAAAGTTGGTAAAACTAAGCATTAGCAAACATTAAAGAGGACTCGACGCACCAGTAATACCAAAGGATTATAAAAGGACAAATCTGGAAATATGTCAATGCCAGCAAGGGATAAACCAACGCTAAAAAACCCGCCCAAGAAATCCATAAAGGGCAGAATGAGAATTAGAAGGCAAATGAGAGTAGTAAAACAATTTAACATGAATGGAAATAAATCAGCAAAACATAAATGATCAAAATGAATAAATATTAAAAGCGCCCGTGTAAATTATTGTATTCTGGTGTCAAGCCTTTACTTAATTATTTATTTTATGGAGAGAGAGTATTGCAAAAGGAAAAATTTAATACAGCAGCAACTAAAGCAAATGCATAATCCTTACTTATTACCCATTTTAAAGTTAAAAGTGCTTAAAAGCAGTGATCAGTGTCGAAGTATATGCAGTTTTTTTAATTAACTTAAAATTTCGTTGATTTATATTTCCGCTGATATATTACTGGTATGCGCTTGAATACATATAAATTACTCTGTTGTATGTAACACGCTGCCTGTTTGCTTAACCCTCGGTTCCGGTAAATAGACCATCGGGTGGGCTGGCCAGTGGCCCTAATACCTTCTGTATGTCAAATATATTGCAACATTCCGGGGCTTCCCTGAAGACGAAAGAAGACATAATACTCGGGCAGAAAATATATTGTAATACGGTGGTTGTTTATCCCTCGGTATTTGCCAGGAGCCGCTTTTAAATTGGCTTTTGCACCACACCGGGTGGGCTAACCTTCGGGCCGAGCCAGTAGATAAAATACCTTCTGTATTTCGAATATTTACATTCTACCCGAGTACTATATCTTAATTCGTCTTCAGTGAAGCCACGGGGCGCTACATTGGTAGCAGCGGAAAGCAAACCCCATCCTAAAGGACATCCGTCCTGATTTTCACTGCTGTGCGATAAACCTTAGCTGGGCGGGAGAAGTACGTATGCTACAGATGGGAGAATGGCGGTGACCTCAAATAAAAGGGTTGAAATTGACGTCTACCTTCAGTATCTCTCCTAGTTCCACGTTCTTTAGGAAATCTATTAACAACTGAAAAGAGACTGGACTTGAACCGTCTGGAAGTTAGTTTACAGCCTTCCCATACCGCACCTTCATGAAGCTATTGATAAAGTGAATTCGCGATACCTCCTCCATTTCCTTACTAGCTGAGTAGACCCTGGGCAGCTCGGAAGTGGAGACAATGTGGCAAGGAGGAGCAGACGCGAAACCCTTTCCTCACGGATCTGTGTTAAATCCCGTTCTTCCTCACACAAATCTGCTTTTAGGCCAGTGTGTCTATATTTATCTATGGAAACACATGATGGTTAGCACAATTCCCCATTTCTGTATCGAGTTCTTAAGCCGGACGAAACTCCAGATCCAATTAAATTGCCAAGAGGGATCAGTGACAATACGGTTAACTATCTCCTCAGTTGCATGCTAATTTGATGACTGGCACGGCCGGCTCGTGGGTGTTTCTTAAAGCACCGACTATGTTATGATAGCTGATGCAGGAGGTTGACCGAGGGGAGTGCCGCAGACAACTCTCGAAAGAAGAGAGGGGCTATGTAATATGGTGGTTGTTTAACTTTTGGTTTTGGTGAAGAGCCCTTTTTTGACTTGGCCATTGTACCTCGCCAGGTGGGCTGGCCTTCAGACCATGTCATAGTTCAAATACCCGGCTTGGTACAATAGCCAAGTCAAAAGTCAGAAGTGGCTCCACGCTAGTACCGAGAGATAAACAACCGTCGTACTACAATGTGTATTCTGCCTGAATATTATGCTTTCTTTCGCCTTCAGAGAAGTCTTGGAAGCCTACTAACATTCCCCAAAAACGGCATTTTATGCTGTAGTACTACCTCTGGGCACCAAATGTGCCGCTCTATTAAACAAAACACAAAATATCAACACAGTCCCATTCTTCTACCGTACAATGTCTCCAGTGCTTCTGTTTGTCAATTTTCTGAGCTGACCATCACAACGCATACGTTGTTCATAAGCGCCCACACAGTAGAAACTCCTGTAATTGTATTTCTTTGCATTTGAGATAGCATTAATTCACTACGTCATTAATACGCCACATCACTTTTATTGCATTTGAAGTTTTGCTCTATTTGTAAGCCGTATTTAGATGAAGAAGTGCACAGAATTTGCTCTCCTCATGACGTTGTCTTACAACGACCACTAATAGTAAAATAAGCTTAAAAAGTTTAGCATTTAATAAAATTCAGGGGGGCTACACACTTCTGATTTGTGTCACCTATTGTTTGTTAACCTCGAATTTTGAATTTAATCACAGAAATCAGAATGGTGGTTTTGTAGATCAAGCTTGTTCGTTGACGCCAACAATGCGGCTTCCCGAAATCACGCCAGATTCATAATAAGGCAAATTAATAGGTGCGACCGTATGTAAAGCCTTGAGACTCCCTTGAAGACACAAAAAACATAACACTGAGATAGAACATACTTTTGATATGCAGAAGGGCTAAAGGCTAATGGCATGGCACGGAGGCCAGCCTACCCGCGATGGCACAGTGGTAGAGAGTTAAAATAAAAATGGCATATTACACATGCATTACTAACATGCAGTTTAGTTAGTATTCTCCATTATTACATATTTGAAAAATATTCAAGGCAGAAAAAGTCAGCCAAAACTTTTTTCCTTTTTAAAAGGATGATATTGCCGTAAATGGTAAGGGAAACAATTATTTACGCTAATAGCTTTCCAAAAGGAAGCACCTGTATCATCTATCACTTTTTTAATGCGGACTGCAATGTCTGGAGTCTTAATTAACACATACACGGAATGTCTGGGCGAAGATAAGCATAGCTGGACGGCTACGTGATTTGATAACTAAAGAATCGGCACCGCCTTAACTGACTACAAAACGACACGTAGATACATAATGAATGTGCGTTATAGTCAGTATTATGTGTGTTCCTTCAAGATTTTCAAATGTCACCCTCAAAGTAATTGCAGTGGTTTACAAAATAGCACCAAGGACTGGAAAATGCTCCTGCCTGGACGTTTTATGTAGGCTATTGTCACCGACTACTCAACTACGTAGCAAACCCAGTCTCCGTAAGGCGTACTTGTGCTCTGCCGTATAAATTTACGTCCATGGTGGTTTCGTCTTAGGTTTTCTACACGTTATTAATATACTTCACCACACCACTTTGCTTTTTTATAACACTACGTAATACGCTAGTCGTTCGTTCAGCCGTCGGTTTTGCCAAAGAGCTAGCCTGTCTTGGCCAGTGTGCCTTTCCAGATGGGCTGGCCTTCGGGTCATGCCAATAGCCCTAATACCTTCTGCATGCCTATGTATATATATCTTTTGCTCAAAAAACTATGTACTCTTTTATTCTTAGGGAAGTCTTGGGACGCTACAATTATGGAGACTTGGAGAGGCACAATAAATTTGCATTTGAGGTACATTTTCCAATTTTTTTAGCATCTTTAATAAGTGTAAATTTGAGGTGAGAAATCTCCACAACAACATTTTTGACATGAGAAATAGCACTTTGAGCTGCAATTATTTCCTAACTAAATCTTAAAAAAATTCCTCCTAATTTCGCAAAAACTATTTTGTTAATATACTAAAGTTCTGCAAAAAAGCCTAAATTGACGTGGACACACCTGCGTAGATTACGGAATCTTGCAGCAACACTGCGTTCATAATTTGAATACTTAGTAAATATTTGCTTAATTTGGTATGAAACGCTGTGATTTATCCTTTCTTAAATGCAGTGCCCCTTGAGACTGTGTAGACTGCACATCTGCTCTACGGCTTACATTTTAGGCCCTATCAGCACCCATCCACCTTTTCCGCCCCTTATTTCAAATTGTTGGTTTGAAATAACTGGTAAGAGTTCATACAATACCACAGTTTAGAAGGAACTGGTGTTAGGTTCTGCTTTAGCAACCAATAATGTCTCCTGAGTCATGCGGTTGGCGTAAATCAACCGCAAGCCCACTAAAATCTCTAATTAAACAAACATGTATTACACATCGTCCTCATAATGCTACAATGCTTTGGTATCTTGTTGAGGTCCGTGTCTGACTACGTTGGAACCTAAGTCTCCGCAGATTGTACTTCCGCCCCGCGGCAGGCCCCCCCAGGTAAGCCAGTGGCCTCTACTTCTTCTATGGATTGGTGATGGTATTGCGAATAAACTCTACTTTAGGCAGTAACTACTTGGGCCAATGCTTAAAATGTTGTTGCAGTATAAAATACATTGTTCTTTGAAATAAGATTTAGACGTAATACTATGGTTGTTTGTCTCTCGGCATTGGTAAGAGCCACTTTTGAATTGGCCTTCGCACCACCCTGGGTGTGCTGGCCTTCGCGCCATACCAGTAATGCAAATACCTTCTATGTGCCGAATATGTATGTTCTGCCTGAGTGTTATGTTTTTTTTTCGTCTTCAGGGGAAGTCTCGGGACGCTACATAAACTAATATATTTTGTGATTTGGGGAGGCGACAAAAAGAAGCCAGTGCACTAAAACACGCTACGCCTACCTGCCTTATCCAAGGACTTATTAAATATTGCTTTTTGAGGGTTGTTTAATTTTATCAGAAGGCTGTGTTCGCGAAATTTCGTAAGCAGCGGGACATATTTCTGCCCATTGTAATGGACCTCAGTAATAAAGTGCCAAAATGCATTGACTTTATTGCTAAAGTTTATTTTTATATTATATTAAAGTGGAATTAATTTAGTATTTAGCTCTCTAAGATCTTTTGTTTGAGTTGCCACACTTCTGCCCGTTTTGACTCGTTATGTCGCGTGAGGTTAGGTAAGTCTTTTTGTTTTGCTATAAATCTTAGGTCAAATATGCGATTGATGCGTCCGGGGATGGCTGTTATTGTCCTCAGCGGAAAATATGCTGGTCGCAAAGCCATTATCATCAAAAATTACGATGATGGTTCAACGCAGAAACCGTATGGCCATGCTCTCGTTGTCGGCATTGACCGTTATCCCCGTCGTATTCTGCGGAGAATGAGTAAAAAGCGGATCGAGGGCCGCTCCAAGATAAAGCCATTCATAAAATTGATCAACTACAATCATATTATGCCGACTAGGCACACTATTAACATTCAATTCAACACAAGTGTTGTCAATAAGAACTGCCTAGTTGACAAACCGAAGAAAAGAACAGCTCTTCTGGAGGCTAAGATGAAGCTCCAAGAAAGGTATGGTTGACTTGTCTTAATCCATTCCTCTACGCAGGTACCGCACCAACGAAAACCCCTGGCTCTTCCGTAAACTACGATTCTAGTTTACCTGTGGACGTGTAAAAACCTAATAAAATGTTCGGCTACCATGGGAGGCCTACTCTGCTTTAGTAATGACGTGGATCAGTTAACAACTCCTAAGCCGAGTTTGGTTCGGACGCCCATGCGCATGTTAAGAGTTGTTCGTGGAGGTGCAGTGTTGCTAACGTCCCGAAACGGAGTAAACCTCTCTTGTACCATTATCATAGGATAGTGGCCTTATGGCTCTTTGGTTGCGGCGGCGTTGTTATATCTGCTCTGACAAATCTACGCTGGGGCACTGCCGTGTGTGACGCCCCCTCTGGCGCCGCTTTCTGTGCTCCTGATGCCAACCGGCTTCGCTGCTACTCGCACTGTATACCCCAAACGGGAAATGGGACCAAGTTTACTTAAAAAGGGTTTACTAAACGGTTGCATGGTGTCTCACATTTGGAGTGTGGACAACCATCTATTTACAAAACGCATTGTCGAGGCCCGTTGCATCCATTTTCGCAGCTCACATACGCCTGCTCTTCACCTGAAAATGATTGCAAAATTGCTCATTATTAGTCGTTGCTTTTACAGAGGTAGCAGATACAACTAGGGAACTAACAATTCTGTCAAATGCGGCATCGAAAAGTCCGGAAGTGGGTTCGGGCGCTGGAACGGGAGCGAATGTCTCATTCGCCCCAGCATCAGTGGGTGAGGCTTTGCGCTTCAAGCGGTGCTGCGGAAATGAGGGCATCATTTCTGGTTCACAAGCTACAGAGCAGCGAGAGGTCAAACTGCATTACGTTCCCATAGTACTGTGAAGGGGTTGACTTCAGCAACTTACGAAGAGGATGTTCCCTAAAGTAGGAGCTCTGACAGCACTCCCTGGCGCGAGCGCGCCTCATTGGATCGTACATGAAGAGGAAATTAAGTAACCTAAATCCGGCATCAGAGAGCCAAGGAAAGGTCTGGCGAAGGTTGTTGTATCTAAAAGCCGGTGCATCAAACATTAAACCTGACATTTTGAAACCGATATAGCTAGTTTTAACTTTCACTTACTGCTGGGTCTTCAGCGTAATTTTCTTTAGCAGAGGTAACGAGCTCATCCCCTAGAAGATCATTAGGTTCGACATTAAGCTACCATTTTACAGATCTATGGCATCAAAAATATGGACCTACAGGCCAAATACGTTCATTTGGGGTGCCCAGTAAGTCGATGATCAGTTCCAACTGGTGCACCTCGTTCTTACCGGGTAAGAGGGGCTTGTGGAGAAGCAATTCCCCCATAATGCAACCCGCCGACCTGTAGAGGAGAACCAGATAATGAAGGCGGTGGTCCAACCCTAAAGATAAGGTGAACAAGCACTCACCATATATCAATTGCCTTGGTCTGCATCTTATCACCCAGCAAAACCTCGGGCGCGCGGTACCTGCAGCCACGATGCGTATTTTCATTGGAAGCTTTACCATGGGAGCAAATGGAATAAAGAAGGGAACGTACCACAAAGTAACTACCTTAGGTGTCATCGGATGCTGCGAATTGGATGGACGCGCAAGTCCAAAGTCAGCTTTAAGATATTCAATAATCAATGGGGAAAAACGTTACCTATCTTCACCATTCCTTTATCGGTCATAAGCAGATTTGATACTTTCAAATCACGATGAATTATGAAGTTCTCGTGAAGGTATCGCAGACCTTTGAACACTTGCAGCATGATTCCTTTGACCTGAAAATTATCGAAGATTAACCTGACTGATTACTCCTACCTGTGCTTCTGTAAAGGAGTTTGGCATGTTATCTAAGAGGCTCGCCAGGTCTTGTTCACAGTACTCCATTGAAAGAAATATGCTGGAGTGAAAAAAAAAAAAAAAGAAAACAAAACCACTAGAAAGAGCATCCGAGTTGACGCTACACATGAAATAGTGCTGAAGAATTACATCTATCAAATAAAGCAAAAGACGGGCACTAAGCGTATATATAGATTTGAAGAGAGGGAATAATACACAGGTGAACTACCACACTTCAAGTTAGATGTCTGATGATTTTAAGAGAAGCATTAATGGCTGCTACCTATCAAGACTGCGCCCCACAACAACCTCCTTCAGCTGGACAACGTTTGGATGTTTGATACTCAATAAAAGGGTTATTTCTCGGAGACTGCTAATCGGGATCCCTGTGGCGAATAAATAAAGAAATTTGTAAGTCATACCATCTCTCTCATTCTCCATTCGAACCTTCTTCAGCGCAACTATGGCTCCAGTAACGGAATCACGTGCCCTATCTTGAGAAAAGGTAACAAATGCACCTAAACATTACAGACAATGCCATATGTGCCCTCGCCAATCCGATTCAATTTCTCGAAATCAGAAACACTTCTACACCTGCCCTCCTACAGTCAAGTAAAGAAGGAAATAAGAACATAATACTCTAAACTGCGTGGGTATCCTGAAAGGGATTAGCTTCTTTACACCAAAGAGCTTGAGTTCGTCAATGCCTGCATCCATAACTCAAAACAACAGGACGACTGTTAATAACTTAAACGAACAGCAACACTGGGCGCAGCAGCGCCATCATTTACCCCTCAATTATTATCCTTTATCTGACACTTGAAAACTCATTTTCTGTTATTTATTTACAAAAAATCAAACCCGCAATTTTATTTTACTTACCGCTGTTAGGGTGTGGCAATAATATTACGTGACCATATTTTCATGATTTGTGACCTGAATGTTGACCATACATTGCTCCATATTTGTTAGTCTTTTACTTACCTTCACTCAAAAAATTCTTTTGTCAGAATACCAGGGTAAATTTTAAAATCAAAGAGCACTTTGTGTAAGAATACTGACAACAGCTTATCAGACAAGTAAAACTAGATTTTATGGTTCATGGAAAACCCGCGATAAAAAAACATAGTTTGTCAACGTTTTAGTTTGCAATCAATGCGTTGAAAAGTGTTTACTTAACCATTTGTGCTCTTTCTGTAGTTCATTCACTCATCCAACATTTTTCATGTTTTAAGTAAAAAGCATTGCTCCTTTTGAAATATCACCTTCTTAGCCTGCATCCTGTTCTATTCCGAATATCATTATTCGCACAATTAAGAAGGGCTTAATGTAGAACTGCAGAATGTCTTGTAGGCTATGACCCTGACCGAAGGACCGTGCCAGGAAGTGAGGGCACAATCCGCGGATTCTGGAAATCAAAACTGTTAAGCGCTATACACATGCCATATTTTCCTACCCTAATTAATCTAATTGAAAAATTAAATCAGTCATACCACTTCTTGTCTTTAAACAATATTATTTTATTAACATGGTTGACTACAAGTTGATCTACCGTACCATTGTACAAGCTTAAGTGATTCGGCTTCTCGTACGAATATCACAAGCTGTAGGCATTTTCACAATTTACCAAAATATTTCGAGTCCCGGTTTAAGTGTACACTATTCCTTCTACTGCGCCATTTATGTTTTTTTTCGAAAATCATTGTTTAAACTAGGGCTGCGCATATTACTGATAAATACTAGTAGGACTTTATTCACGAACACCTTGACGTGAATCAAGCAGTTCACATGATTGTAATACGGCTCTGCTTTAAAATTCCGTTTACATATATTTTAATGTGAGGATACATATTCTATGCAAACATAATTTCATGTATCGCCAAGGATGAATTTAATGCAATCAAGGTTTTGTATTTTCTATATTCTAGGTGCAGCCAAAACAGATGATTGTATTTCAGTCTTCTGAAACAAGTGCCTTGAAAGCGGTTAATGGTGGAGTTGTTTTCTACTCCCTTTTCATAAATACAACCAAATAGGTATACGATTATTAGGGCATAAACACAAAAGGCATGTCACCAGGAGATTAAGCCCACCGGATTCTTACATTGGTGATAGAGGTAGCAGAGTGACAGGTGGCATAAACAGAGTTAAACGATACAAATGCGCACATCACACATTGCTAGTTTTAATAATTCCCTTCATTTGGCCTATTTTATGCCACGCAGAAGGCATAAACCGCTTAGTGGCATTCTAAGTGTTTACCATGCTAAAAACTTAAATGCCACTGTCTTGTTTATCCAAAATCCAGAAGTAAATTAAATCTTGGCCACAAATCATCAGCATTTGGCGTCGACATCGACTATTGATAAACGGCTTTCCATAATAATTAGTCATACCCTTTGACGCAAACTTGCGGTCACGACACCCCGCTCGGCACTGTACAGACGTAAATATTTCACTAGGATCAGATGACACTTACCACATGACTGGCGTCTACCCTAGTCGTGATTCATTTCCAAGTCTAAATAAACTACACTACCCATGTATACTTCCGGTGACCGAAAATGTGACAACTATGCAGAACGTGAGGGTCATTATGTTTGCACACAGCTCTCATCTCCCTCTCTTTTTCACTTACGTATACAATCAACGAGATTTTTTGTGGCTCGCATTATTTATAATGCCAGCCAGTAAATGACTTTGCTGCCGTTAAGAGGAATCATCGCCTCCACTGACCTCTCGATTTCAGTTTTTAGGGTAGATTGGTCATGCCAGCCGAAAGCTGTCACCTTTGCAGGGTGGCGAATTCAAAAGGGGAGTCCTAGCAACTCGTTAAAATTTTGATTAACATGAGTAGATATACAGGGCTTCTTTTTTCCAAAACCAAGGTTAGTTGGGCCAAAAAACGTGTTATTTTCAGCCCTATTTGCCCAATTTACACGTCGGGCGATAGTCGAAGATCCCAGAAATGGTATTATTTGCCACAATAACCCAACCTGAGCTAATGACGAGGCACAAACTTCGGGGAGAAAGCAGCTTAAAGATATTTGTTAGCAGGATAAATTCCGTCCCAATTCAATGGGAGTCGTAATAGAGCCTCTCACATCATTTTTAACACCTTGATGTCACAACATGGAGCCATGTTATGTCGCAGCCGGGACGTTCTGTGACACATACTAAATCCAGAGTATCTAGGTTAAATTTTGAGTACAATGGCGCTGAATGGCGATCAGAAATGGGATGTTAATTATTTCATTACTTTGACTCAATTTAATGAAACTTGATTACTCGACTACACCTATCAACTAAATTGGGATTTTTGGGTCTGGATCGGTTTTGGGGGAGACACATCAACGTTTACATTTGCAGAACAATTCTTCATAATACAGCAGCCATTTTTGTGAACTCTTTTAATGACCACTGGAGAGGTCACTAAGGCTGCTTAAATTAATGTAGGTTCTTGAGTTAATAGCCTTCAATCTATGGAATCGGGTCAAGCACGGAGAGCTCATCAAAAGAATTGCTGGTTTCAAAGAACGACTACATAGAAGCAACATACCTGTCAACCATCCCTAGTTGACTCGCCTTTATCTTACAACTTCAAAACTTCCAATTTTTTAACACCTCCCTCAATAGATTACACTTTTCTTCTTCTTAAAAGGAAAATAATTACCTTACATCATTCTTAAATTACAACCTAACCTATGGTGTGCGGTAACTGACCAGTTGAGGAGCAAATTAACCGACATTCACTGAAGAATAATCCTTTTCCTACCAAAACACCCTCATCTGTTGAGTGGAAAGTGCCATTCGTGATTTCAACGCAATATTTGGTTCTATAAAGACAGCTTTGGAGAGTCCAAAAATAACCTTCTAATGACCCTACACAGTGATTAAGGTAAAAGCACATCTAAGGGTATTTAGATCCTAGACGGGAGCCATATTCCCTCCTCAGAATTCAATATCCACTCGTTTCCCCACAGCACAAATCTTAGGTTCAATTTTTACATTTTTGATACTCGCTTCTTAAGCACTCATACTACTATTCCGATTCTTCCACAATTCGTTAAATAAGGTTCAATGCTTCTAAAGTGGCATAACTAGTCAGATTCATTCAATGATTAAGGTCGCTTCGGTATAGAAGTGGCTTCAACTAGTCTACGTGGATGGCTCCGTAGAGACGGTGGTAACGTCGTCGTAGTCACCGTCCTGATGGGATAGTGCAGCTCAAGGAGGGAGAAAGAGCAGCGTCCATAGGTGTTGCCATCTCGAACTTTTCTACACGTCAGTCCCGGACAACAGGGTTCGTGGTTCCAACCGCCGCAGGTCTTGTCCAGACCCCGACAATCCTCGTCTTTGTAATAAGCGAAAGAAAGGAGGGTTTAGGACAATCCACTGAAGCTAAGCATGGCCGGATGAAGTGTCAATGGCATTAAAATTAATCCTAGGAGGGGAAGAATTTCAAGAACGTATCCTAGCATCCTTGACTGGATGAACTTTGCTACGAATAGCTCTTTATAGAACACGACCAACCAAAGTAAGTGGAATTCTGTTGTGAAATTTGTGGCAGATAAATCTACGAGTTGCATTAATATCACTAAATGCAATTGTGATCATAAGGAACGCCGAAGATGTTCTTCAATGCAAGTATCGTAGAATAAGAATATGTAGATCCTTTCAACTTCCTTAGAAGGTGATCAGAGCTCTTCTCCCACCATGCCTATCCTACTAGTCGCCCGAATTTCTTGTATGCTTATGGTGAAGCCACTTTTATTTTTGAAGGCCTTACAGCTACTTGGGGGGACTACTTTGTACGATAAGCAGCTTCTGGATACAAGTGATTTTTAGCCATCATAGTTGGTAATATTTGTCACGATTCTTGTCAGCTACGATGCTGCACTGATAAAATGGCGCAACTAAAGGGTCGGCACAACATTTTCAAACATAAGGAAACAGGTTTAAAATCAGGATGTTCTAATAAGCGTAGAAAAAAGAATTTGACATACAGGAAGCAAACACACTGCTGCCTTTTGAACATTTCCAGGGATGTTGCCTTTATTGTTGAAACCAATGCTGTTAGTCAGTGCGAATACAAAGTTTGAAAAATTAGCTATTTAATTGCCTAAGGTTTAATTATTTATGGTCTTTTCATTGCTCACCAAAATTAAAAATGACACCAAATTCACGTCCATAAAGCAACAATTTAAAAGAAGTACACATTTTATGATCAAACGTGTGGAACTTGTGATAATACCCATATTAATGTCTCTCCGTAGATAGCTTGGGGTTTCGCAATTGGCTCATTAATTTCCACACTAGCCTAAATTCTCACAAGTTTGAGCAATATGGAAACCGACACGTCCGGACTGATTTTTCTATCGATCGGAGCTGGTTTACCCCACCAATCTTTTAAGACGTTTTGAAATGATCTACCCTATTATACTGTGGCCGTACGCACCAAATGGGGATTTCCTATGATGCCATCTGCAAAGGGCATGGAAAATTAGCGAAATGCAATACGTCGACTTACTTGAGCGCGACGGCAATGCGATAGCATGTAAAATGCAAGTGAGCAAGAGGAGCCCAACGGCATGCACCCTTGTGCAGCTCATGCTACCAAAGATTGCGTAATGAACGCTACACCAGTTGCACCCATTTGATAATTGAGGTCATTACCACAATCCAGATAAATGGTAAACAACGACGTCTGATTTGTTATCGGCTTCATGAGGGTCACTTTGATGCCTGACAGGGTAGTCTAAACATATGGCCTTGCAAAATTTGATTAAAAAATTGGCCAACGCCATTCACTTTGGAAATATTTGCCATAAGGCAACGTATACACACTTTAGTTTGCACAATGCCTGACGTTTAAAACGCCGCAAGTCGATTTGAACCTGTGATTTGACCTGTCAGGGTAGAATGCGAATTTTAACTCCACAGAGAGTTAGGCCAAGGTTAGCCTGGAAGTGTAGTTGGGGGAAACTGATAGCTGAAATATATCTCTTGGGGTTTTGGGAACAATGTTGGCGTAGGTATCCTGTTTGCAGAAAAAAAACAAGTGCGATTTAATTTTAGCCTAGTTTGTCTAAATTCAAATTCGGTAACAGATAGATGGATGGGAAGAAAAGGTATTCTAAAGTCGAATGATTGGAACATCCTTTTCATTTATTATAAAATCGCACAAAGAATCCTTGCTCAAATTTCCTCTGCTTTGTGCATTCAAAAAGACTTATTTAGCCTCAAATCGTAATATTCGAAGACTAAAGAGAATCATATTGTCTCCCAGACCAGGAACGGCCTCTATCGGGTACTGTTTTGCCTCAATCACGTTCGCGGTTATCATAAACAGATAAATAATGGATGTCACGTATGTGTGACGCCGGTAGCGAGAAAGATATCGAATAACATGAAATGTATTTACTGCCCTGGAAACCACTACTTTAATACGAAAAACATTACGAAAATGAAAGTGAATTACAGAAATTTGTGATGGGAGTTGAAGCAGAAATTGCCATGACTCTAAGATTGAGGTAATTCCCCTATTGCACTGATTAAAAAACAGCCGAATAGTAAGCGTCCCTCCTAAATTCATGCATAATTTTCCTATTATTGTCAATATCTAACTGAAAGGAAAAAACCGATCGCTTTGCACTTTAAATTCACCAAAATTGAAGGCGCGAGTAGTTAGATAAGGGATGCAGTAGCATCACCAGTATGCACTGTTGAACTGACCGAGAAAAGTACACGAGGCATTTGCCTCGTGTCAACTGTCAAGTGCATTTGTGCAAAATTAAGAAGTTCACTTCTAGCTCGTTGAAAACAAATAAGTCGTGGCTTGACCTCCACCTGCAGCCTGCCCTCCATCCAAAGTTTCATGCTCTCTCCGAACCCGAAACTAAAGGGGATGCAAAATCACGTGCAAGCATCGTCATGCGGATTGGTCTGCCTGGTGTTACCGATGACGTTGATGACAAGTAAAGAGTCGTCCTGTTGATTTTTAGGCGATGGCTGCCAGGGGCACAACCTCGTCGGCGTATGTCGCCTCGGCTCGGAGTGGGAAGTGGCACAGCACTACGAACCTCGGAGTCGGCTATAGCCACGATAACAAGGAATGCGGAAGGAGTACTGGATATGGCTCCTGGAAATCGTGAGATGACAGCTAAACTGAATCCATGTATGAGACTTCCCTTTACCCCGGGTTCTGAATCATTGAATCGCTGTCAAATGCAGGATGCTGCTAGCAAATTCCATTAAATTTGGATACAAATCCTACAAGCCCATTTGATGTTGGCCTAAAAACTATTTAAAATGATAGAATGAAGCATAAATCTGGGCAAATATTCTCAAGATAAAAAGTGACTCTTTCTGAAAGAATTGAAGAGATTGTTTTTATGGGCCGATGAAATGGTCGAAAGCGAACTCAGATGGACACACCTAAACACCACCAAATTCAAAACTGTCGAATCCGAAGCCACGGGAGTCGTTACTTTTTTGATATTTTGGACATGACACCCAAATCAAGTGTCAAGATAGAACGAGAACGGCTTACCATCCTGATCCCACGGTGGATGCTGGCATGAAGATGGTCCTTTTTCCAACTAGTCATTGTTGGTTGTTATTTAACAGCAGAAACAACAACAATGACTCGTTTTCCAGCAGGCCTAAGGTCACTCGATCTACGCACCACTGATGTCGGTGGCATTTGTTTGCGTTTGTGCGCACATGTGTGCGCATATACGTGTGCATGTGTGTCTCCTCGGGTCAAACGGTTTCACTCAAGCCCCTTTCGAAAGTTTGTGTGTGTGTGTGTTATGTTTTTGAGTGTGCGCGCGCCCAGATGCATGCGCACACACAATTTGTGAATAAATAGGGAGGGCATTTGGGTGGCCGTAAGACTTGCCTGCCTAGTCGTTACCATGCGTTGCCTCTTCATCCTCCTCATTGGTCTCATGGTCACAGCTCTTGCTGACGGTACGTAAAACAACACTTCCATCGCTTTTTAAGCCCATTCCATCTCCTAGTGTCGACTTACTCCAGTGCGACTCCAGTTTGCATTACAATTTGCTAACAGTGTGATAAGTTTAGATTTCTGTGTATTCTCCTTGAAGATACGTGCAGAAAAATGGGCGAACCTTGCTCCAGAACCGTCTTCAGTCGGTGCTGCGAAGGTCTCTACTGCGTACTGAAGGGATTTGCTGATGGAACCTGCGAAAAGTGTCTGCCCCAGGGTCACTTCTGCTTCTCCGATGGGGAATGCTGCAGTAATGACTGCGCCTGGTACAGGTTCTGCCGATAAATATAATCGCACAGTTTTATTCACTCAACTCCAACACAACTGCTACTGATTAAAATTTATTCCATATTTTAAATTCACTTTCTTGTTTATTGCATTATAAAAAAATTAGACGCCTTGTGGGGACCCTACTTAGACAACACATATGCTCAATAAAATTCGGTTAACGAATGTTGGCATCATTCTTCTTGAGACGTGATGAAGGGTAAAGATCGACTAGGCATATGTACCTATAATTTCATCATTCAACAATGGTGTATCCAGTTGTAGAAAGCATCTATTCGACACCTTGAGTTTATACCCCCTTCTCACAAGTGGCATATTCCACTGGCAGGGTTGTAATTCGGCCTAACCATTGTTTAAGGGAACTTTCAGGGAAATTTACTTAAAGATTGTTAAAATTACCATATGACATTCATTCCGATGCCTTAAAAGTAAAGTCAACTCGAGCGGTCTCTGCCATCAATGGTTCGCACTAGTTTGTGCGCATTGACTCACCTCCCCTCGAATTTTTATTGGTCAGATTGGCACTCAATCAGTGAGATTGCAGTGCTGATTGACGGAGGCAAGGTCCTTGCTGCAAATATTTAAAAGATAATCAATTTCCAAAGTTGTCATTAAGAATTGCGAATGTTACTTCCGAATTTTGAGTCAAAATACAGTATTTCTTAATGATGAGTACTTATGGTGCTACTTAAGGAATCGTAGATTTACTTTTAAGATTATATGGCAAGATCAGCAAACTTTTACAAATTTAACCGTTAAGTTACATAGAATCGTGTGCACTCCTTGTATTACTGGCAAGTGGAGTTAGACTTATTTAAAGACTTCATCTATTTTTCAAACTAAGTAAACAAAAAGCTAGTCGGTCAGAATAAGCACCACATGAGGTGAACCCGGATGAAGTATTAACAGTTAACTAATTCACCAACTCTAGATGTCACCTAGTCAAGGTTAGTGGTAGAATGTGATTTAAAGTCACCATCAATCTGTTAGTTATGGGTAATAGATGTTTAGGCAGGAGTGCATGTAATGTTACGAACGCTAAATTGTCCATCTCTGTTCATAAAGGAGTCGAAACCGTGGAAAACATTCCCAGCCTCTTAGCAGATAAGTATTTTAAACAGGGAGCTTGAAATCTAAAAAAAAAGGAGAAAAACAACACTTACTCCTGAAACTTTGTCCTCAATCCCTTCTTTGGATTAATCAAAGTTCAATGGGCATGTGATTCTCAGCTCATGATTTTACCGTGTTCAAAATCAACACACCTCCCACTTCTTACTTTCAGCGGAGTGGCGTCACCGCAAGCCATGTATACATCTCAACGACAATGTAAACAATGTTGCGACGGCGTTCGATGGATTGGCTTATAAAATACGTCCATTTCAAATAAACCCACCCATTCATCCTGTGCAATCATGCAAGTCACAATACTCGTCTTGGTCGTGTTTTTTCTCGCATTTGTGAATGGTGATAGCCGTAAGTTCGTCTGTTTTTTCTTTAAAAAAAACCGAATTAAGTAAATTCTATAATTACAAAAATATTTCTTCAGGGAAATGATTTAAATTGAGCAGTAGGATGTTAAAACTCGCCATTTTCATATTCGGTATAGCTCATGTCAACTTCTCCCCAAATAGACTGTCGCCGTGAGGGTGAGGACTGCAGCAGAACGATCTTCTCCCGTTGCTGTGATCCTCTGTACTGCCAACTGCAATCGTTCGCGAAGGGCAAGTGTGTCAAGTGCCTCGAAGGTCGACAGTTCTGCATGAGTGACAGGGAGTGCTGCTCGGGCAAATGCCATTGGTACCGTATTTGCTCTGACCTCTAACCTGATCCCCCTCCAACGCAGTGCCACATTTGACGCCTTTGCAAAAACCATAGCCACTTCAACTCTTTATTACCCATTCATCATTCCCGTCTATTTGTAAAAACTTTCGACCAGCTTGAATTTGTTTGGAGTTAAGTGTTCAAAGTGAATGGATTAGCGCCTAGTAGATTAACACACCCTAGAGAGATGCGAGAATTCTGGATTTAATGTGTGCTTGAGAGGTAACTCTTCCAAATTTGATGGTTATGCGTATACCCCATCAATCAAACCATAAAAATAATATTTTGATGCACAACAAAGTGTTTGAAGGTGTAGAGCAAACTCACTTTTCAGTTGTTTGATTGCTGATCAAACAAATGTGAGTTTCCAAGTTTCCCACACACCAAATTTGATGTTAATATTTACCAAAGGTGAGAAGAAAATCGTACCAAGTATATGCATTCCTTTTAAGTGTTTGTTTAACTCAGGGTTTGATTAAGCGGACATATTGTATCAGTAGTCCCTCACTTCTCCTGCATATATTGTCAGGGAACTCGAATGTGACGAGTGATCTGTCGTATTTGACCGGTCTTAGGCGAGATCTTGAAAGGAATTCGGTGGTCTACACTCTTCTCAATAGGGCTTTTAGGGAGGCGCCTATATTTTTCAGTAAGGCGGTCCTTAGGTCGTGCCGTTCTACAACCACGCTGTTCCTAATCTCTGATGCTACAGCAGAGCTTACTTAAATTAATTGAACTACGGCGTTAGAGTGTCTTTAGGACGATTACCGAAAAGCATACTTGGAATATTATCTTAAGTCTGAAGTAGGGTACTAAAGTCCCGGTATCGTTGATACCTTGAGGATATATACGGTTGTATTACGAGCCATGTTAAGGGAGTAAGAGGGTGGTCCTAGGAGCATCTCAGTCTAGTAAATTCCAATAAAATACTTAAAATCTGCTTGTTTAAAAGGTTCTGAAATGATTAATCGCCGCACTTATGAATAGGGCAGTTGCTGAATTCATCATACTTTATCACTGGTCCATTCAGCTTAATCTGAATTACTTAAAACTTTTATACGTCGACATTCGAATCAGAATGTTCCTCAGTGTTACAGCATGTATGGGGAAGGGTCTGAGATTTTATCCTTCCATAACTTCACACACCTGCATGCGCGTGTACTCGCGATGGTGCACTTTGGTTATTTTGATGACCCAGTGACGAGAAAAGGCAATATTTCCATTACTAGGAAAAGCATAATCAGGCGGAATACAGAAGATGAGGTAATGTATCCATCTCCATCTCATCCCATACCACCGCATACGAAAGTGGGAATCTTCTCACAGGTCCCTTTTGTGGTATGGGGCATGGAGTCTGGCATTGTCTTGGAGATAACCATAGATGCGTTCATCCAACTTTGAAATACACTCAGTTAGCCAGAAGCCTAAAATGTGCGGTTTATTCTCATAACCTACATCAAATCAAGGGAGTAATTAGAGACTTTCAAGCTTAAGGTAATCTGTTGGTAGATGAGGGAGTGAGAGACTTCCCAAATGTGATGCATCTACCATTGAATGGGCCATCACCGGAACCATGTGCTACGACACCATTCTTAAAGTGTTAAATAGCAAAGTTGACGAGAAACTTTCATAGTTTTGGGATTGGGCCCAACTCCGTTTGTGATGCAGGTAAGATCACAGCGCATACACTCGGCTTGACCCACTTTTCACTGACGTAAATGGACCACATCAAGGAATACATTTAACCGAATTGTTTTAAAAGGGTAACGTATGTCTGCTTTGCTATGCACATACACAACCTCGTGCACTTTAAAATACATAAAAATCTCTGTACCCAGCCGTACTGAAAACCAATAAAATAATTTTGGTCAATTGATACCTGCGCATTTAAGATGATACACTTTGCTATTTGATACGTTGATGCAATAATAAAAACTTTAGAAAAGACCTGTAAATAATACATTGCCTAAAGAGAACTAATTTGAGGCTGAACTATTCTGCCTTAAGCATATGTGCAGTGAAATAATACATAAAACAAATATGGCTAGTTAACCGCGATTTCTAATCGCTGGAAAATTTTGCAACTTGAAGCCAAGTATAAAATAGAGAAGGCAAGATTTGCGAGGACTATATTAGAGTCTCGTTGTCGAAATATTTTTAAACTTCCATTAGTGATATCTTTAAGAAATCAAGACAAAAAAGGTTTTTTATCAAATCTGGGCATAAGCAATGCAGTGGCGATCGAAGAATACGTTGATGAACATATTAACCAAGTGACAGGAGTAGCTGTTTATAAGTGAGCAAAAACTAGGATGTAAGAAACAAAAAATATACTGAAGCTTTAACCGAAAACGAATGAATGCAACTTCATCTGCTTTATAATTCCCCTACAACAAGGACAATAAAGTTTGCGCACTTTTAAAATTGCGGAGGCTTGGCTTCTGAGTTTAATGAATACAGGTTTTAGAAAGGATCTCAGGGGTTTTTGGCATAGTAGCAAATAACAATAGAATCAATAACCTCGAACCGGTTAATTGGCTGACTGTTGGGTCTGTGACCCCTTCAAGTCTACGAAAAACAGGAGTGTTGTCCTAGTGATCTGTCGTTTGACTTATGACTGATTGATTGGGTAATAGTTGCCCTTCAGAGTCCTTTAGTGTGTATGTGTTTGTAAACGGGTCTTTTGTTTGTTCGCCCGCCTGTTAGGGATTTAAGAGGTGTCTAGACGAGCGGTCGTGCTATTGTACATAGAATTGGAACAGGGGTTTAAGTGGAGGGCACACACACACGTGGTATTTACCAGAGCCCAACAGTATTGCACGACCATTTGCATTAAGTTAAGTACAACAGAGGGTCATGTTCGTCTGAGGTGAAGTTGGCCTACACCGAGAAAAGAGGGTGCCCAATGGAAAAAAAATTAGGAAGAATCTAATAACCACTGACTTGAGTGAGGAGGCTAGAATGCAAGAAAGCAAAAGGAGAAGACCACCGCTATCCAGCAGAACAAGCAGCAGATGTCAACGCTCCGTCAGCAACGCCGTTTCTAGTTACTCTCACCGTTTTAACGCTTTTAAATTTCTGCTTTCTGTAGTTGCAACCAACACTAACTTTGCCTTCACTGTAACGATTCTTACCACGCCACACCGCACTGCACTATCCTACACAACATTACTCCATTCCAACACCACAATTGCCTCCTTTACTCATTGCAATGGAATGGGGTAGATCGTTTCCAGTTATTTGTAATTGTCAGTCATTGCAATATTCAGCAAGTACAAGCACGAGC